CCCCCTCCGTGGTTCAAGCCTGGCGAAGGCCATCACGGGCCCCCTCCGTGGTTCAAGCCTGGCGAAGGCCATCATGGTCCTCCTCCATGGGCCAGACCATGGAGAGGGGACAGCCCTCCGCCTTGGGCTCCTGGTCATGAAGACCATACGCAGGAAGAACCGGAGAGTCACAGCACCCGTCTTGGATTGGGCTCATTCCATCTAACCGGGGACCGGAGCGTTTTCGATTACAAACTGACGTTGATTGTGATCTTGTTCATACTCACGATCATCATTGGCGGAGTATTTTTCAAACTGATCCGCATGTGTCGCGATCCACGACGACGAGCTGAACGAGCTGCCTGGGTTGAAGAACGCCGAACACGTCGGCTTTATCGGAAGGCGGCCTGCAAGCACAAGTGGAGGACGTGGTGGAGTCAACTTTTTTGTCTCATGTCAGCGAACTTTGAAGAGAAGATGGGCAATTTACCTGGGCAAGGGCGTGAAAACGAGAACGTTCTCCATCGACAAATCAGGGCGCTCAGAGATGTCGCCAGCCTGGTGAGAAACCTTGTTGCGGCTGAAGAAGGCCGTTCCCAGATTCAGGCCGACGGGGCCTCGGAAAGCTCGTCACAATCGGATCAAACTCCGGCCCCAGTCTATATTGCATCACTTTCTCCACCTCCTTCATACTTTGCCCCTCCGCAGTATGAAGAAGAAATCCGGGGTGAAATCACAGTTGTTGAAGGGTTCACATATACGCCTAGTCACTCCGGCTACACACCCAGTTCTATTGGCGATGCAGCAGAGAGCAGTATCGTCGACTGCAGCCCAAGACTCAGCTTCGAAACCGGTCGATCCACAGTTTTTACCAGGGATGCCGAATGATGATGACGACGACGACAATTTGGGGTGTGGGCGAGGAGAACGGTGCAAAGGACCAGAGGATGATTACCGTCTTGTTTGGCTTTTGAGCTTTCTGATGTCCGTCAATCATCTGTGCTCATCGTCGACCGAAAGGTCATGTCTCATTCTCTCAAAGTTGATCTACCGTTTTGTATCGGAGTGATCTTCTCCCCCTTTTGTGAAGATGTGAGGTGTTTCTTTCCTTATATGCTTTGTGGAATTGTGTACAACTACATCTCGCGATGGTCGTTATTTCAGGTCTTTTGTGTAGATAGAGGACGAGGATGCCCTATGTGGGGGGCCAGGCAACAGCGGGAAAAGAACAAGCTGCATGCAGAATTGATCATTTTTAAAACTTGATTATTGTGTTGCCTAAGTAGTGGTTGTTCACTCATTCTGCTGCCTTGGAGGATGGAATGGAGGATGGAAGTGGATAGGAAGAAGATGCTCCGCTGTAGCTTTGGCGTAGGCGCAGGCGCAGGCTGCGTGGCTGCATTGCCAAATTAGGAACGTTAAACACAAGAGGCCTCGTCAGATCTTCCACCAGTGAGCAGGAGGTCCGGACTCGATACATCTTGATCCTCCTCCCTTTCAACAAAGGCACCCAGGCCAGGCCTCACATTCCTATTTTATATTCTGAAAATCTAGACACCTCATTGCTTTTGAAAATGGCCGCTCAAGGCAATATGCATAACCTCACCACCCTCATCAAAAGGTAACATTGGACTCCTTATGCTCCCTGCGCCCCAATCCATCCTCGCCGATCGTCAGCTAATATTGCATTCTTCTCAGACTCGAGGCTGCGACGTCACGGCTCGAGGACATAGCCAGTTCCACAAATGGCCAGCAAGCTGAGTCGAATGGCCTTGTTGGTGCCGCCCTCGGGTCCTCTGGTTCTCTCTCCGCAACCCCCGAGCAGGCACCATCGCCCCCCGAACCCCTGCCCAGGTCTGTGGAAGCCTTCGATAAGCTTGTCGAGGAAGATGTTGGTGCCTTTGTCAAGGCAAGTGAGAAGATTGGGGATCTAGTTGAGCAGCAGGTACGTGGCTGTACTGATGGGTAGATGCACCCGCCGTCTAACAATTCCAAGGCAAAGGCAGTCAAGCAAGCATTCGAGGCCGAAAGGACTTATCTCCTTGTGGCTGCCAAAGCAAAACAACCAGATGTCCAACCTCCAGAGCTGATGACCGAACTACATCGACATACCTCAGCTGTCGACGAACTACGAGAAGGCAATCGCCCCTCGCCTCTCTTCACCCATCTCAGTGCGGTTTCTGAAGGTATTGTTGCCTTGGGCTGGATCGTCGAAAAGAGACCCGGCGACTTTGTGACCGATACCCTGGGTGGTGCTCAATACTACGGAAACAAGGTCTTAAAAGAGTATAAAGAGAAGTATGGCTTTCGCCCTTTGCATCTCGACGTTGAGCTAACACGATTAGGGACAAAGCGCATGTTGAATATATCCAGGCTTACTACAAGATCTTCCGGTCTCTGGCTGCATACGTCAAGGAATACTTTGCTACGGGCCTAGTATGGAACAACAAAGATGGCATCGACGCTGTCGAAGCTCTCAAGCAAATACAATCTGGTGGATCCAAAACCGCCAGTCCCCCAGCTGGCGGCCCTCCTCCTCCACCTCCACCACCACCACTACCTCAATTCGACAATGACGGCCCTCCTGCCCCACCACCGCCTCCGGGAGCTGGAGGTGCTTCTGGTGGCGGCGACATGAGTGCAGTTTTCAATCAATTGAACCAAGGGTCGGCGGTGACATCAGGTCTTCGAAAGGTGGACAAGTCTCAGATGACGCATAAGAATCCAAATCTGAGAACAAACTCGTCAAACAGTTCTTCTGGGCGTGGCAAATCTCCGTTGCCGAGCAAGAAGCCTGACAATCTACGGTCGAAGAAGCCAGGCCGGAAGGAACTCGATGGCAACAAATGGATTGTCGAAAACTTTGAAAACACGCAGGCAGAGATCATCGAAATCTCGGCGGAGCTGAATCAAAGCATCCTAATTTCGAAATGCAACAAGGCAGTTATCAAGGTCACAGGCAAGGCAAATGCCATTGCCATTGACAACTGCAATGGTTTGTCTATTTTGGTCGAATCCCTGGTTTCGAGCTTGGATGTGATCAAGGCAAACAAGTTTCAGCTACAAATTGACGGTGTCGTTCCGACTTTACTCTTTGACCAAGTCGACGGGGCTCAGATTTATCTATCCAACGCAAGTCTGGGGACCGAGATCTTTACAAGCAAGAGCAGTGCGGTCAATGTAGTCCTTCCTCCCAAGGATGATTCGGAAGATGACAGCAAAGAGCTTCCCTTACCCGAACAAATAAGAAGTGTGGTCAAGGACGGGACTCTTGTGAGCGAGATTGTCGAACATGCTGGTTAGGTAGACTGCGACCTGAGGAATCATTTGAAGCGTTTGGTGTGAGTGATTTGGATTCATCATGTATTATTTAGCGATCAGATCCCACGGGGTTCTATGTCAACAATCAAGACAGCCATGGGGACGAGTCTGGTTAGGTAGCCTTGCACAATAACAGGGGGCGCGTAAATGCGATGATGCTCCATTATTGGGATACGATATCCTATCAGTCTTCGGAGGATTGATGTTCCACCCCGAACGAGGCTTCACCTATCATCAATCGTCTCAATGTCTCTCTCGCTTTCTCTCTCTGGCATCCCCTGATGAGCAAGTTTCTCATTGCCTCGTGGAGACTCCAAGACCATCGTTTATGTCTCTGAGAATCGTGGGATGTCACTGAGATGCTGGAAACCTTGAGCATCATCCCTTCCAGTAGGTCAGCCTTGACTCAGCCTTGCCATCAAAAGCAATTGTCTTTGTTTTGAGACATTGAGCCAGACTTGAAAAAATGTCACCGACCACAGAGTATATTAGGACCAGGTTCCTATTCCTCTCAGACACTCACTGTTCATTGCCGTTTGAGGATGACGATCCATCCGAACCCTTTCGAACACCTCTTCCCGCCGCTGATGTCCTCATCCATAGTGGAGATCTCACCATCAGAGGATCTCTCGTAGAACATGAGCGAGCCTTGGCACTGATCGCCTCGATTGAGGCTGATTTGAAGATCGTCGTTCCCGGGAACCATGATATCACATTGGATCATTCCTACTACCGCGAGCATTATGCTCAGCACACCCAAAAGCCCAAGTTATCAGACAGCAAGCTTGCCGAGATCAAGGATTTGTATACTGGGAAAGAAGCCCAAGCAAAGGGCATTGTGTACCTTGAGGAAGGAATAAACCAGTTTCAACTCAAGAATGGCGCAAAACTCAAGGTATACGCCAGTGCATGGCAGCCAGAATTTTGCAATTGGGCATTTGGATATCCCAGGTCAACTGACCGATTTAATCCTGCTACCGACGGTAGCACTGGACCCGAAAATCCTGTTCCGGACTATGATGCCGCAGACGGCATAGATATCATGATCACCCATGGCCCACCGATGGGTATTCTCGACGAGACGATACATGGTATGAATGTGGGATGCGAGCACCTTCGAAGAGCAGTTGAGAGGTGTCGACCTAAGATACATGCTTTTGGACATATCCATGAAGGACATGGGGCATTGTTGAAGAGCTGGGATGTCAGTGATGATAATGCACTGACTATGACGACGCCTGAAAAGGATCAACCCGAAGGCCGGAGTATAATTGTTGATGCAACAGGCGTTGAGTCTCCAAGATCAACACTATTCATCAACGCCAGTATCATGACGGTCAATTATGAACCACACAATGCTCCATGGTTAGTTGATGTCAATTTGACCAGAGCCGAAAAACGCGAGGGAGAGTGAAAGTGAAAGTGAGAGTGATGTCATGAAGGTGTGATATCATGTTGTGATTTAATTGTACATGTCTGCCAAAGTGACAAATATGGCGCAGACTGATGCTCTACCAGAGAACGCCCGCTCCCTCATCAGAACCCAACGACCGCTTGCCCAAACCCGATGCGAACCCAAAAGCTCCGATTCATCCCTCACGAGGACACCGAGCTCGTGCTCTAAGAAAGCCCTCGATCCTAGATTTCGTTTTCTGTCTAATGAATTCTATTCTCTCATCCAGAGATAGCACCGACGAAATCCCCCACACCTGAAGCGACCTGGCCGACCTTCAATTGCCGAGCAGCAGCCATTCCGGACAAGACCAAAATATCAAGAAGATATTCACTCGGAGGGACAAAAACCTCCATTCTCTTTCCGACCTTAAACCTCGCCAACCTCATCCCAGCACCGTCCACCAACTCCAAAGTTGTCGAACTTTCCTGTTTCCACTTCAGTTTTCCAATACTGGGGACCACGAAGTTGTAACTCTCGGAGAGCATGCGTTGTTTCATGGCCAAGGGTTGGCCATGTAGTGATAGGTCGACATCTCCGGAAATATTATGGTATTTGGCCGTGCCGATGATGAGCTGTTGCAGGTTGAACCCGTCTGATGCCATGACTCGTGATAGTTGAATGTCTGTGCCGGGGATGGTGGATTCAGAGACGGTGAACAATGCATATGTTTGTTCCAGAGGACCGACTCGGTCAACGATGGTGGTCTTCTTGTTCTCAGGTGATGATCGGAAAATCAATACTTGTGCTGCTTGCACGGGTTTCCAACTACCGTCTCCACTAGAGAAGAGGTCTGAAAGTGATAAACTGCCCATGACTGAGGCACTCATTGTGGCGGGTTGGATTGGATTGTAGGGTGTAGTGATTTCGAACTTTGAAATTGAAGTTGAAATTTGGCTGTGAATGTAGCACTTTCTTCTCAACGACTGAATCGGGAGAAAAGAGTTGATGTTTGATATACTATGATATGCTGACTTGTTGATTTGATCTCAACTCCAAGACAGTACGGAAAAGACACTTTTATATACCTTACCCCTTGGCCTTAAGATACCTCAGATACAAGAATCCGAATCGAAGCGAAGCGAAGCATACGAATCCGACCGTTTAATCAAGCTCCAAGGCTGAGTCTTTAGCCCAACGAACAGACGATCATAGAAGGAGAAAGGGACTTTCAGTTTCCACAACAGGGTCTTTATGTTACAAAGCAACAAAAGTCCAAGTCCCATAGGGGAAGCCAAGGCTGGCAGGGCTGGCATGGCTGGTCATGAATCGTAGCCTCGACCCTGAGTGCAAAGCCACACACAGACAGACACTGGATCCTTCGTTTCGTACACACGTGCATACGAAGATACGAAGATTGCATACGGTATGGACATCCATCCATACGTGATCCATACGTACGTGCGAGCGTGTGGGCGTGCCTTCGTACGTTCTTGCATGGATGATGTGTTTCTCATCAGGCAGCCCAAAAACAAAAGAGGCAACAGAGATATGTGGTTGGACGGGAAGTTCATTCGTGTCCACTCACCATCTCAGAAGGCATACCATATGGCGAAGTGTAATTTTCGGACGCAAGTACTGTATTGGTAATAAGAGACGTGGGGTGCGAGTGGGGTGGGGGAAAAAGAAGAGCCTGCGGTCAGCCCGATAGGGTTGACGATCATGAATGGACATGGGTATAGGAGAGTCCGATTCGATTGGATTCGAACGTGGCAATGGCCCAAGCATAGCATGGCTACAGAATGGAATCGCATGGCATGGCAGGGTAGGGAATGGTTAGGCGGAATCGAGGACCGCTATCAAAGACAGACGGTTAGTCAGAACTCATATGATCAGGAAAGTATTAAGACGCGAGATACAAACAAAGATACATGACAAGGTATGCGACAGGTACGTGACAGGGATTAATAATAACCAGCCCGCCAGCCAGCCCGCCAGCCCGCCCGCCAGCCCTGCAGGGCTGAGGGCTGTTTTGCCGAGTTCGTTTTGTCGGTGCCTGGTTGTGTATCGTATACGTTTCGCTTGGGTATCGCAAAGACGAACGATACGGAAACGGAGGCTCGCGATTGGTTGGTTTTCAACGTGCTTCTAGAAGGGCCAAGGTGGGCCCCGCCTTTCAGTGCCTTATGATGTAGATATTATTAGCGATGAGCCTTGCGATCGATGTCGATCACCTGAGTCTTCAAGGCTTAGAAATTGGATCTCTTTATCTATCCGTGCCTCCTATTTATCAGTATTTGAAGATCTCCTGGGATCAACCACATGACCAAAAAGCAATACCAGGGTCTCAACATCGGGGGTTCTCGTATAACCGGATTAGACGGCTCTTTTTGTCAAATATACGGAGAAACAATGTAGGCTATGCAAGGTACAGATTTTAGATCGTTGCTGGCATGTGATTTTTATCATAAGATCTATGTGAAGTCGTGTTCTGATTGAAGACCTGCACCTCGAACGTGCACCAAAGACCATTCCATAACATCTCCCAAGGTGTCATGTATTCGACTATCCGTCCCTTTTTCCAAGACTCCAACCACTTCCTCGGCCAACATACGGCCAAAGGCCCGGGCATACCAAATATGGCGACCCATGTAATCGAGCAAGACAGCCCAGCCCAGCAAAATGCCAAGAGCAACCACATCATGAGCCTTGATGGCGGCGACAAAGTCCTCACCCATCATGGCGGGCCAGGCCAAGGCGTAGACGCGAAAATCCGGCTGCAAACAGACCTCGTAATGAGCCTTGAGCCACAGAAGGGCAGTATGACAACCGCTCTGTGTGGGACACTTTGGCCTGGCCTGGTTGAGCTCGTCTAGGTGTCGTAACATTAGGCTCGTGGTAGTGTCTAGGGGCACCTTGGGTAGAAGGTAGATAGGAAGAGCGCGCCTAAACAGGTCGTCCTCGACAATACATTCGGTCCTCTTCTTGATGACGGCGGTAAGGCCACGGCCAAGTTCAAAATGCATGATAGTGGTTTGCAGTGGACTTTCATGCTCCGTAGATGAAGAAAACTGGGCCGGGCACAGAATGATTTCGGTTAGTAGGACCGAGAAGAACAAGACGGCGGTGTGGCTTTCGTTGGTGATGTTCAAAAGTTGGGTTTGGAATGCCTGAAATGCCGTATCCTGGTACGAGTGTGCGGCGGCAATGTACCGTCGACAGTCGCTACAAGAAGGTGGAGAGGGTGAGTTGGACACATTGCGGGATGAGCCGACCGAAGATCTTTGGTGGGGATCTTCCGTTGTCGGGGCCCCATTGCTGTCAACTGCTGGATTGTTCCGACACGGACAAGAGCTGGCAATATCAAAAGCTGCCAGGGCAAAGATGCCGTGGAGCAGAAATGGATGCTCCAAAGCCTTGGTTGGAACTCGGTTTTGCCATATCGGCAGATCTTCGCACGCTGGGGTAGATATACTCGGGGCGGTAATGGTTGACCACCGATGCATGAGTTGCAGTTCTAGTAGCTGTTGGGTCGGCGGGTACGTCATCTTCTGCCGCGACGCCGGTTCTTCACTGCTGGAGGGAGGAGGAGGATGTGTCTTGGCCAGAAAGGGCAAGGGTGATTTGGTGGTGGAGCTGCAAGTGGGAGGATTGGAAGGAGGGGTAGCGAGTCCTCGAGCAGGGGATGTACCAGTGGTTCTCCCAGCGCTCGTTCGAGATGAGTTGGGCACCGATGTTGAGCTTCGGATCGAGCTTGTCGGAGTGGCCATGGAGAAATTGACATCGGTGGGATTGGGAACTTGTGGAACTTGTGGGACACTCAGATGTGTATTCGACATAGGTGCGTCCGACATCGTGGCTCGAGGAGGCCCAGCTTCAGCATTATCGCCAAAAGCATGCAACATCGATGCCGAGAGTCCACCTAGTGCAGACGTCGACCTCAAGCCAGTCATTGAAGGGAATGCGGCATTGGCATTCAGATCTACACTCGTGGCCGTGCTGTGCTGGACATTGCCATAATCACAGGCGGTACCGCGAGCCTTGCAGTTTCCACACGGTGGGCCAACCTCGTCGCATTTGACCCGACGCTTCTTACAGGTCAGACAGCCGTGCCTAGATTTGGCGTGTGAACGTCGATTATGAGGTATGGGCATTGTAAGGGTTGATGTCGTTGTCCGAGCAGAGCAAGTTTCGTATCCGTAGCACTATGTTGATACCGCGACGACGGGAGAGGCACCCACTCACGAACACTGTCTCGGTGACGAATTGGTATAGTGGAGGAGCGTTGTATGTGTGGTGTGTCTGATCAGTAAGCCTGAGTAGGTGCTGGGGTCGAGTTGGAGACCAGGCAATGGAGAGAAGTGTCAGGCGTGCGATACCAGTGTGAAAGTGAACGAGACCAATACGAAACCGACTGTGGTTGTACTGTTTATCCTGGGGCAGTCGATGAATATCTCGGATTCGTGAAAAGTAGCGAGGTTTGAATCAGCCGAACTTGGAAAACACACAGACTAAGAGAATTTTGACAATGTTGGACAGATGAGCATGGAGAAAAGGTTCGTTTTTGCATACGTCCATCTATTACAAATCCACCCGACCGAAGAAGTTGGGAGGCTGTTGGGCCCTATGGGCCTGAGGCAAAGTATATGTTTTGGTACCAAGGGAGGATCGACGCCAGCAAGGCTGAGGCGGCTGAGTCATGTCCAAAGGACAAAGCCTCTGGTAGAGATGGGAGGTCAAGGCTTGGGTCGCATTTCAGGACCAAGGTTGGGGGAGTCGGAGGTGACACGGGAGGAGACGAGCCTCTCCGTCAAATGGATATCATTTCGACTGTGGAGGGGTTCCTAAAGGATGGACTTTTGACGCCATGTGCAACGTTAAACAAAGTCAGAAGATGGAAAGTTGTTGGCGAAATTAGACATTGATTGGACGTCTGAAGTGTAGAGTGGATGAAGTGAATTGCGAAGAAGCGAAAACGAGTACGATTACGATTACGATTACGAATCGGGGCACCTACAATGACGATACTGCAGCAAGGGAAAGCACGATCGAGGGACGCCAGTCTGACCAATAAGAGACGAGTCATAGAACTCTAAATCCCCCACCGGGAGACCGGTGGGAGGGCAGTGTCTCATCTCCCCGTGACTACCTAGGTATTCCAACGCATATACTCCGTATATACTGTTCCTCAAAGAGAAATTACATCCCACATAAGGCAAACCATGTGGCAATAAGTCTTGCATGATCCTGTGGCAAGGCACGGCACGTCTTCTTTCACACGACAGACACCCAAAGGTGTTGACAACTATGACTTTCGCTAGAATGACTGTGACATTAGGAGTTTGGGATTTCCATTTGCATTGCTATTCGCTATGAGGTTAGCCACAAGTCCACATGTTGGATTCCTGTCCCATAGAAGAGAAGAGATCTATGTACTACTAGTAGAACTTTATTATTCTCGTTCTAAGATGACCGTGCGAGGCTCTTCGTGCAGGCCTCGAGGTCGCACTCTCAATCCTCTGATACCACCCGCATGTCTCTACCCACCTGATCAGAGATCGTCCATGTTCGCCTGTGGTATTCCCATGTGGTCAAAGGCCCCCTCCATCCTCGCACGGATATTGGCAGGGAATCAGGGGCGATGAGGCGCAGCCTTATCGAGTTAATCGAGACTTTGCCGTCGGGGATCATGCTGGGTGACTAATGACCCCATGTCACGTGCAATGGCATTCTCCTCCTCTCAGTATCAGGGATACAGTACCCTGGACTGGTAGACGGGTCGTATCGGGACATCACTCGTTGGTGCCTTGGGGGTCATTGATGGCCTAAGGAACAGGTCTGCTGCCTTATGATATCTCTCGTTCTGTTGTCTTTGGATGAATCGAAGCTGATGATTCCGATAGAGGTAACAGAGATGGCATTGGGGGCCAGGAAAGAGTGAGCACTACCGCAACAGCCCAAAGCGTCAATCCTGGCATATATCTCATACACGACACCCTCCATGCCTTATTCCAAACCAAGACGAAATCTTTTTCATTTATGGCTAGCCAGTCCAGATAACCACACCATGTCTCGGCCCGTCATCAGACACCTCAACCGTCCATCACGAACTAAAAGACGTTCAGTCCTCATCTGGTAGGTCTTCGTCATCTTGTGGTTCTTGGCCATCGGCTGCAGAGTCCTTCAGTCCACGATGCCTCCTGGGCTTGCCGTCAAGTCGGCGCAAACGACCTGTCAACTTCGAGTGGGGGAGCCACCATGCCCATCCATTGCTTAGGCCAACGATAGGATCCAACATAGCATGTTCGTGCTCCGGCAACCGAAACATGGCGTACAGATTCCCCCGACGATTTCGTACTTCTTGCTCATGCGATAATGTGCTTATTCCGTGACGAGTTCTAATCCTTCCTAGAGTCGTCTGAGCAGTAGCGAGAGCTTCCTGTGCAGTATCGTGATCCCACGCGGTACTGAACGGTGGCAAAACATCGGGAGATGGAGTGACTGTCTCTCCTAGTTTTGGAGGACTCGAGGCATTGCGATCATCACCATCAGCAGATCCAGGTGAACTTATGGTTTCCGCCTTTGAATTGACGGTTCTCGCCTCTACCGTACATTTCAATACGAAAAATGCAGATTCGCCGAGGTTGAGATCGTTGTGGTGGTCAGCCGTGCTCAATGCGTCGACGCAAATTCCCACTTCCGGTTTGATGTGCATGGGCTCAACATAGGTGTGCCAGATCAACTTGGTCAGGTCCAAATGTCTCGACCCTGCTGCATGCTGTAGCACAGCCAGTAGAGTTGGCTGAGGAATGTGTTGGAAGGTATCTCGAAGGACATAGAAGCTTTGAAGGACCGTGTCAAGATCATTCCGTTCACAAAGAGCGTGAATCAAAAGCACCCATACCCACGTCTGCACTTTCATGCCTCGAACCGTCATTTTTTGTAATTCGAGCCAAGCAAGCTCGAGTTGTTGCTCGCGGATCAATGCGGTCACTAAAATCTGACCTAGATCGATTGGGATATCGTTAGATTGCTGCAACAGTACTGACGAAGCCTCATTGCGGAGGAATCCATCCGGATGCACTGTCATAACCTGTGACTTTTGTTAGTCTCAAAAGTTGGATCACGAAATACGACCTGTTCCCACCTTGAGGACTGCTGCCCACAGAGTTGGACTCAGTTCAAAGCCTTCACGTCTCATTTCCTCAAGTATCAGCCTCACATCATTCGCCGAGGACGTTTCAGCACGGCAACAACTCAGAATCATGGCATCATAGTGACGCTCATTGGGTTTGACCATACGTTCTTCAATCAAAATAGTCAGTATGTCAGAGGTGGTTAGAGGGTATGGTTCTAGGTGTGCGCGAACTCTCAGTTCATATTCGAGGAGATGATTTGGTCGCTCTCGTCGCGGTGGAGGACCTCTTATCGGATGCTTCAAGGGACCCGACTTTCGATCTCTCATTGCCATTGCTCGTCGCATCTCAATGGAGAAGATCCTCTTAGAGTCGAACTTAGGATGTCGTCTTTCTCCTGGCACTCTGTGTCGCCTCTGAAAGGGAGCCAAAAGCTCTTCTTCGAGGTCTTCAGGAGTTGGCGGAACCCGAGCATCTAGAGGGGGGTCGACCTCAAACAGAGGCAAGATCTTCGCCGCCCATTCCTTCGAGTATGGACGTTGTGTCGAGATCTCACGGCGAAACGTGTTGTAGGATACATGGTCTTTCTCTTTAGCGTCCTCAACCCAGTTCTGTAGCGTTTTGAATTCGTCTGATAAGGCACTCGACCCTATGATAATTCGGGCCTTGGAGTCCCTGCGTCTGGACCGCTGGGATACCTTGGGTATTGGTCGATAGCTTCGGTTCCAATGGCACACCAACGGTGAATGTGCATGGTGGGCATGGTGTGTATGGTTATGCAAGGACCAAGAAAGCTTCTTTGCTAAGTCGAAGGGTCGAGAAGATTTATACATTGATTCCACATGGTTGCTGTCCCTCTTCAACGCACAGAACACGACGGAACCCCCATGGACAATGGATGTCCTTCAGCAGCAGGATCATATAAAATGTTGGAAGACTGCGCAGATTTGGAGTACGCAGTGACGCGAAGCGTTGGAGTTCTACACTAGTCTATTAATGGTCTAACCACTGCCGTCTTAACTCAGTTGACATATTAGAGAGTCTAAATATATAGCGTCTTGGCTCTATCATTTCCAACTACCCTTTGGTATTTGGACATCCACTTCATTCAATTGTGATACAAGGTGAGCTTCGCGCAGTCTAGCTTGAATAGTCCCATAATCATGAAACCTGGGAGTGGTTCGGAGATCTATCACCAAACTCCAAATGACCCCAATCGTTTTTATATCTCTGTAGAATTTCAAGGTTGATGTTGTTGCCTCCACAGACGACGATGACCACGTTCAAATCAGGGTTGAATGTAGGCAACAAGGTCTTGAGCCGGTCGTTGTAGCAGACAGCGACGTTGATACCACAAGAAATTTCGAGCAGGATTCTCTCGTCTTCTGCAAAACGCACGCAGGCCATGCCCGCCTCCGCATCATCCAATACACATGGGAGGACATTGTTCCGCAGACCCATTTCCAAAGCCCTTTGACACACCGTGCGAGCTCCGAGGCTGCCGGCGATACTGGTGATGCCAGCCAAAGTCACCAGTTCTCCTTTTTGCACAGCTTGGTGGAGTGAATCTGCTCCCCGTGTCTCCATTGCGAGAACTTGAGTTGTATGGCCCAGACCGTGCCGGTCAAGTCCCTCCATGACCCCGGCGAGCAGCCCGCCGCCTCCTACGCTGCACACCACAACGTCGGGAGTCGATTGTTCCTCTCTTTGTAGCTGGTCGACAACTTCGTCAATCATGGTTGAGTGTCCGGTCCAGATCTCCTGTCGATCAAATGGATGTACATAGACTGCGTTAATACCACGAGCTTTGGCAGCCGGTATCACGACGTCTCTAAGGTGAGAGTCGGCCTCAGCCCATGACTTTCCGTGTTGAATCACCTCGGACGCACCAGCTTGACGGACTTTGCTCATCATATACTCAGTGGTACTGAGTGGTACGACCACAGTAGACTGAGCACCAAGTGAAGCTGCGGCATGTACACAGCCTAAGCCAGCATTACCGCCCGAGGATGAATAGAAATGCGTTTTGGCCGCGACTTCAGGCGTCTCGTGCTTTAAGGCCTCGAGACACAGGTTACCAATTCCTCTGGACTTGAAAGAACCTGACGGTTGCAGGAACTCGAGCTTAAGAAATATATTGCTGAAAGACGTCGACGTGAGTGTTTGGTTGCGGATGGTTTGGAGGGGAAATATTTACCAGCCGGCAGACTTTGAAAGTACCTTGGACCGTATCAATGGAGTCGTCCTCCAAGGCAATCGGTGCGTGTGACTATTTGTGTCCATGATGCAGGGTAAGATGGGAGATTTTGTGTGCCCACCGCTTTCGCCTAGCACGAAGTTATGCTGTAGATGCCACTCAACGGACGATAGAGTAAAAGCCTAATTGGTGAAGGGGAGAAGCGCTCCAAGATAATGAGAAGACTGTATCTTTTAAGAACCTGAAAGTCAAATAGTGGAAAGTTGTACGCAGCATGATGCTGAGGGAAGGATTAGGGGAATAGTGAGTGACATGTGTTTTGCTTGAGTTTTTTCATTTATCAGCGTTGCATTGTGTAGATAATCACATAGTTGAATATTCCTTGTACGGAATGCCTACTACATACATGTCGAAAGGCGTCCATCTAGAGACAAGAGCTGCTTTAGACAGCCAATTAGGTTCTTTGTCTGGCTCCAGGCCCAAAAGCCTCCTTGGCTCCTCGATGTCTTGGCACGAGACGAATCTGTTGTGAGATCTGATCGAAGTCCTAGTTGAAGCATATAGGCAAATCATACCACGTCGAACGCGACTCTTCTTCCAATTTGAGACAATATGGGATCGGGAAAGAGCGTACGAGCATTACCTTAAGCCAACGAAACATCCTTGGGCCTTGACATGTTTACAGCTTGCGGCAGAGAACCTGCGGTCTACCGCTCACTTTTGATCATCTATTTAGCGGTCTCATGTGGCCACGCGCTGAATCAGATTGTCGTTAGCATCCTGGCGTACTCCGACAGGCCAACCGATTCAACGAGGGCTTGTCAACCTACATCAGGGCCAAGCGTGTGCTGGTGGATGCCTTGAACGAAGCATCGCCATTGCTGGAATGCTTGAGGTTCAAAGCGTTTCAAGCCGGTGCAAGTCAGTAGAGATGCTCGAGCTCGATGTTTCTTTGATACGAGGCCGAATCAAGCCCATAGTCTACAGCTGCAAAGGTTGAAGCGGGATATCGGGTGCGCTTCCACTCTGGAATACCACTAATCTGCATTAAGGATCAACGACTGTATTTTGGCAATGTCGAGAGCCTGCCTTCAACTGGTGAGGTTGGGGGTCCATGGTGATGGAAGTCCGCTGCCGGTAGCGAAATTGACATCGTCCGTAGGCTCCTCTAGCCAATTGTCGGGTAATGTTTGTGGGAAACTCATAAAATCCAGCCCGACATCATTGGCCACAAGGATTGATTCTTCGACTCCCATGATAGAGTCGTCGACACCATAATCGCTGCCCAGATCAAAATCGTGTGTCGTCAGTGCAGAGTCGTGCGAAATTCCATTTTTAGGTTTCGAGACAGGCACGGCATTGACTGATTGATTTTCGGATGATGGTAGAGATCTCGCGGGATCGGAGAGCCAACCATAATCGAGAAGGCTCCATAAAATGTCCAAACTTGGATCTTCGATCTGAGATGAGTTGATAGTCACAAGCGCTCGAGCAGAGGCTGCGTTTGGTGCGAAGCCTTCCAGTGCATTCGCCTAGATTCAGCAGGTCAGCACACTACCTTCAAACCAAATCTCAAGGCTCGTCACAGCAGAATCACTATTTGAACAAAAAGGAAAGACTTACCACTCGTGGATAATGATCCCAAGTTCCGCGGCCTTTGCTGAGGAAGTCCAAAGAATAGTCGTAGAGCTGCTGCGCAGACTTTCGAAGGTATTCATCAACATGATGAATGAAGAGTTTGTGGATGGTGCCTGCTACCATTGTGCTGTAGGCATAGAAACTAGTGAGAGTGAGGTTATGTCGCTGAACAATGCGAAGGAGAACTGTGAGTTGGTAGGCATGTTCTCGACTGCGACGGAGGGCCTCCCTTAGAAAACTCGGAGACACTCTTGTTTGACGAGGCTCCAGCCGTTTCTTCAGTAAAAAGGGGTGATGAAGAAGACAGTGGTTGAGATGGTACAGAACGTTGGCAAAAACAAAATGACCTGCGGCAGGATTGTCGGGCAAACCATTGGGCTTGATATAACGTCTGATTGTTGTAGAAAAGGAAACTCTGGTAAGGTCGCAATGGGCCTCAAAGTTGAGTAGTTGGCTGTAAATGGAGGCGAACTGGCTGCGAGAATCCCATGGAGGATAAGTCTCGCTTCCACTGTCATATTGCAGGGTGTGCCGTTCAACGCGGCCAAGAGCGGAAGCCATTAGGATTGTTTTGGCTAAGCAGTCGATATTGTCCTCGTTGCCGTCCCACGACGTGTCATTTAAAGCTCGGAGATCTGGCAAGATTTTGGAGCCCTGCTCGTTGTACTCGGCAGCCGCAGTAGGCAGCCGGACTGTGCAATCCCCATCAGAGAGTGTGGGAGGTCGATTTGTCCCACACGATACCAGCCTGTCGAGGAGATAAACTGACCAAAATGTCAATCGTCTTTCGTCCTTCTCGTCGGCGGAGAGATCATTCAAGGGTTCTTTGTTGAGCTGCAGACTCTGAGCAAAGCGGACCGTCAGGCCAATCTTGACCCAGCCAAGGTTATGGCGGCCAGCAGTGAAGTCTACTACGGCCAACATGTTTGTGGCTTGGACGGCATGAACGTCGAGAGAATAGTCCTCGGAAAAGGACTTGTCGAAAATTTCATTCCAAGCGGCGCGGGCGTAGTGCTCCACAATCTCGAGTTGCCTCCCCTCGAAGAAGGGGTCATCCGAGAAGCGCGCGGCAACTGCGATGACGGCCATGAGGAGATAGTCGGGAATCTCATTGGAGTCAAGTCGGCGGTAGAAATATTCAGGACGAAAATAGACGTAGGGCTGATTGTGGCAGTATAAGAAGTAAGATCTCAAGACAGACCGTAAGACTGAGTCTGGAGGAACTTTGGAAAACTTTCTAAGCAGGAGTTAATAGAGGATGGAAATGATGCAGGCTCGCTGGGGAAGCAATGAAGCTGTCGCAGATTCTAGGATGGCATTTTACTTACTGATTTACCTCGGGCTGGTGACGAGGGCTATCGTCAGATTTGGAAGAAAGTGTTGGACCGTCCGCCGGGGATGAGCGGCGTCTTTTGAATGGCTGGGCTTCGTTGCCAAAGCCCATTGAGAAGCTGTGAGAGGCTCAGCTGAGGGCTCGAGGAGAGGACAAGACGATTGAATGGTCTTACTCTGAACCACCACTATCCAACATGCTCAGCTTAGACTCGAGAAGAGCAACTCGCGCTGCTAAGTTGATTTCCTGTAGTCATGTCAGCACCGGGACAGTCGATAGTGAATGGAGGAGAGCATACATTGGCACTGGTGATTGATGAGTGGATCGGGCCATCATCGTATGAGCATTCCTGCTTTAGGCGAGCACAGAAGGAACAGACAGGTTTTTCGCCAGAGCATCTTGACTTTTTGCGCCTGGTGAAGGGTCAGAGACTGAGTGGACGACAAATTGATGGGGGGGAAATAGAAGTCTTGAACGTACCGACAGTTGAGACAGGCTTGCCGCACGCGCTTGGCCTCCCTGGATTCATTCATCCTTGTGGGTGCAAGCGATCGTGAGCAAGGCGAGAGAAGTGATGGACGTTGCGAATTGGGAACCGTCGACGTTTTGTGGAAAGGAAGGACGTTGATCAAGAGAGTGGAGAGGAAGTCGCGGTCCAGAGTAATGATGCAGCCAGCCGGAACCGACATCTGGTGGGGAAGGAAGGCTCAGGCTTTGGCAGGCGTGAGTAGCGGGAGAGCCCCAGACTGAGGAGAACATAAGACGATTACCGTTGGCTTGGGTGGGCGAATGAATGGTGCGTGGTTGACGGTTTACCTAAGCTTAGGCCTTAAGCCCTGTGGCCACACTCCTTCCCTCCAATGCCCCCCATGCCTCCTTCCCTACTGAGTGACGAGGACGCACAAGATGAAATTTCGTTGATGCGGGGCTGTCTTGGCTGTCTGTCTGGGGATCTCCCCCCTCCCCTCCTGACACAGACATCTCTCACTAACAAGCTCTTCCAACCCGCCCGCTATCGACTGCCATAGGACAACAGAGAGTTCAAGGGTCCTTTTCAGCCCTAAGGTTAGAGATCCAGCCCTCCTAGCCCGGATTCATCCGAAACCGGGTAAGCACTTCCCTGACGTCCTTTCAACTTGCACTCACTACTACAGGCTCTTGCATCAGAGACTGATTGTCACATCGAGCGGAACGTTTTCTTAGTGTCTGATCCCAATATCCAGTCCACTGAAGCTTGTTTACACCAGCGGGATTATTTTGTTTGATCGGACATCCTGCCGAGTCATGAGAAGACAGATTCTACCCTAGGAAGTGGAAGACAGCATCTCGAACGAGTTCTTGAAAGCCAATAGGCGACCTTGGGATGCCTTCAGCATAAAGGATTTGGGGCACACGCTGACTGGAGTAGCCATGGAACAAAGGCCGGCTTTCTGCACGTTTGGCATGTTCATCATCGGTCTGCTCTTCGTCTAGCCGAAGCCCTCTACATGCCTTGGCTAACGGTTGCCATCAGATGAAATAGAATACCTCGACAACAAATCCCCAGAAGAGAAAATTATCGGCGGAGCCGGCACTTATGCTGCTCTTGGGGCTCGTCTTACAGCTGGAACCCAAAATGCCCAATCAGTCGGCTGGATCATCGACATGGGATCAGACTTCCCACCACAATTCAAGACTCTGATAGATACATGGGACACCAAGTGTGTCTTCCGGCGGGATAATACCAGGCTAACCACGACCGGATGGAATGGTTACGGCCCAAATGAATACCGGGGTAAGCGAATGTCTCACACGCTACGGCTGGCAATGGTCGAGCTGCTCCAGCCTAGAAAATGTCCAACTGAGACCAAATCAAGCATTCAAATATCTGACCCCCAAATTACGACTTGACGAACATTCGCTATCAAATGAACAAGTGATGGCCCGATCTTTTCACATGGTGTGTTCACCACAACGCTGCATTTCAATCATTACGGGTGTCATAGCTCGACGGAAGCTGCTCGCCCCAGACGAACCTCGACCCATTTTTGTTTGGGAACCAGTGCCAGATCTGTGCACACCAGAGGAATTCGAACGCCTCCGCGAAGCTGCTGCAATAGTGGATGTGGTCAGCCCAAACGCTGAAGAACTTGAATCGTTCTTCCCGTCCACATCCCACCCGATCCCACGAAATGAGATGGTGGCTAGATTACTCGGGCTAGGCTCTGAAGGTGCTCTGAGAACGGCGCTTGTGGTCCGAGAAGGCGCCCTTGGATGCACAACTTATGTTGACGGGGACATGTTGCACCTACGGGCTTTCCATCAAACCAGCACCCGCGTGATAGACCCCACTGGCGGCGGAAATGCGTTTCTTGGGGCACTGGCCCAGGGGTTGACTGGCATCGTTTCAGAGACAGTGCCTGAGCAGCTAGCGGGGAACCGCAAGTCTCTCGTCTCTCAAAGAAAGAATCTTCTCCTAGCATTAGTGCATGCGATAATTGCAGCAGGATATGCGATTGAACAGGTGGGCATGCCCACCGTTTCTGTCTTGGAGCCTGACACCTGGAACGGCGAGCGATACCAAACTCGTTTTGCAGCGTACCTGGATAGAGAGCAAAGTCATATTTCAAATCAGCTGCAATAACATGTGGTTATTTTGACATGACGATGCCTGTCCCGTCTCTATCTCTCATCAAGCCTTGTACCATAGCAACTGTAATCAAAGCGCATAGCACGAATGTGTTTCGTTGAATCAGTTTTCTCTCTTTTCATTTCTCTCGCCTATTGCACCCGACTCTCTTGGTCTATTTTGTGCCATGCTATGTACAATGTGGTCCGCTGGAACCACGGCCTTCTCTGCTATCAAAACAGAGATCTTGCTGTTTCTTCAACTCCCGTAACCACTTCCTTGCTCGTCCAAGCTTCTTTGCAAACTGTTGCAAGATGCGGAATATGGTAATTCGGAAGATTGTTCGTTCTGGACGAGAAAATGCCGGGGTTAGGATCGGTATGGGATGAAGGAGTAAAACTTTGAAAAACAAAACCGGTCGGCTCACTGGCCCTTCTGGGCTTTCTCGTGCTCGATGATTTGCTTGCTCCAACTGCGCACCAACAGATTAGTATCCGAGTGACAAAAAGAACCAAAAATCCGAGAAATTATTAATCTCGCCAGCGAGAATTCCATCTCTTTTCATCTCGGTAACAAACGACGAATGTGCATCAGAGTCCAGAACTCAAAACTTACTTTCGACTAGGGAAGAACCGATCAGGCGCAGGGAAATGATGTCGCTGTTCCCTCTCCGCTGACACCCTCCATGTAGCCAGGACGATCACGCCAATCACTGCTCCAAAGATGGCCGTGTTGCTCTTCCAGTTAGCAGGTTGGCCATACCAACCGCCTGCAGGCGACCACACGTGTTTCGGGTAGGGGACTTTGCCTCCTCCGCCCATTTTGTCTTTAAGGCAGTCGTCGAGGTGATGCGTGGGAACTGTGTGTGTCTATATGTCGGCTAGCAGAGGTCGCCTTTGTCGAATGTTGGTGTGGTCTGCTGCGCAGGGAGGATTTCAAGTTGGGTCGTTGTCGTTGGATTGACTTGCACTTGAGTTGTCTGGACGTTGGCAATCACTTGCGTTGATTGGTGCGTGGAGCTACCTTTCGGGTGACTTTCCTTTTGTGGACACTACGTTGATACTCGTGGGCATGGGGGTTGATGGGGGAAACCTAGCTACCGAGCATTATCAGAATATCTTCTATGGACAAATGGACGTTTTCAAATTCAAATATCGTAGCTGCAGTGCCTGTCACATTGTCTATACAACTTCAAGCTATCGTGGGTATTTATTTGCCTTCTCATGCAATGCATCATGTCGACTTATCCAGCCCTAGATCCATCCCGTCATCCCCCAGACCCATGATATACTTGTCAATCATTACCTGAAGGAGTATTGTTAGCCAGCGCACCTCCAGATTCGTGTAGTGATGCTTACCCAGTCCAGCTCGGAGTCCTTCAGTAATGCCTCAAGGGCGGCGTTGTCGTCTGGAGGTTCTTGAAAATGACTGGCTCCTGAGCCAGTCTTGGAGGTGTCCATGAACTCCGTGAACTCCGGAGACGATACATATGATCCTTTCTGTCTGTCTGAAGGGATAAATTTGCTATTTTCTTGGGAAAGGTCTTCTAATACCCCTGACGGAATTGGAAACTTTGTAAACATGACTCCAAGCATGGTGGCGGCTCTCAGGGCATCCTTGTCGCTATTCGCTCTAGTCAACCAGATGCCGTGGGCGATCGACAGGGCTCGGTATGTTCTGACTTGGGTGTCTTTGGCAGAGCCATCAATCTTGACATAGACGCCCTGTCGGTGCGACTCGTACAAGTCCAAACAAGCAATCATCGCGGCGAGTAAAAAGTCGTGGTAGTTGACACTGGTCGGTACCCATTCATCATGATGCAAGAGCCCCCCTGGCTTAGCAGCGTTGTCGAGATCGGCTTGAAGCTCCAAGACTTGCAAACTGGCCTCTAACGCCGTGTTTCGCGAATGCTCATAACCTGGGTTAGATCTCTCGTAGCTGATATAGTTGCGGTGCAAGATCATGAGATTCTTGCGGTACATTAATTCGATGTTGATTCTTTGAAAGATGAGATATGGCTCATCAGACATGGATAGACAAAGTGGCTTCATGGCGAGAAATGAGGGGATCGTCGCAATGAACATTCGAAGCTCGGCGTCTGCTTTCATGATGATATCATATGAGGGAACACTGGTCTTGAGAGCACAGCGTGCAACGAAGCCGAAGCGAAGCGCTAATTCACCTTTGAAACGATAATAACTCATGGGAGTATGGTCCGAGTCTGGCCGGGAAGGCGGTAATTCGGTGCAGTCTTCATCAAAATCCTCGTCGAACAAATTTGCTGGGATTCGGGTATCGCAAACTTCCTCGTGAAGAATCGTGGGGAGCCCGGCTTGAAATGAAAGAAGCAGGTCAAGCGTCCTCACGTTATAGAATGTCCTCCTCCGCATTTCACCTTCAAAAGGGGAAATGTGGGCCAAATTTCGTGGATCTCGATGATAGCCCATCTTGAGGGCGAGCCTTGTGCAAACTCCCATCAAAATCCATGGCTCAGAAGGTGCTGGTGCTGCTGCAACACATCTGCAAAGAGTGTAGATGGCCATCGCCTCGACTGAATATGGCCGTCCTTTCTGATAGTGTCCCGCAATAAGCAGCTGTGCCGCAGTGGCGTGGTATGGCTGTTGTGATGGAGCCTGATGTAACTCATGATCACGAGTCTTTAACCGTACGTTATTTATCCACGAAGCTAGATGGAACGCAGAGAATAGGATTGAGAGCCAAAGGAGAGACATCGAGGCAGGTTCTTCCCAGAACAACTTGTACTGCGGCATTTAGTATCTAGCATTAACTTTTGGGTTTAACCATCTGCTTACCTCTCTGTGGAATTTGGCTTTGTGAATGAATGCTAGGCAAGTCAGCGAAATAGAGTCACGAAGGTAGTCAACGCACGGATATGGAGAAATCTAGCTTCGAAATATATCGACAGAAGTTTATCTGCAATCGGCCGCGGCGGCAGGAGATTGCATGCTTGTTCCAGTGTAATCGACCGACTCTCTCCCAAGACGACGTCGTCCTCGTCAAGTGTAGCCTCGTCGAGGTAAACAGAGATGTCGTCTGCGCGATCATTTGCCAGGCAATCTTGGATATCCTGGATCTGGCAGAGGTTAAGGATGGTGAATTGATTCTCATGAGACAGGTACTCACATCTCCTAGGATACTCGCCCAATGAGTGGCTCCAAGATAGGTAGTCTCACTTGGGCCATACTCCAGATATCCTTTGGATTGGGTTGGAGTCGGAGAAGATTCTCTTCCCGTATGATTTGTCCTCCCAATGCCAATGGCTGCATCTGGGACTACGCAAGAGATGCCACCACGGGATGGCAGAGTCTGCCCAGGGGTTGCAATAACGTTCTGACCTGGCTGCATCAAGGTCGCAACAATCTGTTCTAGTCGCTGAAGACGGGCTTGGGCCTCCGACACTTTGGCGTCACTGGTCAGGGGTCTGGTGCGCCTGGGACATGTCAACATGTTGTAGAGTGACACTATAGGTCTAACAGCCTACCATACCTATGCGTCTCTGGTTTGGAGTTGGCATCTTTGCCAGGCCTTTGCTTGCTGGTTCGTATTTCAGAAGAACCATTCGACGATCCATTTTTACCCACCCGGAAGATCTGTTGGTATTCGGTGTACTTGGGAGGCATTATGGCAGGGTTGTAGTAGATGAACCTTGTGTTAAGTTGTTGTTATATTCAATCATCAATCAATCCAATAGCAAGTGACAAGCCATGATATGGAAATCTTCCCAGGTAGGTCAGAATGCCGACCTTTGCCTAGGACAGGGCAAATAAATGCTGCACCTGATGCAGCATCCTTTGAGAACAGGTATCAAGGGCACCCATCTGGAGAAGAAGTAAAATGCTAAAACAAGGAGACTCTTCAATGGTCAAATCAGGCTCAAATCAGGCAACAAGAGTCGGAGAGATACATGTCACGTGACGGACTCCTCTGCGCTTTACTGGCTCATGATTGGCTCTAGCCCAAGGTCGAATTTCTTTAGCGCGCCAGTGAACAATTGCTCTCGTGTCGAAAGAAAAGTCTCGTAGATTGTCCAGTCTGTTCAACAACTGCGCCCACGAACCGTTCAGAACGGCTTCCCTCCCGCTCCGGACTCGACTATCATCATCGCAATTGAGCTTGTCCAGTCTTCAATACCAACGCCTGATGAAGAGAGTGAGGCTCCTAAGATGGAGCGGCGGAGTTCTTTCTCCTCGAACACGGCCTGAGGCTCCTCGACTCGCCGTGTCTGTGTGCAGTGCTCGAAGATGCCAGACAACCAGTGCCACGCCGTCGCGCAGTCCAGCTCAAGCACCCAAGTACCTAACAGAAGAAACGTTGATGCAGTTTCCCTCACCTCCGCACACTGCAGCTCGAACTTCAGCCAAATTGGCAGCTCTCCATGCTCGTCTATCCCTTCCCACACAATTTCCCCTCGAGACCTTGGCGAGAACCCTGGTGGACGCGTCGGCAGATCCGTCTCTACGATTCAATAATAAGCCCTTTACAGTCTTGGGCAACGACCTCCTCGGCTACTATACATCAGAATACCTCCTCGCACAATACCCGCGACTGCCGCTGGCCGTGGTATTTGCAGCCATGTACGCTTATGTGGGTCCAGCAACCCTAGCTGCAATATCCAATGAATGGGGTGTGGAAGCTGCTGCTGAACCTGGTGGAGAGGTTGATCCAGGCCTGCTCCAATTCAAAAGGATACCCTGGAAACATCAGCCTGAGCAACTTGGCCCCAAGATTGTTGGGACCGTATACGATCCGAAAACCGGCCATCGACGAGGCATCAGCGATCGGTCGGTACGAAACGACGCATTTGGAGAACCCGCAAAAGAGTTGAACGAGGATAAGGGAGTATCTATGGAGAGAGCACGGATGGGGTTTGTCAGAGCTTTAATGGGAGCACTGTATCTACACGCTGGGAGGGCGGCGGCTAAGGACTTCTACCGAGATCACTTCATGTCCCGGCAACTGGATATTTCAACCCTGTTCCAATTCAGACAGCCGACTTTGGATCTATCCAAACTGTGCGCCCGGGAGGGGTTTCAGTCACCGGTGGCACGGATAGAAAGTGAGACGGGGCGGAGGAGCAGGACACCAGTTTTCGTGGTCGGCATCTATTCAGGAGAGGACAAGCTCGGCGAGGGAGCCGGTGCGAGTCTGGACGAAGCAAGAACTCGGGCGGCAGTTGCGGCTCTAAAGGGATGGTATCTGTACAGTCCGACAGAGTTCCGGCTACCAAGCGAGATGGAAGAGCCCAATGCGGCGAAATGGACACCTATCTTGGTGGACCCAGGTGATATTGTGGTTTGAGTTGGCCTCTTTGCACCAGCAGAGACGTGTATTCTAGAATTGACCAGTGGTGTTGCATATATCGGTCGCGGAAAAGGCAGCGTTGTCACATACCAGCGCCTGGAGCAAATGTTCAGGGGTCATTACTGGTACTCCACAACATTGCTCTCGAGACATCGTCACAAAAATCACTCCCATGACATACATTTCTATCTTCAACTTATTCCCGGGAGTGTCTGCCGTCAGATGGATGCCTCGGTACCTCTCGTCAGGCAGAGTCTGTACGGTGGTGATGATTGATGCAAGGCAACTGAACTCCACACCCTTTTTGTGTGTAGAAACCTTCAGGGCTGACCGGTCAGAGAGGGGAAATGCAAGCAAGGTTTCAAGTCATGGTGTGCATCACATGGGATTACCCCGTATTGGAACCCGAGTCAGTCCGACGTGGTGGGTAGCCCTGGGTTCCCTGGTCATCGAGGCAGTGGACGGCGAGCGGAAGTGCTTTCCGACATTACGCATCTCGCATCTGGAGGGTCACAGGGTTAGCCCTGGTCATGACTCTCACGCGGCGTCTTTGTTCTATTATTGCTGGGCACTGTGTGACTGTTTGTATGCGTTATTGGATGGCACTGTGGCATGTGTGGGTGTGTTCGTAGTTCCCCAGAAACAGGGAGCGATTCAAGTAATGAATATCTTGGCTTACTCTGGGATGGCAGGCGTATGACGTCAGCCCCCCATCATCGGTCGCAGTTGCAGGTTGGTGCCTACTCATCTCCTGGGAAGGCGCACACGGCACAAAGGCTCCCCTATGGGATGTCATCCATGTCAAACGTCTACCCAACTCTCACCAAAGACCAAAGACACCCACAAAATGGCCCGTGTCAGGATCTCCCTTGGTAGGTTCAAAGACCGGACTTTTTACACCAGGCTGCGCAAAAGTTCTCTTGTCAATGTTTAATGCAAAAAGCCAAAAAGACTCCATTGACTGGTGGACAGGCGTCCTGCTGCTTTGCCCTGCGCCACTGACAAGGGCCTGCCCGCGCCTACTGCCCCGTTAGTGGCCGCAGGCCCGCAAATCATAACGCATAGAGACGATCCAGAGACTGACCAAACCTTGATCTTAGGCATCGACGGCGTCGTTCCTCTGCAAACCATCCCCATGACTCCATGACTGGGCTTGTGACTGTTGGTCCGCCTGTCAATCATGTTCCTCAATCCCTCATTTCTCCTCTGCGTGGCAACAGTTAGCCTCGCCGTGTTCGCTACTTAGGCATTTTGGAGTTTCAGCCGCTGGTAGCCTACTACTTAGTCCTAATGAGCCACTCGACACTGGGCAGTCCAACCTCGCTGCTGCTATAAGCTCACGATAGGAGCCCAAGTTAATCACAGCATCTCTTCGCTTCGTGTCTGTGCAACGATAACTTCGTCTTCGACACTCGTGTGCTGGACATGGCCGCTGCGTCCTACTACGATACTGGTCCCAGACCACCGCTACAGCAACACTCGTCAAGCCTCTATCCTCCGGCTAGGCCACAGAGAGCCTCGTCGCAGCCCAACTTGCCATATCCTATCTTGCAACAGAGCGGCTCTCATGCACAACCACAAACACAACCCCAGTCCGACTATTCTCAGAACCCTCCTCCCCCATATCACCCCTTCAACAATGAACAACCCAAGCCTAGTGTACACTTTGCGCCAACCCCAACACCATCCTTGAGCCAGCAACGACCTTCCAACCCAAGCCAACCCCGACCAGATCCATATTCTTTCAATAATCCTAACTATCAGATTTCTCAGAGCCAACAGTTTGCGCCTTACCAACAACAGTATATTCCTCAGAACTATCAATATCAACCGCAGCAGCAGCCGTTAAGCTCACATCAGTATCGACCGTCCTCCCACCATCGATACTCGGATGTATCCCCTCACGGTGGGTATGCCTCAGATCCAGAGCGGCATAGAAGGAAACACAAAACTCGAGGGCGGCGTGTTTCTGACAATTCACGATCGACCAAAGCGGACGGTCTCTTGGGGGCCGCCGGTGGTGGGCTCATCGGTGATATGATCTTCCCAGGTCTCGGTACAGTTGGCGGCGCCCTGGTGGGCTGGGTCGGTGGCAAAGACTATGGTAAACATCGAAAGTGGCGGGAAGAGAAACGCGATCGAGAACAAGAACGATGGGAAAGAAAATACAGAAATTCTAACGACAGATCAACGAGCCATAGTCGAGACAGAGACAGGAACCGGGACATAGGAAGGGACAGAGAGTGGGACAGAGGAAGAGACAAGCGAAGGGGCAGTCATGACCGAAGAAGAGAGTATGATTGATGCCCCGTGAAGAATTTGCTAGCTTGGCTTACAGCACAATGACTTGGGTGTTGGGCGGTTGTCTTGTTTTTGGATCATCAAGATGGTCATGATTGATCGACCACTGGTTCTCAGTCGGACCAGACGACAAAGATTTGTCTCCGTGGCAGTGGTTCTCGGCACAAGCTGCGAGATCGTGCAAGTTTGCAGACTATATAGATGTTTATGTAGCCTCGATTTTGAGATCCTAAACTCATCTGCTTCCGCGCGCAACCACAAAATTGTGCCTTGCTTATATATCAACACTTAGGATCTCCACCGACTCGTGCCGGGGTTGAATGGGAAGTCCCATCCCCAGGTCAGCCGCGTGTTCAACGTTGATCCTGTATGTAATCTGTCCAACACGAATCAGGTTTATTCCCTTTGAAGATCGCCAGGGTTCGGAGCGATATAGGCCATCATCTCTGTGAATAGGTGACCACAGAGTCCGGCAAGAATCAGCGAGATGGACTCGTCTTTGCGCCCCCTTGCTTGCATGCGACCCACCTTGGGCGACAAATCTAGCACTCAGATTGAGCGCGGAGCTGTACTTTTGCCAGCCGGATGAGCTCGGTACATACTCGTACTCAGCAGAGATCACGCCTCCGCATATCACCTCTGGCCAGTTCTTGTGCCGATCGAAGGATCTGACACGAAGCTGGGGGCCCACCCAAACAGCCAGCAGTCGCCTCCCAACGTGACACGGCTTGGGCCGGCCACGACCGCCTCATGAAATCCATAGCCATCTCCTATCTGATGGATTTGCTGGATCACAATCATAAATCTTGGTGTTACATTGAGACCATTGTCGCGGTCCACGCCATCCACAGTCTTCCGTACCAACTTCCGAAACCTCGGCAGTCCTCTCCACATCAATAACCATGTCACCATGTGGACTGTGTGGCGGGCGGGTCCGTTCGAGATGCTTCGTGCAGGCATAACCATCGTACGATTTTGCGTGATCGACCATTCTTGCACAGTCGTGACAGCCTGTCTAACTTTCAGCGTTGTCGAACCACCGAGATAGCATAATGTTCGAGGTTAGACTAATACAGTCAGCCCAAGATCCGTCCTTGACGTCCAACGCTATCTTATCTACCGGTGACCAAGACTCTCAACCTAATGCTAGACAAAGTGGCATGACGACAAGATTCTTTCCTCTCGACATGGCGTCCATAGCCAGCCGGTCCTGTTTTTGCCCGTAACAAGCACTCTCCTTAGCCCTTTGACTGGAAATCTCGCCCAGCCGGGAATGGGAGGTGTTGGTGTCTCAACTGTGTCAACTGGTTCAGGCAGTGTTTCCAAGCACCGAGACGCGGGTCAAGACTTAATGGCTATTCGCGGAGTTTCCAAAGTGCACGAATCAGGGCAAATATTGCGACATACGTGGAGACGCCAAAGTCTTCTGGATTCTTGAATGGAAGACGCCAAGAGCGGACCAAGATGCCAAGAGCGGAAATCACTCCAAAGGCAGACCAACCTCCATCTTGCAATCTTCTTCTCGTCCGAGCCACACACGGCCCTGAACACAACTACCATCATGCGGACTTACTCCGCTCCCAATCACCAGGCTATGGTACATCGCCTCCGGCTACGGCTAGATCCCTGACCGTTTACCTAGACCGGCATGCCAGGACTACTCCGTACTGAGATTTGAAAGCCAAGGTCTTATTCTTCAATACATCTCCAGGTTTCAAGTCTTGACTCCCAGAAGCCAGCCAACCACACATCACCTCCGGATCCGAAACTGGAGACGGTATCACGGACCGACCTAGAATAATCTCGAAGTCTGATGTCTCCTGAGATCATACCAGCATTCCCCGCGTTGCGAACCTCAAGCGCTCGGGCTAGACTAGCAAATTTCGGCGAGCGATGCTTTTGCCTCGCCGAAACGCTGACCGATCAATCTTACAATACAACCCCCCTCCCCAACAAGATGAGACTCTTCAGTTCTTTGTAAGTTTACAGGTATGGTACTGTTTCTCCCCCCCACCCCCAAGTCTCTCCCCAGTTTTCAGGTCTCTCTTAGACAGGGGTTGTGGTTACATGGTCTATAATCCAAGAAATCTCGAAGACGTTGTTTGGCATGGTGGAATTTTCCACATATCACTTGTTTCGATCATCTCATGTCGCCTCTCGCATTCTGATTCGTCGTGCCCGGATATATTGGCTGGTCCACTATGTTGCACGCCCCCCAGGATGGTGCGATACCCCCAAGATATTCGTCTGAAGATCTTGAATATAGATGGCAGTCTCGAGAGAGATATGTCTATAAGAAAGTCCATCCTCCCCGCCTCGACGAGGTAGATCCCCCGTGAAGCCATCGCTCTTTCTCCATCCACTCCAGACCCTCCACAGGATCAACTCTTTCCGGGGAAATCCACTCAACATGAACTCAGACTTGGAGAACGAAAAGGGGGGCAGTGTCCCAATTGGTGGTGTTGAGGTCGAAAACCATGCCGGTCCACGGGTTGTTGACCTAGAGACCGAGAAGAAGATATTGAGGAAGCTTGATATCCGTATCATTCCTATGGTGATGTGGATTTATCTCATGAACTTCATGGACAGAGGTATGAATGAATGCTTCTCATTCTTATATTGAACATTGCTGACTCTTTATAGTCAACATCGGCAACGCTCGTCTCTATGGTCTCGAAGAAGATCTTGGTATGCAGGGTGACCAATTCCAACTGGCCGTTTCGATCTTGTTTGTGACCTACTGTGTAAGCCATGCGTCGTTCCTCCTCCCTTCCCACGCTGACAGATTACCAGATCTTTGAAGCACCCTCCAACCTGGTCATCAAAAGACTGCAGCCAGCTCGATACCTCGCCGGCTTGATGTTTGCGTGGGGTATCGTTGCAACTTTCACTGCATTCGTCAACAACCTCGGGGCTCTTATTGCCTGTCGTTTGCTTCTGGGTCTTTTCGAGGCTGGCCTTTTCCCAGGAGTCATCGTCTACCTGACTATCTTCTATTCGAAGCGAAGCATTGCCCTTCGAACCGCATACTTTTTCTCCATGGCTGCAGCATCAGGCGCCTGCGGTGGCTTCGTTGCATATGCCATTGGCTTCATCGACGGAGCTGCCGGCTGGAGAGCCTGGAGATGGATTATCCTGATCAACGGCATCCCAACCGTCCTCACTGCCTTTCTAGTCCCATTTGTCCTTCCCAACAGCGTCGAAACAGCCTCATTCCTCACCGAAGAAGATAAAGCAAACATGATCCTCATCCGAGAAGCCGAGATTGGTTCGACCAGCAAGGCTCAACAACTCCACTGGGAAGATGTCAAGGCAGGCTTGCTAGACTGGAAGACATATCTCTTCTCGGTTGGACAATTCTCCATCAACACCATGGTCTACAGCTTCAGTGTCTTCTTGCCTACCATCATCCGAGGCTTGGGAACATGGAGCACAGCTGAGGTTCAGGCCTTAACCATTCCTGTATTCGCCCTTGGAGCCATTGTCTACCTGACCTGCGCCTGGGCTAGTGACCGCCTCCAACAACGAGGAATCTTTGTGGTTGGTGCTAGCATCACCGCAATCATCGGCTACTGTCTACTTGTTTCCAACTACAACAACGCCACCAGCTTTGCAGGTTGCTTCTTCGTCAGCATGGGATGCTTCACCGCGGCTGGTAGTGCTTTGGTATGGCTGAACTCCAACAACCCTCGTTGGGGCAAGCGAGCAGTTTCCAGCGGTATGCAACTCAGTATTGCCAACGCTGCCGGCGTTTCTGCCCCGTTCCTGTTCAGCAACAAGTATGCTCCTTCTTATATCCCAGGCTATGCCGCCAGTATCGGCCTGCTCGGCCTCCAGGCTTCTCTCCACACCTTCATTTGGTTCTACTGGAGAAGAGCTAACTCGAGGAAACTCGCTGGCAAAGAAGACTGGAGAATGGAAGGCTTGACCGAAGAGGAGATTTCTGAATTGGGAGAGCACAACCCAAGATATATCTACTCCACTTGAACTGCTCTTGTCGTTCGATTTACAACAGTTGCAACAAGATTGGAAGCCATCGCCCCAACAATCTTCAACCTGTTAGCCACTTGGCTCAGACGGGAACAATCAGATCACACTTTTGAGATTTGTACAGATCCGAGCTAGGACATTGTCACGTGGTTCCTGCAGGCTAGATAGCAAATGATAGACTCTATTTTCCTACCAGGTTCACTTCAATAACAAAGAATTGATGATATGACTATGATGACTCTGATCAACGTGAGCACAAGAATCCCTCTTTCGCTTTTCTCGATCTTCAAGTGTAGAAGGTGAGGTTGATGTTAGCAAAGATTTGGAATGACGTAAATGACAAAGACCTGGCTCCTATCCAGGGTCAAAGAGACAAGTCTGACAACCTTGATAGTTGAAAAGAATGCTCTACTTACATTGGCTAGTGCTCTACCTCTGATCACATCTTTCTTCACCGACCAAAACATCATCTAATTACAAACTCCAACAATAAGCACATGATCGCTCACTGAGCTCGCTCAGGTCATCAGGATGTTGCTAAAGCCTCGGAAAAGGCCAGCCGAGGGCCAGGCTACACCAAATGCCAACATCGACGGTCTATCACCCGCAAAACGAGGCCGCGGCCGTCCAATGAAACACAGTTCGAATCTCAAACCTCCTCAACATGTTCGCATCCAACAGGAAAGCCTCCTACATAGCCAGCAGACGACGCAAACACTGGACATCATTCCAAGACCTCAACTGTCTCCTCTTGAAGCTTTGCCGGTCGAACTGATTCACCAAATATTTTTCCTTGCGCTCGAGACCAATATGGCACGGGCGTCGCCACATCTTGCTGCTGCCTTGTCGAAACCGTCGATCTACGCTGCCCTGGTTGCCTTCGCATTCTTTGCAGACGACGGCATTGGACCTGTGGACAGACAAGTTTTTCTACCAGCCCAGTACGTACCATTGCCGTTGGAGGACCGAGTCCGACTACAGCAGGGAATTCTACGTTGTCAGTGGTGCACGCTCAGGCTGTTGAAGGCAAGTATACCTGTAATCAGTCGACTGGTACAGGTTCAAGCATGGCATAGGGAGGCGAAGAAGTGGGCTCAGTTTCCTTACCCTGACGAGCGGACGTCACTCTGTCCACCAGCAGAACAACCCAGCTTCTGTGAAATGTGCATCCTGCCACCAGACCCAGAAAACCGAGCCGTAATGGAAGAACATTTTTTTGCAAAGCCCTGGTGTTTAAGTTTTGATGCACTTACGCCACAAAGACTTCATTTGGAATCAAAGTATGAAACGGCGGAACCTCGAGGAGACGACTGCTTTATCGGTCGCATCATAGAATGGGAGTATGAGCCGCACCCCGATCCAAAGTTGGGGCGTCCTCTCATCAAAAGTCCAGTTAGCGCAAGAGCTGTGCTCGATACTCGCTGCTTGCCAGATCATATTATATCGGGCCGTCCGGAGTGGACGACACCCAAGCTCGAGCTGCTGATGCTCCTGCGTCAAAGCATACGCTTTCTACCGGAGGCGCAAAACCGGATTCATATGTCAATCGATGCTCTCTTCGAGGGGATGGCATCAGCAATCAGGACCCTCAATACGCAAGCATTGCTCGTGCTGGTGGAGCTATATTTTGCCGTCTGCTACAATCCTCCGCACTTTACCCATCTCCTACCATTGGAACTTTTCCATCTCGCTACCCAACTGCCCCGGCTGGAGTCGTCTGAGATCATGACTCTGCTTGTTAGGGCAAGTATAGGGAGTATTCCATCGGAGGATTACATCCTGACATCCTGGGCATTATGGAACAAGACTGAACGTATCGCTGTATTTCTCCTCCGACACATGGAAGGGGCTCACGGTGACTACGGCTTGGCTTCGGACGAGCTGTTCTTCACCAATGGACGACTGGCTCAAAAAGTTCCTATCAAGATAGCGGATTTTGCTATTGACGAATTCACCAATGAAGTTCCATACCAGAGGCAGGGCGCACCTCGAGGAAATGCGGCATTCGAGCACACGAAGCTCGCTGAATGAACCGAGAGAATTGAAACGAGAAGCGGACGTACAAATAATTTATGGTGTGTGATTTTTCTTGCTTTTACCTCTTACTGGGAGCTCTCCTGGCGTTGGCACGGGAGCCTCACCGTGTTGCACAGCCCTGGGGCTTCAGGGCTGACCAGGCCAGATAGTGTCTGCAATCTTCCTCACCAACTTCAACTTGTTTATCATGTCTTGATGCTTGACAGCGTTCCCGCTACTATGACTGGCGAATCCACACTGGGGAGAGACGCCACATCTGGCGAGGGCTTCCTCTTCGGTCTCGCCTGACCCCTTAGCGATCCACTTAGCCGCCTCCTTGACGCGGGCGACCATCTCATTCTCATCTTCCATCGTGGGGAACTTGCTCGTCACCACGCCGAGGATGACGTTCTTGTTCTTGGGCAGATACTGCAGTGGCTCAAAGCCGCCGGAACGTGGAGTGTCGTACTCGAGGTAGTAGGTGTGCATGTTGAGTTTCTGGAACAGCAGGGTCGCAATACGGTCGTACCCGCCCTCGGAGAAATGTCGCGAGTTGACGAAATTGCCACGGCACAGATGCACGCCGACGTGCATGTCTGACGGGATCTTGGCCACACATGCATTGTACAAATCAATGTACTTTGCCAAAAGCTCGTCCGTGGTGTATGTATTTGAGGTGTCCTTTTCCCAGCCCGCAAGCATAGCCTCTGAGCAGAAGTCTGTGACGACAAGGTTAAAATCAGGTGAAGACGAGGAGGAAGAGAAGACCACATCAGGGGGGGGGAGCCAACTAGGCATCACGTACATGCGAGGTTAGGGTCGTCAAACTGAACATTTCTCAACCCGTGCTCATAGAGAATTTTTAATTCATCCTGATAAGCCTCTGCGATGTCGGCAAAGTATTCGTCGTCATTCTTGTAGACATCCTTGGGATAAGCCTTCCCGTCCTTGTAGCGCAGATGGTACCAGTTGGGTGCGGCGAGGGTCAACTTGAGATCCTTCCACTTGGACTTAGGTACCTGCTTCTGGAGATATTCCAACTGGGCGGTATAGGTGCTGCCCTTGTGCTTGATTTTACCAGTGCACAGCACGGTCTCACCGGGCTTATAGCCAGCCTCTGTGAAAGCAGCAATGTCTGGGATGTACATGCGGAAGAGGTCTGGGTCTGGGACTGCAATCTCAGTCATGCCCTCGAGACCGGGCCAGAAAGAACCCCAGAACATGTGACGGCGATATTCGCCATCGGTAATGCCATGATACCCTAGGTCGAGCTGGGTCTTTACGATCTCTGTCACATCAGTGTCCTCAACGGCCGTCAAGTCAGCCTCAGTCGCTTTGCCGGCTTCCCATGCGTGACGGGTGTCGAGAAGCTTTTCCGTGCGCAGCAAAGAACCCAGATGTTCGGCACGGAATGGCGGACAGCTGTGACGAGCGGCCATGGTTGGTCTTGGTTTTGGGATATTTGGTGCGTTTGGGAGAACAAGACTTTGTCAAAACACGTGACTATCTCGAGGTTGACCTTCAACAATCAAACGGACAATGCTGGAATGCAGAAAACCTACGAATTTCAACAGTAGCGGGATGCTGAAAGGAGACACAATGGAAAGAGGAAAAATTTGCCTGACCAGAGACAAAATCCCCGCTTACAAGGCTATTAGGACCAGTGGCCGTGTCCGAGAGAACCTTCCCCGCGGTTGAAGTCAAGTCAAGTCCACAGGGGTAATCATTGTTGTGTTGATCCGAGCTACATGGCTCAGCCCGACAAGTCCCCCATGAGATTGTGGGAATATTCCGAAGTGTTAGTATGGTCACCAATGGTCCACAGAAGAAAGCGAGGTGGTTTGGCACTAGAAGAGGAGGAAACCATGACGTTGACGTGGAGACCCGAGGAGTCAATTGGATGAAAATTTGAGGGACCAGTATCAGTGCCAGTAGTAGTGGATGCGGATATGAAGACTTACGGATCCATGGATCCATACCATGGATCCCAGGATTGAACGAGGTCCTGAGGTTGAACTCGAGGTGGGGAGGGAGATACACGTGACTGTAAGCGAAATTTTGAGTTGAGGTTCAATCTCGACCACGTGATCTGTACCCCGCAATACGGTGGAACATATACTCCAGGTCTGACGCAATGTCAGGAAGCGACAGAATATGTTGGACTGGCATCAATATCTGGATATCACCTTCAAAGAGTTGCTCTTTTTGATGAGTGTCTGACTCTTGATGGGATTAGGTCATTTGTTCATACGTTGATCGAATCTACTGGCTGTTGACAAATGTCGACTTTGCTAGAGCCACATCAGACATCTAGAACGATTCACTTGGGTCATCTAGGAACCAGGCTCAGACACGACGAGGTCGAGCGACAGGTAGCTACAAAGACATGAGGTCTCTTTGCTAATGACGCTGCATGATGGAATTGCTCGACCTTCCAAATGAGATCCTGGCCAAAATAATCTCTTTTCTCGACCAACCTAGTCCTTTTGACCAAAGGATTCGAGAAAAGCCGCTTCTGCAGAACGACGACATCAGCCCGACAACCAAATTGCCTCGAACAGTGCCTGCTGATGCTAGCCTGAAACATGTCTCAACAACATGCTCATTGCTTCGTTCGACAGCTCTCCCAGATCTTTTCAAACATGTCAAGGTCAATCCATTACGACTTAGCGACTTTATCGCCTTTCTGAACCAAAACCAGCTCAGTCACAGGGTGGTCAGTGTTGTCGCTATCGTCCTTGGCCATTACAACCACATCCATCCGGCATGGTGGGCCAGGCTGTTGAACGAAGTTACAGCAACCCGCTTCACCATCATTGCAGCGCCGTCCATCTTTGCCGAACTCGCCGGAAACCCGACCTGGAGCAACGATGCATGGGCGTTCAACATGCCATTTCAGATCCTCAGTCTCGATCAGTCTGCAGAAGCATCACGCTGCAAGATTGATTATGACAACCTTCCCAACCTGTTGACGGCTCGTCCTTGGACAAGAGCCCTCGTTAATGAAGGCTCCAGTGTTCTGGCATACACAACGTATGAGTATTTTTTCCGACGTACACCATCGATTCTATCTGCACTTCACTTCCACCAGTCAATTGCTGGTGATCAAATGTTTGCAAAGCTAGAAGAATTCGAGTTTGTGGCCATTTTTCCATTCTACAATCATGTTGAGGAGGTACTCAAGTGCATTCGAAAGATGACCAACCTTCGACGTTTATTTATCAAGATCTGCCCCAGTCCAGAGAGCACCGTCCTGCATGACGAGATCGAAGCCGCCGGGGGTCATTTTGACATCAACGATCCCTGGAATGAATGTGATACGTCGTGGAGATTAATAGCCCACAACGTGGCGGCATTGGCTAGCATAGGCAATCTGCGTGAATTCCACATGGACGATGTCCACGTGGAGGGAGTCAGACAAGCCCTCGAAGATAGTATCAATCGCGTACTACAGGAGCCATGGACCTATCAAGGCAAAGGGTCTGGTGAATGGAGAGTTGATGCAGCATCCAAAACAGCACGTGGCGCTCTCGCGGGGTTGTAGCATCACCGAGATGACGACAAGTGGGTTGATTGGTGATTCAATTCGATGGTTATTTATGACGAGTTGAAGAAGACTCGTATCTAGACGTACTTTGAGAGTCCTCAGGCATCAGGTAGATAATAGTGTCTCACAAACGACAACTCATGCGAGATTATGAATCTGGTGAGATCCTCTTGTCCAATTCTTGCAATTCGATGAATTCTAAAAGCTTATTCAAACGTTGATCGCCGAGGTTGTAAATCGATGTAAATCGATGTCAGCGGAGATTTTTTGTGGTCGAGATCGCCCATCAATTCCCATTACTTGTGGATGGCCAGCGGACCAGTCGACGGCAACGGAAGTAGAGTTCCTAAGTTACCTTACCTTAGTCTGGCGTGCCTCACCAAATGCCCAGAGTGATCATCACTTCACTTTATCGATTTATTAGTTGCAACCCCGGCCACCCTCAGCGATCCCTCCTTCTTCCACTTTTTTTCCCACCACGCCACCTTTAACCCCCCCCTCATCATTGTTGTTTAAACACAAAGAAGATTCCTCGCTCGGCTTAGGCCCGAGCGTTTCCAAGAGAAGCTGAGCAGGGTCTCACCTCGATCTTGGGATCGGACGATCATTATTCGCGTCGTGGGCTAAAAGCATGCCCTTATCGTCGCTGCAGCGATGCCTTCCCAATCACAAGCACGGCCTTTGAAACCGGCCCAAGGAGACCAACCGCCCAAACCGACGTCCAGTAAGAAGCGGCAGTCCAATGCCCGTATCTCAGCGGCTTGTGAAGCCTGCAAGAAGCGAAAAACTAAATGCACCGGAGGCCCTCCGCCTTGTCAGTTGTGCGAGTCTTTGAACACGGAATGTATCATTGACCTGTCTCTGGACATGCGACGCCGAGCGGCCTTGCAGCGCACCATTGACGAATCCAAGTCGTTCCAAGATGGCCTCAACGATCTCATCGACGGCATCAGGGATGGGCCACAGTCGGAAGAATTGGTTCGTTTCATTCGTGACGGTGCGACTAACGAGGATATTTTGGAGGCTTCTCAGCGACTACAGAGTTTGCGCACCAGTGATGAACCTGGCCAAGACAGCAAAATGAACCTCGACGACGGTGGTAGTTCATCACAATCCGGACCGCGCCCAGCCTTGGGGGCAACAAAGTTCCACAGTGATCCAACATCTGTCTCTACTGAATTTGCTGCCAAAGAGTCGCATTTGCATTATCAAACGCATGAACCGATCAAGAGCGAAGAGTCTGAGGAAGGGTCTCCTCAGCTCTGGGCCTTCCTCGAAAAGCTCAAAGCCGCAACCATGCCCGAAGCCGAAAGAATGCTTCACGGCTTCGCCAAATCCCAGGCTAGCGACAGTCTCTCTCCTCCCGACCGAAACCCTACATTGCCCGGACAGTCGAATCATTTCGCCAGCGTTGCTACGGCACCAACATACGTTGAAAGGGCTACGTGGCACCCCGCTTTACATCTACGTTCGCAAGATCAAGAGATGGATTCACCAGAACGGGTATGTTGGCGCATTCACGGCATATCAGGGTGATGACATTTCGTCACATCCACCGCCGTCGAGTGTCTCTAGCTGCATTTTCCTCTTCAATTTCAGCATAAAGTCTATGCAATCACTAACATACACACTAGCCAAGTCTAGGCGGCACCTTTCAGAGACGATTCTCCACCGACACAGGTATCTCATTCATGAACCGGGAAGGCGTACCTTCACTCGGCGCACCTTCACTCGGCGCAATGACAGGTGATCGAGGTCAGGATAAGGATGAGTTCAAGTTCGCGACACACAGCGACATGATGAAAGAACTCAAGGACTCTGCTGCGCCACTGTTGCCTTATGTCGAGATGTCTAATATCCCGGCCCAGAGTCCATTTATTGCAAGCAGCTGGGACTTGTCCATCACTCGAGAGGATGGAATCACAAACCTGCGCATTCCCGTGCACTTGGTACAACCGTTGTTGGTGCCGGATGACTCGTACCTGAGCAACATGTACACCGACTACGTGCGAGGGGCTCGCTTTATGATTCAGCAGGGCACTCCTGTATCGCAACTGCTGGGTTCGACTGCTCATATCCCCGTCGATTTGTTTTTCAGGAACCGCGAGCCGAATGATCCGTGGGATTGTGCCTCGTGGGCATGTGAAATCTGGCGGAGTTTCGTCGAAGTCGATGGTCGTGTGAGGCTGGCGAGTGTCATGTGCTTGACATTGATGATGCGGGTAGGTCATGAACCAGAACCATGGATGGCCGACGACGAGGAGGAGGATTATGAAGTATTCCTTGCTAACATGAGTCTTTGCTACAGTGGGTATTGTCACCAACACTTGCCAATTACCAAAAGATCCCGGATATGATGAAACCGACACCATCACAACGAATGATACCACATATCGCAGCGATCGAGACGATCCCAATGTGAGTGAGATGGAATTTTGGTAGGCGAGATGTTGGGATATCTCAAACTGACTGTGTTGAAAACAGCGGCCCCATCCGAGACGCAGTCATCTTCCAACTTCGAGACTGGCTGTCAGAACTCATCAAAGCATCCTGGAGTGTCAATTGGCCACATGGCACGGATGCCGCGGTCGAGCAAGATCCGCTGACGGGGTTGAAAAGGTTGTCCAATGACTTCATTGACCATGCGAGTCGATACGAGAATTGGAGTGTCGGCAACAGCTTCATCGAAGCCTTCCCAGAGCTCTCTGGCAGGATCAGGGTCCACGATTGAACAATCGATCACGACAAGCAAAATTACTGTACTACCAGATGCGGCTAGGGAGGGACCAGCAGCTGTGCATAGCTGGATACCTGGCCCCTTCAGGCCACGAGCACGACACTCAAGGATCACTATAAGCACAAAAGGAGTCGACTTGAACGGCCCCAGCCTCCTACGCCAAACAAATCCGCCCTGCCCCAGGACGAAGAGGCATCCAGACCCAAGCCGCCAATAACCGAGAAGCGTGATCAAAACCCATCCGACCAAGCTGAAAGGATGACAATTGTCAAGACAAGACCAGGGACACGAAACCCGAATAACCATGCACACATGGGCACTTTCCTTGGTATGGTTGCACTGGTGGCCAGCAAAAGGGACAAACCAACGTACAAAAGGCCCCCAAGGGTGCTGACGCGTCGAGTCGACCGAGGTGTGTGTGTGTGTGTACCCAGGGGATACAACTGTTCTCCTTGTCGTTTACTCGTATAGCTGTGTGGCGGCTATGTGGCGGCTATGTGGCTATGTGGCTGTGTGGCCTTTGAATATTACAACGTCAATCAGTCACATGACCAGTGGCAGTGGCTATGCTGTCACGCTGTGTCATACAAAGTACGGAGTACGAATGTCTTCGCATCAAATATCCCACTCTGGATGGTCACGTGGCGGTCGATCTGACACAGACAGGACAATTTAGAGTGGTCTAGGCGATCTTGGCACAGAGTCTCCTGAACCAATCAAACCAACCGTTACAGGGGTGAAATGCCTCAGGCACCAAAACCCTTGACTTTGGTTCCCAAATGACGAGTACTTTTACTCATTGGACGTGGCGATAATTCGCTCTTTCTTCGACAAAGGACAAGGACAGGGACACGCATGCCTGAAAGTCTTGAATTGCGCGTTCGTGCGTGTTCTGCAGTCTTCTCTTGCGAGTCTAGTCTCTGGGGAATCCACACCAAAGAGGCGAATACCTGGGTAATCGTGGTGACCTGTCCTTTGTACCTTTTTTCCAAGATTTTCGCATGCAAGAAACAGGAACTTTTGCACAGACAAGATGTCTGGTCATTGGTTCTGGGGCTGGTGCCTTGACTAAAGGTTTGCTGGATATGCTAGATCTACATATGTACTGTACTTGCGTGCTCTACTGGAGGGCCACAGGGCTGGGGACCACCATAGATCATGGTTGATGCCTGCCTTTGTGCTGCTTTGCCTTCGCCTGTTCGCTTCGTTTTAGATGAATGGGCAAACCAAGAGATAATGAATGGAGTCGAGTTGAGGACCGGAATGGCCGACTTGTGTAACTTGACTATGATTAAACAAGTATTATTATGAGTGGCGGTAGTGTAAGGTACCAAGACCTAGGTAGCAACTATAGGCTCCTATTTCATGACGTTCGTTTCGTAGTAGAGTGTCGCTGGCGAAGCAAAGACCAAAGAAACTCGTAGTTGATGATGGATACATGTATGATCGAGTAACGATTTGCCTCCCATCCCAATCACCATCCAATCCCATTGCAATCTATTCCTGCCAAATTCCCTCTCCCCCGTGCCCCCTTTCCAAGCCCATAAAGAAAACCAATGCATGATCGACAAAAAAGAAAAATGACGAAAAATCCCATGCCATCCCACTTTTACCCCCGGGTCCCTCCTGGAGGCATGCCCGGCTGTAGGACGCTTGTGATGGCGTAGATGCGTTGAGTAGGCAAATCGCGTAACAGGGCTTGTAGGCGTTGCAATTCATTGGTTTGGTGATGGATGAAATCGTCCCTCTGGCGGATGACTTCTTCTCTTTGACGGATCTCGGCTCGAAGAGACTGGACCAAATCACCCTCGACGTCTGCTGCTTGCGGCAGGTCCCGGTTCCCGTCCTGGTCCTCTAATGGGACGCCAGCCATGGTTGCCACCCGAGGCTTGATTTCTTGCTGCCTGGCCGAAGGCGATGGCCCTGTCACCGAGAGTCGTCTTCGCTTGGCGGATGGTTGTCGTGTCAGGGTGGTTAGGTTTGTAGGCGCAGCAGCAGAGCCTGGTCGATCGATGATTGTTGTTGTTACAGGCGACGATGAGGGCGACGCTTGATGTGTTTGCCGTGTTGAGATTTCCTCCAAGTGCCTCCTCCGCTTGTGTTCCTCAAGATTCTCTCTCCGAGTGAATCCCGTGCCGGAGCTTCGATTACAATTGGGAAATGGACAGTACAGTCGCTGTTTAGTCGATAGATGCATCCGGTGCACCTCTCGCTGATGGCGAAGAAGGCCTCCTGAGTAGGTGAAGCCCAATGTGAGTTCGCACCCGGACTCGCGACATACATACGGTCTCTCGTGTCTGTCCATGTGTTTATTCCACTCGCACACCCTTCTAAAGGTCTGGTCCTTGCCCTGGCAGGCGACGTGGTCACAGAACATCTCGTTGTTTTCGTTGCGCGGAGGCGACCGGTTGCGGCGGATAGCGTGGATTGCCCTTGGAATATTTGGTGGTATCGAGGTGACGGGTACATGCTCGTCCGGCATGGTCGGAGGTATCAGCTTGGTCTCGAGGATGGTGCGCGCTGGTAACAAGCTCCGTTCACTGGGCGGAGAGATTGGATATTGGATATTAGATTTCATAATCATAGCGACGAGCGGTCGAGTTGAAGTGTCGAGTGATATAAAGAGGTGATGGGGGAGAAGAGTGAGTGAAGGTCGAGGCAAGGCTTTAATGTAAGGTAGGTACCAGTCAGAAGGCGAACGAAGTCAGAGCGGCCCCCCCGGTTCTTATCGTTTGGCCTGTTTGGCTCGAGTGCGCGAGCCACGGCCCGTGAAAGCAAGGCTGAGGGCCTTCCAAACCGGTACAAGAGTCATTGACTCTGTCAGGAGGGTGGGAAGAAGGGTGGGAAGGCGGATGGGCTCGAGTCAATAGGTCAATGGGGAATAACGTACTCATGTGTGGCGAGGCCTGAAACGATGGGTACCCAGGCACAGCGCCGCCACATCGAGACCATTCGTAGGTCAGCAAGGCCCCTCGGCCCACACACTTTAATATGGAGAAGCTGGGTGCTCATATCTCAATAGAAAAGACTGTGAGTCCGACAAGGCACCACCTTCTGTGGCTCAAAGGCATTTTGGTGCTGCCTAATATTTCCGCCTGCCTGGACAAAGTCGGCTCTCGGAGCCATCACGGACTTTAGTTTCCGTACCAGAGTTCCCCAGGCAGGAAGGAAGTGGCCATGTGACCAGGAGGGAAGAAGGTCCCCATGACTACCATGGACGACAGTAATGAATGATGTGGTCATATCATCTCACCCCATGACTCATCTGGACCAGTCACTCCAAGGCCGTCTAGGAAGCCCTGGAACCTGAGGGATGATGGATGCTAGATCTCACACATTTGTGGGGATCAGAGACAGAGGATGCCTTCTGTCCTGTATTTGATTTGTGGGGATGGCGCCTAAGGTTTTCAAGTTGGAATGAGGAAGGCGAACGTCTGTGCCTAAATTCCATAAGCTTGGCGACAGCTGTTGCTCTAAAATAAGACGATGTTGAACTTGGGATTTCCTGGTAGAAAGAGTCATTCATTTTGCTCATAGTACTCCGTATGCAAGACGTGCCTGGCGAATCAGGCATGCACAACGATCGGCTTGGCTTGGCGGTGAAAGACAACCAGACGCTTCCGGGCTTCAACAACTCCCCGATACACTTTCTGTGGGCACAAAGGAGTCGCCGTTCATCTCCCCAAGGCCGTCTTGACGCATCAGATCCTCACCGTATTTGACAAAACTTTGATTTCTGATTACCAAAAACATGGCACCTTACTCCTAGAACAGTCAGATCGACTCAAATTCCAAACTCCGGCAAGGCGCAGTCACTTAGACCCCGAGCCCAGTTCACGTTGTCTTCGTCCGCCGCCGCCGAGCGTATTGGGTAAGGCACCTCGAAGGAAGGTGGATTGGACAACAATCTCTTTCCTTCAGTTCCGGGTACCCAGTACTTTGAGAATGGCCACCGTGATCCATGGTTCACATCCACATCGCGCAAATGCGTAAAGTTCAAAGAGATACTAGTCCGCCCAATGGATATCATGCAGGTGACAGCCTCATCAGCTTGCACTTCTAATTGATTAGAGCCTGACGGCCTGAGGCCGCCATGGACGCCCTGGCGTTCACAGCCTTATCTGTCCTTACATAATCTATTGGACGACAAGATCTACGAACATTCTAAGCAAGGTACAAACTGTACGTAAATCAAAGCCATAAATCTCAAAGGATCATCCACCACTCCAGCCTCGCTTTCTATATCGTTCGTCGCCTTACCCTGCCATGGCTGCTTCATATTACGGCACATCTATTCCATCTTTGTGCCACCTTGGGCTGAAAAAGGTATCTATTTAGACGCATCAAATGTAGATCAGGTACCTTGTTTTTCCTTGAATGTACAATGCATATGTCACTGTCATGCATGCTCACCCCTAAACTTGTGAGCGGTGAATGTTTCCCGATACAAGTTGGCTAGTTAAGTTTTTTTTGCCCGGGGGGGCCAATTGCCTGAACCACTGTTTGGGCGGTCAGCTAAAAAGGAAAAGAGAAGTGTCATCTGTCCTGACAAGTTTGACTGACTGGCTGCTTCGTGCTTTCTTCCAGGCAAGCTGGAGTTCAGAGGGATGGGTAGCCGGTCTTTGGACCCCAGCTGAACGAGTGTGCGGCCCTCGGGCCCAGAAAGTTCCCAGCTCATGGAGAACGCTCATGCCTCAAAATAGACGCCTTGAAAGCCTTCCACACAATTCATGCTGGACCATCATAGAACTCCTCAGCCAGCCTACAGAAATGAACGACCGGTTATTCAAATTTAGTCAATCTCTTAAACTTCGTCATCGCCCGATTCACTAGCCCCCACTCCAACAGTCACACGAGCAGCGCCTGAAGACGCCCGATTCAGGATGCGAGCCCTAACGGGGCTGTAGATGCAAAGTCCACTTAAGTCTCACGCATAAGGTCAACGAATTGAGGACCACAGCCAAGTTGCTTTAGGAAGAAAGACCCTTACTTTGTCCGAAGAAGGATGTATAAAACGGGTAGAGGGCTGCCTAAGGCGTTCTCCGACTCGATCATCCAATGACTTTCAACACCTATAATTTGCCAACCCATCATATCGCTGCGTCTCTTCAATCCGGGCATTTCTTCGTTCCAGCCCAATCACGACAAATGATATGCTAACACCTGGGAGCTCATTTCGCAATTGGTTGGGTTCAAGTCCTAAGGATGGGAATGAGTCACAGTGCCTGCCTTGGCGCTTCAGTCTGTTCATTTATTCGTAGATTTCCCACCGACACTTGCACATTTTACCTCGATGCGTCACCTTGTGCGTCAAGAAAAGATGTTGTGGATCATGTCGAAATAAATGTATTGGAACAATGTGGCTGTGGAAGGCTAGACGAAGGTACAAGCAACTCATGTTTTAGTATGGACGCCCAAAGCAGGGCGACACTGCATCGCTCTCTGCCGAAAAGGCTGCGAGCTTTATGCGTTGATCATCTGTTGAACCCGTGGGTAAACATGGACCAGTCTTTCCCAGAACTCAGGATGGTCTGTGATGGCGACTTGAGGGTCCCATGCCAGGGCAACAAAAATGGTCTCGGTGCCTGATGTGATGGGCATGGTGAATGTCTTGCAAATCTGCATTCCAATCAGGAAGGAAAAGGCCATGATAACCGGTGTGAAAGTCCGGCCCTCGTTGTACGCAGGTTTGGTGTACTCGAGGTACAGGTAGGAGAGAAGAGCGCAGAGGTATGCGACAAACAGTCCTCCCATGCTGACCACAGGTCCAACCAGGCAGTCCTGTGCCAGTGCATCCCAGCCTCGGTCCTTCATCATCTTCCATGTGTCCTTGGCAGCTGCGATGTAGGCCTTGCCGTACAAAGCAATGTGACAGTATGCGTAACGGTTGAAGAACTCCACCAACCATTGCAACATACTGATGATGCACCCGAGCACGCAGTACATAATCATTCCGATCATGTTGCCGTCCGCAGCTTCGCTCTGTTGCGCGATACTGCAAGCTTGACGCAGCATGTTGATCAGGGCGATGATCAAGCTACCGAAGGAGAGAGAGCCAAAAGAGTACGTAGTGGCACGTCGGAAAGCACCGAATGCGGAACCACTGGGAATGCCACTCGGCTTGCCGGCGCAGAAGTACCAAGCACCGTACTGACCGGCCACTGTGGTGTGAATGACGGCCTTTGTAAACTCCGTAATCCAATACCCAGCAAAAGTCACGAAGACGACCAGGCCAATCACTCGACCGCTCGAGCATCCCCCAGAGGCACATGAAGGATTGGGGTTGCTGGTGGAGTCGCTGGGCATGTAAGCAGTGTATACAGCGACCAGGGTCACAGAGAACCATGCGCCAAAGGCCAAGCTGACTATTCCTCCCATCAAACTGATGAAAAACACATGGATCTTTGGCATGCGGGCCACATCCATGGTCTGCTGGAGCATGACCACCGTCATGGGAATTCTTGGAATCCAACTGATGAAGGCGAGGATAGCGAAAATGGCGAAAATGGCAAACACGATTCCAGCACCCCAAAGCCGGAGGTACAAATAGTAGGCTGCGGTGCCGACAGCCAGGACACAATTGAGTATACCCGTCAGCCAGACAAATTGTTTGGTAAATGCGCGCGCAGCGAGAAAGTATGCCCAAGAGACGACAAAGCCGACAGCCAAGACGAAGACGAAGAGGATGAGGGTATTCGTGTCAAGAGAGAAGTCGTTAGAGGATCCATAGATGCCGCCGCCGTTGAAGGAATGATATCTGGAATAGCGTTGAAGTGAAATACCAGAGACGGCGACAAAGCCGCAAAAGACCGCAATGTACTATCGAGGTCAGCGGAGAAACGGTTAATGTTGGGATCATGGGCAGCTGCTTACCAGAAGTCCGGCCCAGATATCATTATATTTTGGTTTCTGGATTTTGAATGTCTCTTGAAAAGTTTCCTTGCCCTCCTGCGGCGGGGTGTACTGGCCATAGTCGGGAGGATGCTGGTTGTATTTGGGGTCAGGCTGTTGCGGCGGGACATCCTGCAGGGGATAGGATTGTTGCGGCGGTTGCTGTTGATATGATGGCTGGAATGGTTGTTGGTACCCTTGAGGAGGGCCCTGTGGAGGAGGGTAATACTGGCCGCCGAGCTGCTGGTAGGGAGCATTGCCCATGCCTTGATTGTTGTAATAGCCAGAGGCCTGGCCTTGATACGCCATGGTCAGTCTCGATCAAGGCTGTTTCTGGGTGATGAAAGGCCGATGAAGAATTAGAGAAGGGATCGCAGAGGACGCGGAAACAAATGCCAGTCGCTGAATTCGCAAAGATCAAGTACGTCACGGGAAAATGACGAAGGTAGGGTAAGTAGCAATACGAGGACAGCTACTCGTAGACGGAGAGGATGTCAGTCAAAGCAATGATGCGGAACACTACAGCAGAAAGAAAGCGTTTTGAGTTGAACTCAATCAAGCTCAGCATTGGTTTTGTGGTTGCTGAATCGCACAGACAAAAGGGCCTGTGGTGCTGGGCAATTTGTGAGTTTGACGCGTCCTCCAGCTCCATTGACGTCCACGGCGGGGGTGAATCAAGAATTGAGACTGGTGATTGGTCAAGTACTACCTGGCAGATCGGGTAATGAATCGTAGATCTTGGCGCTCGGGCGCTAACTCGAGGCTAATGCGCCGTCTGCCAGGCTGGTCTCCCTAGGCGTCATGTCCGCCCACCGACAGCGGAGAGGCATGGTGGCACAACAGCCAGCCCCTTGTGGCATGCATCGGTGATATGCATGTGTGATAATAAAAAATGTGTCAATATTTTCCAACGGCTTTGATGGATGATTTCTGAGGTGGTGGCCAAGGCTGGGTGAAGGTCAATTAGGGGGCTTGGACTGCAGAAGTGCTTTCCTGAAACCAAGGCGCCTACTCCGTACGCATCATCTCTGGCCTCAATTCGGTGCCTTCCATTTGCGACATGGACTTCAAACGCGTTGCCCAGGTGCTTTCCTGCCAACCAGAAGCAGAAGAATTTCTCGCTGTTTCAAGCCCATCGCCAACAAGGCCTAGTTCGCTTGACAGACACTTTCCGTCGACTGCGGACTTTGTATCCGTCGTTGTCGTTCCCTCCCCTCTGTCACTCGTGTTCACGGGAAACATGGAGCCAGAGATCTGTCCGCCACTCGGTCTCTGATCTTCTAGACATCTACAAGTCATGCATGCGTAGATGTCGCAGAGACTGCGATCAGATCAAACGTATTCCTGATCGAGGACGAAATTAGGGTTGAAGTCTTCGTTTCTCCTTATCACTAAAACAGTCTCTTCGGTAGTCCCGGATAATCGTTCGTCCGATGAGTGTCTCAACATTCAGCGTACTATACAACTTCCATAGACGAAACAACATCATCCTTTCATAATTGGAACTTGCTGCTAGGGAATGCCAGAGACTTATTCAAGGATTCCGAACATGCTGGATCTGTTTATGACAGTGCTCAACTCTTCTCTTACATAATCATACGGTTCAAGTCATAGGGCGTGGGCGTTCAGGAAGAGTGACCCGGTTCCCTTCGCCGCCGTCGTCGTCGTCATCGTGACGACCTCGCGGATGTGGCTGACTTTGAGCGTTGCAATCCTCCACAGGCCAGATCTTTAGCTATTCTCCTGCAGTTCTGGAAAAATGGCGAACGTGTTACAACGAACAGCAGCCATCCTGCGACCCCACCATTTCGCCACTAGGGCCATCAGGCTCACATATACAAGCCGACGGTCATTTCAATCAACGTCAGCATGTATGCTACGGTCTACCGAGCTCTCCAAGACAGATCTTTCGAAGCTCAAGGTCAACAGCGACCGTCTTTGGAACGACATCCACTCCACCGCACGGTGGACGGAGCCCACAGGGGGCGATCCGGAGGACATTAAAGCCGTAGGCCTGAAGCGCCTGACCTTGAGCAAGGAGGACAAGTCTGCCCGCGACTGGTTCGTGGCCACGACCGAAGCCCTTGGATGTAAAACACACGTCGACGAAATTGGCAATATCTTTGCAATTCGACCCGGTTTGAACAATAATGCGCCGGCCACGTTTGCCGGGAGCCATCTCGACTCTCAACCATCAGGTGGACGGTTCGATGGGATCCTCGGTGTGACGGCGGCCATCGAGATGTTGAGAACCCTGGACGACAACTGGATCGAGACCGAGGGTCCTGTCGGCGTCGTCAACTGGACCAACGAAGAAGGCGCCAAATATCCCATCAGTATGATGGGCAGTGGTGTATGGTCCGGTCGGGTTGGCTTGGAAGATGCCTGGACCACACAAAGTGTCACCCCCGGCGGACCTGTGACTACCGTCAAGGGCGAGCTCCAGCAGATTGGGTACTTTGGGAGCATCCCAGCAACTCCTCAGGGGACACCGATTGGAGCACATTTCGAACTTCACATCGAACAAGGACCAAAGCTTGAAGCAGCCGGTCATTCGATCGGCATCGTTCAAGGCGTCCAAGCATACAAATGGTTCGAGATCATCATCAGCGGAAGAGAATCCCATGCTGGAACCACGGATTTTGACCATCGAGGAGATGCCCTCTATTCTGCGGCACTTTTCATTGCCACTGTGAGGGAGATTGCCAAGGACGTCAAAGGATTGTCCACAGTTGGCATGCTCGAGGTGTCTCCAGGCAGCGTTAACACGATTCCTGGTCAAGTCAAACTCAGCCTTGACATACGACATTCCACCGACCAAGGACTGGCACAGATGCTACACATGATCCGAGCATCGGCCCAGCAGATAAGCAACTTCGCTGTTGGTGGCAACGATGACGCTAAAACTAGCCACTTGACCCAGATCAGCTTTCAGATGAAAGAAACGTTTAACAGTGCTGCCATTAAGTTTCAAGATGCAGCCATTAGTTGTGTCCAGGACGCCACGGCGACAGTTCTAGGTTCGGAATATCAGAACTTGAGCCAGAAAATGGTGAGCGGGGCAGGACACGACAGTGTATGTACAAGCATGCATGCCCCAACAGCCATGATATTCATTCCCTGCAAGGATGGAGTTAGCCACAACCCGAGGGAATGGTCGGAACAAGTGGATTGTGAAGCCGGCGCAAATGTCCTCACTCACTCCATACTGAGGATGGACAAATTACGGAAACAAAATGGAGACTTTGATTGATGCAGCACGTTTCATGACATGAGCCATAGGTCTCTGGCGGGCGATAGCTAGCACGGTGATGAAATATAGGAAAATCACTGATGACTTGAATCGGGGTTTCGTATTGTAGGATGAGCTATGATTTCTTGTCTGATGTCAGTCCAGTTCAGTTCAGCTGCAACACACTCGAGTGTTTGCCATAACCTCCGAAACAAAGTCGTGGTATGCCCTTGTACACGTCTGTATCATGCATACAGTCATGCCAGGCTTGGAGCCACATAGCCTTCTTCGCCATCCTAGGACGAAGCAGGGGGGGCACCACGGCCACGGCCGAAACCACCACGGAAAGTGGGGTTGTACTCTCCAGGAGCACCACCTTCCTTGCCCTCACCGGCGTCACGGCGGCGGTAGCCTCCCTCACGATCACCACGGGGACCACCACGGCCACCACCGCGTCGTTCACGGTCGTCACCACCCATCATTCCGCGAGGAGGAGCGTGGCTGCGTTGCTGCTTGATATGGGTGGCAGGGACGATCTCAGCTGGCAAGTGGAGCCATTCACGGAGGTAGTCGAGTCCTTCGGGGGTCAAGGTGTAGTAGTAGTATTGCCAGGAGAACTGGGTCTTGACATAGCCGCGAGAAGTAAGGGACTGAAGCGCCTTGATGACCTAGAGGGGTATCGTTAGTTCTGGAAGGCAGAGATAATTATCCCCAGGGTCGGAGACGAGAAGGATGACGTACAAAGAGGTTCTTGGTGTCAATGTCAGGGTGCTTGGGAAGGTTGTAGTCCTTCTTTGCCACGAGCACACCCTCCTTGAAGAGGTACTCGTGGATCTTCTTGCGATCGGCCTTGGGAATAAGCCTGCGAGGTAAAGAGTCAGCGATGGTGTTTGACGGACGAGGAAGACATTGTCGATGAGACGTACATTGTTGCGAGTTCCTTGCGCTCTTCGGGGAATCGCACACGATGCTGGAATGAAGGATTGAGGATTTGATTGTAGTGCGTGGGAAAATGAATTTACAATTGAGGCCGGCCGACATTGACTTGCAGGTGCACTTAGTTTCAGTGGTTGCCAAATCGAGAAAAAAACTTGGCATTGTGTGCCGCTTGGTGCCAAGACCACACACAGTAGAGGACCCAAGCGCAACTTTCTATCTCAGCCATCGCAGCCAACATCGACCCTACGCCCAACTTTTCTCCCACACCAACCAATACTCCTTTGCATCGCTGAAGAGCTCGTTCAAGGTGAGTCCGACATTATTCCCCTCGAGACATCAAAGAAGTGGTATCTGGTGCAGAACATCCCGCCTTGAGAAGAACCAGCCAAACCCTCGTCCCTCAAAAAAACTTCCTCAACTACGGAACGACAACTGCACCTGCACCATTTCAGTCTCCCAAGACGACCATCGACGAACGGAAAAGCTGACTTGTTATCTACTTTAGAGGATCTCTTCGGTTTCGCAATCATGGGTATCTCACGAGACAGCCGCCACAAGCGGTCCGCAACTGGTGCAAAGCGTGCATACTACCGAAAGAAGAGGTAAAATTCCACACCCCGGCATTGAACAAAAAGGACACTATGAACAAGAACAAAATTCCTGACATATCGGACGTTTTACAGAGCCTTTGAAAAGGGACGTCAACCAGCCAACACCCGTATCGGAAACAAGCGAATCCATCTTGTGCGCACACGAGGCGGAAACACCAAATACCGAGCGCTCCGTCTGGACAGCGGCAACTTCTCGTGGGGCAGTGAAGGAATCGCGCGCAAAGTGCGTGTGATCGTCGTGGCTTTCCATCCCTCCAACAACGAACTCGTCCGAACCAACACCCTGACGCGGTCGGCCGTCGTGCAGATCGATGCTGCTCCCTTCCGAACCTGGTACGAGGCACACTACGGCGTGACCATCGGCCGCAAGCGAGTCGGCCAGAAGGTCACCGAGCAGAAGGAAGAAGTCAAGGTCAGCAAGAGCGTTCAGTCCAAGCGTGAGGAGCGATTGAAGAAGGTGGGCAAGATCGACCCTGCCTTGGAGAGACAATTCGAGGCCGGAAGACTGTATGCCGTCGTCTCCTCGAGACCCGGCCAGAGCGGCCGTGTCGATGGATATGTCTTGGAGGGTGATGAGTTGGCCTTCTACCAGAGAGCCATCCGGAAGTAGATGACCTTGTGATGATGGTGGTGAGAATGGTACATTGGAAGGATGTGCAATGTGTGTGGCTGTGTGTACCTCGGTGTGGGTGTGGTCATCCCTGCTGATACTACTCGATCAGGAGATGCCACCAACAACGGGTGTGGTGTGGGGGAAGGATTCAGTCGAAGACATTGCCAGAATCACCAGAGTTGGGAGACTGATTCGGGTGAGCTCGACGGTGCTGGGCAGCCGGTGGACATGCATCGATTTCGAAAAGCATGCCCCAGGTTACATCTCTCCGATCGTGTCTTCCTGTATCATGAAACGCTTTCTTCTAGCACACCAGCAGCCTCGTCGATTCAACGGGGTAGACGTCATTTTCGAAGAGAGAAAAAAAGTGTCAATGGCTAGAGATGAATGCTCAATCGAATCAATTCAATCAATTAACTCGTCAATTTTTTTGGTGTTCCTTTAGGGACTAAACTGTCTCAACCGTGTCTGCTCTGAAAACCACCAATGTTTGCACCTCTCTCAGTCGATTCCGATTACGACTGCCCCTAGACGTATGTCCTACCCCCAGAATCACTGATGTTTGTTCTCCGATTACCCACCCCGGTCTCTCATTACTACCATCAATTGACATGCACTGAAAACTGTGATCCGGTTGCCAGCACAAATATTTCGTATGCTCGGGCCCAAAACAAGTTGTCTCTATCAAAATTGGAGACACAGGACGAAAAAATGGGCATGACAATTGTTGGAAACGTCATTGGCACAATAACTTGGTTGGTTGGCTGACTAACTGACTGACTGCAAGCACGTTACTGTCTTCACAACATCTCAGCTTGAATTCGATTGTGGGAGATCCCGATCCACTTAGGTATGTTCATTTAACCTTTAGTTGGCCAGCCTCGTCAAAGGCCAGATACTTTTCTTGTTCCTGACGGACAAACTCCATGACAGAACGGACGACGGGGGGCGACAGATCATGCGCTCCGACGTTACCCATCTGGCGACGAGCGTTGAGCACAGTCTGTTCACGGGCATGGTGCTTGCGCAGACGGTCGTTGTACTCTCTATTCCTCAGGGCCTTGACGTAGTCATCGTGGGCGTGGGTGCACTTCAAGATTGCACTATGTGTGATTCGCAACCGCTCGGTGGTCTTGAGATCGAGGAGCTTCTGGGTGAGCGCGTCGGCTTTGGCGTGTAGGTGCCGAGACATTGGGATCATTATTTCGAGATATTGCTCGAGGGTCAGGGGTGGGAAGGCTTTGCTGATGGCGTCTAGGTTGACGTCGGGCAGTTTGGTCTTGATCAGCTTGATGAGGGGTTCGTCGTCTTTGGAAAAGTAGACTGCTCGGGTCATTTGGTTGTGGACGTCGAATGCCATGGCCTCGGCGCTCGCAGCGATCCATTCCTGGCGCAGTGAAAGGTATTCTTCGAAGTCGTCCAGCATTTTCTTTCGAAATGGTACGGTCAGGAACCAGCCTCGTGCGGCTTGGAGGAGGGAGCTGACGAGTTCGGTTCGGAATTTGGGGCCGGGCTCTTTGGACGTGATAACGGCGATCAAGGCTGGGCCCCTGAGGAGTTCGACTTTGGGAATGGGGGCTTTGACGGTGAGGAAATGAGACAACTTCCTCGATTGACCAGCCAAGTAGACAGCTGAGAACTCGGTTGTATTGACAATGCTTCGCTTGCCTTCGCTAACGGAAGGGGGAACCTCCGAGTTAGACATGTTGTTGGCGTGTAGAGCACCGAGATGATAGAGGAAAACAAGGAGATGAAATGAAAATGGTGATTTGAAGAGATGAAAGAAGATTCAGCCTGGATGGGAACTCGTGCTCGTGGAAGGAGGGTGGGCACAGAGTGAAAGGGAAAATTCTGCCAGGACTTGCGCTGCACTGTAGTATTTTCACAGTGTCGTCGCCATTTCTCCAGACGATACATTCACCAGGGAGGCTGGGAGCAAGGTTTCGATGTGCAATGCAGTTTGCAACAACGGCAATCGCGGTTTGACTGACCTCAGATCAGTGGGATTTTCTGACTCACCTTGAATGCTGTGATTGAACATATTATGATGATTGAAACACTCACAGGAGAGTACACTGGCCCCCTCTCAGGTCATTACTAAGGATGATGACGTGAAGGTTGCTGGGAGTAGGATGACTTAAATCTCTCCCAGGGCACTGTAATGAATCTCTTCTTCATGGAGATTGGCGTGGAGATTGTTGGAATTAGTAAGGTTGGTTCAAATACCTCACAGTCACAGGAGAATAGAAGAATCTGTTTCTGCATGGACGATGGCATGAAGATTGATGAGCACCTCGTAATCTTATCATATATCAATTCACATATCATGTCATCCCATATCATACCTCGTATGTCGTTTGACACCTGGTTCAACAAACAAATAACCCACCGTTTGCTTTTCACCTCCTTTTATCAGGTATCAACATCAAAGCTGACCTCTATCGGTTGGATTTCAGTCCGTCAATGATGGTATGTAACCACCGATGGAACCTCTACTATATGGTATTAGAGATTCTTGTGCGTATCATCATGCACTGTGTGGGTAGAGGTTGGATCCTCAGGCCGCTCGGCCCCTATTTCCCCGTAAAATGCCCAACTTCAACCTCTGGGCATGATCCCTGTACTCCATGGCCCCCATGTGCATTCACCATTTCGAGTGGAAGCCTTAGCTAATCATCCTCAGATGTGTCAACCTTGTCTGGATGCCGGATTACCGTCTTTGGATAGTAGCAACAACAGCAATACGAGTGACGCAGCGAATCCAGTTTTCCTCTCCAATTTTCTGGGAACAGGGGAACTTTTCCGTCTCTGGTAAAGAAGTCACTTACTGGACCTGATACCTCGCGGATCATTCGTTTTCAACTTTCTACCTCAATTCTTTGCAGTGCAATCTTGTATGTGGTCTCATTTCGGAATACTCTTGATGCTCCGGGTGAGTTCTGACGGTGATATTTGATTGACCCTTATGATCATGAAGTATCAACAGCTATCTACAAGGTACAACAAAGTATGTGGCATGCTGTCAAATCGACGCCCATCGGGCCAACGTTTTCTATCACTCGACTTGGAATCCCAAGTTCAGTCTCTAACCTCGAATCTAATCGAAAACAATGGCAGCCTTGATGGCGCTCTTGTTCTTCATAGCCTCGAGACACTCCTTCCACTGCTCGAGCTTGAATGTCTTGTTGACGATGCCCGCAACCTTGACCTTTCCTTTGTCTGTTGCGCAGGTCAGTCAGCGTGAATGAACCCTCAAGAAAGGGGGGAATAATCATACCAAGATAATCAATGGCAGCAGGGAATTTGTACGTTTCGCTGAAGGAGCCAAGGATGGTGATCTCATCACCGAAGATCTTGGAAGGAGGCCATGAGACACGGTCCTTGTTGGCATAAACGCCATAGACGACGAGCTTGCCACCTCGTCGAACATAGTTGATCGAGTCCTCGAGGATCTTGACACTTCCGGTGGCTTCGACGACAATATCGAATCCATAGGGGTTATCGGCCTTGAGCTTCTCGAACTGTGCGGAAGGATCGTTTCGAGACAGGGCAACGTACTCGTCAGCAGCATCGAGAGACTTGGCAAGATCCATCTTCAAGCCCTCGGGAGCAGCAACGACAACGTGGCACCCGCCGTTTTGCCGAAGCATTTGTGTCAGGACCAGGCCAGTGGGACCCGCTCCGAACATGAGAACGCTGGAACCCATCTTGGGAGCGATCTTGTCCAGACCATGAGCAGCGCAGGAAGCGGGCTCCAAGAGGGTGGCATCGACGTCTGAGAGGTTCTCGATTGGGAAAACTCTCTTTGCTGGGTACGCACAGTACTCGGCAAAGCCACCGTCCATGGTCACACCATGGGCGTTGAAGTCCTCGCAGAGAAGCTCCTCACCTCGACGGCAGTAGAAGCATTCACCGCAGAGCTCAGAGTTGTCAGCAACGACACGTTGGCCGATGGTGAAACCCTTGACCTTGGGGCCAATTGCTGCAACAACACCCACGGTCTCGTGGCCTGGGATGAGAGGGAACTAACACTCTGGTCAGGGTTGTGTTCTTTTGGAAGTGTATGAAGCATCTCATCCTACCTTGGCCAGGAATTCACCTTCGTGGATGTGCAAATCAGTGCCGCAGACACCGCAGGCCTTGACCTTGAGCTATTTGTCCATGACATCAGCCTATCTCTTGTCCCACCAGGATGTTTTTCTTTAATGTTGCCTACCAGGACGTCATTCTCACGGAGCTTGGGAAGAGGCACTTCGACGACGCTGAACTCCTCTGGCTTGGAGTATTCTATGACAGGTGTCAACCATGACCTTTTACTTCAAGGTAGGATTGGAGGATGGAGCTCTGCTCGAAGAGGACAGAATGGAACTTACGCAACGCCTTCATCTTGGTGGGGAGTTCGGAACCCATGTTGACGGTATGAGTTGGAGAAGAGTGGAATAAGATTTGATTGATGGAAAGAGAAGTATTTTACAACTGAACGAGGCCTTGTTGAGGTCTTGTAAGAGCACGATTGATGGTAGGTGGTGTGGTTCAAAACAATTACGGTGGCAGAAGATGTTCCTCCAAACGCGGGAGAAATATGTTGAGGGGCTCTCGATCTTGATTGTATCAAGCTAAGCTCGTCAGACTGTCCGGACGGGGATTGCTTGGTGAAGTGGGATGTCAAAATGGAGTCTGTGTGGGTAGCGTGGGCATCAAGAAACTACATGGGCGGTGATGGCCCAGGTCCAGAGTGCGGGGCGTAAGTACAGAAAGCTACGAAGTACAGGCTACAGGCGGCTTTTCTTGCCTCCCCTGGCTCGCCTGTCCCCCTGCTCCTTCCCTGCTTGTTATCACACACATTATTATTCTCCCCTCGGTTCCTTCCCACCTTCTCTTGGAAAACAAAAACCAGGCGGATCTGTATCAGCTGATGTCTCACAACAAAAGAATTCAGCTCCCCCAGAAACCCAGAACAAACTCAACGTCAGAAAGAGAGTGTTTTTCCTTCTCATCGTTGTTCCGTCCGAGAAAAGACGGTGGCGATGATCGGTGATTCCTAGTCAAAGGGGTCTCAATCGAGGCCCCCTCGGCCGATCGCGCTACTCGAAAGCTGCCTAAGGGCTTCTGGTAGTTACCGGAAGTCATCGTACGGATAGTCTGGGCTTGGTACTCCGTGGATCCTCGCCTCGGTTGACCGCTCCATTGAGACTCCCGTTACGCACCTCTCTTGCTGTACCTCTACTACTGGCCCCGAAAGTCGTTGTATCGTCTTTTGACGTCTTCCCAATGCCTCGGACACACGCCTCTGACCGTTACACATGAGTCAATGATGACAACAGGCCCTGCCCCCCCCCCGGCGGTTCGTCCGTAAGTACGCCGAAAGAGTCCTTGATACTCCCGTTTGTCGCAGCTTATACCGTCCAGTATAGCAGCTCAGGTGGATTGTCTGGTGTCTGGGCAAAGCCCAGCGAAGCTTGCATGATGCGTCTCGGGCAGCCGAATGACCGAATGCATTTCCTACCCACCAACCCACTGGTCTGCATATCAACAACATTATTATGTGAAACTTGGAGAATGTTGGTTCCTCTTTTTCCCCCTTTTATCTTTTCCATAGCGTATCACGTGGCGCTATCTTTCAACATCGCATCTATCTACTCCTAGACAGGAAGTCTATCCAGCCATCCGCTCACTCACCGTATCGATACTCCGTAGTTTGGAGTCTATCTCATGTTGCATGCTGGGGCAGCGGATGTCTCCTGCATCCAACAATCACAAGAGTCACAAATGCATGTGGCGCGTCATGACTTGTTGCTGCAGCCAAAAGGAAGAAGGAAAGCGCATTCGCAACAGGGGGAAAATTCTCACATAGTCACGGGGTTGGCTTCGTGGTGGTTTTCAATCAAAATAAAAAGAAGCCACGAAGCGAGAAACAAGAGAAGAAACTTGAGAAGGGAGGCGGAGCGAGGCCCGTGCTGAAATACATTATGACTACGGGATGAGGTCTATACCTAGTCCAGTATCCAGTAGGCCAAAAAGGTCCGTTAGTAGTTCAATCGTCTCGAGAAATGCTACCTCCAAGCCCGTGGTGGCTTACAATTCCTCGATTGGGCTGATGTTTCTTTTCTTTCCTTTGACTTTTGGTGGCTCACAACGCTTGACCCCGTTCTATTCCGTGGAACGTGCTACAGCCTGGAAATGGTAGACCTCGGTACCTATCTTCAATTACGTTTGTAAGCGTGGATAACAAAAGGTACTGTACATACACGTTGCTTAGCAGCACTCACTTCTATCTCTACCTACGGAGTACGAGTAGTTCCCTATCACTATCACTCACTCCTTGACAATAATCCCTGTCATTACGACCGAAGCCTCCCTCCGCCCGAGCTTATCGCTCGTTATCGAGACTCATCATCATGTTCCAAGAAGTTTCCCAACTCTATCTCAGTCACCGCCATAAGTCCAATCGCATACCGAACTCGAGACCCCGGAGACGCTTTGATTTATGACTTTCTCATAGATAAGTCATGATCATTTTACAATATGACAAGGCGAACAGTTTCCTAATGCTTTCCTGTATGTAGGTGTCCTGTAGTAGCTATCTAATCTTCACCGACAGTTCCCAGCTTATTTGTATCTGTTCGTTACACCTAATCTTGGATTAGCTTACAGGGCTCACTGAGGCATGGTGTGGCCATAGCAAGCTATTGGTTTATACGAAGCCGTCCTGGCCTGCCAAGAGATGTACAAATGGTTGATAACCCCCTGTCAACCATGCGAGCTTTATTTCATCATGACTTTTCGTGCCTGTATACCAAGAGCCTGCATGCGATAACACCAACCCCTTTCCTGTCGAGTCATGGTGATGACCATGACCGTGATGATACAATCGTTACAGTTCCTCTTCAGGCCGAAGACGGACTGCTCCAGCCCGATATGCATTCATAAGTGTCCATTTCGTCACTTTTGTCACCCCATTAGCCTGAGTGCTATTACCAACTAGAACCCTTTACTTAAGACCGAACCCCTCGCTCTCTGTGACTGCGGTCCACAGTTTCTGCTCCAGCTTCTCCCTACTCCCGTACTTATAGAGAGAAATACTGTTGAAACAAGTCCTCGCGATCGGAAATCTCTCCACAGGTTGCCATAACGGTCGTCCATACACATCAACTTCTTGCGATTCTCGTAGCAATTGTACTCGAATAACAAGGTTGGTGGCCCCCATCGCTGGAATTCGATCACTTCCAGTGATGAAACCGAGGATCTTGCGTTGGTCGAGAGGCGAGACTCGGGAGAAAAAGTCCCAAAACCAAATCACCTGTGGCTGCTGATCCGGAGGACCATCTTCTTTCGGCCATCCTTCATAAGTTGCAACAGCTCTAAGGCTTGCAACGTCTAGGTGCTCGTCGGACCCACGTACCAGTAGTTCAATCTCTTCAGGTCGAAAGAGAGACAAGGCATTGCCCCCACAGACGGTAAAGAACCCTCGCTTGAAGGGTTCATATTGCCGCGCCACCGCCGTATCAAGGAGATAGTGCACATACAGATCAACGAATTCCTTTCTGTTGGAATTAGTGACGGCTCGCTTCTCGCCTCCAGGGAAAAGAGGAATTTGAAGTATTTCTCCATAACGGTCCATTTCGGCGACAAAATCTCTGCAGAAGGTCTCTTGGACATCGCCTTCGTATTCGAGAAGCTGGCGAAGTCCCCGTGCAAGCGCTGGTCGGAACTCGGCGAGATCTTCCAGCGTGTACCCATGACTAACCTTGGGTGTTGACATCAGCTTGTCCCCAGAAGAAGGTGCTGAGGCAAGCATTTTCTTGAAGACGAAAGGAGGAAACGCCACATCCAAGATGGTCGAGTTGTAGATTGCCAACCCAAGCAGCACTCCAACGAGAAAGAATTGCTCCGAAGATTCAAAGCAATAAGGATTGAAATAGCAGTATTGCGAGTCATCGTCATACACGAAGAGCCCATGATAGGGATCGAATATCTCCCTCACCAAGAGGAGAAACCACTCCTTGCGAAGACCTCCAGCGTCGATTCCTTCTTCGCCGAGGAAGTCAATCCGGAGTCCCTTTTTGAGGTCATTGCCTCCCGAGCCGACAGCTTCGCTCACATTACGAAGACTGTCTTCGACCAGGCAGTCACGCCGTACCTTGAGAACAAGATACTGACTGACAGCTTTCCTACTCAGAATGGCGTCAAAGAAGGCCTCCCTTGCTTTGTTCTCCATCTGTCTTCTGGCGTCAAATTCGAGGATATGGATCTTGGCATAGATGCTGAGGAAGAAGGGGTATTGGCAGAAGGTGAATTTGGTTTTAGTTGTTTCCCAGGCCTCAAAGTCACTTGCAAGGTCTGCATAGTCCAACATGGTATTGTAGAAGTTGCTAATCGGGACAATCTGACCGTGGGAATAGGCATGGTGTTTTGCATTCAACCCCGGGCTGTTGTGCCGTTGCTCGTGCGTTGCCGAAGCATCTCTTTTGCGGCTGGTGTGTCCGACATTGGCTTGAAATAAAAGCGCCATAACGCGAGCTGCTACTCGTACTTGCCAATCCTCGCTGTAAACAGATATTTTAGGTTTCCCTCCAGCGTTGCCTGCGGTTGTCGAAGGCTTTCGCGCGCCAAGGGCTGCGTGTAGCTGAGATGCATGGCGAACACTGGTGTCAGAAAAACTTGGAACAAGACCTTCGGTTGGGTTGATGGGCTCAGGGGCTGGGCGCCTTTGCTGGCGCGAGAGCCTATATGTTACGAAGCTCCCTATCATCTCAACTGCTCGCTGGAATTGGGCATCTGAGTAGCGTGAAAACCATAGTGCTAGGCTTTGATGAACCTCGTTTGAGAGGTTGGCTATTAGGCCAAGGATGCGCTTGATCACACCAGAATGATGTCCGAGACTGCCAGGCCTTCTGCCCGATGGTTGGTATCTTTTGGAAGGTGAGCCCCGATGACGATCAGGAGACCGACCTAATAAGGCGTGCGGATTGGGCGGAGGCATGGGAGGTAATTTCCCGCCATCGAGTCTCTGGGGTGTAAGTAAGGGATTTGCGAGAAGAAGCAGTAGGAAGCGGCAATCTTCTGCATGCTTCAGTGGCTGCCTCGGCCGTTTGAGGAGGTTCTCTGTAATCTTGAGTAGGCTTCTCTGCAAATGGAGCCGAGAGTCGACGATGTCATGGCGGATGTCATCTTTCGCCGCTGACTGCCAGAGCTGCCGTTCTGTTGGGCTGGTCAGCTCCTCGTTGAGTCGGTCCCACTGCTGTTCCCATGTCTCGCCAGCGAAGATGAGAACCCGGTACCATTCAGCGAGCTCCGGCCAGTTTATTCTTGAATGGCGAGCATTGAGAGCACGCAATCTCTCGGGGGATCGCTCTCGTCCTTGATGACTGTCTTTGCCAGAAGAGCTCTGCCGGCCTTCCGGCGCTCCTAGCCACCAAGACCCATTCTCAGCCACATCACCGAGGAGCAGAGTCTTTGCATCGAGGCCAGATAGAAACACATCGGGCTCATGGACGGGTGTGTTAGCAGATTCGGTCGCCAGGCGTCTTGGTTGCGAATTCGAGTACGTGCGTAGTTTGTTGTCCTGGACGAGGCGAGGCGTGAGAAAAGAGTGGTTCAGAGTTTCACACCCAACAAAAGCTTCGGAGATGTATTCTTCAACTGGTCGAAATATTTGCAAAGGTGACATCTGCTGACTGTAGTCGTTCATTCTGTGCCCATGCACATCGCCCTTTTGGGGGCGCCTTCCTGGATCGTTGGTTGGCAATGAAGTAGAAAACGGATCCGAGGTGCTGTGGGTTGACGGATCACGGTTCGCAGTACTTTGATGTTGAAATGATGTCAGGGTAGATTCCGAAGGGCACCTTGCTTTCAAGGAAGGTCTCATTGGCGACGATGGCGAAGAGGTTCGAGAGGGACGATTCTCTTCGAACAAAAGACCTTCTGGGGGGCTACCATCTAACAGAAAAGATTCCTCCACCGATGGGGTTTCGACTCCTCGAACCGGGCTTGGTTCAGTGTCATCATGCAAGAGGGAGTCGAAATACTGTCGTATACAACGATCAATTAGGTTGCGGGTTTTCTCGAGCGAAATTGGGATGACTCTTCGGGGGCCTGAAGTGCCGTTCAACGGGCCAGCGGTATCGCGAGGGTAGCTGGGGTTATACTCAAGGTCGTTTATTGTTAGACACGTGGTACACCGAAAAACCTTCAAGCCCTGGGGCCAACGAACTGTTGAGTCGCATGTCATGCACTTTCCTGTCACCGGTTGCCGATCAGCTCGTTGACTGGTGCTATCGCTAACCTGGCCCTTAACCTTGACATCCTCTGTGCGTCCGTCTCGGATGTTTGCGCCAGAACCGTCAGTTTCTCCTCTAGCATGATGTTTCCTCTCAGATCTCTTAGAACCGAACAGTGAAGGGAAAGGGTGGCTAAAGGACCGGTTATGTCCATGTCGACTAGGAGCGGCATCCGATGAGTCGGCGACAGGCTTTCGTCTGAGGGTAGGAATCTCGTAATGCTCGGTCGCAGAAGTCTGTGGCGGCGGGGGAGGGGGTAGTGGTCTGTTCAAGTCGGGGTTGATAGACCGATGACGAGAATCAGGTCTGGAATTTGGCACTGGGACGGCGTGGGATGCAGGTCGACCAGAGATCATTTCATGGGAGGATGTGGGAGTGCCTGGAGCCATTGAGACAGAGATTGAAGGGTCTATTTTGCGAGCCCAAGAAGAGGAAGCTGAGTTGTGCGCATATATTTCGACTGGGAGGAGAGGCTGCCTGCGAACGAAAGTGTTGACCTCCAAGTCTCACAGAGCGACACAGCGAGGGAACATGTAGGACAGTGATAGAGGTTGCGAAGCTCCAGTGTCGTAATGATGGCAGGATCAATCTCCTGGGATGGTATCACTACAAGTTTGGTGGAAATGATTTTGCATGATGCCCATCACAGACTGCGATATCTTTGGGGCGGCGCAGGCGAGGAAGGCACCACGGATGAGGAGCCAACAACCTCATGAGACCCAAGTCATGAAGCGATCAGGGTGTTTGTGTTGATCGCGGTGATCGAGGCAAAAGAAGTAAGTGAGTGGGTTCGAGGCATTGATCACTCGGTTCAGGCTCTTGCTCAGGCTGGCGGTAAACGACGTTTAACTCGACAGTCTTGGGGGATGTGTATTACGCGACTCATGTTTTGGAAGCCCCGTGAGTGGAGTTTCAGAGCCTTTGTCAAGGGTCATGGTTCCAGTTGAAGGCCAAGGCTGGAGATGCAAGCAGGGATTAGGCAAAGCCGGCACTTCTTAGGCGTGCATTAGCCTAACCCGGAGCCCATTTACAGCCAACGCCTCCAACCGACAGCCTATGTGAATGGGTGTAGTGGTGGTAGTGGTACAGTCACATAAACTCAGAGGGGGCTTTCCAGGGCAGAGCCGGGACCCGGGGGTGCCTCAATAATAGGCGTGGCTTCGGTGAAGCCATCTTGGCACAGTCTGAGCGCCCACCATGCTACGCCTATCATGCTCCCTAAGTAGCACGAGGAGCCCAGGATCTCACGTCTTGTCTGCATATCGTTCCCAACTACCTGACCCACTGTATGCATATGCACATACGATAGTCAAAAGATCCCTTTGTTTGCATAATTGCACAAGCCCAGACGCTGGGGAGCCACAAAGCCTCAGCAGTCGGTGCGAGTACCCGTTATTGTTGGGGACAAGCCCAGAAACTGGGGCCGAAGTGCTTGTTATTAACCGGCACCAATGGACGTCACCCCTCCGAAAAGAAGTCCTTTAAGAACATTTGTTCCACTTGAAGACGCAAAGGCTCACAACTAAGCACCAAAATATCTATTTTAGGATGCTGCCAACCGAAGCTAGGAAGGCTAGCATCATTGAACAGTCAAATACTCCATTTCTTGACCCTATAAATCACGCGATATTGTGCTTACGGAGTGTGTCTGTGCCGTTATCGCAATCAATATGCGAGAGAGAGAGAACATTATGAAACATGCATTTTCTCCAACGATTGCCAATTGTGGAGTTCAGCAATGACGCTTTTCCCAAGACAGGCAGGGGTTCAAAACGTAGGGCAGACGAAAATAGATACAAATGTACCCATACCAAGGTGTTGAGAGTGTCGAGAGTCTAGAGAGAGTCGAGATGATAAGATCAATTCAAGATCCCTATGTCTAGGTACCTAAGGTCTCTGGGCCCTAGATACCCATAAACTCCATGTTCGACGATCACACCAGTGCACAATCTACCCTCTAGTGCTTCCTCACGCTTGACCACCCTCTGTAAAATTAAATTGCTACTTGGTAATCCATTCCCAGCAGTCTACAGGTATGAGCCTATCTCGAGTCGCTTATGCATCAAGTCCATACTGGGACACAATTTTGTTGGCCGCAATCGACGCGGCAAGGTATCCTGTCGTCTGTGTGTGGTTACTGTGAAAAGGTCAGATACGTTCGACAAGCCCACTGCCCACAGGAGCAATAGGTAAGTACTTACTTGACAGCGTGTGGGACCACACTGAGATCAACCACCCTTAGTCGATTGACTCCAAACACCTTGAACTCGTTGTTGACCACGGCCTCATCCTCACTTAGACCCATTCTGGCAGTTCCCATCATGTGCCACGTGGTATTGCTTGATTCTCGCCAGAAATTCAGGATGTCCTCCTCAGAGTCTGACTTTGGCGCGTTCTGGACTGCCACGGTATCCCGCTGGAACTCCGGGCTATTGATCACTTTCAGCATGTCCCTCGTGGCTTCTACCGCTGCCCTTCGATCATAAGGATGTGAGAAGAGGTTGGGGAAGAACTTTAGCGGAATGCTAGGATCAGCTGACGTCAATCGCATCTCACCAGCGGACTGCTGATTCATGAGAAACAGAAACACAGTGGTTCCTGCGCGGGAGCCTCCAGGGTTCACGATATGATCCAAGTGAAGACCATTGAGAATAAATTCCGAATGGGGCACCGTCGGATCCCGAAGGAATTGTTGTTTGTCCGCGGGTAATTCTTGGAATTCTTTGCTTTCGTAAATCGCCTCATGCTTCGACCAGCCAATTCCCATTACCACTCCCAGTTCAGCAAGAGGGCCGGTGCCATCTTCTTCCCACTGAGCTCGTGCCTTGGCTTGTAGTTCTTTGCTGCGGTAGAACTTGTGACGCTGGTCTGTATGCTCAGCTCGTTCGTACGAAAACACGGCATGAAGGTGGTCTCGAAGATGTTGCCCAACGTTGCCATTGTGCCTGACGACGGGGATATCGAATTCCTGGAGCTGATCACGGGGTCCAATGCCAGAGTGAAGAAGAAGCCGCGGAGTATCGACAGAACCAGCAGAAAGGATGATCTCCTTGTCTGCAAAATATTGCGTTCCGTCCAATGTCTCAATCGCTGAAGCTGTCTCCCCATCAAATATGACTCGAGCGACCTGGTTGTCTGTCAAAATATGGAGGTTGGTGCCGGCGCCTGTCAGTGCGTCCGCGGACGTGGATCGATGTCCTTTCTGAGCGGATGACCATATCAGGGATACTCCGATGGGATCTCCAAGGTTGGAATCAAGGTTGAGCTTTGCGCCATTGGCAAGCCAGATATCCATGAGATCTTGGGCAGACTGTTCTGCGACACGACCAAATCCCACTTTAATCGGTCCATCGTGTCCATGCTCCTCAACTTGCGGAGCAACATACTTCTCATAGCCCTGGGGGATTTGGTTATCGTAGCTTTCGATGCGCTTATACTGCTCATGGGCATTTTCCCACTTCCACTCGTCATCTCCAACAAGGCGAGCGATCTCATCGTGATCAGCTTTAGGACCAATGGTATAACAGGCGAAGTTGATTGCGGTGCTACCTCCAAGACCTTTTCCACGATCGTAGCCGATTGCCCTATTGTTGAGAGCTTCGATAGGTTCTGACATGTAATTCCAGTTCACCCCAGGATGCCGAAGATGAAACCACCTCTCACCATCGGCCCTCAAGCTGGGAGAATCATTCTTTCCTCCAGCTTCAACGAGGAGTACCGAAGGCCGGCTTGCAGTGTTCGCAAGTCGTGCAGCAAGCAAAGCCCCAGAAGCTCCAGCTCCAACGATGATGAAATCAAAGCTTTTTGGCCGTGCCGTCTCCGTCATGTTGAGAAAGGTTCACGAAATGAAGACTTGGTGGCGTGCAAGCCTTTGGGTTAAAGTTCAGGGATTCGATAACTGTCGAGTTGGTCAATATAGGTAGAACACGTAGGAAAAAGCACGATGGTGGTCCCTTTTAAATCCAAGCATCTCGTAGCACTCACGGACGAAACGTCGGCTAAAATAAACACGATAATCTTACAGTTCCGCTCCTCCACCCCAGAAGACCAGGTCAATCGTCTCGAGCTGACAGAGACGAAGTCATGGGTCGCCTGGTCAGCAAGCAAGGAGGAGCATCGACAAGTGCTAAGACTAGAGAGGAGCAAGGTAGTGACAAATATGTCATAGCTGAATGAGTTCCCGAACAGCAGAAACAATCTGTCGAATCCGGGAATAGGATACTTATTTTGAGACCCGGACAGCATTGACTCTCCGCCCTTGGCAGTCATTCAGAGTCGCATCGGTTGTTGTGTATGCAATGTGGTAATCATGCTGAGTCCTGCGATCTATACCGCACTACGATGACAAAGGAAGTCGTTGTCATCTGTGGAGATATAGCACAGCCCTATACAATATTCTTTCAACGCTCTGGAGCCTATCCTGGTGGGGGAGAGGAATATTGTAGTTAGCGTGTCTGGAAGCTTACTCCGTAAGCAGTAATCAGTAATAAGCCATTTGGATCCCATCAGTTGCACAACCTCCGCGGAAGGATTCAAAGGAGCCTTTTGGTTTAATACGGCGAAGGAATGGCACACTGGCATTGAATGTAGTTACGGAGGTTTGAGGTGGAGTCGAGAATCCTACTTAGGGTGTCGGCAAAAGGCTTGGCTCCTGTTCAAGAGTACTCCGTAAGCACAAGAAACAGTACCTTGTAATTACTTGATTAGGGAATTTGGACAGAGATCATGAGAGTGTGCAATTTGCATTCATTTAAGGTCAAGGATATTATTCATTGACATGGCTGACTCAACCTCGTGAGTCTAAAAACACGACAGCCCTGATGAACAGGGGAAACGGGGATGATACGAGGTTACAACATTTGGCACGTGCAACCTCATGATGAAGTGGCGGATTGCGCGAATTTTGATGACGTAATACTCCGCCGTAATAACTGCGTATCGGACAAAGGTGATCGGCTGGATTCCAATTTTTGCCTGTTTGGGTAGTCGCATCATTTCGTGGTCATAGGTCTACTCCGTAAAGATTTATTTTCTTCATCGTCAGAGTGCAGTGTTCCTCTCAATACACGTACACCGCCTGCCCAGCTCACCGATCCTACCGTGAGCCCCGCTGCTGGGCATATGGATCATGTCATACGCACTTTGCGCACGATCCATGTTGGCAGAGCGGCGAGAAGAGCACTGCTCAGACAGTCATTAGCCTCTTACCCTCGCCATGGACGACGGACCAATCTTCGCCGCTTAGCGACCGACTCGCAATCCGAGTATACATACTCCGAGTCAGCGATCCCCTTCGTAGAAGATGGATCCGCTGTTTCTGCAACAACGCTGCCAGCCTCGCCAACACCTCCCAAAAAACTTCATAGACAGCAATTACTGCCTGTCTCCTGCCCAGGCTGCGGCGCATTAACACAAGATGTCGAGGCAGGAGCCGCAGGATACTATTCATTCAACCGAAAGGCCGTGAAAGACCATGTCAGGCAACAACGCATGCAATATCGAGAGGCTCTGGATGAGAAAGAATGGCTAAAAGACGATGATACACATTCAGACATCGACCAAGGGAACCAGAACGCTCGACGCAAGGTCGTCGTACTGCAAGATGAGGAAGCGGTGAAGGAAGGTGAATCCGAACAATCTCTCTTACCCTCATGCGATCGTTGTCATGCCTTGAAACATGACTCCAAGGGCGAACCTATTGCGCATCCATCTATCGCGAACATTGCAGATTCCATTGCCGAGTCCCCCTTCGAAAAAAATCATATTTACCATGTCGTGGATGCGGCCGATTTCCCTATGTCTGTCATCCCTTCCATCCACAAAAGCCTCTCCGTGGCTCGACAACGCACCCAAAATCGTCGGTCGCGTCACGTCCTGCACTCCACCAAGCCGGGCCTTTCCTTCATTATCACCCGATCTGATTTGCTCGGTCCGACCAAGGAAAAGGTGGACCAGATCATGCCCAAAATTGTCGGTATCCTACGGTCGAAATTGGGTTATTGGGGGGCGAAGTTGAGGCTCGGCAACGTCCATCTGGTCTCCTCGAAGCGTGGCTGGTGGACTACAGGACTCAAAGACGACATTTGGCATCGAGGCGGGGGAAATTGGTTGGTGGGCAAATTCAATGTCGGTAAATCGAATTTATTCGAAGTTATCTTCCCCAAGGGTTCAAACCATCGGGCGTCTGCGTATGCCGACCAGGATGATGCCCAGAAACAAAGACTTGTCGACCTGACGACAAATTTGGACACTTTTCGTGTGGACAGCCTTCTCCCACCACCCCAGCCGGAGGCCCGATTTCCTCCGATGCCATTGGTTTCTAGCCTTCCTGGAACAACTGCCTCGCCGATTCGCGTACCGTTTGGAAGCCACAAAGGCGAGTTAATAGACATGCCGGGCTTAGAGCGGAGCGGACTGGATCATTTTGTGGAGAAATCTCACAAAGTCGACCTGGTCATGACTAGCCGTCCCACTGTGAGCCAACTCAACATCAAATTCGGCCAGTCTCTGATACTTGGTGGCGGGCTTATCCGCATCACACCTATTCTGGATGAAAATGATCCTTCCACAATTGTGATGGCTTATCCCTTTGTTCCTTTAAAAGCCCATGTCACGTCGACGGAGAAGGCAATTGGAATGCAAAATAAAACTCGTGAAAGTGGTGTTGAGTCTATCCTTGCTGGAGACGTGGAAACATCCATAGCATCAGCAGGCAAATTTGCTCTCAAGACTGATGTCACAAGATTCCGCGCGGGTTCAATGATCAGAGCAGGCGCCGACCCCAAGAAACTTCCCTTCGAGATCTTTGCCACAGACATCCTGATTGAGGGGGTTGGATGGGTTGAATTAGTCTGTCAGGTGAGGAAACGACGACGCCACCATTCGACGTCTAATTCTCTTGAACGGCCCTTTGAAGATACAAACCTCCAGACCCAGGAGAACACTCCAGAAATTTCTGCAGATACGACACCTGATGTTAGTGACTCTTCTGATGTGCTCGAAGCCTCTTCAGAGCCTGCCGCGGAAGACTTGGCCCCTCAGTCTAGCTCGTCTCTTTTGGAGCCGTCATTCCAGCCCTTCCATACTGGCCTCTCCGAGGAGATGACCAAGCCAAAGGCCGAGGAAGATGATGGTATGTTCCCCAAAGTCGAGATCTTCACGCCACATGGGCGATTTATCGGTCAAAGGCCATCGCTCTCATTGTGGCAGTCATGGCAGTCGGGAAACCCCAAGAAACAAGTGCGAAGCGGGCGGCCACGAAAGCCGATGAGCGGATCAAAGAAACGAGAGTCGAAAACGGATACAAAAGGGCCAGCAGAGTAAGGAGCTTGAATCTTGCAGGACTTTTGATCTATTCCGTTAAGACGACTATTTTGCCATAGGCAAGGTTCTTCTCCATGGTTTCATGAGCCTGAGCAATGTCATCCATGCGAAAGGTCTGGCCTAATTGGAGGGGCAGTTGGCCGTGTTGAACCTGTTTGATCATATCATGTAGCGGCATGCGCATGAATGTCTCTGGGCTGCCAGAGTACTTTGTGAGAGACACGCCGTTGGGGATAGCTTCCATTGGATTAAAGCCATTTAATTCCCATTCATTTCCTGTCAAATTAGGGTTTTGTAACATTAGCAACTCCGAATCAACACACAAGTACAACATACAAAAATGCAACACAATGTACAATATACATACCTAATATACCAGCCATACAGACAACTCCCGAATCAGCTGCACATTTCAATGAGTCTTTCAATGTAATCGTGCCCACGAGCTCCAAGACCTTGGTGAACAATTCATCCTTGATTTGGGCTGCGACATTTCCATCATCGATGATGATTTTTTCGACACCAGCGCGACGTAGAAGAGCATGGCTGCGTTCGCTGTTGCTACGAGTTGTAGCAGCGACATAAGCACCATGATTTCTTGCCAGTGCAGCGGCAGCGAGGCCCACAGACGAAGTACCGCCTCGAATCAGTAGAGTGTCGTCATGTCTCAATTTCAAGGCCGAAAACAAAGATCCCCATGCCGTCTGCAGCATTTCCGGTAATGCCCCTAAAATCGCCCAGTCCAGACTACTCTCGAACACCTGTACTTGATCGATATGTACGCATGTGTATTGAGCGTATCTGATATAGGGGTCAGCTGAGTTACCTAACTTGGTCAAGTCCAAGATCAAGCCAAATTGCAATTCCAGTTGCAATTGCTATTGATGAATCATAAGATAGGCAAGATCAACAATCTTTTTGCTGCACACTTACCCGCCATCAAAATCCCGTCCCATCCCTCCCATACACGTCGCGACCTGATCTCCCTTCTCAAACCTTCCACTTGGACATTGTTCCACGATCCCCACAGCCTCGATGCCGAGGACGCGTGGGAACTTGACGCTGGGGCTGTATCCTTGTCGAGTGTACATCTCGGACCGATTTAATCCAAAGGCTTTGACCTTGATGAGCACCTGATGTCGTCCTGGGACGGGTATGGGGATGCTTTCCACCTTGAGGACTTCTGGTCCACCTGGTTCGCGGATCACCACGGCTTTCATGTGATTGTGATGGTGGCTCGGCATTTTTGGTTTTGTTACCTAAGGTTTGATGAGGATTTTGGTAGATTGTAGTAGATGATGGTATTGCTGCTACCGGGTACTAGGACCCACGTGGTTGTTTTCAATACTTTTGTTACTTTAGGCTCAGTTCTTTGGGGTTGAGGAATTGGGAATTGAGAAACGGCCACGACCGTAGTGGTGGTGGTAAGCCTCATTCATGTGTCTCGCAAGGTCCAAAACACACAGTCACCCCACCCAAGAATCATCTATTCCGCCTTGCGGCCTTTTCAATTCTTATTGACGGTTGGCAAACTTTAATATTGGCTCGCGGACCTGACATCTCGTCATATCCGTTCGTTGGCTCCCGTAGAGCCTTCCTCTTGGCGTGCTACATTCAACGGGACGTCTGTGGTTCACCTTGACCACACCTCTGATCCAGGAAGTTCCCATCTTCTTCCGAATCACAGTGAATTTGGTCTGAGCTGGCCATCGACTGTGACACCTTTGGCTTCACTGACCAAGTCTGCGTATAACACCATACTTGGTGAGAATGTGGGTGAGACCGAAGGTCAACGATATTCATTAAGTGTATGTAGGTATGTGTTATCCAATTTGAGGGTATCTAAAGCAAACATCAAACGACCCGATAAAGATGCCAGCTATAAAGAAGGCCAATGCCAAATGCAGTCCCAGGCGTCGGCTCCAGCCCCACTCCAGTGATATCTTAACCCTCGTTATGAGGGTGTTGGGATCAAGGTGACCGTAAAATGGTCCGGTCATAGTCGTATAAGAGGATTGAGGATTCAGAAAACGTTGATCCCTCTGATGGTAAAGAATGCGAGATCTTCACAGAAGAGGTCCCTGTTATCCAAGCTTGGGCGGGTTAGGGGGCCTTCATCTGGAGTTGCGTTCCCCTTGCGGTGAATGGCCCTGCTCGTCACTATCTCCACTGCTGTCATCGTCGGTGGTGGACTCTCCAGTATTATATTGTGCTGAGACGGGTTGCCTTTGCTGTTGGATCTGGGGATGACGAGGGGACCGAGGACTGGTAGCTTGCAATCGGCGCAGGCGCTCACTGGTTTCGCGCAGGCGTGCGTCTAGGTCTTCGAGTTCATATTGCTGGAAATGGACTTCATCCTTTCTGTTCAAGACACAGCATGTAAGTGATGGTTACGATGGCAGTGGGGGCAAAGAGCATATGCTCAGTGGTGGACTTACTTGTGTTCAACAGATTCTTCCAAAGCACCAACACCGTTCAGCTTGAATAAGTCGTCCAGAGCTGCGGAGAATTCAAGTGCGATGACCCTGCAGACGTCATGTAAGTATTACGATCTTAAATGTCAAGGGATGATGTTGTCTTACGACTGAGGTCGGTTATTGGGTTTCCACTCCTCCTCACTGGATGCATTATGGTTGTTGTCGATGTTGCTCATGATGGCTGTTGATAAGCGATAAAATGGATTTGATGGATTTAATGTGACGCTGGGTAGTACAACAAGTTGTTCTGTTCGTCAAGGTATTGTTCGAGGGTGAGGGTAATGATGCGGATTACTTAAGGACGTGCTGAGGGCGTAGAGCGGGTAAACGAGGCAAAGAGGCAGCGATGGCCAAGTCTCTGGATTTAGTCAAGATTGTCCAGATTCCAAAGTACGCAAGAAGAATTAAGAATGCCAACGATGATGACGATGGCAACAGCGCAGACTCCAAGATGGCTGAGGGGGCAGCTGATGGAAAATGGGTTGCCCTTTGAGATGCAACGAGGGCAGATATGCAACGACAACGAAGAATCTCCAGTGACAAGCCCAAGCGGTCAGCCTTTCACTGGCACGACTGGATCATTATTACCTGCAGACTACAAGCTGCAACTCCAAAGCCGACTGGCTACTGCCCTTCTAAGTACAGTAGCTACCTACCTAAGGTACCAATGCCTAACACCCTGTACGGAGTACCTGAAGAAAACTCGAGCATGGGGTAATCTAACATGTGATGTGCATATCATCCTCCCACAAGTTGCAAGTTCCCAAGGCAATTTCAGTTGGCGAAAGGGGCACGACGGTTCATCATCCCATGATTTCCCTACCGACCCTCCCCAAGACCCTTACTCCTGGAGAAATGACGGGCCATGTATCAGATTTGGCTCGCGTCAAGTGGCAGAATAATGGGTCATTTTGGGTCCAACCAAACCCTGAGCCTCATCCCAAGGCGCCCTGGCGCTCTTTGGCTTGGGGCTTTATAGGGGCAACGCCGCCAACAGACCTCTCCCCGGGCCCTGCTGAGTGCAGCCTGTCGATCGTCTTGAGTGGAGGCTCCATAATTATCCATGTTGCCACATCTTGTCATCCCAGGTACCCGAGTTTCATCCGCCGGCAAGCCAGCGACTGACGCGCATGAGATCTTGTTGAAATCCAACACATTTGAAAAGAGGCTTGTCTCTTTCACGAACAAAAGTCATCTCGGCTGATTCTGAATTTTTACGTGTCTGATGATTTCTCTTGAGGCATACAGTCAAAGTGGCCCTAAAGTCTCCCAACCTACCTAGCTAGGCAATATACGGAGGTCCAGCGCCAATAAGTGTGTATTTGTTCATCGACACAACTTTGGTCAAGCGCTCTGAGCCCCAAGGGACCCAGCTGTTTGCCTGCCGAGCCCCTAAGAATTATGCCCCATGCCTAACTGCCACCTAGACCTTGAGCTCCCCAGTTTGTTAGGTAAGGTCAAGGACTACTGTATACCAACCTTACACATCCTCATCTCATGACCATTTGTCTGCAAGGAGAAAGGGCTGCTGGTCTCTAGCCAACCTAGGCAAGCTAAGTAGTCAATCAAGCCAGAGTATTTCATCTTTTCGGTTAAACTTCAGATTCTGGATGAGCCGGATCTTCGTGCCCCCGCTCACTGCTTCATCACCATCTTGTCATTATTATTGCAGCCGCGTTGTTGTCCTGATCTCCAAGACCATCCAGGCCAAATGAAATTTTTCTCCATTCATCCAAAACGCCAACAACTACATCGTATCCGTCTCATCACCCATCCTAGCTCCAATCTCTCGTTCCAGCCAACATCTGCGCCAAACTTCGTACTATCGTCAAACCCAGCCAAGTGCACGAATATCGCATTGGCCAGGGCTGCACCTCCCTCTGCAGCTGAGACCTCGCTGTCGCGCTTGCACCGTCCTCAATTTCCCTGACGACGACAATGGGATGCCTTCTTTAAAAGCCTACACGCATTACGAGACTCTTGCATTCTGTCAGTTAATTGCAAGCCATGGACTGGACCCATCCTCTTTCGAAGACATTTCCACCTCCTTGAATGCCAATCAACTCATTCGCGAAAGCACCACCTATGATCAGTCGCGATTCACGGCCACCGCCTTGCAGACACTCTACGATGAGTTGCTTTTGGCTGAAAAGTCGGCCCAAAAACCTGCCACGAATGGTGATACAAATACCAAAAAGCGAAAGTTGTCGGCCTCTCCTAGTCCACCAGAAAAAGAGATCCCATCAGACGAAGATCTTTTCCAGATTCTAGTCGAACGGTTATATGGTCGATTCAGGGAACAAGCCATCAAAGAGATTCGTCAAGATGAGGAGGCCTATGCCACTTTACAGAAGGATGTCACTGAGCTCGAGAAGAAGGTGAAAGATGAGGAAGCCCAGCAGAATCGAGCGCGAGCGCTGCTTCAGAAGGCCCAGGCCGACCTAGACGAGAAGAAAAGAAAGGACCGGGAAGCATCCAAGGCCGCTCAAGCTCAAGCTCAAACACAGGCCCAGCCGCAGGCTCAGACTACGGTACCACAGAATCTTCCCAGCCCCGATCCTGCTGCTGCACAATTGCAAGCAAGTCTCGATGCGACTCGACCTGACCTCCCAATTCCTCCGTCCACAGCTCCGTTGGAAACGAAGGCTTCCCCCTCACCAATCCGGACTACGCAACCGCTGGCGCCGTCCAAGTCGCCTGTTCCATCTACGACACCCATACCGGTGTCCGCGAGGCAGTCGGCTGAGCCAAATGCTAGTCGGAACTCGCAACCTCCATCAATCGGGCCCTCGACACACAACTCCCCAGGCTCTTATCCTCGAACTTTGCAAGTCCCACCGCAACGACCCAACTACGCGCCTATCAATCCTCAACATTTCCAGCCAGGCCCTCATGGCCAGCCAGTGCCGATTGTCCCTCATACCCCAGGCATGCCCATGCCTCCACCAGCCGAATTTCCAAATCTGAAGAGAGCGAATTCTTCAGGTCAGGGCAGAGGATCTCCAATACACATGACACCTCAGCAGGCGTACCCTCCGTATCCTCCCTATGGTCAAGCCCCTTGGCCCCCGCATATGAGTCCACAGCATCAATTCCAACAAACGCCTCCATATCCGAACCAACCCTATTATCCACAATCGCCCAACGGCCGGGGCATGCCATATCAAACACCTCATCATCCCCAGTATCCTCCCTTCCCACAAAGCGGTCCTGTTCACTATCAAGGTCAGCCACATCCACAAGGATGGTACCCTCCTCATGGCCAACCATATGGCTTTTCAGGGCCTCCTAATGTGACACCGGGCCCACGATCTGAGTCACGGCGTGCTCTGTCGAAAGGACGATCGTCAACCCCTTGGAAGAAACGGCTAGAGCAATCCTCAAGTTCACGACTACCCAGCCCAACCCGGCCGGAAAGAGAAGTTAGTCCCCTCACTGACACAGAGTCGCCGTCTCAGCCAGGTAAACCGACACGGTCGTCGACGACGACGACGAAGGAGCGACTAGCGGCAGAGTCACCGACACCAACTCGAGAGCGACAATCCACTAGGGGTCAACGAGTCGCTTCTGCTACGCCGTCAGCAAGATCCCCGTCTGCTGCTTCCATGACCTCTGAAACTCCGACGGAAAGTCGCAGGAAAGGCCGGCCTCGAAAGATCAAGGCAGAACCACCGAGCACCCCAGCCGCCATCGCTTCAGATAACGAACAACCAAAGCCATCTGAACGCCGCGGCCGCTCACGAGGGGAAGCACTGGCATTGCCATCAGAGATTCATTCTACTGGCACTACAGCGCAGAAGCGTAAACGATCGACAACACGAGATAGTATCACTCCGTCGTTACCTTCGCCAGAACCTCCTCGGTACTCTACGGCTCAATTTACACACGATCCAGGCTACGTGGTTGTATCGAAGAACTTCCACAAGACGGCCCTTCTCCTCATCAACGACATCTCGACTCACAAACTGGCGGGAATCTTTGGCAAACCGCTTTCTGAACGAGATGCGCCAGGCTACAAGGATTTGGTTCTCCGACCACAAGACCTCAAGAGCATCAAAGCCGCCGTTTCCAAAGGTGGCAAAGCTGCACACATTGCAATCGAAGCCATCGAAGGAGATCAACGGAGCGGTGTAGAAGAGAGCACAGAACCATTGCCACAGGGTACTGAGTCCGAAAGCAAAGAAGGGTCATTAGGCAACGGCATGTTCTTGGTCAAGACATTTGAAGACATCGTTCCACCCAAGGGGATTGTGAACTCGAGCCAGCTGGAAATGGAAGTTGCGAGAGTCTTTGCCAACGCCGTCATGTTCAACCCACTACCTTCGTCAGAAAGAGGCTTTGGCCGATCTCTTCGTCTTCGAAGAAACGGAGGCACGCTCGACCCGCCCCGGGAGACCGAGCGGGGCGATCATGACAACAACGACGACACCGACAACGAAGACGACGAAGATGAAAACAACGACAACAACAACGTCGAACGACCTTCTCCCAGTCAAGACTCGGAGGGTTCGCCGCTTGACAGCGAAGGGGAAGGCGGTATCATCGCCGACACGCGCGACATGTTTGAAGACGCTATCGACCGTGTGTCCAAGTGGAAAAAAGTTGAGTCCGAAAGATTGGCCGGGCCGGACGAAGCGTCGGCTCAGTTGACTTCGAGACCTACAGCTACAGCTGCGGCTCACGACAAAGGCAGTGCCTCGGTGGCGGCTAGTGTCCGCAATTCGAGCGTCAGTTCAGCCGTGCCAGATGAAGAGTCTGGTCCGGCCGTTGAGAACAATAATACCACTGCTGCTACGCCCGCCGCCCATGCTCCAGGCACGGCGAGGAAGAGGAGACGTCTCGCTGATTGAATCAACGTCTCTGTGGTTGATTGCAGCATTGATTGACCAATTACTGGCGGTCTGGAACTAAAAGGAGGTGGATGAATGGCGGGTATATCAAGTGATAATCAGACTACGTAGAACTGCCTCATGTGAGCGGGCGTGCTTACAACAGTCAGTCCAAGAATCTATCTATACTAGCTGGTCACTCGATCGATTGGGCCTCCATGACGCGTGATAAACCATGACGATCTACAATTCTGAGAAGGTTTCGTTGCCGTCCCCAATGCCTTTTTTCCTCGCTGTAATTGATATGAGAGTATCAGAGATGACTTGATAATGGTAATGATAATCCACCTGTCCTTCTTCCGTGGGATGCCATTTTCATTTCGTCAGCGCTATTTCGCCAACAGGCTTCGACTTGAACAACGTCTCGACAGATGGACCACCATCTACCTATCTGAATGACGTGGAAAAGAATGTTGCCTGGCCTGCTGAGGCTATTCCCCGGACTTGAGCACCAAAGCAGGCAGTGGCATGAGAATAGAAAACTATTCAGGCGGCCAAAGCAAAGTATACTGGAAGGGCCTTGCAGCCCTCTTAAGTCTAGGTACATGAGATGAGGTCATGGCGCGGAAGTGAGTTGGTGCGAGACATGATCCTTTTGTGTACATATACCCAGGACACCCAGGGTATCAGGTATCTGGCGACCTGGCCTAGGTTGAATAGGGCTGATCGCGCCGAAAATGCACGGTACGTCCTTTTGCGACTGACTAATAGGGTAACGGGCATGGGGAAACCCGGAAAAAGCGGAAACGTCAATGGAAAGAGAGGGGGGAGATAGAATTGGGGCTTGGACAAGAGGCCGATCGAGTGAATCAATAGCTGGGGTTTCTCGCTTCGCTTCTGTTTGCGGTGCGGCTTTTTCCATACTGCATATCGCCGGGCCGGGGCGGTCTCATGCTAGTTCTCAGTGAACAGGGAATGGTCCGAGGCCTCTGCAATGGTCGTAAGGCGTGCCTCGACGGCTCACTGGTGGTGCGATATGCAGATGGGATGATAGAATATGTCAGCAGTCCGGGGTCTATCTCCAGATTTGGCCGGGCACATGAAGAATCAACGGTAATGAGTTGGGATTTGGGTTGGTCGAATGGGGAGGAGTAAGCAAAAGGGAGAGCGGGACAGGGAAGCCGCATTCTACCAGGGCGCATGCATTCGAGAAGGTGCATGGGTGATGGGAAAGATGTGTTGTCTCTTTCCCACCTTGAACCGAGTTGCAGTCGCATCAGAAAGGGCGGATCGGGGCGCACCTGCCGATCTGTCAACCGACCCAGCATGCTGTCGCTGGGGTCCAGTGGCTATGAGAAATCCGAGAGAAAGAGTTTTTGAGGTCAGCTGCAGTATGCACACCGCCGGATGCGGCCTCACCGGTTCGTGCATTAGCTGATGACCGCTTCCAAACACGTGGGAAGCTGCTGACCGCGTGACAACTAGGTCAAGGATGAATTTGGACAAGAGGCATTCATCGACACATGGCTGTGCGGCTGCCCTATCTAGGGACTGAGCCTTGTTCCCAACAGATACATGGATGTCATTGGGCTGGTCGTTGCGACTGGTCTCGTTCGGGAGGACAACGATCTGGGTGTTCGATGGGCAGCTTACCTGGGGAATGCGATAACAAGGGAACAGGGTTGATGTCTGACGGTCGCTTCCAGATGAAAACCAATGCATGTACATCGTTCCCAAGTCCAAACCTTGTACGGGGTTTCATTCCTTGAGCAGAGGATACAAAATCAGCATCTACCTTTTGTCCATCCTTTGTTTTCGCAGGGTCATGCAGGAGGGTCATAACCGAGTCCATAACGAGTTGTAGTCATTTGGTGCTACTTCGATAGTGACAGCGTTCACCAATGGAGTTGTATCTGCTGGCCACAGATCGTTACTGAGGGCGAGGCGTTGATGCAATGCGACAAAGTCGGACGTGAAGTCTGGCTTTCGGTTGAATGTTGGCTGGCAGGCCACCAGGCTGATAGTGGATCCATAATACCGGCAATCCTGATCTTTGTTGGACGTCGAAATTGGATGGTGACTGTCTGAAAGAGGCAGCTCGGACCATGTGCAGTCAATGAGCAGCATTGTTTTGCAGTCTGACTGCTCGTGGATGCGGATTTGGTTACACAGCATATCCTCGCTGCAGCACAAGATATACTCAGTATTCATTGGGTATGGTTTAGGTGGAATATCATGCTGCCGTATCGTGACTTTGCTAAGGAACCTGTTATGGTCTCGTTTTCGTTTTCGCATTCAAACTATTGTCTTTTGAAGTGTATCATGCAGCCTCTCTCTGCGCACAGACGAGCCCATGACGCTGACGCGTATGCAAAAACTCGTAGTGGACAGACACCAGGTGATACGAGGGGTTCTTGGAGCAATGACACGGATGACACTTTATTCATGGGTACCTAACCTACTGACAGGACCTAATGTTTATGACGCGAGATAGGTGAGCAGGCATGACAGGTCCTCGGATTTGTTGCGAGTACCTCCGTTTCCCAGGGCATACTGTACATTTAACTGATGGCTAGGCGTGCTAGGCAGGGGAGTCATGTCATGGTGGGTTGGAGGCACGGGAGGTAATGTCATGTCACTATCTGTGCTCTCGTCAAGCCCAGCGGAGTCGAACTCAAATTGGGCACCACTACGGAGTATGCCTGCTTCATGGCAGGATCCTTGTTAGCCGAAGTGTGAAGAAGGGTCGTACGTGGATGGAGACGTACGGAGTATGAGTCATGGACTTGGACATCGCAATGACCCTCCAACACGCAAGATAAGCGTAGAGCATCCCAGGATCTCCCTTCTGCTCCTGCCTCGCTTGTACTCGTAGCCAACCTACGGAGTAACTCCGTACATGCCTACTCTTCTGCCTCCTACTCAAGTACGCCAGTGTACAGAAGGCAAGCACACAAGAAAACCCTGAAAATCAGCAGCTGCCACGTCATGTCAAAAGGATCCTGCGGACGATTCCCAGGTCAATCAATGCTCGGCACGGGTTGCTTATGGTGATGTGATTGGAACCTGGACCAAGATACGGATACTGTGACGACCACTGACGACTTCATCTAAATCTGGGGTGCATCCACCGTGGCTGCCATGTTGGCACGTCTTGGCGATGTTCGTCCAGTTATGATGAAGCGGTCCAAGAGTAGTACAAATGAGTGCCGACAAGCGAAGTAGGACGACGTCACGCGCTCCACTGGGCGCCTGCACGTCCTTACTCCTGAAACAGGGACATAGGGAGAGACTCGTGGCAATGTCGATCAGCTTCTTACACGTACGGAGTACATTATGCGTACACAAACCGAGATAGTGGCCTGGCTACCATTGCTTGATAGGCATACGGAGCATGTCAAGTCTAAATTGAACTTGGCCTACTGTAGCGACAACAGGAGGGTGTCGCGTCTCCTGATTATCTTTCGGAGAAAGGATCCCAAGATCGGCGGTCAAGGTGATCTGGGAGATTTTCAGGGTCCCAAATGAATTAATAAGTGGAGGAGGTCTTAATATAGAACTCATGGTGGTTTCAAGCCGGATCAGTGGATGTGTATAGCAACGGTCAATTTCATGCATACCGTGCATCCCATGGGTCTCATGGTGTCATCGATAGTCCTGATTGCCAATCTATGATTCAGAGTCAAAGCTTACAGAGGTGAGCTGGCAGAGGTCACCAAGGGTGACAGCTATGCCGTGCGTCTGCAAGGAATGTGAGCAATGCGGGCACTGACGAATGCACACAGTAGTGATAAATTATAGCGCGCAAGTTTTGGGATATCGTGCATCACTGGTGACTTGTGATTTTGGTAGTCCAATCCACGGGCGGCGCACTGGGCAGCGGAAGTCTTCGGCTGTGCCTGAGCTGGCTGGTGGCAAAGCATGCGTGTTTAACTGGCAGACTGGCAAGTTGGCACCGTTGGCAACCTTTGGTGACCTGGAAGGTTTGAAGGGCCGAGGGCCGGAGAGGGGAACAAATGGGTGGACATGGACGGAGATCCCGGCTCTTGCTGGAAGGTCAATGAGTCCTTCGTAGCCTATTACTATTACTTAGTGGGCCCAACGGCTTGGAAACGTGGGCAGGAGTGCAGCTGCAGGCAAGGGAGTAACTGTGAGGACCGAGAGAACCTCGAGTCGGCCTGTCTATCAAATACAGTACATGGTCATTTCAAATACAGTTTTAGTTCATGGTCTCTCATCCTCTTTTTGCAAAGGGATGGTTCGCGGTTCCTGTGGGCATTCGCTTGAGTCGCAAGCGCCCGCCCTGTCCAGTCGAGGTGCATTGTTGCATGCGAGCAAAGGGAACACAAGATTGCGATCTGGACCAAAGGGTCGGCTGATCATGCTTTCGTGGGGGTTCGATGGTCAACACGTTGGGTGACTTGCAGCTTAGGCAAGAGGATTGGAAGTGAGGTTGTCCACGTAGTCCACGGCGCGGCGGTCGTGAGGCGATTTCCTGGAGTGCCAATACAGGTGATGAGATGGATGCCGATAATCCTAGAACTCCAAGCCACGTCGGCTGATGCAAACCAGCAAGCTTACACGTCGGTGCTGGCAGTGCTGCACGTCGACGTTTGTATCTCGACGTCGGACTTATGTACTCCCACTATAGTTCAGTGGTCAGAAATGAAATGCAGAGTCACAGCCTGGTCGCCTGGCAGCCTGTCCTCCATCGGAACCACACGCCTCAGGAATCATCTGCTAGTCAAACCTGTACATGGACTAGTGGCATGCTGATGCTGCACGTTTGTTGCGCAACCTCTGCAGTTTCGGCCTGCATCTCACGGGTCTCGTGCCACCTGGTCGGGCGAAGATACGGAGAAAGCGTCTGCTGTCAGATCCTTTCCATCATGTAACCCCAGAACAAAGAAGCAACAAGTCTTGACCCATGAATAGAGCCCTCTTCTAGGTGAGATAATCATCAATGATCACGAAGCAGCACTCAGTCGCTACCAAAAGCGCTCTACTTTGATCTGAGGCGTGCGTAAAATATCCGTGTCCCCCAAGGCAAGCATCAGACAGGCCGGGTACCTTTCCCAACTAGTTTTAGGCTTCCAATTTAGGCAGGTAGATACCTGTGGGACCTGGGGGTTTTCAGGTACGATCACGTCGTAGGAGAGCTTGGACAATTTCCCTCCAAGGGAGCTGGCTCAGCTCAAGCCTCGCTCCCACTTCCCACTGGGACCTGGTCCAAGCGTGGCGAACTGTCGCGCTGGCTGATTCTCGCGAAGTCGACGTCTGGGAGAGAATCGTCGAAGCGAACATGTCGACGCCAAGGATGCCAGGAACTTCCCACGCTCCAAGCCGGTCAGCTATCGTTGCTAGCAGCTGCCTTTCTCCGTAAAACGCACCATGATCCGGTCTAAATTCGGAGTGACGACACGTACGAGAGTACTCGTTATACGTCTTCGTGCTAGTGCACACTCCGTAGCATGGTCTGCAAGCCAGCCGTGTTCGGGTTTCGGATTGGCGAGAGCAGATGAGGAGCACACGGTGGATCTGAAATCGGATGTCTCTAACCAAGCTGGGTATCCTCCTGTGTGACCTCGACCTACTCCGTACGGTACCATTCGACAAGCGAGGCGGAATGAAAGCAATCCTCCAGGCTCCAGATACGCCGAACCATGACCAAAGAACCTAGCAATAAAGGTTAATGTACGCATACGCTGGTACAGGACATGAAATGAGCTGCCATTTCTAGCTTGACAAGGGAACGATATCGTTGGTCAAGACAACAAGGATTGTCATTTTTGCGACTGGTGTCTGTGTGCCATGTCACCATTCGGTGCGGCAGTCGCGTTGGTGATCTCTACTATACGTAACTTGGAACCTCCATGCCACAAGTCAAACAGAAGGCCGCAATCTCTCCAGATCATGACAAGTAAAGACTAGGGTGTGGATGACAGATCGTCGATTTCTATGCGTACGAGTAGACATAGGGTTCTCGGACTGGATGTCGGAGGGGCTCTGCACAAGCGTCACAACTCAGCCTCAAGCGCCTCCCAGCGACTGCCAGTGGCTGTTTGCTATGTGCTCGTATATTTAGTTAAAGTCCGCCAGGTCTTTAGTATGTAGAGCGAACCACTGTAGTGACATTTATTAGTCCCTAGGTGTCAGGGCTGAAGTGAAATGCCTACAGTCCAAAGACCTTGAGACAAAGCAACAAAGCACTCAGTTTCATCCTAACTTCTGGGATCAAGTGAGTTTGGGACCCGTGCGGCTTCAAAGTTTGGATTTTGCCAAACAAGAGTCTGCCATCGTGACAGGAGGCAGATCCCACCAATGATGCACATCTTCTCCTGAAGGTCCGCCTACGAAGTCAGTAGTACCGAGTTTATTGGATGTAGCCTCTGGTGTCGTGGGTCATCCGTGTTCTGAATAACCTGCCGCGAAAATGCCATTTGACCACCTGGACATTGAAATAGCACGTCGCTCGATGTAATGACAATGCCATTCTGTACAATGCCCCTTGGCCGTTTAAGTCTGGGAGCTCCCGCTTGCACTTTAGACTCCACGCAGCATCATCGACCTGTGTTTGCCCCGGCTCTTTGTGCTTTTTGGGTCCTGGAGCCCTGTGAGCCCCCCAAACTTGTATCTGATTTTGGCACTAACGAGAGCCCATTTCAGCCACTCACCCGCCCGGACGGTTGACAGAATCTTTTGTTAGCGAATCCCATCCCTGAACCATGTCGATTGCCCCCCGGCCAACTTGGCCTTGACCATGCGTGCTATGACGGCTACAGAGTGGGATGAGTCTTGCCGCAGAAAGCAGTCGGACAATGCTCCCCAGTGCTCCTCTAGCCCCCTCGGCCATATTGGAGATGCGCACTCCGTAGGCTGCAGTCACTCACCTGCACCGACCCACTGTCACTTGCACTGGTGCACAAACTGCACTGATGCACTGCTGCAAGTCCCGTCCAGACGACGTGGCCCTTGCTCCGCCTCCAGGCCTCAGACTTCCGAGTGGACGGTTCCCTACCATTCTAGAGGGAAGTATGATTCGTCCTTTCCCCAAACCAATGCTCGGGAATCTGCAAGACAGACCGGCCCTTGCAACGTCCACTCGCCCTGGAATTTCTCTGCATTTTCTTTTGCATTTCTGCTTTTTGCGTGTCTGCCCTGGTCTCTTTTGGTCTCTTTGTCCTTGAGGTCTTGACCCCATTTCGTATCCTCGCTTCCGATTTTTCCTCCTCGTCCATTCGTTCCTTGTCCTCCTCCTCTCTTCGTCCACTGCCCGTCGTTCGTCACGAATCTTGCCTTCCCACTTTTGGCGCGCCTGATCCTCCCTTCCCTTGCACCTTGCAACCTGCTTACAACCCGGCTCCTTGAAATCGTGCTGCGCACATTTCTACACCATCAAATCCCACCAGAGCAGAGAGACAACTGGGTTGCTTCTCTCTCGTCCCTTCCTTTGTTCTCATTACTTCGCCGTCTACACGCTCTCCTCAAAAAAACCACCGCAGCGATCAAACCCTGCCCGTCCATCCGGACCTCCACCACCACCATATATCCTGTCCTCTGCTCGAGATCAGATTTGACCTCGTCACCGCTACAAAGTACAGATCCCAGCCTCGCTTGGACGTCAGCTGGTCTTCTCGCATGATCTGACCGGCGACCTACATTCGACTAATCTCGTCTGCAGCACGTACAGGCTTCCGCACCTTACGACTGCAGGGTTCTGCAAGGCTCAACACTCACTGTGCCTACCTCCAAGGGTGCGCCGCTGCCTTGCACAACCGGAACCGTTTCTTCGCTCTCTCCTACTCCTTTAGCAGGGTTATACGAGCCTCCACCCTCTTCTGAGTCATGGCGACATTCTTCACCATGTCCTGACAAGCATTCGCATCAGCTTGCCAACATCACGGCCCCGACAACTTTCTACGCAGCACTATGAAGTTGTCAAAGACCTCACGACAGAGCTGGACTCATTTGTACCGTCAACTTCGACCCTGAAATCCTCATTCACTTCCTTGTTCCAACATGACTTCTGTTACCACATCGCCCGCCGTCAGGGCTCTCCAGAGTCGAGAGCCCTCTCCTTCACCTCGGGTTCGTCCACTGGCTCGTATGCCCTCAATTCAGAGGGTCAACTCCGCCGCCCTTCAAGGCTTCGCTGTCACACCGGCCCCTGCTACCACAAATTCTTCGGTCGCCCCAAGCCCATATCTGCCATCTCAAAGTTCATCTCCCTTGGTCGCTGTCTCCACCTACCAGTACTCGCATCTAGGAAGTCCAGGTCCCCTGGAACTACCAGAGTCTATCATCTCCACGGCCAACAATCCATTTTCTACCCAGAAGGAACCCTTTCCCAACACAAAGGCTGCTCTCATACGCAAGTTATCCCAAAGTGCCAAAGATGGCGTCACTTCAACACGCCAGATTCTGAGAAGAAAGGCTTCTTCTTCCGCTCAAAGTCGCCGAGATGAAAGCACTGGCCCCATTGCTCGGAGACGAAGTGATAGCAAGACCGCCACTACTAATAGTGGTATACCTAGTGGCATCCCTAATGGCATCCCTCCCGACCTATCACCGGTCGACATTGTCTCCCTCGATCCTCAACCTGGCCTCGGTCTTTTCGACACATTAAGTTTGTCTAGCGAGCCAACTTTGATCGATACGAGCCCCGAAGGTCGAGGTCCCTGCATCCCAGAACGACTCGTGGCCGGATCCTGGTTGACCAAAATCACCAAGAACAAAAAACAGGAAAAGCTCTTTTTCTTAGACCCTGAAGGCTCCCGCGTCTCTTGGCGAGGGATAGCCACCATGAAATCTTTCCATGTCGACAACATCAAAAGCATCCGCAGCGGAGTAGAAGCTACGAGTTACTCGCAGAACTTTCGTGGTGAAAGCGTCGACCCTGAGTTGTGCTTCACCATCAACTATGCCGCTTCAGATTCTTCAAAGTCTGTCAAGACTTTGCATCTTATAGCTCACACTCATGCTGACTTGAAACTCTGGCTCGACACCTTGGAAAGCGTCTCCAAACATCGTGAAGAGTTGATGACAAGCATGGTGGGGTCCACTGAGCGCGAATCCATCATGCGTGCACACTGGAACTATGAGATTGACAAACGCTCACACAAAGTGAACCCTGACACACCCGATGGACTTGACTTCCAGGCCATCCAATCCCTGTGCCGCAAACTTCACATTCACGCTCTCGAGAAAGAATTGGAATTACAGTTCAATGCTGCGGATGTGACCAAGTCCAAGCTGTTGAGCTACGAGCAGTTTAAAGACTTTGTGCGAGGCCTTCGCGAGCGACGAGACATCAAAAAGATCTTCAACGAGCTCAAAAAAGACAACTCGTTGCCCGGTCTCACTCGAGCTCAGTTCTCCTCATTCCTCAAAAACACACAGGGTGTCTCGATAGATACCCTTACAGATCCATCAATCTGGGAGACAAAAATCGACGACCTTGTCGCCAGTTCGTTCCCCGAAGACCCTGAAATGAAAGCTGTAGGACTCATAGATGCCAATGCCTTCGCCGCTTTCATCATGTCCAAGGATTGTCATATCTACGCACAGCCAGAAGTCCTGCCTCCGCGCTTCGACCAGCCCTTGTCCGAATATTTCATCTCCAGCTCACACAACACCTATCTCACCGGCTGGCAAGTGGGTGGTACCTCCTCGGCGGAAGCATACATCACTGCTTTGCGCCATGGCTGTCGCTGCATTGAAGTCGACTGCTGGAACGGTGCTGACGGCTTTCCCAGAGTCACCCACGGACGTACCCGCACAACATCAGTCTTGTTCTCCGACTGCATCAACGCTATCAATAGTTGTGCATTTGACGTCTCCCCATACCCACTGATCATCTCCCTTGAGGTGCACTGTGATCTAGACCAGCAGGCCAAAATGGTCAACATTATGCATGAAGCCTTCGGTGACCGTCTCTTGTTGCATCCGCTTCCCGGCGCCACCAACAAATTACCCTCGCCCGAGCAGCTTAAATTCAAGATACTCATCAAGGTCAAGTCTACCGAACTTCATGCTGACCTTTCTTCGCTTCGCCGCACGAGCTCCAAGCGCCGTGATCGCAGCGGGAGTTCGCCCAACCGATCCATGGTCCAGACAACCAACTGGGTGAACCAGACCTCGACGTCTGTGCCCAACGCAGCCTTGATCACGCCACCGGAGACACTATATTCTCCTACCGACCGATCGGTGACGGTGACAAGCGCCAGCAGTGCCGGCGAGGAAAGTGACATTGCGGGACCAACGTCCTCACATCCACGTCATCGGAGAGGTGAGAAGATCGACAGGTCTGCAAGCGCCGTTACAGAGCCTGTGCGGACTAGCCCCAAAATGAGCAAGGTTGGTCCGTATCTCTCTGCCCTCGGTGTGTATCTCAAAGGCTACACCTTGCGGGAGAGTCGAGACCTCGAATTTCAGCAGTACAACCATATCTTCTCCCTGAGTGAGAACCGAGCTATTGAGCTATGCCACTCTCCCGAAGACAAGGCTCGTTTTGAAGACCACAATCTCAAGTACTTGTGCCGCGTCTATCCCAAAAACCTTCGAGTCCAGTCGTCAAATTTTGACCCGAACACATTTTGGAGACGAGGAGTTCAAATGGTTGCCTTGAATTGGCAGACATTTGACGCGCACATGCAAATGAGTCAAGCAATGTTTGCTGCTGGCAATGATGCCTTTGGCTATGTTCTGAAGCCAGACTACCTCCGCAAGTCTCGTGTCAAGTCCTCGGTTTTTGAGCACCGGGTCAAGCTACCACGCTACGAGACCAAGTTCTCGGTTCAAATCATTTCAGCTCAACAATTACCACGACCTGCAAACATGAGCAAAGAGACGCCCTTGAATCCCTTCATTGAGGTCCAGATGTTTAGCGCCGAGGACCGAGCACGTGGGATTGCCAATGGCTCAGGTGGTCAGCAAGCATCGCGCAATGATGGCTATCACGGTATCGGCGTTCCCTACCGACGTCAAACGTCCATCACGTTTGGAAATGGCTACAACCCTCAATTTGGAGAGACCATCGAACTCGGCCTTTGGACCAAGTATCCGGAACTCGTCTTCGTCCGATTCATCGTTTACAATTCAGACGATGGTCGACCTGCGGGAAAGGGGGTCAAACAACTGGCTGCATTTACCGCAAAGTTGGATAGCTTGCAAAGAGGCTATCGCCACCTGCCTCTCTATAATGGCTACGGCGAAGAGTTCATCTTCTCTACCCTTTTCTGCAAGATTGCCAGACAAGACCGTGCGTTGTTGCCGACGTCATTCAGAGAGAATGAACGACCCTCTCGATCCACCATCCTGCAGAGCTTCATCGTCCGCGGTATGTCTGGAGATCGTAGCAGAGATCCCTCGTCTAGCTACGAAGAGAGTCGCAGACGCAACCAACCAACCGAGTCTGAATGGAAAGACTGAAACTGTTGCTAAACAGTGAATTTGCTTGTACGATATAGCAATTTGTATCAATGTTGGAGTGGGCGTTATGAGTTTGACTAGAGATACCCGAACAAACAAAATGACTTGATGACACTTGACTAGATCTGCATGTCTGGCGACGGACTGTTATCAAATGGGTTCACATACGAGGGCGAGTTGTAGCCACGACCGCCCGTATTCTCCTATGTATTCCTAGATAGGTAAATAGTTGGAGGCTGTTTGGAATTTGATTGTTTCCTTTCCCCGCGCAAGGCAGAGACAAGGCGAGAGCCACTTGGTCCTTAGCTTAAGTATCCTACTATTTGTCCGTGATGCTGTCTTGAGTTCAACCCTTGTATAGTGGTCGATTGCTTGCTCCCCCTGAATCCCCACTGCCTCTCATTCCACTAAGCATCTTTGCGCGAAAGAAACGGTCTGACGGAGGTATACTAACACTGTCCTATAGCGGAATCATCTGTCGAAAAGGGTTTGGTGGGCTGTGCCGACTGATAAAGTGGAATGGTCGTCCATACGGAGGGCTCAGGTCTTCAGCGGTCAGAGAAAATAAAAGGCTTAGAGGCTTGGCTGCAGCAATTGCGGAACTGCCACATCCAACGTCGTGACTTGTGTGCAGCCTGACTTTGTTCTTCAATTCTGCCATCTCATCCGCGAACCTGGCTGCAGTGGCTGTGTAGGAGGAGGCCAGCTACTGCAGTATGGCGTGAACTGTTCGATTTTGAGACAAACAATCATCCGGACGAAACAAGCACTCAACGCCCTTCTACTCTGGGTGCGGAAGCATCTTTTAGCACTTTCAGTGAAAGACATTTCAACCAGGCAAACGTCTTGCCCCAGGGGCCGAACATGATGCAGTGGATCGAGGGTTTCGACTCGCAAAACTTCCAGCTTGACATCGTCGGTAAGCTCCTCCTCAGGCGGGCCCGTCCGCAAGGCTTGATTCCTTGGTGCTCACTGGCGACGCCTAGGTTTTCTTGCCATCCTTGGAGAGGGTTCCGTTGAGACAATCGCCCAAATTGCTACATTAAGTCACCTCATATATCTCCCTCGACTCCTCCCTGCCCCGCAAACCTTCATTAGACCCTCCCGGCCTGAGAAGCTCGAGACGACGGCCGGGGCAAAAGTGATTGGAGTCCATTCCGGCAATGCTGGGGAAAATATCCATCATGTGGCCCATGCGCTCCACCGAGGGGACAAGCTGGCGCCCAATACTGTGAGCTGTATCAGAATCTTAGAGAATGACAAACCTCGGCCATCTATCAAAAGATTTGGGCCCTTGGCCTTTTTGTCCTTTCTGGGGTTTGCCATGAGTGCCACTTTATTGGGCATGTCCATTCACTACAATGATGGGTGAGTTGATACATGCTGAAGGTCACCCAAGATGCTGACATCTGCTTGGTGAAGTATGGCTCTCCTTGCTACCTGTCTGTTGTCATTTCTGGGGACTACGACGGGGGTCGCCAACAAATGGAGCCCAACCCCAAACGACCCAAAGCCTGATCCTCACTCGCCGCGTGGGGATGTCGTGATCAAATATCCCCAAGGCGCCTTTATAGTGGTCTCGTGCGAAGAGCGGACTGCACGATATCTTTATTTCAATCCCAGCGAGCGGTGTATCTATCTCATCAAGAGCACTACGCTGTATCGAGTCTTTTCATTGGTATCCACACTGCTGCTCATGGGGGGTGTGATATCGCTTGCCAATGCCACCATTGAACTCCAGACAGCCTTTGCCGGTTCTTACATGTTGATCAACATATTCTACTGGATCGGAGCTGCTCTGCCCCCGGCACACCATTGGGACCTTTCACGATTGGAAATGACTCACATTGTGGTGAAGGGCGGAAGACCTCCTAAAAGTGCCACCTTGGACAATGTCCCCCTGACATATACCGAAGCCTTGTGGAAAGCTATTGCGGTTACAGGGACGAGCAACTGGGCCAGGGAGGCAGGCTGGGCGCCGAAGACGCCGGCTTGGGCAGATTGGCTCGATGAGGCCGAGGAGGCTGCTCGAGGCGAGCCCCTTAAGTCGAGTGTCGAGGACATTAACGGTCAGCAGACCGAAGTCTGGAGAATCCGCAACTGGGATAGCAGGAGTGCGCTCTCGACGCTGTTACGATCCACGACGGACAGAATCAGTGCCAGACCAGCCTGAGATTGAAGATACTACCATGACATGCTAATTAAAAATTCCCACGACTAGGTTGCACGAATCTGGGTGACATTTTGGAAGACTCACAATGCATGTGTGCACAGAGGGGGATGAGCTTGAAATATGAGACATGATATGACGTGCGAAACGAATCACAAAATCGCTGGAACCAAAAATGACTGGCACGAGATGACTGACATGAAACGACTGACGACACAATGAAGCCATGACATAGGATTAGAAGATAGACTGATGAAGGACACAGTTAATAATATGACGAACATCACGACGATCTGCAGTAACTTATGACCCCATATTGAATTGGTACGCCTAGGCCCAAGCCCCTCGGCCCCTCAGCCTGTGTGAAGTGTCCCCCACCCCGCAAAGGGCAAACATTATTATTGAGCGCAGAGGCGGTCCCCAACCCAACTTTCAAACATCAACTCAAACTCTTGGCAATACTAGCGCACACTGGCCACAAATTTTTGGAAACCACCATATCCGTCGCCCAACACCTGCACAAGTCGGTCTCTTCGACCATCACCACCAACAACCACATAATGTGAGTCCCTTCGTCCCGCCAGCAAGATGAACGAGAGAATCCCTGCATGTTGCTGCGGAAATGGTCTGCAGCGTCAAATGCTGATTCGAGGAATGTTTAGATCCCCCAGTGCTTCCTAGAACCGAGTGGTCAAGGTCGCAGTCATGCCTTTCACCAAACTGTGAGTAAAACATCACCATGTTCACTCTCCGCGACCATAACTCAAAGCTAACCGATCCTCAACAGCGTCAAGAACTCTCCCTACTTCTCCCGCTTCCAAACCAAGTACAAGCGTAGAAGAGCTGGCAAGGTAAAACTGCCACAGTCCCCGTCCCTCGTTGAACATTTCACTGACCAAGAGACTCTCACTGCAGACTGACTACTATGCCCGTAAGCGATTGATCAGCCAGGCCAAGAATAAGTACAATGCACCCAAGTATCGATTGGTCGTTCGCTTCACCAACCGCGACATCATTGCCCAACTCGTCACGGCCCAACTCGACGGTGACAAGGTCTTCTGCGCCGCCTACGCCCACGAGCTCAAGCGATATGGCATCACTAACGGCTTGACCAACTGGTCTGCCGCATACGCTACCGGACTCCTCCTCGCCCGTCGCGCCCTCAAGAAGCTTAATCTCGACGAGACATTCACCGGTGTCGAGGAAGCCGATGGCGAATTCAAGCTGACCGAGGCTGCCGAGGGAGACGATGAGGAAGGTCGCCGTCCATTCAAGGCCTTCCTAGACGTTGGTCTGCACAGAACCTCGACTGGTGCTCGTATCTTCGGTGCTCTCAAGGGTGCTTCTGATGGTGGACTCTACATCCCTCACAACGAGAAGCGATTCCCTGGCTACGACAACGAGAGCAAGGAACTCGACGCCGACACTCTCCGCAAGTACATCTTTGCTGGTCACGTTGCTGAATACATGGAGACTCTGGCCGACGACGATGAAGAGCGATACAAGTCTCAGTTCGTCAAGTACATTGAGAACGACATCGAGGCTGATGGCTTGGAAGAGCTCTACACCGAGGCCCATGCCGCCATCCGAGAAGATCCATTCAAGAAGGATGATGATGAAGGTGACAAGAAGAGTAAAGAGGAGTGGAAGGCTGAGGGCAAGAAGTACCGAACCCAAAAGATCAGCAAGGCCGAGAAGGAGCAGAAGATCAAGGAGAAGATCGCCTCCCTTGCTTCGTAAAGACATCGACACATGAGGAGCAACGCGGAGTCTTGCAGGGTTGGACACAATTTGTCCGGTCAGTTTTCCAGCTCAGACGGTGCGGGATCATTCAAGCCTTGATGGCCTTGTATGGTCTCGCAACAAATTTTGGTGATGGTTGAATGGAAAAAATATTCAACATGCCAATGAAATGATGAACTATCAAAAGAAATTCCTTCCCAGTCTCGACTCAGTCTCTCTAAGAAACCTCGTAATATGACGCCGATATGCAGTAGAGACTGTCTGACATACAATAAGCTTTCCTGTTCGGGAAAGGGTTTCAACCAATAGTATGGCGTATACACTGCAACATTAAAGGAAATGTCCAGGTCCCTACCGAGCAGGTTACTAAGGCAAGATCTGTGTATGGCTGAATCGTATTAGTCAGATTTGATGGAGTGATTATTGTTATTATTGTTGCGACAGCCTCAAGTTCCGCGTATGATCAGACAACCGGAATTAGATGGCTGCAGTTGATCAATCCCGAGACCAGAGCCTCCATCCAGTGTCTGCTCGTGGCCATGCGGGCGACGTTTGGCGCAACACCGAAAGGCTCGGCCTCCGTCACAGAACCATCGCACATTAAGGCAAGCTTTCGGGCTGGGCACCACGCTTGCCACAGACTGGAAAGCAGCGCTTTTCTTGGTAGCTTAGCACAGACAGCCGAGAAAGGCCAGATCTCTTCTATCCACATTTTTTTGAGGCAATTTCGTAGAGACAACAAAAACTTTTGCAACTGCTCGTGATGAAGGCAGTAGTGCGAATCCTGTAAGCAGGTTCTGAATTAAAATATCAGAAATGGTCTCATGATTAAGCCCAGGCACGGGACCCGATTAATTTTCTCCGCACATTCTCAATGCCACCCGCCATCGGCTGCTTGTGACGAACATCTCTGCCCCTCCCGCTCCCCAGCCTTAACCATTCGCTGCCCCCAACCTGGACTGCTCGGTGGGCCGAGGGGGGACTTTTTACCACCTGTAACTCGAAGCCATCACACCCTCGAGTCGGCTTTTTTACCGCCAGTTCAGACCTAAGAAATACCAAGTGCTTCGCCGCCCTCTTAGCTGCCACTTTCCCCTCGGCTCGACTGCTTCTACTTTAGCATGTGGATCGTTCATAGACCCGTTTGTGAGCGTCTTCAAGGGTGATTTCCTTAGCGATGATGGCATAGGTACGATAGGCTGCAAAGCCCTCTGCCGATGCGGCAAGGTCGACAGGCACTCGTAGCAGGGCTATTTGCTTTCCCCGGGCCATTCCAGGCTGTGCCAGGCAGGAGACGGCTAATCATCTTGCCCTGGCACCGCCCACAGGATTCCCTTCCACTCACAGCCCAAAGCGGCAGCCGATCTAGACCCAAATTCCCATCGATCGCCATCACCAACCAACTAATCATCGCTCACAGACTCCAGGACGCCCCGCTGTTTTTCCCAGAGACTTTCATCATCTCACTCTCACCTGGCCATCCATCACTGCCCTCCACCGTGCCACCAAACCAAGACGTTTGCCGCCCGAACCATTCGAATCCTGTACTTCATTCCTTTCTACCAGACATCTTTATCGTTGCCGTTACGTTACTGCATTCACTGGACGCGTTTCATCCCTTGAAGGCACATTCGATCCTGCCTAAATTACAATGGCAGCGGCTGCAGAAGGTGGTCTCGATGTCGACTGGTTACTTCACTCCAAGAAGGGTACGTGATAACAGCTGAACGATAGGCACTTTGTGCCCATGATCTACGCTCCCCAACCTCGCCTGTCGCAACTTGATTCTTATAATGGCGACATAATTACTGACAAATTCTACAGACCATATTAACCATCTTGGTGAAAAGACCGATAAGCTCGCAGAGGGCCAAAACAGATCACAGCAACCTAGCCCAGTACCCTCAATACACCTCCCCGAATCATCGTCGCCCGGTCCACCACGAGACACCGCTTCTCCCAAACCAGCCCCAAGAGAAATAGAATCGTTGCCTCCTGATGCAAAACATGAGAAACATGTTCAAACACCTCGAGAGAAGGGTGATGCTCTACAAGCTGCCGCAGCCAGAGCAGTCGGGTCCTCTTCGTCGCATGGTTCACGCCCTTCCCTAACAAGAGGTCAAAGTAGCGAGGACACCAAGAAGAACCTGCGTCCAGCCCCGGCAAACAAGAAAGATGGGAGAAGAAGCTCATGGATTTCGAGTTTCAGCTCGAAATTCGGCTCGTCCTCGACCACCGCACCTACAAACAATCGCAATGGGTTCACCGAAGCCACCAGCCACGCAAATGGCACTTCTCCTCAGTCCAGTCCTAAAATCGAGTTGACGAATCCCTTCAACAAGACGCAGCCTTTACAAGAGGCCCAGAAGCCTGAGACCAAACCCTCTCCTGTCGTTATCGGCCCACGAAGGCCATCCGTCTTAGTTGCCGCTGGTAAGGAGACGAAACTCGAACACCCTGGATTCCTGTCCAGTGCACTGCGAAGGCTGTCTTCATCGACAAACACGACTATGGGTAAAAGTGCTGGCTCGGGCGCCCTCTGCCCTAGAAAAATCATGAACATAGACCTGAACCGCGAACGCGCAAAGCTCAGCGACTTTGACCAGAACAAACTCAGGCGAGTGGCCTTCTGTGTCGATGTTGAAATCGCCGGGTTCGCATCACAGGCGGACGAGGATCCAGAGCATCATATTCGACCTCCAGTGTCGGCTGCGCAGAAACAGAGTATCTCGACACCTGACACACAAGTCACGGGTAAAAAGGACTCTAAAGATGCGAGAATGAAGGACAAGGGCGAGGGTGCCGCTCTGAAAAATCCTGCTACCGTTTCTCAGGAAAAAGAGACTTTAGGTCAAACCAAGACCGATTCCGCCATCGAAGCCAACGAGAACGCCGAAACAACCCCTCCAACCACAGAAGAAGCTCCCAAGTCAGACGAACTTGCCCCGCCTCCCACCACACGGAAAAGGGAGAAGAAAAAGCGCTCCGAGGCCGAAAGGAAAGAACGAAAAGAGCGCAAACGAAAACACGCAGAAGATAATGGGCTAGTTCCCCTTGAGCTCACTAGAGAGGACGACGATTCAGATTCAAGCCTGGGCAATACTCCGCCCGGGTCATCGACACCGAGACGAGGCGATGGACCTACCACTGATCCCCTACGTATCTACAAACGATGTTGTCAGCTTCGTGAAACCACAATCTTGAGTCGAATGAAAGAACAAATATCGAAACCGTCTGCACATCTGGCAGAAGCCCCAGGTACTGTGGCAGTCATGGATCTATCCAACCACGCGATGGTTCTCCAGGATATTGTCACCATTGCAGACTGGCTCGCTGTTGTGCCGGTTCGGAAGCTCATTCTCGACAATTGTGGGCTCACTGACGAGGGTGTTCGAGTCATTCTATCAGGTCTGTCCAGTTGCAAATCAGCTGAGCAGGCACGCATGAACAGAAAGCTCCCCAAACGCCTGAGTGGCAAGCACGGCGTGGAGCAAATGGGCGTCATTGAAAGGCTGTCGCTAAAGGACAATCCTGGCATCACCAACTTGGGATGGAAACACATCGCCCTCTTCTTGCACATGACGAGATCGCTCCGAGCCATTGATCTCTCCGGGATTCCCTTTCCCAAGGCTGGGGAGCTCTCGAGAACAACATCGACCACCAGCAATACGAGTGAAAATCAGAACGATTCAAAGACGGCCGATCTGGGTACCTTGATCATCCAAGCCCTGTCTGAACGCCTGGGTGACAAATTAGAGGAGCTGATTTTGTCTGACTGCAATCTCTCGACCTCCAATATTCGAGGCTTCATTGACTGCGCCATCAAATGCAAGATCCGGCGGCTGGGATTCGCGCAGAATAAGCTGAAAGAAGAGGCTGTAAGACACATAGCCCGTTATGTCAAGTCTGGTGTCTGTGAAGGACTGGATCTTGGTGGCAACAACCTGCACGGAATTGGACACATTATTGCTGAAGCCTCTGAAGATGAAAACAACCCGCTTTTCGCTATCAGCCTGGCAAATTGCCATCTCGATGACTCGGATCTTACGGCGATTCTGACCCCAATCACAAAACTCCAGAACTTCAAATTCATCGACTTGTCGCAGAACCACCAACTTTTTGAAGCCAAATCCAAAGGTGTTGCAATTCTCCGCAAACTGCTCCCCCGATTTGCCTCTCTTCGACGGATACATCTCTGCGATGTGGGCATGACACCCGATCAGGCCATAGCGCTGGCCGAAATCCTCCCAGACTGTCCTGAGATGGCGCACGTGAGTATCCTCGAAAATGAACCACTGATTCACGCAATGAATTCGAAAGAAGGGTCTGCGCAAGAAGAAGCCTGTGCCGTTTTTGCTTCGTTGATGACAGCTGTGCGGGTGTCGGACACAATTGTCGCTATTGAAATTGAAGTTCCCAGCGCCGAAAGCAGTGAAGTCATCAAGGCTCTCGCGTCACAGGTGGTTGCCTACAGTCTGAGAAATATGGAACGAACCACGCTGAGTGAGGTCGGTGTCAAAGTTGCTCAAGGGTCAGACAAAGATGCCCCTGAGATTCTACTTCGCATCGTTGGCAACTTGGAAGGACCCCCTGGCAACAACGATGGCAGTGATCCAGCACCTGACGAAGACTATGTAATAGCTTCGACAGGCATTGTCAAGGCTCTGGGCATTTGTCTTGGAAGTAAGGAGGTGGGAAGCCGTCCGGATTCGAGAAACATCACTCCTTCGCAGAGTGGCACAGCAACTCCCCGGCAAGGTTTGGCTAAGCGAAGGAGCATCTCGAAACCGCGAGACGTGAGTCTGGAACTTTGTGAAAGTGCGAGGAAGATTCGCACAAGACTGCGCCCCGTGTTGATCAAGGAAGATCAAGCTGGGAATCACTCGAACTATCGTGAGTGTGTGATGATCGAGTGTAAAGGATGACATGCTGACTAGTAAATACAGGACGCTTGCTCATGCTGGATCAAACCCTACAACGAATGATTCAGCGCTTTGAAGATGAATACCCAGAAACCAAGATTCCCGAGCTTCCACAGCCGACTTCGAATGGTCTCCCATCGCCCGACCCATCCAATGGAGAACTCACCTCGACTTCATTTGACGAGCCTCGTGGATCGCCAGGTACGGACCCGGCCAAAGGATATTTCCCTCAACAGGATGGTGCCGAACCACATCCATTTAAGTTGTTGGCTCGAACACCGTCGAACACATCTCTGGTAGCCAAGGCCTATACAGAGGAAGAAGGGCGAATGCATCGATTTGGACAGGGCATGCGACGTGAAATTCTCAACCCCACAGGACTAGACGACGAATCTAGCAACGGGGAGGGTAACGGTTCGCATGCTGACGCACTAGCATCTCTTCGGGCGAGACTCGAAGGACTCAGAGGAGAAGAAATACGGTTGAGAGTCGAGCACGACGGGGTGGATAATGTGATTCGCGAATTTGGCATCAATGCAAAGGAGCTCCTTGTGCTCAAGGAGCAGGACCCCGAGGGATTCGAGGCATTCCGGAACTCACAACTAGCTGCACAGATCAATGCAGGGCTCGTCACTCCGAACGGCGACCCCGTGCAGCGGGATTGAGGGGACATGCCTCCTCGGACTTAGATTCTTGAGACATGGGCTTCTGCGATTTGAGCGAGCGAATCTACACATTTACGAGATGAATTGAATGAATCTGAGCCTATATGACCAACTCTCTACCGCAGAATAATGACATGATGAGAACTCGTACACCCTTGTTACGATTCGCGGCATAATATACAATGAATGATGGGAATCTTAACATATTGTGTTGATAACTGGGTTGAGATTCAGTAGGTCACGGGACCACGCTGTCGCGTAGCAGGCGGAGGATTGTTTATCCAGAGCCGCGAAGCCGCTCAAGAAGCGAGGGACTCGCAGATGTGAACGATGAACAGGTCCATTCAATTGCCGCGGCCTTTCTCCAGTCAGGGCGCGACTGATACTCAATGGCCCGTCATATTTTACGATTCATGTGAAGAATGAGGTGCTCTACCGGTTGATAGACGCCGATTGTTGGTCCTCACCATCCACCTACTACGTTCTTGAGAGATCCTCCCCCAAGTCGATTGCTTCGACACTTCCAACTGAGGAAGGAATGGCAAATAACAGCAACGCATTCCCTGCCCTTGATACCAGTAGTGGTCGCGTTGGAGCCGGAGGCGGTACCGGCATGTCTCCCACAGGATCGAACGCCGGCGCAGTCAACGGCAACGGTGCCGGAGTGGCCGCAAACTACATGTCACCACTTCCCGTCGGACACCAGCAAGATCTCAATTTCCTGTACGGCCAGATTCAAGAGTTGAGTGAGATTCTTCGGGCGAACAGGGAAAAAGTCAACGTCATTACACGCACAGCGGAAGAAGTTGCAAAGCGACAGAATGGGGCTGGAGGCGCTGCGGCCGTTACTGAGGGCGAGAGTGTTCAGGATGCAGACAGTACGTTCGGCCCGGCGATCAATTCCCCGCCAGTTATGTATATGCTAATCTTTTCATCACACAGAAGCACGAATTCGCGAACTCGAACGAGACCTAGCCAAGGCGAATCATATAATCTCCCTCTACAAGCATGAACAGACAGAGAACACAAACTTGATCGCCGCGTATGAAGATGCAATGGGCACAGCGACGGAACAGATTCGCAACTACTGCGGCGACATCGAAACACGGTTTTTAATGCAGCGGAAACATTACAATCAACTGCTACAACAGGAAAAAGATGAACACCTGGAAAGTCGGCTAGATCGGGATAAATGGCACGCTCAGGCGTTGAGGCTGTGCGAGATGATCAGGACGGCGAACCGCCTTCGTGAAGATGAGTGGGGAGAGGAATACGCCATTATCTCAGGTCTACAGAGTGAGGTCAGGTGTTTGAGAAGATGTCTAGGCATGGAGGCTGAAAAAGCCGAGGATGAAACCGGCTGGCCATATCTCCAGACAGCTCCTTTGAATGACCAGAGTTGATGGAATTCCTATCCACTACATTACTGCTGGGAAAGAGCTTGCGTTTGCAGATATCAACCTTGAAAATCGGCAGGCTCAGCAAAAGGGATCCAACATGACGGCACTCTCGAGACGGTCGTTCCCGCGTGAAACCCTGACCGCTGCCTTTCAGATCTTCGGTCGTCGTCGCATCTTCAGGCACGACAGGGACTTGTTTCAATAATATTGATGCTGGAGCGGATTGACCCCCTGATTGGAGGCAGACTTACAGAAAGACCGTTAAGACGCGATCGCTATCGTCGGCTATCACAGGTCAAGGAGCGGTTTACAATGGAGCTATTGCTTGTCAACGGCAGCACAAGACCCACAGATACAGATATGAAGACGCGAGATAAGCGAAGAGAACGAGTCTCGAGGACAAGAGATGAGCGTTAGACGGACGGCTCGTTAGCGGGAATTAAATTCGAGTGGCACGGCGTCACAGACCACAACGGCAGAGATGTAAAAAACGAAACTAAGAGAAAGCTGGGGGAGGCGTTGTTGCTGGGCTGGCAGAGACGATCAGACCAAAGAAGATTGAGGCGTCTTTTGATTCTGTTGACAGTCGTGCTGGGCAGAAATCGAATCGATGGTGTCGTGTGTGCGTGTGTATGCGTCCACTGTTGACGAACAGAGTAAAGATCTGATGGTGGAGAAATGACAAGCTCGTATATGGCTTGACAGCGGTACAGAATTGAGCCTCTGACTACAGTGGCTGGCGCGCCAGTGTTGGAGTCACGGATGGCAGGAGGATGAAGATACGTAAGGTCAGATAGGTGCTTTAGGTTAGTAGTAAATGGCATCACGCATCACGACCCAACAAAGATCACGGTGCATAGATTGAGCAAAGTCGATATGTCAGGCTGACCCGATCGACACGGAGAAGCTGTCCCGATGTCGAGGCAGCAATGTATCTAGGTAAGATGGAACAAATCAGAATATGCATAGCAGTTGATAGAAGACTAAATCAAGATATCTAGGGTTATTCTCCTTTTTCGGGGTCTGTCCCTTACTGCAGGGCAGGGCAGGGCAGGGCAAGAAAAGGGTTCATTCTCGTGGTGTTGTGTGCCTTGTGCCCTGAGACCCTGATCAGACCCTCAAACTCTCGAACCCTTCAGACTGAGAAAACACAAAAGTGGACGACAACTGAAGATACCTGTCCATGGCAGAGCCGGAGAGGACCAAGAAGGCTAAAAAAAGCTCCATTTTAAAAGTTGGGTTGCTCCGCTAGATAGGAACACGTAAAAACCAAACCCGCAAATGAAAACAAACTCTGAAGCGACATTCACTGACTCAGGAGAATGTCTGTATCAAAACTTGGCAGAGCTGCAGAGGTTCCAGAGGCTGGTTTGGGTTTGGGGGATGGCATTCTCGCCGGGGTCATTTTTCGGTTTCACGTTGAAGAATGTTCTGGTTTGAGACGAGATGGCATGATGGCATGATGTTGCAAAGGATGAGGATCTTGTCGTCGCCTCGAGGTCATGTTCCATTGCCACTCGGAAGGAACAGGCAGTTGGCGGGGGGTCCAGACATGCCAAATTACAACTTGGAAGTTACTACTTCTTGAGGAGTCACGGAGTACCATCTGTGAGGGTGTGTGGCTCAGACAATGATGAGCTAACGATATGCCTATTAGCTAATGTGTGTGTGCGCGCCTTGTAGTCATAGTATTCATGCATGTAATTGATTCTTCATTAAGTGGTTGCAGCAAACCATTCATTTCACATGCAAGCGACGCTTAACGAACGGACGGACGAACGAACACGGGACGAAGAGGGGAGTGGTCCCCGGTTAAAGATGCAGAGTTCTCCTTCTTTTTGACATAATCTCGAGTTATATTTCGCCGGGACAGACAGAAAGAGGGTGAAGATGAAGAATCAAGGCCCTGAATCTACTTTGCCGAATCTTGTTTGGGCCTCGCTTGATGGCTGCGGCGTCCGTAAATGGATTGAGAGGCGGTTGGGAGAATTATGGGTATCAAAGTTGCTCGAGATCGAGGAGTAAACTCATAGGCAAGTTCTGGCTGGGGTGGATTTCTCGGACTTGATATACAAGCGGAATGGTGTTGATAGAAAAACTGGGGAAATACGGATCCCCGTCAAGTCAAGAAATCGCTTGGGTAGTGCGATGGGTGGTTCAGTGCACGCTCTAGTCTGAAATCTGGAGACTGGGGGGTGGATTTGTAGCCTCTGGCCTCGTGCCTTTCGCCTCTCGCCGCTAACCTTTTGACCCTCAGACCTCTGGCGCGTCTGCTGGTGCGGGCGGAAGCTCCATTTCCATAACCCACTGCGGACACTTGTGCAGTCTGTACCCATAGCCTGCCCGTCTGCAGCCCGCAAGCAATGGACATTTCGGTCATCCGTAGAATGTCTGGGATTCTTCGGATCTTTTTACGCATAGGCCTCGAAGCAGCAGTGAGTACCTAGTAGTACCTAGTACCTACCTACCTACCTAGGTGCCTTAAATGAGCAGTCAGTCCTTAACTGGGACTCCCTTCCGCCCACCCCCGATAAGCTCAACCGCTCTCAAGCCTCTTTTGGTCGCCTGAATCGGTCTTGCAGTTACCCTTGAGGCGGGAACTCTAACGAGAAGAATTGTTAACCCTTTAAAGGTAACTGCCGCTTGATCCCTATGATGCTCTTGCCTGCTACTTACCCTTGCCCTGTCGTACCTGCTCCTTGCCTAAGGTACCTATTTTTGTACCGCACCGGACTTGCTGCTGGGAATCATGGGAGATTTGTTGGTGTCATAGCTCCTCAAACCACGTACAGTACCTACTACGTAGTCCACCATTTCATGAGCTCTGCAATGTTGCATGAGGGCTGAGCGCTACTGTGCAACTTCGTCAGAGGCACATGCTCATCGTGTGCCCAAACCCGTATTCCGAACTTGACCTTGGACGCCCACCAAACGCGACACGATTTGACGTCTTTGACATATCGCTGGGCCATTTTCTGCCCTGGACGCGTGAGCCCGAGCTTGAAGCGCGAAGGTGACGCCTGCCCTGCCGCTGACGGCTTTCAATCAGTCTCTGCGCACATCCCCGCTTTTCTTCAACTGTCTGTGAGCCTTCACCTGCACCTTCTTCGCCTTCGCCTTCGCCTTCGCCTTCGCCTTCGTTTTGCGCGTGCTTTGCGCCTGAGGCCTATATCTCTCATGCCCCACGGCCCTTCCTCAAGGCCCCCCTGGGCGCCCTAACATGCCCCTCTGCCCCTCCTGCCCTCTTACCCTCGGACCACTCGGCCCCTCCCCTCCATCTTCTTCTTATGCGCATCCTCGCATCTTGACCCTTGTCCAGCAACTCAACCAGAGTCAGCACTCAAACAGTGCACCACCCACGTCAGTCACGGTCTCATCTGTCGTGCATACGGAACAACTGTCCACCTACCCCCGCCAGCTTAAGCGACAGAGACTAATGCAAAGCATTCCAATTCGTCCTGCTGTTTCGGTCTCGTCTCTGATCCAGTTTGTCCGTTTAGGCATGCCTGTTGTCTGATTCTGGTCGCCCAGTTCACAACCGTCGTCAATCATTGCCATCCAACTCCAAAACCTTTCTACGACGAGCCCCATTGTCCCAGCACCTGTCCCATCCCAGCACAGACAGAATGAATCCTTTACTCGGATAGCACGTGTATACCCTGCACACCCATCCCTTCGTCTCCTCCCTTACAGTCACAAAGATGCCTCGTCCCCTTCCCAACGACCCGACTCGCCAGTGGCCTCGCCCTTCCTCTCACCCTCGCCTCCTCCGTTGTCCGGTCCGCATTGCCTAGATGTGTCCACTGGCAAACATACACTAGGTAGGGGCAACTCCTCCATCCACGGCATATCTCTTAGTTGCATACTTCAAACTCAGCATGCTTTTGTACCTCGACGTCAACCCCAAGTCAGTCACTGACATACTTCAAACTTCCAAACTGGGACACCAATCTTCTCAATCTGTCAAGTCCTACGCCACCGCTGCCACGGCTGCCATGCCCAGCCCAGAGCAGTCGAGATCGCTATTTGGTCGTTGTCCAGCACGTACAGCCTGGGCCAAGTCCGTGCGACTCATGTTTTGACCCTCATACCACGCCTTGCCGATTCCTCCCTTGCTCATTCATAAACATGCTCCTCTCCTGTTGTCCTCATGCCAGACGATCTTGTCTGAGTTCTGTTCGGCGTCGTGTCTATTTCACAATCCGATCAGTGCTTCGACAACAATTCCCGTCTTATCTCGGCATCTGTCACTTAACTCCTCAGTCAACATAGGTATCAAGTGGTCTGTGGCCCAAGATCGACAACGGTACCGCCACTTCAACCGGCCTTCACACAACGTCGTCCATATCCTGCAAGGATCTTCACACTCCCTACATCTATCACTGTCACCTCCAACGGCCACCCGACCACCCTTCGACTTTCAACCTCGCCAGTTCCCAAGACTCGGGCCACGCCAAAGACGAAGCACATATCAGCATGTGCTGGCTTTTTTTGTAGGACTTCTTTCAATCTCTATACTTGTCCTTGTGTCGATATTGCTGTTGTAAGCATTCATCATGCCTTCTACTACAGCCCCTACTACTGCCACCATGCCCTTCCCCGAAGAGCAATCAGGCTGGTGGCCCTCAGAGAAGACTGCCAAATCCAGACTCAGAGCCATCTTCACCCGCACCAAGTCCGACAACAAAATCCCCCAGTACATGTCAACATCGGACTATATTCAGACCGACATTCAATCCATCTCGACCAGCAACCTCACTTCCACCAACCCCACCCTTGTTACAAAGCGTAACCGCAGCACGACGTGGACAAACCGCAATCCTCGTCAGTCAAGCCGCACACTCAAGGATAACTCAACTAGGAACATGACTTCTCGCGATCCTCCGCCTCTTTTTCAGGCTTGTCTCCAGGCGAGGCTTTCGGAGGTCTTGGAAGTCCCTTCCACTCTGACTGAGGTTCTCTTCCGCACTTCTCCACGCCGGAGGAATAGCATTTCCGGCGAGAGCTCTTCGAGGTCGAGCTTCGCCGACGATGAAAGCATTGGCTCAGCCAAGCATAAGCGAAACTGGTCCGGGGCCAGCTCCTGCTCCATGACTCAGAAACTCTTTGTCTTGCTCCGCAATGGCTTCGTGCTCCAATACAGCGCCGATGGTTTAAATGACCGCCTCCCCGAAAAGATCCTTGAACTGGGTCCTCGGTCTGTGGCTTTTGCATCTGATGCCATTCCAGGCAAACACTGGGTGCTCAGGATCTCCCATGATCGCCATTCAAGTGCGGTTCCCTCTCATGCTTCGAAGCACTCTTGGTCCAAGTTTGGCTTCAGGCAACAGGAGAACAAGCGACTTGTTCAAGACCTGCTCCTGGTCTTTGACAATGCTATCGTACTAGACTCATGGTTGACGGCCGTTCGCAAGGAGATTGAACTCGTTGGCGGGCTAGAGTATCGACCAGACTCCCGGAGTGAAGATCACAAGCAGGACGCTCGTCGATCATTAAAGGCACAGAAGAGCCTTCCCAACATCTCTCAAGCCTCGCTCCAACTCTCATCCGACTATCTCTTCAAGGAGTTGCCGCCCTCTCCCAAACTTCTCCCTCCTATGCCTAAATGGTCCACCCCCCGCAATGTCTCTCGCTCGACGACTGACTCATCTATTCACACTTTGAATGACCTGGACGATCTCCGGGACTCCTCTTTCTCGGACACACGGTCGGTGTCGACCTCGTGCACTAGCATTGCCTCGCGTTCTCCTGCGGTAGAATCGTTTACTCTCAGTGCCAGCGTTTATCAGGGAAGCCAGACCCCGGCTAGCACCACATCTAGGCTGTCCACCCCAACACAGGATGACGTTGGCGAATTGTCCATGTTTATGGCAACTCCTCGGAAGAACTCTACCTCGGAGACCCTTGTGCCAAGACCACTTCGCACCAGGGCTTCCTCTGGGAGTGTACCAACATCACATCATCCCGATGTCATCGATCACGCTCTGTTTGTCCAGCCAACAAAGCATCTCGAAACCGGCTCAGCTGACGTAGGATCTCGACCGATCTCGGTTATTGCACCTCTTCCAGAGCCAGGTCATCTGAGGAAGATATCTGCACGTTATCGATACGAAGCTCAGGGAACGACGGTCCACCCCAACACCCCCAACTCCTCACGTCCTTCGAGTGTTCGCAGTCGGAGCTCTTCATCGGTCACTCAACTCGATTCACCGATTGACTTGCCGAACAGAAGGACACCGTCCTACAGCCTGTTCCCCAAACGATACTCGTCTCTCGAGGACCCAGTCCATGTCTGCAGCCAGTCTGATGTACAGAGCCCTCCTTCAGTGACTCCGGGAAGCGCTCGAGACAGCAGTGGAAGTAGCTTTCCATTCTCTCGAACTTCAGATGATCGATCTGAAGCCCGCTCGTCTTTGACTAGCAATCGATCTGTGCGGAGAAAGGCTGGCAGAGTTGCGTCTGTTGATAGCAACAGCGAGGTGCAGACGGATTCTCCACAACGATCACCTGTTGTCACCGAAGCTCTTCTCCAAAGCTGCTTTGGAACTGCTTCTGTACGACGTCCTGCTCAAGCCCAGCCTGTGTTGGTCAACTCGAAGGAAACTTCGATCGAGACCACGATGCTAGAAGTATCAGCATCGATTGCACGAGCGTCTCAGGGCGTCATGTTGAGCAATCCGCCACGAAGTGTTGGCCACATCAAGGGACAGAAGAGCATGCCTTCTCTTGTCGGCTCCATGCCTCCATCGGGACCACCTCCTACGGGGCCTCTTCCGGCTTTGCCCACTGAGGCCTTGTCTGCTGTAGCGAAAATGCGGAAGGGAAGTCGAAGCATCAGCAACACACCTCTGCCTTTGCGTTCGCCGTCTTCAAATGCACCAAAGCACATGCACGCGGAATCTTCACCGTCTTCTCTAGCCACCACAGCACCATCGCTGGTGTCTTTGTGCTCTCCTGCTCCGCCCGCATCCTCTACACAAAGCGTGACACACACACGCAAGACCTCATCGATCTCATCGGTCGGGTCCGTCCGACACGTGACAGCGTGGCTGGCCAGTCCCAAGATCGCTGCCTTTTCGGCCAAGTATGATCTTGATGCGACACCACAGCTGAATGTCGACATTGAAGACCAGTCTTTCAGCTCAAGCTTTGGGAGCTTGATGCACTAGACCCAAGTGGCTTGTCCACTATGTTACGTTTATGATGAATGTATGCAACAATGAATTGGCATGATATGATTGATCGGGTTTACGACTTTGCATATGCATTACGGTTGGGGCTTCTGTCACCCCTTGGAATGATACCCCAAGACTTGAACTGGGAATGAAAAATTATGGTCATGTAGTCTGTAGCCAATGCCCTGTAGCTAGGGCGAGAGGAGTAGTTGTTTAGCTGAAAACAGACAGCAAGAATTGGACAACTCATCTGGCTACCAAGAATTCGTGCCTCCGCCGTGACTCGATCGTTGTGAATGTGCCGGCGACACGGCCAAGACTGGATATCCAGACGCGTTTGAGCACAGACGTTGGAAGACAACAACAAACACGGGGAGAATTTCGCGCAAGCTGGATGGTGGAGGTGATTCAGAGCACATACCACGAATTGATCCCTCCTCGACGGGCGGGTAAGGACGGCAGGGTAGGTGGCAAATGTGGGTAGAGGACAGTGGCACGGTGGATAGCAAGCTACTCCGTACTTGGCGTACAGGGCTGGGTACTTACGGAGTACTCTTTTTGGGGGCAGTGATGAGGTCGGATGAGATACATGGTACTGCTCTTCCAATCCTTCTTCTTTTGCTTCTTCTAGTAAGAATAGCAGCGGTAGTGGTAGCATTAATTGCCGTCAGAAGCATGCAGGGATGAGCCAGCAACGAGAATACTCGTGAAGCCAGACACAACAATCTCGATCGGAACCACGGCAATTCAACCAATTCACTCAATGCCCTTTCTTGTAAAGTTCCATTATCCTGCATATTACCCATAGTACCTCAAAATTGCCAATTCTGCAGGGCTAAACGTAATATGGCGTCTGAGTTTTCCCAAGACATATGTCGCCCATAGTTCGGCTGACGTAAATTCTGCACACTCACACAGACAATGAAAGGAACCAATGATTGTGGTTCCGGGGGCCGGAATTGCAGGGTTTTCTTCAGGTATGAAAGGCAGTTATCCTGATAGATGGGTTATCCCAAAAGTCAGTGAGCAGTGACAGTAGTATAATAATGATTACTATGGACTTCCGCGGAAGTTACTTGAACGCGTATCTAGGTACTCATACTCCGTAGGTCTGCATGTACGGATAGTCGACTTATGGCTAAAGACAGTGTACGCTTCTCTTGAAATGATATTAATAATGAAGGGGGGGGCGTGTTCAAGGTTGGCAACCCTCGAGAGCCTTTCGGCCTCAACGGTCTTTTTTGACCATTTTTGACGGTTCTTGGAGCCCAGGCCCATCAGTGCGTCCCCAGCCATACCTAAGAGTCCCGGGGGTCCCAAGCCCCCTCGGCCCCCCCAGGGCCCCTAGCCACACCCTGCTGCTTCAGCTAGGCATGTTCACACTAAGTAAGTACCTACTCCGTAAGTACTCACCAGTACAACGTGGATGACATCTGACGGTTCCTAGGCTTAAGTAGAGCTGGTCCCTGTTCCCCCTGCCCTTGCTACAATCTAGCTCCTGGTCTATCCAGAAGTCAAGAACTTGGAACAATCTAGCAGGTACTCGGTTTTCGGTGCTCGGTGGTCGTGCGTGCGTGCATCATGCATTGGTGTGATGCATGGAACCATTTCCCACCCACAAGAGTACCCAAGTACTCGTGGCCAGTCTATACTTGCAACTTACCTGCAGTAGCCATATCCGAATCTTCGGGACTCGCTGCAGCAGCTAATTAACCATCCGGTGTAATGCAATGCAATGCAATGCAACCCAAGTGAGTGGTTGGTTCAAACGTTGGTCTGTGTTTAACCACATAGTAAGTACTCAGCTATTGTGAAGAATTAGTATCACGGATGTATAGACGGCCCAACTCGAACTCGACATTTGTCTGTTACTTTGTTTGAGAAAGATAGACTCTCGCACGGGACTGGACATCAATTCACTAAGAAATAAAAGTTCACTTGTTAATTTGGCTATGAACATATTCCCCAGGTCGAAGAAAATCACAGCGGCAGCGGAACCGACCGATCGGATCGTTCCTGGTGTAACCGAAAGATCTTCAGTGTAGAGAGGTGTCGATCTATTTACGTATATCATGAGTCTATTGCTTTTCACCTATGGATGATGTGAAGCAATGATACAACACTCCCAAATGATCATTGCCATGCACAAAAACATATCTTGAGAGCATCAGTACCAGTTCCCTTGGGCCTTAGCAGGGAACAGCGAGCAGGGAGTTGGCCACGTGAAGACGAACTCAGGTTCTTCTTGTCAGGGCCGATGGATGGTCTACTTCGGGGAACCGTTCAACACTGTCACCACCACCAAGAGCTTTGAAAAGGCAATGCAATGCAATGCAATGCGAGTTGAGTTGAGTCGAGTTGACGCAGGTTCCTGACCCTGCCGACCCATGTCCGCCCAGAACCTAAGCCAAAGTGTCAATCAACCCGTGAGTTCCTCTCAACAAACACGTCGAGCATTGGCGTTCATGTCATCCACGGTCCAGAACCACTTCTCTCTGCCAAGATTCTATACGTGCGTGGTGTGTGGTGAGCATTGGTGTGTGTGTGTATGTGTGGATATGTTTCTGGATGTCAAGGTTCTGATGTGGACCTCACCCTTATGCACGTCATTCTATAGCGTCGACACCTTGACCTCGATCTCATCCTTGTCCTTGTCGTTGTCCTGCCCTTGACCTTCACATCATTCCGCCATCCCATCGGATGCACTCCGTCCGCACAAAAGCATATGTACGCATAGACATAGCGTTTGAGTATATGCGCATGTCGCAGCAGAAGTTTCGTTACTAGTACGAAGAAGTCCTACAAAGAACCACCCAGACCCCAAAAAAGCCATCTGTGCCGTGTTCACGGTCCCCCTTCTTCCTGCTTCTGGACGAAACGACGACAGAAGCGTGTCTGCTGCAGTACTCCATAGTACAAATTCCAAATCTGGTCATCTCCGTCCTCACTCCCCTGCCACCACGAGGTTGTCTACCTAGTGTGCAGAGTGCACCATGCAAGGACTCGAAGCATGTCAATGAGGAAATGGACCTGTCTCGAATGTACTCTCGGATCCAGCATAGGGAACATGGTGCATGTTCCGTCTTCCAAGGCCTTGGAGGACCAAACGTTTCTACCATGTCCAGGGCTACATGGCCGTGTCGGGACACTGCCGAACGTGCTTGCCAGGGCCAAAAAAACCTAGCTAGTCCCTTGTTGCTGGTCCCCCGCCCCTTGTCTGTTTCAACAACGTGGCATTTCTGCGAGAGTGACAGACCAGATTCACTCTCAAAGACAAGACTCTAGCTCGTCTTATCCTAATAGGGACAGATGCTCATGTGGGTCACCCATTTAGCTTGGGACTGTGTCTGTCAGCAGAAAGACTCTGCTTGTGTTCCGTGGCTGGGAAGTTGCCTATACAGGGCCTCGACGACCCTTTAGCCGAAAAGGCTGGTAACGAGTCAGCCGTAAGGTATCTGGAAGGTTCCAACCCGTGACGAGACCCTTCCCACCTTATGTCGAAGGGAAAGTAAGTAAATAATCGACCGTAGTTGTTTTACGGACGACCATTGACAAAGCATCCACACACTCTGCCACTCACGCCAACTCGTTCTCTAATTTGTCCACGTAGAACTTCACAGGACCTCATGCAGGATGTACTTATTACTGCTTGTAGCTATACTCAGGGATCAGTTCTGCATGGATGATCAGATGCAGCGTAGAAGCCTATTTTGAGGGAAAAAGTACTTCCAAGATGTCTACAATTCATAAATGCGGACAAACCATGGCACCAAAGAGGAGGTGTTCAACCATGTATCAGCCGATAGTGACCACAAAATATAGAGGGAGCGTCTTTACCATATCGATGTCAATCACTGTTTCTTGTTCACCACTGAACAAGTTAGAGAGCACCACGATATTTGTTACACGACACTCGGTGTAGAAATGGGCTCGTCATGTAGCACAATTGGTTGTACAGTCACACGAGGTGGAGATGGTGGTAATCTCTTGCTCTAGACTTTCTACAGTCGATATAAAGTATACCTAATGAAGCGATCACTAGGTCAAGCGCTCCTAATTTACGTTCTTCAGATGGAACATGGCTAATTCAATGTCCTTTCAGCAAGATTAATCCTCTGAAAAGCAAAGAGTAAAGAGTGAAATAAATTAAGGAGTCTCATGATATTCTTCATGGTCCATGTTGCACACATCATAGTTTATATTGAATACTGGGCGGTGCGAACTCGGTGCGAAGTCGTTCTGTGGTTCTTCTACAGTACTTGGCTTCAGTTCCAATGGTCTACCCATCCCTAGTTAAGCCCACGGGCTAGCCCGAGGCCGTTGGACGAATCAGCCCTCATGGCCCTCTGACTTTGTTGCATCATCGATAGCACTGTGACACGAAAGCTACAAGACAGGAATCGCGGGGAGCACGGGGAGTCACCTACTCATATATCACTATTTGTCAGCCACGTCATCATTTCGCCGATACTCACCATCCAACAATATAAAGAGGGCCACAGAATATTGCTTTATTTTTGAAGTTCACATCATAAAATGGCGCGAATCTTCATCACTGGGTCTTCTGACGGTCTCGGCTCTCTGGCTGCGCGAGCGCTGGTCAAGAGAGGCCACTCAGTCGTTCTGCACGCACGCAACGAGCAACGAGCAGAAGATGCACGAAAAGCGTGTCCCAACGCCGAAACTGTACTGATTGCCGATCTGTCGGATATTTCCCAGACCAAGAAGCTCGCCGAGGATGTAAATGCGCTGGGTGAATTCGATGCCGTCATCCACAACGCCGGCATATACACTGGACCATATCGAAAGACAACACAAGGCTGGCCAGCAATCTTTGCCGTCAACACACTGAGTCCATATATTCTCACCTCGTTGATCCGTCCCACGCCGAAAAGACTCGTCTTCGTCTCGTCGGGCTTGCACAACGGCGGAGATCCCTCGTGCGAGGATATCACCTGGGCTGAACGAGGAGAGAGAGGGTTCAGCGACCATCGAGCTTACGCTGATACTAAACTGCACAATATCCTGCTGGCTGCCGCCGTCGCTCATCGATGGCCAAATGTCCAGAGCAATTCTCTCGATCCAGGTTGGGTGGCAACAAAAATGGGAGGTTCTTCAGCTCCAGGAGACATCGGCGCCGCTGTCGATACTTATGTTCAGCTTGCAGATGGTTCCGTCACTGAGACAGGCAAATATTGGTTTCAATGCAAAGTCCGCTCTCCAAAGAAGGAGGCAGACAGTCCAGACGTTCAGCAGAAATTGTTGGATCAATTGGAGGCAATAACAGGATTGAAGTTGCCGAGTGGGTGACTTACTTGAATGATATTTAAGTATTCCACATGCCCCCCCTCGTCTACTTGATCGTGAAAGCCATGTGGGGCTTGAAGAGGTTACAGGATGCTGACCTGGATGTCTATGTTGGGAGTAATCGGTCGTGCCTGATTGGCAATCCAAGAACTATTCTATTCGCCAAGGTACTCAGCCGACTGGGATACGAAGTGACCTTACTCCCCATCTACTATAGATTACAATACCATCTATACTCATACAACAATAGCAGTAGAGTACACCAGCATCATTCATCTCACATTCTCTCGTCCCCAGATTCATCCCCGGCACTATCTCCAAGGCCTCAATAGATCGGCGTCCGTGAGACCAAGCAGGGTTAGGTTGGCATGGGAGGCCTTGAAACTTCCAGGTTGGCATGGGGGGCCTTGACCACTCCAGGTATTCACCACCTTTATCAATGAGCAGATCTGAGAGTCTGACACGGAATGTATACATCCGTCATGGGATGATTTTGAAAGGTGAGATCATACTCCTTGGCTTACTGTCAGTACCGCTACAGTAGGTACTTGATGCTGTCAACACTGCATCCATCAAAGCACAAGCTGTGATCGCAGTCCACAGATCAAGACACTTACTCACTACAATCATGTCTATCTTGTTCGCACCAGTCTATCTCTCACTGGCCTACCTGGCCTGGACAGTCTTCGTCATAGCCCAAAACTACCTGGTAGCCAGAAAGATTGGCCTCCCGATTCTGATCTCGCCAGTCAACCCAGCGGGTCCATTATGGTTGAGTACAAAGGAAATCCTACGACCGATCTTTGAGCGACTACCTTTTGGGCTCGGCGAATGGAGTTCTCTCTCGCATCCTGGCTGGACATTTCCCCAAGGATTCAAGATCCATGCGAGGCATGGCGAGGCGTTCATCATAGTATCGCCTGGTGGCAACGACCTGATCTTAGCCGAGCCTACAGCGGCCGACGACGTCATGCGCAGAAGGAATGATTTCATCAAAGATCCATCCAAGTACTCGATGCTTGACATCTACGGACCTAATTTGGACACCGTCAACGGCAAAGAATGGGACCGTCATCGCAAAATCACGGTGCCACCGTTCAATGAGAAAAATAGTGCTTTGGTGTGGAAGGAGTCGGCCGTCCAGGCCGACCTCTTACTCGATCAATGGTGTACCAAACCCGAGGTCACATCCACATATGCAGATATCCATGATGCTGCTCTCGCTGTTCTCTGTGGCGCCGGGTTTGGAATGTCCGGCACACTTAACCCAGACGGACGTGACAAGGACGACAAGGACAAGGCCGCGACGGAGATTCAAGGCTATCGCCAAACCCTGAGCCTCTTGTTGAGCAATCTCATGTCACTGATCATTGCAAGTGCCTTGCTGCGATCTGGCGTGCCCGAATGGATGTCTTGGGGTGGAATGCGTCGAACCTTGGTGGCGCGTGAAGACTTCAAGAAACTTATGGCACAGTTGCTGGCTCAGGAGACAACCGCTTTCGAACAAGGTAATCTCGACCGACATAACCTGATGAGTGCGTTGGTTAGAGCACAGGAACAGTCTAAAGCGACAGATATCAAACAGGTTCCTGGAACGGTGAAGGCAGGTCTTTCGGAAGATGAAGTGTTTGGAAATCTGTTCATCTACAATCTTGCTGGACACGAGACCACGGCGTCGTCGATTGAATTTGCTCTCGTGTTACTGGCCATGAACCCACGCTGGCAGGATTGGATTGGTGAGGAGATTGATGCCGTGCGACGGGAGGATGAATCGGCCACCTGTTTCTACGAGACCACGTTCCCAGCCTTACCGCGATCTCTGGCTTTGATGGTGAGTGAGGATTTCCTTCATCATGATTCCGCAAATGATTGACATACTTTCCTTTTTCCCTTAGTACGAAACACTGCGACTCTATGGCCCAGTACCGCAGATGCCGCGAGCCACGTTTGATGCCAGACGACGACTGAAGATCCGCGATCATGAATACATACTTCCTCCCCACACCAACATCACCTTGAACTTCGCTGCTCTTCACACCCATCCAGACCTCTGGGGAGACGATGCTTTTGAATTTCGACCTGACCGCTGGCTCGTTCAAGACGTGGGTGCCGCGGCCAAGGGTACAACGACGACAAGCCCTACCTTCTTGGAACCCAAACCAGGCGGTTTCGTCGCTTGGAGCAGTGGTCCCAGAGTCTGTCCTGGCAAGAAATTTTCCCAGGTGGAATTCACGCGAATCATGTTTGGTCTCTTTGCCAATGGCACCAGAGTGCAATTGATTCAGAAGAATGGGGAAAGTCTTCAAGACGCGAGGAACCGCGCCCTTCGAATCTTGCGCGGTGCAAAGGTCGAGTTGACTCTGAGTCTAGCGGATTGTGAGCAGATCGGATTGAAATGGGTGAGAAATCAGTCGAAGGGATCTGGGTCTCCGGGATAAAGGTATAAATGCCTAGGTTGGTATGAATTACTCGGACGTTGCGCCCTGAGAGATTAGTTAGCTACTCAATAGCAAGACGAAATGTATAGTATTGTCAGTGAACGGCTCCAACAGTGAAGGTGAAAAATCACATTCTATTGTATGATTTCTATTCAACATGCAGTATGTGCTCTTAGCGCCCTGGTAATTGTCCAGTTTGTAGTTCAATATAAAGGCTAGCCAGTGACAGAGCCAAGGTATTATATTAAAATAGTTGGTGCTTCAAGGAACCTCCCGTCGTTTTCTACTCAACCATGCCGCCTACTTTACCACGTATCCTACGATCGTATAGTAACATTTCTTCAGCCACATATTCCACAAACCCTTTCGTCTTAGCCATTAAACCCTGTAAACTAGTACCGGTACCAGGATCTAGCAATCTTCCTCGTTTTCGCTGCTTCATCTTTGGTCGCAAATACCACTCCTCCACGAAGACCCAACTACCATCAGCCACCAGCACATCAACCATGACAACCACCGCCCCAGCATGGCACGCAGCGTTTCCAGCACCACGCAATACCTCACCAGATGTGATGGAACGAGAAGAATTATTAGCCTACCTTCAAAAGGGTGAGAAGCGGCCAGGGGTGGATTATGTGGTTGTCGATCTACGAAAGAATGATTACGAGGTACTTTGCCCTGTCACTCACAACGTGAGAGAGAGAAGCCTTATGAAGGAATCGGCAAGCTAAGTAAAGGGTAATAATGTAGGGCGGCGCGATTAAAGGATCCATCAACCTCCCAGCCCAAAGCCTATATCCTACTCTACCGACGTTGCTAGCTCTATGGGAAGCGGCGGGCGTCAAGCAAGTTATTTGGTATTGTGGTGAGTCTTGGAGAAGTCTGCTCCTTGTTTCCCCCTCCCCCTTTCTGGCACTCAATCATTGATGTGGCGTCCGTTTTTCTTTTCTAGGATCTTCGCAAGGTCGTGGAACGAGGGCGGCAGGTTGGTTGGATGATTTTATCAAGGATGGAGATGTCAAAGGGATCACTAGTTTGATTCTCAAAGGTGGGATTAAAGGCTGGGTTCGTGGTGGAGATGAATATACTTCCCTGATGGAGGGTTATGATCCAGATCTTTGGATAGTTCAGAAATAGGAAATTAACTGCTAGGAGAGACAAAAATGACGGTATGATGGAGTGACATGTACCATCAAGCATGAGAGAAGCCATAGAATCGCAGTGACAAGTGAAACAGAATTACTGACCAAACTCTCACGGCATTCATATTACAGCTATGTTTTAAAAAGACGAGTGGATGGTATCTTTGACTGACTCCATACACAAAAAACTTTGGTCCATTCGAAAGGTAAACGTGGCCCCCCTAACAAGCCCAAGCAGCCCTAACTGCCAGACAGACACTGCCGTCCTGAACAGCCGGACTCGTAAACCCGTCCATCACCGATCTCAAGAGCCATAGGCTTGCTTGATCTCCTTTGCATATCGGTCATGGATCTTTTTCCGTTGCAGTTTCTGTGCTGGGGAGATGAAGCCCTGTTGGTCAAATTAGTTGGAATTTATCTCCTCCAAGAGATTGTCAGTACTTACATTCTGTGGGGTCCATTCTTCGTCGGCAATAACTAGTCCGTCAATAATCTCAATTCCGCTGAGACCAACTCCTCGTCCTGCTTTCTGTAGCTCCTTAAGCACAAGACTGTTGACTCTCTTATCGTGAGCCATTTCCTCGACCGATTCACCTTGGATGCCATTGGCAGCAGCCAGCTTTTGCAGCGTTGCTTCCACGGGAACAATGATTGCAATTGGCTTGGCCTTGTCTGGTTGGGCGTATACGCAAATATTGCCCACCACAGGGGCGGCACGATATGACGATTCGAGTTTCTCGATTGCAATATATTCACCATTGAGTGTCTTGACCAGATTCTTTTTGCGGTCGATGATTTTCAGATGGCCATTGGCATTGAATTCTCCGATATCGCCAGTCTTGAACCACTTGTCCTCTGTGATGGCCTCTTGGGTTTCTTTGTCATTGTCAAAGTAGCCCTCGGTCACCGAAGGACCACGGATCCAGATTTCACCTTGAGGAGGGTTGTTGGTGGAGTAGTAACCGGCATCGGGGAAGTCGACCAGCTTGACCTCGACGCACCCCGTGAGGTCACCGAGGGCGGTGGGATCCCATGCCAGGGGATCTTGGATACATCCCATTGCTGATGTTTCGGTGAGACCGTAACCGGAAATCATGGGCGTTACGGCATAACTGATGAATTTGATGGTCTCCTGGGAGATAGGTCCTCCACCGTTGAAAGCAATGCGCAACCGACCGCCGGTGGCGTCCTTCAGCTTTTTGAACACCACGGCATCAAGAACGCTGGTGCCAGGCAAGCCAGAGGAAAGAAGGAACTGCTTCAAGGAAAGCGCACCCCAGAACAAGTTTTTGGTGATAGCAGAGCCGCCATTGACCTTGGCAATGATACCTTTTTTGACACTTTCCCAGACCGCAGGGACGCCGATCAAAACCGTAGGCCGGAACTCTCGAATATCGCCCTTGCAGTTGCGCACAGAAGAGTCAGACAGGGTTTTGGGGTTGCCGTAACCCATGGTGCCGCCCCAAAACAAGCACACGTTCTCAAACATGTACTCGAAGATGTGGGACTGAGGTAGATAGGTGAGGAGAGCATCTGCGGGAGAGATGTAGGGAGCGACTACACTTTGGACACCGGCCATGGCAGCAACTACAGCCTTGTGCTTAATGGTCACACCTTTGGGAGGCCCAGTGGATCCAGAGGTGTACATGATGCATGCGAGGTCCTCTGGACTCGGTGGAACTGGGTCAACAGGATTCTCGGAGCCGGATTTCCTCAGGTCGGAAATGCAGACGACCTGGAGTTCTGGATGTGTGGATTTCAGCTTTTCAAGATCAGCCTCATTCAGATCGGGTTCAGTGTTGTAGATGACAGTCTTGAGGGCGGGGGTGTCCTTGATGACGTGGAGGAGAGTGGAGATGAGGTTGGGGTCGAGGAAGATGGCCTTGGAGCCAGTTTGCTTGAGAGAGTGTTTTAATCCTTCCTCGCCGAGAGAATCGTAGGCTGTAACAACGGGGATCGACTGGGACGCAGCGGCATGAGAGACTGCAAGCCAGTGTGCACTGAGAGGTGTCAGCATTTGCGCCCGCATCATGACCGAGTGTGAAGCTTACCTGGTGGCGCCGTAAAGATGCATTTTGTCGTCCTTGGTCAAACCGAGGCCTCGGAGGCCAGAGCCGATGTCTAGAGCGAGTTGCTGGTATTCAATGAAAGTCATGTAGGTGTAGCCGCTGAGCTCGTAAAAGGTCCATTTCTTGTCAACCTCTTGTTCGACGCCGTCGACCATCTTCTTGACCTTTTTGTTTTCAACGTGGGTCTTTATGATTTTCCTTGAACCGATGGCCTTTGCATTGCCAAACTTTTTGGCCGCACGAACGAGGTTGTCATAGATGGTCTTGACTTCTTCCGATGGGTAGACAAGAAGACCATCTTTGGCCAAAGGATTGACTCGGGGGATGGTCTCGCCGTCTTTCTTCTCGTAGCCAGGAGCATTCACAGAGAAGGGAGCCTTCCTGGACATCTGAGGCTGAACATGGCCATCGATCCTTGGCCGGTTGTCATTTGCACCCAAGGAGAAGGGCATGGTTGATTAGGACGTATGATTCAACGGCGAGCGGTGGGAGAGATGGAGGAGGGACAGTGGAATGACGCAGCGACCGTGCGCTTCCAGGGAGATACAATGATCTGGTTCTGGATGGAGAGAGAAATGGGAAAGAAGAGAAGACCACCGGAAATGAAGAGGAGGGAGGGTAAGCCTAGGATGTGCCGCGACGACGATGGCAAAGTCTTGTGTTTTGAATAGTCTTGGTGATTGAGGTTGGTTTGGCTGGCGGTGGTGATGACTGGTGACTGGATTGGGGTGCCCCCGTGCGTCAAAGGCCGGAGAGCCTGTGAGGTCAGCCGGGGCAGGGCTGCCCCCCAGATTGGGCACTAAACCTGTCGAAGCTAGGGAGCCACTGGAGCTGGGGGCGGCCGAAAGAACGCAAGGGACTACTGGAAGGATCCGCCAGGAATAAGCCCAACAGATGATCGTGAATGGCCTGAGTGGCCCCAACAGCTGACCAGGGGCGCCAATCTTGCCGCGACTGCCATGCCCCGAGTCTGCTGCCTAGACACGAAATCCAGGTGGTTGCTGGATGCCAAACCTTGAAAGCTGCTGTGGATATGCAGTTATGGCAATTGTCTAGCTGTTTACGTCACAGTCAAGGACTTTGCCCAGCTTTGGAGAGGTTGGCGGTCGACGGCGGTGGCTGTGCGGCCGAGGGGTACCTCTCGCCATAAATCAGTGCATACTCGTGCCTGGCCCGGCACCCACTACTAGGCATTTCCAGCATGCCATGGCTGCCCAGCCATGGCCGAGAGACCTGGAAAATGCTTCATGACGCCTGGAGAAGTGACTTGTGACCTTGTTCTGCTTTCAAGCCAGACTCCCTCTCTCGTCTCACGTCTCACGTAACGCCAGGAAACTCTACCAACTCTATCAACCCTGTGCAAACAGTCACCAGATATACAGACTCTCCATGGCGGATTTTCCAACAGATTCCCCCCTCGATAAGAGCCACTTTCATTTCCTCTGTTTAGAACATGCGTAGGCAGGTCTGCCATGGAAACCGGGGAATTGCGCTAACAACATTTGGCTTAGTTGGCATCTTGGGACCCCTTGGATTCCTTGACTCACAGGATTTGATTCGCGCTCGTCCAACCTCGTCCCTCGTCCAGTTACACACATACGAGGCAAATCAACGTATTAATAATAATTGGTGGCGTTCTCACCACCCCTCATTGCCTCCCTAGTCAGCATACGCACACTGCCTATCACGTGAATAAATTATTTGCATCTATTCAGACAACTATCGTCAACGAGCAAAAAGCCTGCTCAGTATAATGGCCGTTTGGTATTGCAATCGAAATCCTCTAGAATCTCGACATTCTCAATCAATGTAAGGGCAGGGGTTGGCTGAAGAAAGTGGTGAAATCTGGTGGAAATGAATGTCTCGAATCTTCCGGCCTCTGACCTGTTGTCTTCGCAACTTGGCCCTGTAGTTCAAGACGCCGAAGAAGGTGCCCCATATTCCACGTGCTTGTGTGTGACACAGAGTATGATGCTGACATCTCCCCCAGAGACCTTCCTGTTGTTCAGCCAAGATATACCCAGTAATAATCTTGGCTTTGTTGATCAGAAGGCGGAGGTGATCGAACTTGAAATTGCGGGTCGCGAATATTTTATTCGACAGTCCCCCGGTCTGCTCAACTCCAACAACCACTCTGGCACAACAGGTGCAGTTCTATGGAAAGTCACTCCTCTTCTGGCTGAGTGGCTCTCAAGTAGACCACCAATCCTCGCTGCCCTCAACGCTCTTCATCCCCAGGCCACGGTGGTAGAGCTGGGTTGTGGACTAAACGGCCTTATTGGACAAGTCCTATCACACTCGGTCAGAAGATATGTTTTTACGGACCTACCTTTTATTATCCGACATTTGAAGACCAACCTAGTGGAGGCAACACCGTCCCGTCGAAAGCATGAACAGAAACATAAGAAGCCCACTTCTCCACCCACACGACCAGTGCCAGGCCAAGATGTGTTACAGTTCTGCGCTCTCAATTGGGAGACCGATGAGGCAGAGACCTTGAATCCGACCCTGACCTCTGACGGCAGTATTGACCTTGTAATTCTTTGTGACTGTGTCTACAACGAGTACCTGGTGAAGCCTTTGGTACAGACATGTGCTGACATTTGCCGTCTGGGCCAAAAGGGGAACAAGCCTCCTGTGATGATCATTGCTCAGCAACTGCGTTCTGATATCGTTTTTGAAGAGTTTCTCGACAAGCTGATCCAACATTTCAATGTGTGGCGAGTGCCTGGCGACAAGATATTGTCAGGACTGGGGACAAACTCTGGGTATGTTGTCCATCTGGCCATCTTGAAGGACATGGAAGATGGTGCATGAATGTCGCCGATTGTGAAGAACCAAGAGCGGGACTACAGCTTCTGAATGCACACTGACTGATACAATATTGAACTGAACACTCTCATCCTCACAGATCCAGAAGGCGCCACAGATATGATAATGGTAGTTCTTTTCCAGCAAAAGTGAACGATTTACGATTTGCGCTCAGACTCATCTAATCTCCAACGTAGTAGGCCACTCGAAGGCCACCTGCACAATATGTATTATTGATCCACCGTTCCACGCAAACTTGTGATTGAGGCCGAACAGAAACATGCACACACTTTGATCTCAAACATCCCACATCCATCCTCCCTGGCGTCTTACACCTTCATTGCAAGCGCCGTCCAACTCTTGTGTTTGACGATTTCTGTGCTGTTTTGGAGTGTCGGGCTCGCGGCCCTGAAACGGGCACTGGCACTTGCATTCCTCAAAGGTTCTGCACCTGCACCCACCCACCATGGATTTGCGCAGCACTATCCAATCCTCTCTGTCAGCCGAAGCTGCCACGCGTACCCAGGCAGAAACCGCCCTCAACGAGGCCTCACAGCATCCAGGCTTCATCGGTGCCTTGCTAGATATCCTACAAACTGATCAAGACTCGACGGTTCGCCTGGCCACCTCGATCTACTTGAAGCACAGGGTATCGCGAGGTTGGGCTACAGAAAACACTCCGCACCAACCAATCTTGGAGCCCGAACGAAAGCCCTTCAGAGATCGCCTTCTTCCCATCTTGTCCAACTCGGCGCCACAAATTCGAGCCCAGCTCGTCCCTGTTCTGCAAAGTATCCTTCAGCACGACTTCCCGGCCAAATGGCCCGAGTTAGTTGACATCTCCCTTCAGTCCCTCAATACCCAAGATGCAAATTCTGTCTATGCCGGTCTGCAGGCCCTCCTGGCCATCTGTCGCACCTACAGATACCGTGCTGGAGAAGAGAGGGAGAATCTGAATAAAGTAGTCGCTGTCACTTTCCCAACCATCCTCGGAATTGGCAACAAACTCGTTCACGAATCTAGTATCGAGGCCGGCGAGATGCTGCGTATAATTGTCAAGTGCTACAAACATGCCGTGTACTATGCTCTCCCCCCACACCTCCAAAAGTACCAGGCCACCGTCGACTGGTGCACACTTTTTTTGACCATCATTTCAAAACAGCCGCCCGAGTGCGCCATGGATGATGATCCTGATGAAAGAGAACGCAATCACTGGTGGAAAGCCCGAAAGTGGTCCTACGCCAACCTCAACAGGTTATTTGTTAGGTACGGAAACCCCTCTGGTCTCATATCCAATTCGCAGGAGAAAGAATACATGGATTTTGCAAAGGTTTTCATCACAAACTTTGCCCCGGAAATCCTCAAAGGCTATCTACAGGAAATTGAGAAATGGGTCGGAGGCAACCACTGGTTGAGCAAACCCTCGCTTTCTTACACCCTCATCTTCCTCGAGGAGTGTGTGAAACCAAAGGTCATCTGGGAAAAGCTCAAGCCCCACATGGACAGCCTTATCAAACATTTGATTTTCCCTGTCTTGTGTCAAAGCGATGAAGATATGGAACTCTTTACCGACAACCCACCCGACTATCTTCACCGCAAGCTCAACTTTTACGAAGAAGTCTCCGCCCCAGATATGGCGGCGACAAATTTTCTCATCACCCTCACCAAGTCTCGAAAACAGCAAACCTATGTCATTCTCTCTTACGTCAACGAAGTCGTCACTCGATATGAATCTGCCCCTGATGACCAGAAGAATCCAAGAGAAAAGGAGGGTGCTTTACGTATGATTGGCTCTTTGGCTTCTGTCATCCTGAGCAAGAAAAGCCCCATCGCCGATCAAGTCGAGTATTTCTTCGTCCGACATGTCTTCCCCGAGTTCAGGTCTCCACACGGCTTTCTTCGTGCAAGAGCTTGTGAGACCATGGAGAAATTCGAGCAACTCGAGTTCAAGGACTCAAACAACCTTATGCTTATATATAGCAACATTCTCGAGTCCATGGCCGATTCCGAACTGCCTGTCAGGGTTATGGCTGCACTGTCTTTGCAACCTCTTATTCGGCATGATGCCATCCGGTTGGCAATGCAATCCAACATCCCCCAAATTATGCATCAACTTCTCAAGCTCATGAATGAAGTCGATGTCGATGCCTTGTCTAATGTCATGGAAGACTTTGTCGAAGTCTTCGCCGAGCAACTGACCCCCTTTGCTGTTGCCCTGAGTGAGAACCTCAGAGACACCTATTTGAGGATCGTCCAGGACATCTTGAGCCGTAATGAGACTCGGGTGAACGAAGAGGGTGGCACATTTGGCGACTATCTCGACGACAAAGCTATTGCCGCTTTGGGTGTGCTTCAAACCATGGGGACCCTGATCCTGACTCTCGAGGCCACTCCAGATGTCCTACTCTTGCTCGAGACTATCCTCATGCCCGTGATTTCCATCACCTTGGACAACAAATTGTATGATCTTTACAACGAGGTGTTTGAAATCATCGACTCTTGTACATTTGCCTCCAAGGCCATCTCGCCCACAATGTGGCAGGCCTTTGAATTGATGCACAAGACCTTTAAGGATGGCGCAGAGTTGTATCTAGAGGACATGCTCCCAGCACTGGACAATTTTGTCACATATGGCCAACAGCGACTCATTGACCACCCTCCATACCTGGCAGCTATTGCAGGTATGGTCCGAGACATTTTCGGTGACCCCAAAGTTGGCGGAGTCGATCGTATCTGTGGATGCAAGCTTGCAGAGGCAGTCATGCTCAACCTTCGGGGTGGCCCCATCGACAGCTACATCCCTACCTTTATTACGTTACCGATGGAGGTTCTGACCAGTGCCCAACAGAAGACAATTGTTAAGAGCTACAAAATTCACTTGGTCGAAATGGTGATCAATGCAATTTACTACAACCCCGTACTCGCTTTGCAAGTGCTCGAATCACATGGATGGACTAACAAATTCTTCTCAGTGTGGTTTGGTAGCATTGATTCTTTCCGCCGGGTTCACGACAAGAAGCTCTGCATTGCCGCCATATCAGCTTTGCTGACCATCAACGCGGACCAGGTGCCCCAATCGGTACAAACGGGATGGCCACGTTTGTTGACTGGGGCAACTTTCTTGTTCCGTACTCTTCCTGCCGCAGTCAAACAGCGCGAGGACGCGTTCAAGGCCTCTGATGGAGTTTCTGATTCTATATCCGAATATGGGTCTGATGAAGATGCCGACGATTGGGCAGACGAAAACGGCGAAGGACAGCAGGCACATGAGTGGGGCAATGTGAGTGCCACGACCATTGCGGACACCAAGGGTGACATCAAAGACGAGTCACAGGCGTATCTCGACTTCCTCAGTGAGGAGGCCAAGAAGTTTGGGGCACTCGCGGAAGACGATGAAGACAGTATTCTGGATGAAGACAGCTTGTTGGAAAGCCCGCTCGATAAGTTCGACCCGTACACTGCCTTCAAAGATGCCCTTGGAAAGTTACAGACCGAGCAACCGCAACTGTATACCAATTTAACCAACATCCTTGAGCCTGGGGACAGAGATGTCCTACAGAGCGTGGTGGCACACGCGACTCAGACACAGCAGCAAGCGCAACAGCAAGCACAACAGCAGTAGTGCCTGCACCGTTAGATCTTTGGGTACCCCGTGTGTGGTTGGCTTGTTTCCCAGACACGGAGTCGCGAACAGATCATCCGGCAGGTTGTGAATGCAGGCTTTCTGCTCTACGAACGTGTTAAGCGAGGGATTATGGGTTTGGATGTCGATGCCCTCGCGATGACTTGATGTCAAGCCACCTAGAATATATCCATCGACACAGCAGCAGCTCAGTACCACGGACCACGCAAGTGGAATCAGTCCCATCTCTCGCTTGAATTAAGGACCCTGCCCAGGAAGACAGACAATCACGAAGGGCAGCTCCCCAGCCAGGCAGACGAGCAGTAGGGGTTCAGTTGATGGAAAGGAGAAAGATCCATGAAGCAGACCAGACGCAGCCTGAAGGGAGGACAGTTTGATTAGTTAGACAGGCAGGCATGAACAGTGAAGTGAGATCGTGAGTCTGAGGGGTTGAGAGCCTGGGATTGACGTTTTCCCCTACAGGCGATATCTTTACGAAAGAAAGAATAGAAATGTCAACATCCCCCCCTTTCACACAATACGACTACTACATAGCATCAAACGAGGAGAATTCTTTCCCTTCCACCACAACCATCACCATCACGCTTCCCATAGACTATCCTACTCTCTCACACTTTCTCTTGTATCTATTTCTTGGTCTCTGTGTTCCATTGCCGAGTGATTCATGGGGGGAATTCCTTCTATCGAGATGAGAAGACACTGTCGTTCCGACTCTTTTACCGACTGCTATCCTCACTCAAATCCTACAGCTTTCAGACACTACGACCATGCTTATGCCTCTCAACTCAAGTTAGCAGCAGGTTCGCCACAATGGTGCAAATGATAATATTCACGCTATCAAAGTGATTATAGTTCGGTAGTTCATTCTCATTCTCTGTTAAACCTATCTGAGTTTTGGTCTCCCTTGTCACTCCTTCGCTATGCTGGCAATAGCTAACCCCATGGCAACTCCCACATACGTAAACATACCAAGGAGTGCATATGCTCAGTAGTCCTGCAATTTCATTCCAGCTGGTTCCAGTCTCAAATTTCGCTTTTTGTCACTTCTTTTCTCTAGACCGTTGCATGCCCCTTTCCTTTACCCTCACCACTGTTGACACGACCTAGCTGGCCGTCTAGGGACCGAGATCAACAAAACCCAACAGTCGAGTCAGAGAGGGAAAAATCCAGCCAAAGGTCTAGGCCATCCATCAATCATATGCAAAGATTGTCCCGTTGCCATTGAGCACGACCCCTCGTACTTCCATCCCTGCAGTCCTCGAGCACCACCCGCCAATATCCACAATACAAACTAGGGAAACACATGTGCATGAATTCGCAAGTCCAGTACAAGTGGGAAGAAAAGTTAACACTCCATCCTCAACATGAAAACATGTCATCGAAGTCGTTATTGTAGGTGGAGAAATCCAAATGCCTCAAAAGGCAACTAGGGTCGTGTCTCGGTCCAGTCATCATGCTGGGCTTTTGGCACTCTGAGGACCTCCATTGCGTCTTGGTGGCTGGTTCTCGTCACCCACGCTAAGGTTGCCAAGACCGGCGGAGAGGAAAGCAAAGGGGTCAGGGTTGTGCTCAGCACCGTAGAACCCGTTCTGAGGACCGTTACCAGAAGGGATATTTGTATTGTCAGCCGCTCCACTGAAAGCGGCTTGGGCAGCAGGGCCAAACGAGGAGTGAGAAATGTTGCTGGACGCATAGCCAGGGTTCATGCCGCCCATGTGAGGGAAGGGAGCGCCAGGACCACCAATACCCGAGGGCATGCCATACTGAGATTGTGGAGGACCCTGACCAAAAGCAGCGCCAGAACCAAAGGCGGCTGCGCCGGCTCCATAAGGAGCTGGACCTGGAGTGCCGCCGATGGATCCAGGGCCCATGCCAAACTCGGACGAAGGTCCCATTGGCGATGGGAAGGAAGAGTCAACGACAACAGCAGCACCCGAACGAGGAGCACCGCAACGAAGGCAGTTGATGTTCTTCGCAAAGTTGTGATACTGACAGCCTTCGGCGCCGCATCGCCAGTCACCAGCACGGAAGGGGACCACGCCGGCGCCGCCACCTCGACCACCATGGTGATGAGGTCCGTGATGGTTGAAATGATGGGGAGGATGTGCCATGACGGGAGGGGGGTAACCTTGGAAACCACTATAACCTCCATAAGGATCATTGCCAGCAGAGCCAGTGGCGGGGAAGGAGCATCTGAAGCAGGCAGTCCGACGTTGGAAGTTTGAGAAACCGCATGAGGGGCAGTTCCAGTCACCTGGGCGAGGACGGTTTTTGCTGGGAGGGAACGGGGTGAGGATTTCGGCGGCACGATCGAGGACTCGGCTAGAAGAAGGCGAGACCTCGATGGCCTTTTCGTTGAGAGCGCGGCCGTTCATACAGAGACTTTCGGCAGCCTGTGGAGGACGCGGGTATGATCAGTGACAATTGTTGAGCCAAAGAGGGAGAAGGAAAAGAGAGACAAAGAAGAAGACAAGCGTGGGAAACAGCGTGGTGGGGGAGTCAGAGTGGGTGAAGGGGGCTGAGTGAAGAATCGTGAATGATACGCAGGCAAGACAGACATACCTCTTCATGTGAAGAAAACACAGCAAAGCCCGAACCGGTTGGTTTGTGCTGATCGGGAGTACGAAGAGTCCAAAAGGCGATGGGACGACCACCGAATTGAGTAAACCAACTTTCCAGTTCGGACTGGGTGGTGTCGTGCGGCAGGCCGTTCATGTGTAGAACCTTGCTGCGTTCCTTCAAGAAGGCGTTGACATCTGCCCTGGCATCCATGGGTCTGGTGAGAATTTCCGGGTGATCATGGGCGGGTTGCGACTTCCGGATGAGACCTCTGAGAACCCTGGTCAAGGTAATTGCCTCTTCCATGGCACGACGAGGAGAGGCAGGCGCCAGGGCCTGGAGGTGGAAGGGCAGGTTGTGCTTGATTGGAGCCGAGGATTGCACAGGCTCCACCTCCAGAGCAGCACAAATGTTTGCTAGAGAGCTGGGGCCGAATGGGAGAGACTCTGGATGGTGCTGTTGCCAACGGGCATACTCTGAGCGCAGGTCAAAGGTGCGGGAGTGTTGCAAGTAAGCAGGTAGGACGACTGCTTTGTCGCGAGCTTCTCGGGGCAACTGGACCCGCAAATCCCAAGCATCCAGTGTCACAAAAGAGAACTCGAGGTTTTTGGATATAAGGTGTTCTTGGGCAAAGTGGTCAAATCGACTGACGGCATCGCGGAAAGACCCGGCAGTGCGGACATGTTCCCAGGTCAAGGTGGTCAGGCTAGCTGTTGCACGCAAGATTCAGTATGTGGATATATATAATTTTTCCATGGCCGCTGTGAAGCTGGCCGAGTAAGATCGGAGGTGGGCGAGACCTACTGCATAGGGGGGTGATGGGTGTGTTGACGGGCTTGACGAGGACACTGTCTCGGAACAACTGTGCGAGGAAGAAAAAGTGAGCGGATGAACAGGAGTTGAGAATCCCGCAGATGGAATTCCACGGCGGACATACCTCTTCGCAGGTCTTGCTATCGAGAAGTATCCAACCAATTTCAATGACCTCGGCAGAGTCTTTTGTCACATAAACACCATGTTCGTCGCAGGTGGTTGCTACATGTATGACCACGTATCGGTCGAGCTTAGGAACAGGAGGAGCTGCGCTGGCCATATTGACAGCGGTTGGACTTTTTCTCGAGGCAAGTGGACGAAGAATTGGAGGTGTGATATTACTGGGAGTCGATCAAGTGGACTGTGCTCAACGCCATCGAGTTAGTGAGTGAAGGTTGAAGGGAGAAGGAATGCCCGAGCAGGAGAATGATTCACCAAATAAGAGAGGACGACGAACAGTAGATGAGTGAGTAGTTGCGCAGGCCACCAAAATAACAGAAACCCGACCAACTCCAGCAGGACGGGGAGACGCAAGATGGACCGATGTGCAGATGACAAAATAGACCAACAATCCTCTCTCGAAACCTTGAGATCCCCGGAAACGACGACAAGGTGCAGGCGGGTGAAGAGAAGGTGAGGTGAGGTGAAATGAAGAAATTGGGGAATGGGGGTTTGCAGAGGCACGAAAGGGCGAAGCAGGTGACTTTGGACGACAAGACAGGGAAAATCAGAGAACGTAATGGTACGCAGGAGGAACTTGTTCAGTGGTTCCAGTGGTTCTAGTGGTTCCAGTGGTTCCAAGATGGGCGTGGAATCACGGGCAAGGGTACGGCATGGGCATGGAGGGAGTTAGGCGGGTGATGGAGTCCTCAATGACGGGCTGATGGAGCACAATTGGTCGTTCCAGCAAGAGTATCTGGTTCGGCTCATCGCTGAGCTTTGCTGGCTTGGGACTACGGGCAAATGTGGGTTGGGGATTGGAGAAATTTCTGGCCGACTTTTTTTTGATAGGCGCAGAGGACTAAGGAAAGAATAGCGGGTGAGGAGAGCACAGTTGAACTGTCCAACACCGTACAGGAGTACATACGTTGATTGCACCACTTTGGTTCCGGAAATAGCAACTGGGTGAGGCGATGCTCGAGGTGGAGGTGGAGGGTGGTTCCTACTGTAGAAGACGTTGACCGTTGACTGTGGGCGGGTTGACGATTGAGAGCTTGCAGGCCTCCAAGTATCAGTACCAGTAGTGGGACAATCATGGTCAACAGTTCAAGAATTGGCACACCGACAGAATGCAGCCATGGCGGCGGCACCCACCCCCTCGTCTCCAGTTTCTACCTCAGTTGGGTATAAGTTAGGTACGTACTCAGGCGCTGTGCTCAGAGACCCACGTAACCGCGGGTACGAGTAAACGCAAGTATGGACGGCGTCTGTACAAGGGGTTCGAGGACCGCCTACAACAGAGACAGCATAACTGAGGTACCCCGGGTGCCCAGCTGCTTGTGGCCGTTATCCAGGAATAGGATAGCTACAGTAACGTCCGTATGTCTGCGTACATGGTAACAAAAACGTGGGCACGCCGCACCTGTTGACTCCATGTGCCGCATCCGCGTCGGCATCCGCTGACACCAGGTTGGCCGAGATCGTCAATAGTCTATGGTCCACGAGTCCCTTGGGTTTTATTAGGTACATCACGCACGGTGGCACGTCCGGCATGGCCCAAGAGGCGAGTGAGGTTGGCGGCATGCTAGGCTATGGGTCTTATCGCTTGCATCGGGGGGTAATAATAATGGATGTCCTACGCATCACTTGTACTGCATAGGTAACTCACTTGTATTTAGCTGCGACGCCGACTATCATCCTCAGAATCTATATACTGAGTCTGTAGATATTTTCAGGGAACCCACAATATGCAGGGTCTCTGATACGAATTCTGCAGTTCAGTCAGTGTCTTGAATCTGTTCCGTAAGCCCCCATGACGGGTTTGGTGAGCTTGGGTGTGGAAGTGGGTGTCTGCAGCTTGACAGCCTGCCACATCGTGCAGTTATCCGCCCACCCGTTGCCCATCATGACGTTGATTGCGCCCAAGCCGAAACTTCGACGAAGCCTGTCAAGCCACCAACAATCCCGAGGTACCTACCCAGGCAGCAATGATATCGATAGAATTGGTTGCGCTCATTTCCTTGAACCTATTTTACCTGCCGCTACCACTGAAGGACTGATTATTTATCATTGGTTATCTGGACATCCATATCTGGATTCCTTGGGCCTCCTAGACCTCAAGTTTGGGTGGCTTGTTTCACATCTGAGTCTAACGAGTGTCCCCGAGGTTCTCCTGCATGTTAACGGTGGGGCCACGTTCTGATGAATGTCGTCAACCTAATGAAGAAATGAGTTATGCCAATAGGGAAGGGCGAGGGGCCGAGGGGGCCCGAGGGGCCGGCCCTTGGCCTCTAGGCCCCTCCCTCCCTCGGCCTTCTCCAAGAAGTATGAGGGAAGCCATGCCCAGGATTGCCAGGCCTTGGAGTTTGTGCGAGTCAGTCAGCTAACTTGGTGGCTACTTTAGGCGGACCCCTCGTTATGTCGGGGGCTCAGATTTTAATCGAATCTCACTTGCACAACAGCGACCACCCGGGGAATGCTGGACTGAGGTGGTCCCTGGCTGCCCCCTAAATCAAAGATCGCCCCCAGCATGACCCAGTCCTCTGAAAGAACGTCCGTCAATCATCGTGTTATTAACTTGATAAGTCGACACTTGCACACCGACAACAATGCTTTTACTACTTGTGGCCACTAAATGCCTAACAAGGCACATGAGTGTAGCACGGCCGGGCTGTCGGTCGCCCAAATCGTCCAGACCATTTACGCGTCCTTCACCATTACCGTCACGCCATAACGTTCTCCTTCCACCCAGTCTTGGGTGCCCCTGCTCTTCTCAGACTCTTGATACCGATTTTAGCCTTGCGATCAACCTGTCCGCTGGTAATAGAACTGATAAGTCTCACCACTTTTCCTTGTTCAACTTCCATGGCTGGTCATAGAACCATGAATTGTCCCAAGACCACAAGGCGCGCCCACCCTTGCGGCGCCAGTAGAACTCGGCCTTACGGAATGCTGCTCCCGCTAGGTTCCCCCTTCACGATGATACATCTAACGGGTTAGGTTGTGGTCAGCAAACTCCATTCGGCCTGGACCGAAGGATCTTGTGTCGGGGCATAACTTGTGGCTCAGCTCAAGAAGGTACGCATACTAGTGGCAGGAAGCATCCCGAAGCCATGTACCTTCCTCGATGCTTCTAATGAAGCTAAGTAGGAAGGTACCCTGAGTAAAGAAGGGACTTCGTCACGTGGAAGGTACGACAACAGCGGTAGAATCTATTACCGGGGTGTCCACTTCTCTTTCTGTTTTCTCATCAGGTGTGTACAACCACTTTTGTCTGCTCGGGCATGCTACTCTTCAACATCTCGTTTAGAGAACATCGCAACTAGGCTAAGGTCACATCAATGTCTTTGAAAACCCCGTCACTTGACTACCACACATTTTGAAATTCAGGATCGTTGTATAGTTTTGGAGATGATCGACATTATCATCGTGCAAATTCAACATTGTCGGGGTGCAGATATGCATTGATACCCGACAGATTGAAAGATCGACACTGCAAAACTTCATTGTTTTGTGACACTCTGCTTCCTGCGAATTTCAATGCCCAACCCGATACGGCTCGACATCCTCTGCACGATACAAAGCCACAAGGTTACTTTGACAGCTGCCATGACATTACTTCTCTTGGTCTCATATCTGCTCATCGTGGATGATACAGAGATCCTTTCCTTACAAGACCGTGAAGGCTTCTAAATGACCTTGAGGTCGAATACAGCCTCGTAACCATTGTACGCCACTCCTCGGAGGTTCCAAGTCGATCTTTCCTGTGTCTGACTATGCCCTCCAGCGTCGGTAGCTTTGGCAAAGATCTTGCGCCCCGATCCTACTTGCATCTTGACTTTTGCGTTCCACAACACCCAGCTCCATCGGCTTGCCATCTCGCCACCGTGCTCGAGCTGTGCGTCCTTCCATGTCTGACCCTCATCACCAGAAACCTGGACTCTGATCACAGGCCCATGGTGGCCCTGAGGAACGGCATATCCGATTACGTCCACTAACCCAGAAGCTGGGAGTTTGATGGTGGATTCGGAAGTTGGCCAGGCGACACAAGAATTGACGGGCATGTCGAGCATTGAAGGACACAGGGGCCAGTACTTCTCTGCTGTTTCAACATCAACTGCCTCAGGTGGTAAGATTTTGTAGTCACGCTGTTGATAGAAACAGGGCGATTCCTTGTCCGACACCGAGATGCGGTCGAGCCATTTCACAGAACGAGCACCAAGCACGCCTGGGACCACTGCACGGACCGGGAAGCCATGACGAGCAGGTAGTGGAACGCCATTCATCTGCCCATCGTTAGCCTGCGACAGTCAAGGGGGATGCGGGTGGCCAGGTGGCTCATACCTTGAGCGCCAGGATCACCTCCATGTCCGGATCCATGGCCCGATCGAACGGAATGCTCCCACCGTACCACTCATCCTGCTGGGTCTTGCCTCCATAATTGGCAAAATGGACGTGTCTTGGTGACACTCCGTTATGCACGACTTCGGATTCGACCACCCCAGCAGCAAGCAGGACATCACGTACTCGAGGCCCTTCCCAAGTACAATTCATCACGGCCCCATCAAACCAGTCCACTCCACAGACCTCCTTGATTCGAGTCCGCATCGTGTGGCGTCGGTTCCCGGCACATTGGAGCGTGCAGGTCACAGAGTGCTGGGGGAAGTCGTTGGCAAGTTGAGCAACGGTCAGCTCTAGACCCTTTGCAACGAGTCCATCTACCCTGACGGTGTGATCGCAACTACTCTTGTGTTGAATTGGTCCATGGTTTCGATCATAATTGTCTGTCTTGGTAAGGAAACTATTGGTACTTGAGAGATTGATCAATGCAAGTCGCTATCTTCTCCTACCTGGACACGAGGTCGATCATGAATGGCTCTCGGTTGATCGGCTTCTCAACAGTACCATTGTCGAACGGGCAGATTTGCTCCTATTCAAGCGGTCAGACATCCTGATTCCAGGGCAGAAATGGTAGGGCATTCACAATTGGCATCTCGATGGTGTTTTGCCGGTTGACTTTCGACCATTAAAGTTCCTATTTCGGAAAGCAACAAACACAATAAGAAGTTGTTGTCTCTGTACTGAGATATCAGGAGTCGGAAGTGAGAAAGAGGGGAAAGACGAGGTACAGGGTACTGATTGTCTGCCAACAATCAGAGCAGAGGGCGGACATTGGCGCGCCCGTCCACTCTCATCCTGGCAGGGAAGGAGTGAACGTACATATCGGTGCGGGGCATCCCACCCTTGAATTGTCACCTCATGTTTTTGGCCTGACAGGCGTTCTATCGCTCAGGAAAGGTGTAGAAATCGATACATCGTCGACGACCCCTAAACAGACAAGGCTGAGATACTCAGGATCATGCTCCACATCGTTTTCAGACTCGTCGACCAGCGGACGCCATCAGGGACCTGAAACAGCTCTGATTGGCTGAACCATCGATGTCGTGATTTTACTGTCGAGCACAGAGACCATTTGTTTACACTCACTCGTCGTATGGTCTGCCGTTGTATTGTCTAACCCGATTGAGATGAACGGACCCTTGGCCAGATCGTCACGTCTTCTGGATGCTTGTAGATCTCTTCACACTACCGCAACCTCACCAAGAGTACGTGCTGTTACCTGCGTGCTGTTCTCCGGCTGGTCGATATGTCGCTCTGGGCGTAAGTGTTTTCCATCTATCCAACCCTTCTGATCCCTTTATTGTCCCTATTGTCCACCAATAGCCTCGCCTTTTCATCTTTCCAGACCAACAACTAATCCTCCTCTAGGTCCTACAAGGGCATTCCTCCAAAGACACGCGCCGTGATTGGTGTGGCCATCATGCTGAACGCAGGGGCCATGCTGATGTTCTCAGACCACATCGAGGACGCTTTAGGGCTCAAGAGTGACAAGCAGGAACAAGAGCAGGCTTTCAAGGTCACGACTGTGGACCGGCAGACCAAAACTTGAGACTAGGTGGAGCCTGTATATAAGACGAACGCATGAAACCTTAAAGAGTGCCCTCGAACTGGAACCACCCTATCAAGGCCCCATTGCTGTGGACTGTGGCTCTTCTTTCAAAAGCCCAGACTAACGATCAAGCTGTCCAGGACCTGACGACTCGTTCGTGACTTGGAGATGTCTCAATAGTCTAGCTTTGTCAGGTCACAGCTGTCTTGATGAGCCACTGGGATGAATATATTGTCACTTCATGGCTATACTGTTCACGTGACGTCACAGCCAGGAACATCACTGAGGAAACCTGCCAAGTTGCCCGACCTCAACCAGCAATTGAAAGGGGATGGGAACGGAGAGATGATCTGCGTGGTTCGTCGCGGTCTTGAGGGAAAAGGGAGCCTGGTACGAACGAGATGATATCCATCTATTTCCCGCCATGCTCCATATATTTCTATGGAGCCTTTGGACGACATAAGTTGCTCGAACTGCAACAAAGGATCCCATGGATAATGAAAACAGGATGATAAGTGGTGGAAAGAAATATAAGTCTACGGACACGGAACTATAATTGCAAAGGCATGCGATGTACCAGGAAATCATCCACTATTCCACCGGATCGTTACGAAATACCAATGCGAATTTGGCCAACAAACTCCCATGCCCTATTGCACCATCATTGCGCATCAATGTGTACATCCTTAAAACCCAAATTTTATGCGTCCCGTACACCAACAAAAGAAAGACCGTCAATTAAACACATCACAAACTCCTAAGCATCTGATCTGGTTCATTATTGGGGGATATTTTCCTTGAATGCGATTGTGTTGAACTCGGAATAGACGGCATCGATCTGCAGACTCTGCGGATTGACGTCAAAGGTAATGATACCTTTGATCTCATTCTGTCGAGTTCCGAATTGGGTGACATTCCACCGCCATGCGATTTGGTCCGAGCTGTAGAAGTAGCCCAAAGTCTGAAGACCTGGCAGTGCCGGCGTCTGTGCCTGACCGAGTATGAATGCTTGTTTGCTGGGATATGCTGGTACACCGAGCTAAAAGAAAAAAAGAGACCCCGAGTTAGCACCTCTCCACTGGACTGACTGACTATTGAGAAAGAAAGTCTTGGAGGTTTGGTACGTACCGGACGTCCAGACAACGTGTTGATTGAGTCAGACGAGACAAAGAACTTGTCGGACAAGATGGCATTGGCAGTCGCATTGAAGTTTGGACCTGTAGGATATTCCAGCAGATATGTATATCCAGTGATGAGGTATTGAACGCCAGTGGCATTCAATCCACCTCCATAGTTGCCCCATTCCGCCCATCTCCCAGGGAAGGCGACGACTGTACTGGCGAGAGCCAACGTCGCCGCGACAAGGAAAGTATGCATGATGGATGTCTGAACGAGGGTGGATAGAAAGAGAGTAACAGGGTTTGGAAAGAAATGGTCTGATGAGATAGATAACCTAGGTGATAAAGAACCTGGTTACCTGGATTACTTTGACTTGTTGGATTCAACCGCAGGAATAGGCAGAAACCCAAACGCTTTTGACAGCTGAAGCCCATGTTATATACCTAAGTAATCCATGACGACAAGAGTCGGCCACCACCGTGTAAAACATACGAGCTGACCGGGACCTTGTGCCCTGAGGCCGTGAGCCCCGAGGCCGTGTGCCCCGTCAGATCCACCAGCAAAGAGTTTTGTCACGACTCTGAAAAGAAGGCGGGTCGAACCGTCGAGACCAGGAACGTGATTGAAGGGGCAAATTGAGAAAGGCCACCGTGAAGATCTAACATGGCTGGTAATGGGAGACGTCAGCACTCAGGGCGTAGTTTAGTCGTAGATGTGGACGTGGATGTGGATGGAAGGCAAGTACTCCGTAAGGCAAGTAATCAGTTAGTACTCCGTAGAGGCACACGCGTTGTTGGTCCAGGATTTCGTGTCGTCATGGTCCGACCGTCGAGTCCCGTAGTGTCCTATGGAGTATGTCTTTTTTTGTCATCCAACGGCATCTATGTTTCTGATTTCTCGAAGGTAAGCAAGGGAATAGAGGCGGGATGGACGGGGGCACGACAAGGTTAAAGTTGGTGGCAGGAAGTTGCTTGTCTCAGTGCTGGTGTGCACGGATCAAACTTTGATTCAACGCGATCCCGCCCATGCCCACGGTGACCAGGTAGGCCCGAGGGACCCTTCGGCCCTGTAAGGTGCACCTACCAAGTCCCTTGAGCTGTTGTCAGAGTCGTATGGCCTGTCGGACCGGCTATCAGCATTTTTGTCTTTTCCAACCACCTTAGGGCCCTGTGGGAAGGGTCTTTCGTTTGTGGGAATTGCAGCTCCCGACCAAAGTCGTAAGATGTTGTTTCGTTGCGAGATGGAGGAAAGATCGTGTTTTGAGGCAGACTTGCACAATACTGGCTGCCTCACTGGATGCAACTCGAGTAAGCCAATCGTAATTCCACGTTCATATCTTAGACGGAGTATCTCTCGATTATCCTCGAAGAAGGACCGAAGAAATAAACAAACATGCATTCCAATTGATAACTACATAAATTAAGAGTTTCACATCTATCCTTCACACAGCTAGTATTTCTATGCTTGGGTTTGAATAATCATGCTCAATGTCTATGTAATCTATTCGTGTCTATCCACAGAATCATGCCCATCAATTACTGGCTTCTTTGGCCAGCTCGTATGTTGTCCTCATCGAGATAGCAAACTCTTGTATCCCAAAGGTAGAAAGACCCTGAACGCCAGCGCTAGAAAAATATCGCAAATCTTGTCCTCATCTTGAAATCCTCAAGGAGTGCTAAGGGAATGCCGAAGGAGTACTGAAGGAATGCTGAGGGAGTGCCGATGTGGGGCCAAAGTATTACTCAAGGAGTGCTGGGGGAAAAGATCATCCTGGCACAACATGCGAAAGTACCCGTAGGATCGATCGCTCATTCCAACATCAAGTAAAGTCCCAAAGATCCACCAACTGATTAGCTCTGAACTCTTCACCCTCAGCATCGCTATCGTCGCCGGAAAAGATCTTCTTGGGTATCTTGTATTCGACTACTGGTGGTTTCTTTTCCTTCTTCTTCAGCTCACTTTCCAGGAGTGTTGCATAGCCATGATCCAAGAAATCCTCGAGATTATATTGTTGTTTGGTGAACTGCTCGGAGATGATGCGTGCAATGCTGGCGACTGTCGGATGGTAATGGGATTGTATTGTTTCAAGCTCCCAAAGTGAGCTCTCGATAGCATTTGTGAGCTGGGGATTCGGCTCGGTAGGGTCGTAGGGATCATTGCCCAAGTTGTGTTTGAATTTTGTGTAAGGTGGGTGGGGTTGGCGATGAATCATGAAAGTGGTGGTGGGGTGGGATTTCAACAGGTTGTAAATAAAGGGCACAATCGCGACGATGGCAGATGGTGGTGCGAACAGACAGAGCCTCGACAGGCGCTTGATGAAGCTGGCAATAGTGGCGGCTGGAAGGTGGTTGGTGGGCGAGAGGAAAACGTCCAGATGCCGGAGGACCCGCGACCGGTACTTGCTGTGCAAGAGATCTTTATCGAGCAACGCATAGAGACGTACGAAGAAGGAGGGATAGTCGAGGTTCTTGGTGGTGATCAGGTAGAATAGTCCTTGAAGAGCAGGGACCGCAAGTCCCAGGTCGCCCATGTCAAGGCTGTCGGTGAAAAAGTCCATTAGGATCTCCGGCCTGCGGAGACTCGAGATGGTTTCTGGCTTCTGGAGTTCTTTGAGGAGGGCTTTCCTCTGCGGTGCAGTCATCGGCGCCGAGATGAGCTGCGCATATGAATCATTGCCGGATGAAGAAGGCATGGTTGCGGTCGCTGAAGTGCCCGCGAGAGCACGGCTCTCAATATCGACGAGAAACTCGAGATTAATACAGTTATGAATGAAAAATAAACCTATGAATGTTGCATCCAATCTTTTTTTGGGGTCATTATCATCAAAGGAGGGGGAAACAATAAATGCCAAGACTGAGAATTGTCTAGTCCACATTTGAACTAGCCTCTTGCCGTGCCAAGGCCGAAGTGAGGAAAGAGCTCTCTGGCAAAGAAACGTCAAACAGCTCCAAACAGGGACACCACCAGTCTTTGTCCAGGCAATCTATATTCATTCACAATGGCGTCTAGACTGGCGAGGCACGCGGCCGGTAAGTATCTGATGGACTCTGATGGAGACCAGGGCGAGCAAACGATGAGCTGACAATCTATCGTCATTACAGGAGCTGCGAAACTCCGACCTTCAGCACCATTCCGATCCCTCCCAGCCCTTACAACTCCATTGACCTCAAGGCGCTACGCCAGCAACGTCCCCGCTGAAGAACCCAAGAAGAAGGCTCAATCGATCCTCGACGCGCTCCCCGGATCTTCCATCGCTAGCAAGACTGCTATCCTTTCCGCAGGTGCTGGTATCTCGGTCTGGGCTATCAGCAATGAGCTCTACGTGGTCAACGAGGAATCTGTCGTGGCCTTTTGCTTGTTGAGCGTCTTCTATGGAATCTTTAAATATGGAGGCCCGGCTTATAACGAGTGGGCTACCACCACCATTGCCAAGTACAAGGACATTTTGAACTCGGCAAGAGAAGGCCACGTCGAGGCTGTCAAGTCCAGAATCGAGGATGTTAAGCCTCTGAGCAACGTCGTTGAGATCACTCAACAGCTGTTTGAGGTCTCCAAGGTGAGTTTACAAAGCCTGAATGCCACGATCAAGCTTCTAATAAGCCAATTCAGGAAACCGCCAAACTCGAAGCCCAGGCTTTCGAACTCGAACAAAGAACCGCCGTTGCAGCTGAAGCCAAAACCGTCCTCGACAGCTGGGTCCGTTACGAAGGCCAAGTCAAGCAGCGACAACAGAAGGAACTTGCCGAGAGCATCATTGCTAAAGTCACCAAGGAACTCGAGAACCCCAAGGTCCTGCAGCAAATCCTCCAACAAAGCGTTGCCGACGTGGAGAAGCTCGTGGCTACCAAGGCTTAGTGAAGCACCTGTCGACTCCTGACCTGGACACTGCAATGCGATAACGCCCAGGAGTTGTATCACTTTCTGATAGAAATACCGGCGAGATTGCGTGGATGATGCGACACAGGAACGAGGAGATTGTGTTGAATGTTGTACATAAAAAACATCTCATCGGCTCTCGTCCGATTGCCTTTGATCTCTGCATCAACTTAAATAGAGCAGATTAAATTCCTTTGTTTAAGACTACGTCCTAACACTGTGTCATATTCATGTGAAGCATGTTTTGGGAAAGAGTGCTTTTTCACCAGGTTCTCTCATCAAACAACCAGATATTTCTCGGCCACACTCTTCGCCATGTCCATGTTCCCACTCAAGGCGTACATCGTTTGAATTGCGTATGCGGCCTCCATGGTGAATTCCAAATCTGTAGAAGTGACCTTTGGATCAGATGTGTCGTTGCTGTTGATGTCGCCGGGCAGGGGTGGGTAATTGTCGTTGTTTTCATCAGGATTAATCGACGTCTCGTCTTTTTGTCGCAGTGCCAACGCTTTTTCATACGCCCGGATGGCCAGATCGGCCATGCCCAGCATCTGCCAAATTCTCGCTCGATTGAATTCAATCTCGACTTCGGCTATGTGTTGCAAGCCCAAATTGGTCTTCCCTTGCTCGGCAAACTCCCGGTCCTTGTCTCTGGCGACATTCCTCCGCAACTCAACATACTCGTCAAAGAACGACCAACCTTGCAATGCGTACATGTGGCGGTTTTCATTCTGTCGCTTGAGCATCTCGTGAAAATAGGCCAGCGAAATACTCAACATTATGACGGGGCTTTTGGGGTCCAGACTTCGTGCACGGAAAAAGTACGAGAGAGCATTGACAAAGCTGCCTCCGGCGTATAAGAGATGTGCGTACAATGTAAGGAGCACAACGTCCATCTCTTTTGGAGTGACGAAGTCGGATGCCGAGTCATTGATTTGGTCAACGTCGCCGGTCTTCAGTCCATACTCGCTCTCGCCGTCGCTTTCACCTGCGACACGTTTGGAGTTTGGCTGGACTTCAATTCTCACGCCATCTCTCTGTCGCCGCATGAAATTTGGTACCGGACCCCATTCACTACCCTCGTTGTAGTCAAGTGGCAGGTTTGCGTCCATCATCATGATCTGTCGAAACATGAATTTCTGGGTGGGTCCACTGCGGAAAGGGGCGTTTGTATTTTGTCCATCTTTGCCGCCTTTGTCCATCGGGTGAGGAAAGACAAGATTGGTGGCTGCGAAGAGTCGGTAGGCATCAGTGCAGAACTGGTATGTTCGTAAGAACCACCGAAGTACGATGTTGAAGAGAGTCGCATCGTCGCGCAGTGCAAGGCAGCATGCGAAATAGGCGATGTATATACGTAGCTGAGCTGCCGAGTCTGCATGCCAAACGTCGCAGTCAATGGCGGCGGTGATGGTTCTATAGCAGGCTTCCCGGGTGTCCAGCTTGGCTTGAAGCATGGCGTGTTCGAGGAAGAGGTCAAGCCATTCAGGGAAGGAAATGTTTCGATATGTCATGGCCGGTGCGGCGGATGGCAAGGATCTTGGTTGGTATTCGCCTCTGACAAGTCCATATGTACCTTGCCCCCGTTTGTGGGATTTGGAGGCGTTTTCGTTGGCATTGATCCATGCTGAGGGGTTGCGCTCGCTGGGGAAGAACTTGCGATTGCTGCAGAAGTCGGCAATGAGACTGGTAGAGCATTCCATCCATATCCGTGTTGCTGCTTCATCTCCTGATCTCATGGCGTCGGTATTGGCCAAGAGATCGCCGTAGATCCGAAGGTCACCCTGAGTGCGATAAGTCTCCTTGTCTTCCAGCCTCATGGACTGAGGTCGGGGAACAGACGTTGTCTTCATGACTCCTGTGAATGCAGCTGATTCGTCTGTGCTGCTACGATGGTCAGGAGCGGCAGTGAACGTTCCGAGCATACGGCGCGGGAGCCTTCTTGACCTTGCTTGTGTTTCTCTTGATCGGTTCAACCGGGACTCGATACGGTGTACCGGAACTCCAGCCGGTGCCGGTCCTGAAAGTTGGACTGCCTGCTTGAGGGCATTCTCGGCTGCTGTGCGGGCTAGACGATGTTCTTTACGTTCGTATTTCCGTTTCTCCGTCAGCTTTGTCGCCGCTTCGGCGATGCGCACCGCCTCTCGAGCATTCTCGATGGCCTTTTCCTTCTCGTCGAGATCGGTGTAGAGCTTTGCAAGTTGTGTCCTTGCTTCACCACATTCACTGTCCACTATCTTGGCAGCCTCGTAGCACTGGATAGCTTTCGCTTTGTCCTCCACCGCGTAGTAACATGTAGCGATCCCAAGCCAAAAATCAACATCATTATAAGCCTCCACATCCTTCAAGGCTTCAAAATATCGGAGGGCTTGTTCGTGGCATTTGATGGACAAGAGGGTTTGGGCGACTTGTAAAAATAGGTCGGGGAAGTCGTAAACAGATGCAAGGTCGTCCCGCGCCTCCGGCTCTAACCATTCAAAATGAGCCATTGCCTCGTCCATGAACTCATGGCCTTGTCGTAGACGCAGAATTCCCAACTGAATTCGGATTTCAAGAGGTAATCCAAGACCATACGAATCGGGGGAATGCTCGCCGGGAAAGTGTTGTGGAACAAGTAGTCGTCTTGGTTCGTCCTCTGCATCCCATTCTCGATCATCAGCATCGTAGTTGTCCCAAAATGACTCGTCTTCGCGCCCAAGAAGCCAACGAGACAACTGTCTGAGCCTTGTGATGGCATTAGTTCGAGCAACTTCAGCAGGCTCTTCGTTAGCTAGGAGTTGGACGTAGGTATTCAGATGTGCCCAAGTGAAGCCTTTTTCTCCTTGGGAGTCCGTGTCTTTGTAGTATTGGATTGTCTCCTCATACAGAGCCTTTGCCCTCGCGGTATTCTTCGTTTCGATGCCAATCTCGGCAATGTGCCTCATTACCACGGCATCACGAGGTATAAGCTTCAACAAGGCATCCAAATCTTTGTTGGCTTTTCCTATGTTGCCGAGTTCGCGGCTGAGAGCAGAACGCTCAAGTCGGGCGTCAATATCTTTGGTATCATTATGAATGATCCGAGCATAGCAATAGCTAGCCTGCTGTAAGGCGATCTCTCTATTGTCTTTGGAATGGGTCAGACATGCATCGGCCACTTGACGCCAGACAGCGGCATCTCGAGCAGCACTGTGTGCACCGCTGAACAATGCAGCGATGGCCTTCTCGGTCTCGTCTCGTGAGAAATATATCTCCGAAAGCAGGGCATGAGCCGCGTATATTTCAGGATTGATGGCGATGGCCTGAAGGATCAGGTCGCGGGCTTGTTCGGAGTCTTGTTCATCGATGAAGGCGCTCAAAGCCTGTTGGTGGAGACGCGTAAACTCGGGGCTTGGTTCCATGGCTGGTCTGGGGCCGATTTTCAAGCCCTTGCTCCAGCCGCCTCTCCGCCCGGTGCCTTTCTTGCGACGTTTCTGGGGAGGTGTATTGGATGATTCTTGATTCAACTGGGGGGTCTTTCGCTTTCGCTGGTAAGAAGACACATCTTGGATTCCCATGGTTCTTTGGACAATGCGCTCTTCAGCTTCGTCAATAGAATCATTTCCATCGTCCGAGGCATCGGCGCCACTTTCGCCATCGTCTTCATCATCCTCAGCCATTTGATCACCGCCATTCAAAGGATATGGTTCAGAGATGGTAAGGGGAGCGGCAAGTGCTGGGTATGCATTGGATATGGACTGGTCATTACTGCCATCCTCTTGAATTGACTGGTGGAGACTGCTCTGAGATGTAGGTTGAGGGAGAGTGGGGATGTGAGTATGACTGGTTTCATTGCGAAGTTCTTCCATGCTAACTGGAGGAACTAGGCTCATCCATGGGTAAGGTTGGGTGTCTGCTGGATCTTCAGGCTTCCCTGGTATGTTTTGGTCCATTTTGAAAGACTGTTAGGCGCCAGTCCTTGCATGATCGCCTGAGAATTTGCTCGAGGCAGGCATCAAAGCCAAGACGACATTGCAGATGGGTTTTAGACTGATTCAGAGCGGCGCAGAAGCTGCCAACGTTCGGGTCGTAGCATCAACTGCGATTCAGTGACTATGGTTTTCGATGCACACTTAGCCAAGCATGAGATTGAATGTCAGCTTAGAAGTGGATTCATGAAGCAGGTGTGGAACAAGTCAGAGATGGAGATGGAGTCAGAAAACAAAGAGACGGCGCCACAAGTGTTGCGCCACAATGTGGCGTCCTGTTCTATGTACGCGTATAGCCAATCATAAAAGGGTCCTTCGAGTTCTGCGTGAATTGGGGGGCCGAGGGGCTGGGCTTGGCATGCAATGGCTTGTGAATCTGGCCCATGCATGCGTTGGAGATAAAGCATATGAAATACCAAAATGGCGTGCAGAGACCGTGCCTCGAAACGGCGTTTCGTCAGCTATGATACTCTCATTGGTGAGGGAAATGAGTTTCATGCATGGACAGCGCCGAGAAACGCGGACGGCAAGCCCAGGAGTTACCTAACTGGCCCCTAGGCGTGTCAAATCCATGTCCTCGTCGACATTCCATCAAGGATATGTGATGGCGTTGACCACATGGTGAGGATTGCACGTGTTTGGCGGCTTGCGACGCACCTTCCATTTGTACGGAGGTACTTCTGTATCTGCCCACCAAAAAGTTGGTAGTTGCAACTTCCCATGTGCACTGAAGCCAGGTGCCCACATTTTCAATCATCGCAGACAGACCTGAATATGACTGACATGACACCAATAGCAGCCCAATATTTTCTTGCCCTTTCAGAAATTAGCCCTGAGAAAATATCCGAGAACCCGGAGACTGACCCAGGGGCTAGGGCTAGGCATCCCACAGGGCGTGTTCGCGGAGTTGGAAACCGTCGGGACGTTAACATCAGTTTACTTAATAGGCATGGAGTGGCCTATAAACAGGCGAGGCAGGCCGAGGGGCGCCTCGGGCCTCGAGGAACGGCGTGGACGGTTAGGTGGGTGGACCCTAGAAAGTACCCAGAAGTGTGAGAAAGTGCTGCTTAGTGGCTGCTAATGTACCTCGTCAACCAACCCGCTGCCTCGTTTAAGCTACCAGTGGCATATTCCTTCCCGGGCTTGTCTTATTTTCAGCTACTATTCAACGAGGAAGGCATGGCTGCCACCAATTAATGCCATTGCTCGCACCTTTGCTCCTTCCACTCCTCCTACACGTTTCAGTTCCCACGATCTTCCTGTCGACCTTTCTCTCCTCCTGTTGCCTTTTTTTTTTTCACCTAAACCCACTCTCGAGTCGAGTCACCTTTGTTGTCGTCCCAATCGACCGTGGTTCTTCACTGTCGCCATTAGCCTTCTGTACCCCGTTGCTTATATTCGGCATTGATTTGGACTCTTCAGCCTTCCCGATCGTGTCTGAGACACCTCGCGTACCACCACTTCCACACTGAATCTCACTCGCACCTTTTGACACCATCATCCTTCGCCTTTTGCAGTTGGTCTTCTACTTCGCTCGCCGCCTGCTGAGCAACCTCAACGACTCCCTCGTCTTTCATCCTATCCTTGACCTGCGCCGGTGGACTGGCTCCAGTCGGCTCCTTAACCACACCTCCCACCACGCAGCCACCCATCCCCTCTCTTCTCCTGGTCCAATCCTCGAGTGCGCCTTGATGATCAGCTAGACTTGCTTGTGCTACCTCCCACCCCACCTCTGTCAAGCTGTCTGAATCCTCGCCTCCCTAGCTCCTCGTCACTGCAACCTTGTCTGTCGTTCGTGTCACCCGAGTTTGACTTGTAAAAGAATAAGCCACCATGGCGAGCAACATCATTGGGAACAGGAACAGTACCCCAGAGGCCTCCAAGACTTCGCTGCGCCCTCCCTCCTCCAGAACTGCCGGCTCGACAAATGCTCATAGTCAGCAAGTTCGATCTTCAGCCGACATGTCTTTCAACTCTCCACTTTCCGCAAGGTCCATTCGTCCTGCCTCCGAGGTCCTTTATAATCAACAATCCCAGCAGGGCGGCCTCGACGACTCTAACAGGTTGGGTGAGCAGTGGATTCAAGACATCGAACAGTACGAGACTATGCTGGAAGAGATGGCTGCTGCCACTTTGGACCAAGATTTCAAGGACGAGCTGAGTGCCATTGAACAATGGTTTCGAGTCTTGAGTGAAGCTGAACGTACGGCCGCCACATATGCTCTGATACAGCAGACTACCCAGATGCAACAACGATTCTTCGCTCAGGTCTTGAACCAAATGTCCAAGAGCCACCCGATATCTGGCATTCTGTCTCCCGCCAACTTTGGGGAGAAGGACCCCATGTCTAGTCGTTTGAGCGATGCCATGTCAAAGCTCAATGCCGACGACCGGAGAATCTCTCTTGGTCGACCCTCTCCGGTGTCTCCTGCTGGAAATAAGCGTAATTCCGGGCTGGATCAGTCAACCATCCACGCCATGTTTCCCGACGCTGTCGCTGCTATTCAACAACAAAAGGCAGAATACGCACAGCAGACTGGCAACCTCCCCCCTTCCAACAGGAACAGCACCATTGGAGATCGCACTTCTCTTGTCGCCCCCACCATCTCAGCACCCAGAGAGAACAAGTCGGACGCCTTGAGTTGGCGTCAAGGTCCAGATTCACAACAGCCTCCTATTTCTCGTCCAAAATCTTCCTCCGGCCAAACTCAAACGCTACCGCCACCTCCCATGGGCCAATTTGCGCAACCACCCTCATCTGCAGGCGGTCTACGCTCCCCTCGGCCCCCAGGAATGACTTCTGGCAACATCCAAAACACCACCTTGACCGCACCAGACCACGGAGGTAGCGAGCTCCCTATGTTGTCTCCATACAATGTCGGCAACCAAAGTTGGGCCTCGATGAGTAATACTCCAATGGTGCCCAGCTTCAATCAGTCCCCTGCTCATACTGACATGGTGGCTAATGCGACAGCCATGAAACTCGCCGCACTTTCGACCGTCAACAATAGAATTGCCTTGGATGATGTCAAAAAGTATCGCCGGGCAAGGTCTAACGAACCACAAGTCCCTTCACAGCCGGCTCTGTCTCCTGGTCTCAATTCCCTTGGCATTCCTGGTATTAACACCATCATGGTTAACGACCACGGTCAGATCCTAAATGCTCAACAAGTTGCCGCAATTCAAGCTCAGCAGATCGCCGCTGCACAAGGTCATCGTTCTCGTCCCAACTCTCCGGGCTTGCCTTTGCAAACTCCTCTTGGTCAAACGAGCTTCGCTTCACCACAACACAACGGTTTCCTTGCCGCATACGATGGGGGCCAAATGATGATGGGACAAGGCCTGCCTACTTTTATGCCAACAGTCGTTGGAAGCGAAGGCTATCTCTCAGACCACTCCGAAATCAATCGTGGACGTTCGCCGAGAGGTCGCCGTGGAAGTTCCAAACCTCCCGAGGACCCCACAGATCCGGTTCTGCTCCAAGACATTCCCGCCTGGCTTCGGTCACTGAGACTGCACAAATATACCGACAATTTGAAGGACTTGAAGTGGGAGGAGCTGGTGGAACTTGATGACAAGGGGCTAGATGCTCGAGGCGTCAATGCGTTGGGCGCCAGGAACAAGATGTTGAAGGTAAGTTCATTGAGTCTATGGTCATATGCGAGATCTGACATTATATCAGGTGTTTGAACAGGTCAAAGAAGCCCGGGAGGAAGGGAAAATAGCAGGCTGAACGACTCCATGGAACGGGACGGCAAAAGGTGCTTGCGATTAAACGACACGACCGAAGGATCGAAGCTGGGCCTTCTATCTTGTACGACGACTAGACTTGAAATCTCCTGCTCCAAGCTGGCCATTGACAGGACCGGATCATTTTGTTGCCTGTCTCTTAGAACATGTCCTCGATGGTACCTACGAACCGACGCCCGCGGCCTCTTCTAATGACATGTATCCACGTCTAATCAACTAAGGAGGACCACTGAAAAGGTTACATATAGCGTGATGATACCACGCATGCACCTACGGACGACTTTTCTATGTTCAATAATCAAACCTCGTGCATCAACTTCCGTTCATTTGGCATGATTTCTATGTTTGTGATTCTTCCGTGATCCATAATTAGTTGCCCGCCACGGAGGAGACTGGAGTTAGATGGTCATCAAGAAGATAAATACCCTGTTGGGAGTACCAGACGGTCCTCAGTCATGGTTATGGGGTCATGCTCGCGGTTGAGAGAAGGTTTGACATCCAAGTATCCAAGGTGTCAGTCTTGGGACGCCAAGAGTCTCAATATAAGCCTCAATGCTCCGCTGTACTTGTATTGCAGCCTGCCGTTAAACTTGGGGATGAACTTGTAGCTTCGACGAGACCATCTGCCGCTGACTGCACCTCAAAGATTGATACCCAAAGAATCCCTTGAGAGAGAGTGTGTGGATTTCTCAAACGCCACAATGGCGCCAACACCGCTGGAATTGTCTGTATTCCTTAACCCTCTAGTACCTGAATCGCTTGCACACAACACACGAGTAAGTCGAATCCCCTCTCCCGTCTACTACTACCACCACCACCACCACCACCACGACACTACACTCGCAAGACAGACACCTAGGCTCTGACTAGAGACATCTGGCTTGGCTTGTCTCGGAGTTTGGAGTGTAGTGTGTCGACCATTCTGCCTATTGCTCAAGAACCCAAAAACGCAAATAACTGACTTGGGAGACCAGACCATTTCCAACATTCGATCAATATCAGGCCTTCTTTTAGGCATCGCAGCCGGTATCCTCGGTCTGGAATCTCTACAAGGGTTCGCATTCTACCTTGGCGCCAACCTATTCCTATCGGCCCTGTTCTACTTTGTGCTCGCGCACGCCGATCCTCAGCGTTATTTTGCCGGCACGCCGGGTTCAAGAGGTCTCAATGAGAGTGGAGCCGTAAAGGGGAGGAATCATGGTTCTGGCGCTTGGAGAGAGATTTGGTTAGGAGGTGGTCTTTTCGCAGATGCTTTGAGTGGGTTTGTCCTTGGATGGGCGGGCGTTGGTGGTGTTATTAGATGAAAGGGGAAAAGAATAAAACGGATTGAGGAGAACGGAGAAAGAGAAGAGGAGAGGAGAGGAGAGGAAGAGGCTTTGATGAAGAAGCTCCAGGGTGGCTTCGTATATGTGTATGTGGAATGCGCAGATGGTCAAGGAGCGAGGCGGTCTATACACCATGACACGACACATGTGAACCACTTTTCAATATCCTCTGACTTTGGTGGTGCTTCGCCCACGGCCGTTGGCAGCTGTCTTGTATTCACAAGGGCATTCATGGGACATGTATCAATGAACTATCAGCGAACGAATCAGTGGGTCAGTCACCAGGTTGAAGAGGTGTACCATCTTCAGACCTACAAGGGGCCGGGGAAGATGGCATGAGCTATCGCGGCCTTCGCAAAAGTCTCATATTTCAAAGCCCTGACTTGGTAGGCCAGTGTCTGGATGGTGATTGGGCCCGTACACATCATATCTCTTGAAAAGAAATTACAGAGAGTGACATCTGCTAATCAGCGAGATGTATAGTCTACATCAAGTCTATTCAAATTCATCAATTCTCATATCGCTGAAGACCACACCCGCAAGAGCCAGTCTCGGAATCCCTCGGGTTGAATGGAGACCAGTTGGTTGAGAGTGGTGTTGGTAAAGTCGAATCGTCCCTCAGATGTGGCTAAGAGATCATGAACATGCTCTTCTCGGGCTCGATCTCCAGTTGCTCGGGCATATGTCAACGAGTCTTGCAAAGAGGCTCGCGTGTGGTTCGAGATTTCGAATGGACTGCCTGTGTAGGGTCAGACTGGTTCACGTGGTCATGATCAGGACATCTTCGGCATACCATGGACCTGCTCCGCAATGGCAACGACATCCCTAACAGTCATACGATCGCCTCTCATTCTAAACTCCCTCGGCCAAGTTGGTAAGTCGAGAGCAGCAGTCACGAACCTGGCTACATCCCTCGCGGACGTCATACAGATTCGTGGGATGTTGCCCGAAGGACCGTGGACAGGAATTTGTGCCGTTCTGTGTCTAAAGTCCATCAGGTAACTTCCTTCTTGTGCAGTCACGCTCCCTGTGGCGATTTGAGAGGCTGACAGTCCTCCCGGTGCAAATCTCTCGTACAGGATGCCGCAGGTGAAGATGGTAAACCGCATGCCTGAAGCTTCTAATTGATGTAGCCGTCCCAGTGCCGCACGCCGATGATTGTCCAACAAGTCATTTCGAGGACGTAAGGCTGGAGGACCCCCAAACTCAGATGGCACGAAGCGGCGAACATGAGTCGCTGCGGCGGCTTCGATCAAGACCATCTGCGCTTGGCCGCTGATAGTGGAAATGACAATGTCAACACCAGTGAGGTTGAATCGAAGGTCTGTTGAGTTAGACTTGGCGTAATCGACCTAAGGCTGTCAGCGACAGGTTGCAAAGGAGCATATTCATCGGTGGCATTATCGTACTTGGATGACCTGCCAGCCTCTACCGACCAGGGCAGGCGCGGGCTTACACCATCATTAGCCAAGGCGACGAATGGAGAATCTCACGGGCTGACAGCCTACACTTCGTGACAATACGACAAATTGATGTGACGTTGTATTATCGATATAGTTGGCGATGTACTGTGCAAGCCCGTTGGTACCGGCTATGGCGATTCTCATCATGACAGGCATTCAGTGTTGAGCGGGCCACGCTCTCTTGAGGTTTTGAAGATATGTGCAATCGATCGGGGCATCATGACAGTCATTGACCGCGGACCGTCCTGCCACCTGTGAGATGACAAATCTCGAGTCAAGTGATAGAATCAGAATCAAGTACACAATCACATTGCGTGACTTGCATGCTGTCGTTACGAGCTCAAGGGAAAGAAATACTTTGAGAAGATAAGATCAGGGGGAGCGGATCTGCAAGGAAAGTGAAAACGGACATCCAGGGACCAATACCTGGCAGTTATTGAAGTCATGTTCTCTGGTTCAATAAAAATTCGACGGATAAGGGTCCGGCTTCCGGCTGATGGTGACGAGAACGAGATACCAATGGCTGGGCACCAATCGAATCTTGGGCCATGGAAAAGAGAAGCAAGTCCCGGGGACGCTGAGGCAAATTCCACGTGTGCCGGCAAAGTCTTAAGTACGGACTTAGCAAATGGTCGATCGAGTTGACGCTTGTGGTTGGGTCATGGGCGAAACCGGTGTCGACCTTGCAGTCAAGTTCAACAGGTTAAGAAATGACTAGAGCCAGACAAGTCGAATCATTCGAAACAAATAGATGCCCGAGCTGCTCTGCTGTGTGTCGCATGAGCAGTGCCCTGTAAGATGCCGGTTCTTTTGCAGGACTTTTCACAGTCTAGGAAAGGCAGTATTGAACCGGGGTGTAGGAAGGCCAAGGTATAGGTAGAGTTCTGAGTGGTCAGCCCTATCCCAAAGGTTGTTCGGGATCGATCCGTGGCGCCATGGAAACGGCGATCGGCAGCTGTGACTGGTTGAGTCGTAACAGGGGTGCATGATATGGGAAATGGAGTCAGCGCCAGACGAGGCACTAGATATACTCACTCGGGGACAACTTGTGATTGCTCGCCCCGTACACATGTTTGTCTCTCTGCATCAAGGGGGTATCGACCCTATAAGGTAACTAACCGTCCGGAATGGTGAAGCAGCCTGCCTCAAGTAGTACTGGAGCTTGTGCAGCTGAAAAGGGGTTGGTAACACAGGTCGGGCATTTCCAGTAGTCCATACCAATCTCGCGGTGGAAATTGAAACCAATACTTGAAAGAGTGATGATGGAGAATAGAGACAGCCTGCAATGATGGAAAAGATGAGAGAGATGAAAAGAAAAAGAAAGAGACTCTGCAAGACAGAAAACACAGCAAGTTGGGAGGGAACCACGGATGCCTGTTGCAAGGAAGGAGTGGTACACAAAACCAGGAAAGAGGAAAGGGCCCCCGCCAAGACCCTTCATCCACGCGTGCCTTCCTCTTTACCTCATGTTACATAGGCAAGAGCAAAGCAGAGCAGAGTCAGGCTCCTTCCTCCACCAGTGGACTGTCCAAGAATTTACTTGACGCACAAACTTTGTGTCACAGTGGAAGTGGAACGAGACAAGTTCTTCTTGAAAACATCGTGGCCAGCAGACTAGTGTTCAAAGAACTCTGATGCTCGTCCTTGGCTACCTACCTCAGTCATGTGGCTCACCATGGCTCTAACAAGACCATCAAGAGCCACCTTCATGCGGAGTTCCGAGAGCCGAGCAAATCCACTGGAGGCATCTGTTGTCAAGGAAAAGGTAGTGCGAGGAAGATAAGCTCCCGATGGTGATGTTTAACGGACGACCTCTCAAGTCTCGATGCTGATACCGACAGAATGGTACACTTTTGCCTTCTGTGGATAGCACTTCCGTTGCTCCTCGCTGCTGACCCGCATGGGAAAAAAAAATAAAACCACAAGCCCACAACATTAGAGAGACATGTACTTCCTTGCGGCGAGACCGCTGTCATCTTTCTCCTCACTACATTGCACGCAATAGGGTATCGTCCAAGACAATTCTCCATCACTCGCAGCCTGACTTCGGTAAGCGTCCAGACTGTCAAAGCAATTCTCCTTCACGTATTCTTTGGACGTCTAGTGCAAACATTCCTACCGTGTCATCTTTCTCTCCAAAACAGGCTTACCGAGCAGCAAACATGAACATGTCCACTGGCAAACCTTCGCCCATTGTTCACAACCCCGACCTCGACCTCGACCCCGTCCCTACCCTCGCGATCGTTCTTGTCGGAAGCGCCATTTTCATCATCACAAGTCTTTGGGTCTGGGCAGCATTTCTCTTCTACAATCGGATTCGCAGTCAAGAGATCCAACGCCAGGCCGACGATGCAAGATGGGAGGTAGTTTTTGGAAGGTTAAGTGAAACAAGCCGTCATCGAGACAGAACAACAGTACAGGAAAGCCAGTGGCTCCGCTCTCGAGCTGCAGAAATGGCAAACCAAGACTCCAATTGGGATGGCGAGACCCTGGGGTCAGATTCGGCCTCCTCGTATAGCCATGTAGGCTGGACGCTCTCCATCAACAGTTCATGCCCTTCCACAACTGAGGCCAGTTCGGAGGTTGACGATCCCGAGCCATACGTGCACTTCTATGGCACTTTTGACGACCCTGGCCTTCAAGTCCGACATCTCGACGTCGGAGAGCAAGAGCCTGGGGATGATATGAACAGAGTCTTAACCTGGATCAGGCACGATTCTTGGTCGGGACATCTAGTTGGAAGGCACCTGGACGAAGAGTCTGACAGGCATAGCTGAATCATAGTGAGTCACCGCAGTCAACTTATGGGTTTCAAATTGGTTGTGGCTTTGGCGACTGACTGGCTGACCATTTGTTTCAAGGTGCAGCGTGTCTCAATTTGTCCGTGCCAGAAGCCCGAATTGAAAATCACATCATGTGTGGTCGAGATGAAGATCAAATCTTGACTTTCTCGAACGGAGGTGAGACGACAACAGAACTCTGGCTCCCGTTACCAGGAAGTCTTCTCGAGCAAAAATAGTGGTAACGATCAATTCGAAGAGGTTGTCTTACTGAGTCGGCTCAGCCGAGACGCGATCAGATGCCCAGCAGCTGGGCTCCAAGACACTTCTCAGCCCGGGCAAGAGACAGTAAGCCACTGTGGTCATTCCGCCGCCAATACTAATCGTTGCCCTTGATTAAACTGTTCCACAAGGTTCAACCATGGGCCAAGGAAATACAACATCGTCAGTTGTGAGCGTCGCCCAGATGTACAGGCTGAGAAACAGAGCCAATTGTTGGACCAAGGTTAGGTAAAATAGTCGATAGCTGGAGCATGTACCGTTGAATATCTTAGAGACAGTATTCAAATTGCCTTTTGTGGCTACAACCATCGTGCCGGACTACTAGCGTGGTCATCCATGATGCGTATCTTGTCGTTCATCCATTTATCAAAGCTGGATGCTCCTTTCAGTCACCTCAAAGTGAGCATCCAAAATAGCGTTTGTTGGCCAAATCACTGGATTGATGCTTCGTCATGGACCATCCAGCTCTGATCACTTTGTATACCATCATTGGAATCCTGGCAGTCGTGGGCACATATTCAGGGATCAAATACTGGAGGGAGAGCAAAGCCTGGCGTAAGCAACGAAATGAAGAAATCGATAATCGGTACTCCAACTCAGTCGCTCAGGGATTGCCGTCGCCTGGCGTGGGAAGTTGTCATGACCGGTCACCGCCGGGGGTATGGAACGGTGTGTTTGGCGCCAGGAGACGGTCGACTGTTACTCCCAGTGCGGCCGAGAGTGGTCTCGGAAAGCATAGCATGCCGCAAATTACTCCTCGAAAGTCATCTATTCGAACTGGCATCGTGAACTCTGGTCACACCATGTCGATGCACCCTGGTACTTTGGTCTTCACAGATTCAGGGCGGCCTCCACCTCTTCCTAGAGCAGTCGTAGGACGACACGGTATCCTCGAGGACTCAGCTGAAGAAAATACTTCCACCACAACCAAAACCAACGCCACAGAATCAACAACAAATGTATTCGGCGGGGCAACCTCTTTAGAGAGTGCATCTCAGCTTCCAAATGTGGCCCTACAGAGTTCAAAGCAAGACCTGGTCCAGGATTTGAGCTGCTACAGCCTCGAGGCATCTGTGGGAGAAGTAATGACGGCTCGGTTGGTCGACATCAAGCATGCATCAAGTTTGTCCGTCCAAGGCTGCAAGAGTTCATCCTCTGTTCCACAATAAATTTGACGATCATATCGGCCAAAGTGAGCAGTTCGAGTTGCCCGCACATAGTGTCAAGGAGTCCGGCAAGACGCCATCCAATACATCTCAGTCTGAAATAGTCGAACTTGATACGAGCAATCAAGAGGCCCAAGATGTACTTGTCTCGCCACAATCGTCACGGGTTGGCCAGTCAAGCCTAAGGCGAATTGCTGAAGACACTGTCGTATCTCCATGCTCGAATGATAAAGAACGTCGATGGAGTTGGTCTGCGGATGACGAGAGCGCTGTTCGTGGCAGGTCTTGATTGAATCCGTTTGGCCGAATCAACAGGCGATCGTGATAAGGCTTCAGGAAAACATCTTCATGTCGAAGAAGGCCGGTCCCGCTTCCATTTCAAGCAATCTGATGCCTGGGAGGGTAGTAAAGATTTCGTGGGTCTGGAAGCATGCATATGTGGTCAACAATATAGAAATCCTCTGATCTACCATGATAGACGAAGTTGTGTGGTCTTTTCTCCCCAGTTAGGTGTGATATTAGTTCATCGCTTATTGCCAACAGCAGCCCATCGTTCTCGACTCTTGACCCCCACACCTTCGTCGACGGTCGATCCAGTGGTAGTGCTGCTAGCCCAACCCTCACCGACCTCCCCAATGACTCTTCCTGGTGCACCTGCGACGATACTTCCAGGAGCCCAAATGGAGTTTGCAGGGAGGACAGTCCCATCGAGGATCTTGACATTGTCTTTAATCATGACCATGTTCCCAATTACACAATTGGCACCGATATGAACATTACTCTTGATTTCGGCGGCGCGAACCTGGGTATTGGGACCGATATAGACATGGTCAGAGATTCGGAGGGCAAGGTATTGCATGACCTGCTGAGGTTGACCGCCGTTGGGATCGACGACTGTGGTCAAGCGAGAAGGAGGGTGTAGAGTGCAGCCGGGGCTCACGAAGACGTATCGACCAAGATGGATAGAAGTATTTTCCTGAGTGGGAGCTTTCTGGTCGCCCGACTGTGCTGGTGGTTTTGGCTGTGCCGGACGAACAAGGTCACCGTGGATCAGGACGTCTTTCTGAACCACACATTTGCCGGCTAGGATGATGTGTTTAGGCCCCAGAATTACAGCATGGCGGCTGATCTTGTTGCCCGTTTCCTATGTAAGTGGTTAAGCGGGTGGCGGTCAACGCTTTCGGGTCTGGGTGCGTACAGTTTCGATATATTCTCCTCGGACAGCGGGCTTGGGAGGCATATTGCCCAAGCTGCAGACAAGGAGCAAAAGTATTCATGGAATTCCCGCCTTGTAATTCCCGCCTTGTACCAGCTCGAATCTTCAAAAATCCAGGTCGCCCGATCAGAAATCTCAGAGCAGTACCAGATATGTGCAGAGCCCATGTTGGAGGTCGATTTCAAATGACGTCGCGTAAACAATTGAAGATCACCCACGTGATATCAAACTCTCTTTTGTTTGCATCATCGTCCTCCTTCTTAACATCATCACCAGCCTCATCCCACAAACTTGAAGCACAAGCGACATGTTGAAGCACGCCAAATATATCAAGCTGCTGTGCGGTGGATTCTACTTATTACAACAAGCATGATTGGTACGAATGCACTTGCCACCATGTCCATCACCCCTGGGGGAGAACTTGTAAGTGAGTGACCTGTTAACAAACAAGATTCTTGTTGGCTTGCAAACCTGGTCTCTATTAAGATAGAGGCCCTTCCTGGTGTCAAACCTCAAAAACTATATATAATGCCAGGCTCTGCTCTCTGTTATGACTGAAACCCTTACCAGTATCAGCCATTATAAAGTATACATCTTGCCAGCCCCTGGTCTCCGTTAGGATTGAAGTCCTCCCGAGTGTCAACTTCCAAAAGCTGTACGGCGGCACGTGGCACCTCTTTCATGTCGTAAGATATGGACACATATTCACGACTTGACTGAATGGGCCATGTGAGATCAAACTGGCTCCTGTTACTGTCACTCTTGCTTCCGCTTGGCACTTTCAACTGATCCAGCTTTCTTCCTCACAATCTCATTTTCCGCACCTTTTAGGCTCCTCTCTCTGTTTTTACAGTGTGCTGCTGATCTCACAGCGAGCTTTTCATTTTAGCTTTCCATCAATCTTGCTTTGCCGCGGCACGATAGATTCACCTCGTTATCCTCCTCTGCAAAGCTATCACATTTATTTCTACAGGACCGACTCACAAAGTGAGATAATATCATCACCATAATGGCACAAGAAGACTTGGGTGCGTTCCAAAGCTTTCCTGACAACAGCCCCCACGAGGGGCCGTTGTCAGAGATCAGGGAGCAGACTGAGCACGGTGAACAACCGGAAAACACACAGGCAAGCCAACAGGCACATCGTCCCCGCGTCGCCCGACTCTCCAAGGCACAACGAAGGAACCTCCGTCGGAAGCGAGCCGCCAAGGAGACGGAGTCCATGTCTCTACCAGTTCCTATCAGCCAAGATCAGCCAGAAGAGGCACCCCTGCCGTCGGGGTGGACTCGAACGAGGGTTGAAGGGGCCAAAGAACTGCCCCTCAACAGACGCAAGAGAAAGCTTGCGATTCGACGCTCGGTAATGCGAGATCGAGCGCAGGTACCTGCGGGCGCCTCGAGAGAGACTGGCGAGTTGAGCCGAGAGGACGTCGACAATGAAGTCCAAGAACGGTCGATGAGGGCGCGGATCCAACCTCACGGATTTGCCAGGCAGGTCCAAGGTAATTTGTCGCCAACCCAGTTCTAACAAAGCACCTCGCTGACACTCCTGATTACAGGCCAAGGCATGACGACCGCACTGGCGGACTTTGGCAAGAACGAGGGCGCTCGGTTGCAAAGTGCCTTTCAAGCCGCCAACGAGCAGCGGTGGAAATCTCTGGGGTCCGAAGTCACCGACGAGGACAAGATGGATTCAATCACCAAAGGTTCGTCATTACCTTTCGCGCCCTTGTCGACGTCGTCGCTAACGTTTTCGCTCATCGATAGGGCTCGAGGACTCCCTATGATTTGAGATTGGATCGACAGCTGTGGACCAGACACCTACAGAGGGACATTAATGAGAAGGTGCATTGGAACAAAGAGGACTTCCAACCTCATGACTGCGATGAAAAAAAGAAAAATGCGCTGCACTGCACTGCATGGGCTCGCTCTATATACAGACCAGTCTAATGATATGACGCAAATGGGCTCATGAAGACTTAATGACCTGGCGGTTTCCTAGATCGCCAAACCATTCAAACTAGCCGCATCGGATTTGCCCTCCACAAGATCCTTCTTCTTTTCCAAGCCTATGCTTTCTAATGCATCCCCATTTTCATCCATATGAATCCCATGACTCAAACAAATCCTCCTCGCCACCGCCTCACCACTCCAATAAGCGCCAGTTGTAGTGCCAATCGCAATAAAAGGAGCTGTATGTTCGCCAGCAAACCAAATACCTTTATTCGTCAACCCACCCGCGTCGCGCATGACCTCGATATCCTCATCCCCACGTTCCAACCCGACCTGAAAGTTTGAGTAGCTGCCATGACCGGCGAACTCGTCGTTCTGCCATTGGGTTATGAGGAATGAGGTTGGGTGACATGCTGAGTCAGTGTCTGAGTAATGTGGTAGACGAGTGTAGAACGGGTGGGCGAATGTGTCGAGGATTTCTCGGTATTGATGGGAGTCTACAGGGTGGTCCTTGATTTGACTGACTAGATGCGTCGCGCATGGGCCGTACATGTAGAAGAGGAGTGTGGGGTGGGAGTGTGGGGATGGGAGATGGGCTAGCGATACGACGTTTTGATTCCATGGTTGATCGGCTGGGTGGGCGATGTAATCTGGGTCTTGGAAGTGGGTGAAGAGCGGGTAGCTAGTATTACTGGTCGAGTCGATCGAAGGTGGTCCTAGCCAGAATGCTCGTGGAAATGTAATGTACAGTTTCTCTAACCGCCCGTAGTTGATATGGTCGATGGCCTGGCACAAGCGAGTTGGTAGAGGAGGACTGAAGACGGATTCGCCGTGTTGTTTAAGCCAGCCAAGCGGACAGGTGACGACGACATGGTCAAAGTCTTGGACACAACCATTTGAGATGGTCACTTGTACTTGTTTCGTCACTGCCGTGTCCCCTGTCTCGACGACGATGTCGCACCTCTTGATCCGGATCACTTCACTATCAAGGTGCAGGTCGACAAGGTCATGTGAGACGACCTGGTCGCCAATAGACTTGAGAATGTCCTTGTACGTACTGGCGACAAAGACATTCTCGCCCTCAATACATTCTTCCAGCCAGAAGAACTTAAGACTTTGTGTCTGGATTGGATCGCCGACAAAGGGTCCCCACATTTCAGATTCACGAAGAAGATCATATTCTTCATCTTTGGTTAGGGACTGTTTCGCCAGGACAGTCCGAAAATGGTCGTAAAGACTCGTGTTAGGATCGATGGTATCTGTGTGGTCGTCCGAATGCTTGAACGCATCAATCACCATTCCCCAGATAGTCCCTGATAGCTGCGTGGCTTGGGTATCGGGACGACGACGACCTTGAGTGTCGAAGAGTGCTCCATCCTCGTCTGGGCTGATCACGGCGGTGTTGGTCTTTTGAGCCAGCTCCATGATCGGGTTTCCTTTGGTGCCATGGATCCAGTTTGGGCCCATGTCCATCAAGTATCCGCCAGACTGTATCTGATGGATTCGGCCGCCGATACGGTTCCTGGCTTCGAACATGGTGACCTTGATGCCGCTGCGTGCCAGGACATCTGCGCATCGAAGTCCGGCCATGCCGGCCCCGACAATGGCAACGTGCGGCATTTTGCTGATGCCATGTTTGATGGTCGCGGATCCAAGTGAAGGAGGCATCATGTGGTTCGTTCTGGGGATACATCTAATCAGGCTTAGTGCTATGTATGATCGAGAAACATGTGTCACGTGATTTACGGTGGTGAACCCGGAGCTGGTATACAATCGGCAGTCCTTCTTAGTTAGTGTCGGGACAGCCGAGGGTATGTCGGGCGAACGAGTTTGACATTCTTCTTACTCAAATCTAGGATCCTGAAGTCACAGAGCCGCTGCTTTTGCCGTACGAAACAAGGGTTCCTTTTCTTCTGGTGGCGGCCGAGTCGTTCGCAAAAGGTCGATTTCCCCACGCCGCTCAACACAGTATGACAGCCTTTTCCATCTGTCAACTGCAAGACTTCGGACAAAACATCCTGCTCTCGGTATAACATGACTTGATCTGCACCGTGCTGTTTGGCAGTTGCCGCTTTCTCCGTTGTTGACACGGTTCCTATTACAGTGGCACCTATATGTTTGCACATTTGGATTGAACCAGCATATCTGACTCTCAACAATCAAAAGCACTATGCCTACCACCAACCATACCTTCCAGAATGACCACCTTTCTAAGGTTGAGGAGGTGAGCGCAAAAGCTCGCCAAACATGGGAAGCCGTACCTGTCATGGAGCATGTGCCGGCCCCTTGCAAGACTTGACCCTTGACAATATCACACCGAACGTCATTGCAGTGAACTCCAATGTCAAAGACAACCCAAGACTCCATTACCTCATCACGAAATTGATCAAAGTGGCACATGATTATGTCTTACAACAAGCTCATTACAGCGCTGTACACAGTCTGACTCAACACGAAATGTCACGTGCTTTCCGTCATGTGCACGTCACATGACATACTCCACAGTAGCTAACGTCCCGACAGTATCGGGACGCACATGTAATTCAGCGGGCAAACGGGACAGTTTATCTCTGTTCCTCGTCCAGCTTCCGCATTGCATCCCGCTCCGAGATCTAGCCTTCTCCAGGACCGCAAATGTTGCTACTCAGCTGTTGTCAACGTTCTGCTAATCCAAAATATTCAAAAGGAGGGTTAACTTGGCTAAGATATACGATTGTGCAGTCATAGAAGACTTGAGCATCGCTACTACGACATCGTAGACGATCTGGTCAAGTACCTCGCTCGGCTTCACTACTTTATACTTTGCTGTGCGTTCCAGTTCAACATGGGGTCTGTGACATTGATACCCGGTGTCAGAGATGCAGACTCACTGCGAACGATGTTTTCGACGGCGCTGTCAGAGATGTACAAGAAAGAAGTGCCACTCTACGACGAGCTGCTTTCAATCGTAGCCAAAGTCGATGATCAAGTACGATTGAAGACTGCAAGTCGGCCAGAGCTCGATACTTACGATAATAGATAGCTAGCGGTCCCCTACCCGCGCGCCACCGGATCGAAAGGCATGGTGCGATACGCCTCGGAACAGCCCAGGAGATGCAGACCATAGCCAGATTATTTGCACTCCTCAATATGCACGCAGTCGACTACTACGACCTCAGTCTTGTTGGCTTCCCACTACACGCCACCGCCTTTCGACCCCTGACTGGCGAAGCCTTGTCTCGAAATCCTTTCCGTGTCTTCACCAGCCTTCTCAGGTTAGACCTCCTTCCAGCTGAGACAAGCAGCCTAGCTCAACAGGTCCTTGGCAAGCGCAAAATATTCTCTGATCGTCTGCTGGAGCTGCTTGATCAGGCTGAAACCACTGGCCTCACCAACTCAGAGCAAGAAGCAGAACTGCTGGAGGAAGCGCTCAAAATATTCAAGTGGCACGCGACGGCTCAGACTTCCTACGACTTCTATAAGCAATTGAACTCGGTGCATCCCATGGTTGCCGACATTGCATGTTTCCCCAGTGCTCACATCAACCATCTGACCCCGCGGACCCTGGACATCGACCAGGTTCAGGAAGCCATGCAAATACACGGAGTGCCGGCTAAGGACAGAATTGAAGGCCCACCACGAAGGAGATGCGACATCCTCCTGAGGCAAACCAGCTTCCAAGCCCTTGAAGAGCGGGTCCACTTTGTCGACGAGGATGGCAACGTGACGGTCAGCCATCATACGGCGCGCTTCGGTGAAGTAGAGCAGCGTGGAGCGGCGGTGACACGGAAAGGAAGAGACCTCTACGACACGTTGCTCGAAAAAGCCGACAGCATCATCGAATCTAAGGGGACCGCTGGCCATGGCATCAATGACGACTGGCAGAGGGCTCTACAGGAGGCGTTTTCAGAATTTCCAGACACATGGGCTGAACTACGAGACCAACGCCTGGTCTACTTCAGATACATTCCCGTGACGGCGCCAAATGCCCCGCTGTTGGAGGCGGAAGGTCAAGCGCTTAAGCTCTCTGAACTTCTGGATTGTGGCCTCATCAAATATGAGGCGATCACATACGAAGACTTTTTACCGATTTCAGCAGCCGGCATCTTCACGTCCAATCTCAAGGGGTTCTCCAACACGAAGAGGAAGGAGAGCAAAGGAAACAGGAGTCTTCTTGAGCAAGCTCTCCCCACCAAGATTCTTGACTCGACTGCATTGTACGAGCAGCTGGAAGCAGAAAGTATAGAGACTTGCCGGAAAGCGTTGGGTTTGCTCGCGATCCAATCAGACTGAGTATGCAGCGTGCACTTAAGAGAACGGATATATACCACACCCTTGTGGAGAAGAGAAGGTTGCTTCCAAGGCTAAACGCAATCCATCTCAGAATTTGGATCCTGATTGGAGAACTTGCGTGAAATTGTTATCATGGAATAGAGTCTTCCAACTCAGTAAATCTCGTCTGGTAACACAATGCAATTAGGGCTCCTGTGACCAAGGAAAATAGATCGCCACACAGTGGATCCCTGCTCTCCATGCTTAAAAGGGAGAGACAATTTTCTACACACTAGACACCTCGATTGCCAGCCCGTTCAGGGAACACTGACCTCGATGTTGGGGTCTTAATGTGGTGGACCCAAAATGTGGTGGCACCCTTTGGCGGGTTCCCGAAGATTGCGGAAACGGCCAAAGATAAGTCAACGCTGGGTGTACCCCGGGGCGGGCCCAGAACGATGGCGAGGCTTTGCCGCGAACGGCTGGCCAGCGGAGACAATGAATGGTCCAGATACAAATGTGATGGAAGATCTTACACGTTACACCTGCGGGTTGATGGACGGCGTAAATTGTGCCGAGGGGCCCGGCATCCCGAACACTGCTTTCCGCATCTTCCCCAAGATGCAGTGCTCGAGGTGTGATGGTGGTAATTCTCGGTACTTGCCCACAAAGGACGTGATCATGCTCAGCCAGGTGATACTCCACGACCTCCGCAAAGCCTGGGGTGGTCACAACTGGGGGATGGTAAATGTGAAGCAGTGTTCCGTGTTGGCTGCTACGCTACCTCAAATAGTATCGAGTCGGCCGTCGACCACGGTTGATCCGCTTAGTTCGCTAGCTGTACCATCACATGACGAAGACGAGGGGATAGGGGCGGGATATGGGGGACGACGAAGGCAACCGAGCGTAAATTCTTAAGCGGCGAGAAGATGTTATCCAAATATCAGCAACCACTCTAGACCCTACGGGCTCGCCATGAAAAAACTGAGAATCGCGACTATTCACGAGTAGACTTGAATGAGTGGTTGAATAGATATCGTTTCATCACTCTTAGTCACGTGATACTCAGGACCTGGGCATGACAAATATAGGTATAACAGATCCTTGCGTTATTTATCCAAATAACGTGTGTTCATGCATTAGACCTTTACAGCCAAAATTCAGATTCCTGGGTTTTGTTGCTTCACCTTTCTTTCAACATGTGCCATTTTTAACCGACAGAACAGATGCCCTAGGGCCAGAAATTGTGTTTATTTCCAAGCCCCTTGGCTGAGAGACAACAGACCATGGATGCAATCCAGTTCTTCGCCGTGCGCTTTGGCCTTGCTCGGTGATGTTTTATTCCAATCAGACATGGAATGATGACCTTGAGATTTGGTGGTACCGTTGGCATTTGCAGGTGAGGCATCCGGGAAAATGACCCCTTCGTTTTCGCGCAGCACTGGTCGATGGTTTTCACTTGGATCGGTCCTCCGCAATGGGTTGACGGACGCCCTAGTCCCTGGTGCCCAGTTCTCCTTGTCAGAGTCTCCCCCTGACGACCGTCTGGTACTGGCGTCAGACTTGGACTTCGGATTTTCCTTGACTCCATCTCCGCTCTGCAGCCGTGCAAGCGATGACTTGGTACGTGCCAGCTTGCGTTTCTCTTCTTTGCCTGAAGACATCACCCGTGGGTTGCTCTTGGACACCGAAGGGCTCAATGCTTGTGATCGTGCCTTGAAACTGTTGGAACGGACCAAATGGATGGCGCTGATGGCAGATCCATTGGTCTCAGCTTCTGCTTGCTTGGACAAGGCATCCTGTGCGGTATTGTCACAGAAAAACTCCCATCTTCTCGAATCACGAGAACGACCAAACCCAGAGCCAGGTTGCTTGGGTGGCATTTGACCAGATTCTCGGAAGATTTCCATCTCACTGGTACTGCTCTTGCTCCTTGCTAATGCAGGTCGGGCATTTCCTAATGGTGGCATGCTCGGGTTCGAACGCGGCTTTTCGGGAGACGGGGTTGGTTCGTTGTTTGTCCGAATCTTAACTGCTCCGTCCACGGTCATGGCCAGCCGCACCATACTCGCCGTTCGCTTCAATGGTTCCTTTTCTCGAGGAGGCAATTCGGTTGCTGTTGTGATACATGCCTGGCCCTCCTTGGCGTGCAACCCTGACATTTCATCATGGCTGCGCTTTTTGGCACTTCCTTCTTGGCTACTAGTCTCTAAAAGACACTGACCAACTTCCTTCACTTCAATACCTGGATTGCCTGACGCACCACATGATGACGACGACTGTTCAAAGCTTGAGGGAGGAGTGGAGGCGGCTCGTGTAACCTGCGATGAGAGTGGGCCTGTTCGTGGGGAAACTTCTTCTGAAGAGGGGTTCAAGAGGTCTTGGATACTCGAGGCTCGTGAGGCTGGTCTGTTGGGAGGATCGATCGGTGCGAGAGATGATGGACGTGGCGTTGGACCAGTCAATGGGACTGGGCTTGAGGTGTGAGTTCTCAAATGGGCAACAAGTTCGTGGGGTTGCAGAGGTTTCGATTTTCGACGGTCATTTTGGCGTCGATTCTGGAACCAGATCTGAAAAGGATAACTCAGCATATATGAAGACGTGGTTTGGGAGATGCTTTGTCTACCTGCACTTCCTTCTCGCCAAGATCCACTTGGCTAACGATGACGGCTCTCTCTGCCTTGTCTGGCTTGGAGTTCCGCAGGTATGCAGTTTCCAGGATAGCATGGTCTCGAGGACTGTGTGATGGTGAGTGTGAGCGTGTAGCACGGGGATGTGTGTAGTGGCATACCTCGTGCGTTTCCTTCTGGATTTGGGGACGTTGGGGGCATCTGAGGATGGAGAAATGTCATATGTGGGAGGGGTCAAGTGGAAGTTGTGCTGAGGAGCATGGTCAGAGGCATGTGCAGAAGTGAGCGAAGCCATGGTTTCGCTCTAAATGTTATCAAAGGTACATGAGGGACCTAAAGAGCGTGTTGAACGTGCAAGGTGCAAGAATACAAGGATGAGGACGGAAACAAAGATGGAGAGTGAAGAGTAGAATGAATGGGAGACCGACACCAGCGAAAGTGACCCACGTTCTGCACAGATGACGCGAACTCTGAAGCCAGCAGAAAAGCGCGTCGTGCCACTCCAGTCAAAGGTGGCTTGGCGTCCACCAACACCCAATCTTCCTAATCTTCCCAATCTTTCCCGCTATGAATTGTTGTGATAATTTCCTCTGTCAAGCTTTACACACATGTGGTCATTCCTAGATTGATAGCTGGCATTATACCTTTTTGTTCATCGCCATCAAGCCCCCTCGTATTATACTTTGAAGTTGCTTTTCTTGCCTGATTGTCGGTTGACTCAACATTGAATATTAAGGGCCTACGCGTTGATCGCGACGCCAACGCCAGAGCACGTGAGCACTTTGGCTCGAGGCTCCAGTGTATCTCACGTGACATGAATATCCATCTTCCTATTCACCATGTCCTCATACTGGAGGTCTCGTAGATAGTGGATTTATACATTTGTTGTAGGAGTAGCAGAACGACCAAGCCCTCTTAAGTCTGCCTGGAAATATTCACAGCTTGGTGCCTATATCTTTCACACACACACATACATCCCCGCTCATGACCCTCCCTTCTGCTGCGTCTATGTTATTAATACATGATCTTGACGTATGAGCCTCTTGAGATGTAGGAACTGAGATGGAATCCACAGATCCCAGCATATTTCCAAAGCCCAGTATAACTGATCTTTCCTCTGTTAGTACAAGTGATGGCACAATAATATTTCCAAGCTGGATCATCTGCCTGAACATGGGGTAGATGCTGTTCAAGTAGAAACCAGACGCTTCCTGAAACTGCAAAATATTCTTCTTCGGCGTCACAATGGAAGCTGGAACATGCGTTGATCATCTCTCACTCAACGTCGTTCGAATCTTCGGTCTCTTCTGCCTCATGGGTTGCCTCATCATTGTCATCTTGTGCGTTACTGCTCTCCTCCTTCAGGTCGTCGTCCACGAGTTTGCCCTCTCGCCGCAAGCGGTTTCGCGTGAAGGAGCGTTTCATCCTGTTCGTGCGCGGAATGCGTGGAATTTGAGCCGTAAGTTTGACCTCGAGTGGCGAATCAGAAGATTTAGCATACCGCAATAACCGTCGAGACCATGCCCTAGCCGGTTGGGACTCAGAATCAGACCAGTCGGCCAAAACGTCGTCTTGTGTTGTGTCGCGGACAGATACACGAGACTTCCTGAATTCTAGAGGTGGTGGGTGGCTTCGATTGCTCATGTCATCCAACATCGCCAGTCGCTGTTGACGTTGACGCTGTATCTCTCGGTCCCTCGATTCTAATCTGGTGAACCTAGGATTGAACAGAGATTGACCTGCCAACCTCTGTGGTGTGGGTTGCCCAGGCTTCACTGTCGGCAATGCTGATGGTCGACCAAAGCGGCGACTGCTCATGATTCGAGGTAGCGTAATATCGTGACGCATAATTCTGAGCGTTTCCAGCAAGCGCCTCTCTTTGCGACTAACCCGATACTGTGCTGTCTCCAAGGTTTCGAACTGACCCTGTCGTTCCTGGAATGTAACACCTCGCGGAATCTGTCCCTCATATATCTCCATCTGATCAATGCTGGAGCGCGGTCCTTGACCTTGACCTTGGTCGTCGTGCGAATTGTCCGTCGTACTTTGGATGTCTTCCTCAACTGTAGCCAGGTTGTCTACAGGAACGTGGTCCACAGGTGACTGACTCTCAAGTACTCCGGACCGGTTGGCTGGGGTGGCTTGGCGGGTACGTTTTGGAATGTCGCCAATAATGAACTGCTTTTTGCGAAGAAGAAGTGCCTGAATACGGTCTCTGTGATAAGGTAGCTGGCTGATATATGCAAATGTCCCCTTGGCCTTTTCCAGAAGCTCGTAAAGCAAGCTCTTGTTCGCATCGTCTCGTCTTGCAAGGCGCCGAAACCTACGAAGGACGGTAGCCAAGTACACCGTCGTCCAATACGTTGGCATGAGCTGGCCAGGTCTTCGTTGTTCTTCGAACCTCCTGCTGACAATATGGAGGGAGCTCGCCTCCTGATCTCCATCTGAAAACGAAGAGGGGGATAGCCACTTGCCGCGTCTAAGGTGTGTCCAAGGTGGTGTATTCGGTAAGAGCCTGTTCTCAAAGAGAGAAAAAGCGAGGATTTGATGGTTGAGGTCGGGCGATTGAGTCAAGGTCTGAATGTAGAAGTTGAGGTTTTTGCTGGTCAAGGCAAAACCAACTTCCTCCAGTCGCCTTACAACAGCAATAGCTTCGTCAAAAAGAGTCTGCTGACGCAATGCTGAAATATATTGCGTGATCGCACCTGCAATCAGGAATCGTTGTGAGGGTAAGATTTGCAAGTCGGGTCGAGCGAGCGGGGAGTTCGATGGTGACTCAGCAATCATAGATGCGAACTCGGTGTCTCTGTCATTCAGCGCACGAATCTCTTTCGAAGATGGCATTGGCATTTCCGCTGAGTCCTCCACCTGTAGTTGCCCGTGAGACGTTGTTACGCCCTGCAGCCTACTAGCCACTGGGACATGCTGAGCGAAGGGAATGGCGACGGTCAAAATTTCATTCCAGGCCTCTTCGACAGCAGTCCACTTTTGTTGGGAGCAAAGAATCTTCATGCTTATCGTCAGGAAATCGAGCGACACAGATCGCTCTCCCTGAAGGCTGGGGTATGATGATCGTTTAAGTGACAAATCTCGTTGCATGAGCCGATTAGCTTGTCTGTAGCGTCCTTTTGTTGTCAAGAGATGTGCGACGAGTTCGAAGTAAGCAGACGGGACTGCATCGATAGGTCTTTGTCGGTGGAGCCCAGGCTGTGGAGTTTTGGATGCGCGATCCGGCTGCGGGTCTTCAGTCATAATCTCCATCAACTGATCCAAGGTGGCCGTCAAGTCTTCACCATCTTCAGCGAGGTCAAGCTTGGCCCGGAATCGGAGCATCGTCATGTTTGCGCTTGCTCCAACGCGTGAAAACCGATGGAGCATCTCCTTATATATGACCTGGACCATGTCACGATTGCCCTCCATGGCATAGCCGTGCAGAATGATGGCATAGTGAAAGCGGGTTGCGTCAAGCCTAGAACTAAGGTTGAGAATTCTCAAAATCTGGGCAGCATCCGTGGTCTTTCCAATGACAACAAGGCCAGACATCAATGCCGCGTAGGTCATATCATCAGGTACCACACCGAGCTCTTTCATCTTCTCCTGGACCTCCAAGGCTTTATCAGGCATTGCCTGAAATGCATAATAACGTAGAATATGATTCCAGATTTTGACGGGAGACCCTGCAAACTTGGCCTCAGTCACCACCGAAGCAAGCCTGACAGCGGTGTCGATCTGGTCATTGAGACAATAAGACTGGACAAGACCAGCAATAATTTCGTAAGACCCTTGGATGCCAGATTTTTGCGCCAATTCAATGAGGTCAAGCAAGGCATCCGTGTCTCCATTTCGGGAATGCAGAGCCATCAAAGTACCGAATGAGACAACATCAGGTTGGAAACCTTGCTTTGTCAAAGCCGCAAAACGATTCAGAGTTTCTTCTGGATGGGTGGATCTTGCATAGGCATAAAGCAGGATGTTCCAGCAATATGCCGTGGGCTTTATGTTCCATTCTTCCATCCGTTTCAATTCCCTTTCCGCACCTTGTACGTCGCCAATGCGCGCGTATGCGTAGAGCAGCGGGGTGTAGAACGCCGCTTCTTCGGGTCGGCCGTGAACACGACATAGATCAAGAAAGACGTTCTGTACCCCATCAATATCAGATTGTTTGGAAAGCGCCGACAAGACGAGTTGGTAGCTTGATTTATCAGCCATACCATGATGTTCAGCAAATTCGGCAAGCAAACCCTGCAAAACATCGGCCGTGGCCTCCTCATCGCAATGAAGGGATATCAAAATACCAAGTGTGGCACGAGAGGGCAAGACCCCCGGGTGGAGCTTACGCATGTGGCGATAGATCAGGACTGAGAGGCCACTCTTGTCAGGACGCTTTGCTAATTTCAAAAGTGTTTGTAGAGCTTGGCCGTGGACATTGGGAGGAGGCGAAAAAGTATCCAGGATCTCGAGCAGACCTTTGGGAGTGATGTCGCTCATTAGATCTCCACTTGAGACAAGGAGACGAAGAAGCTTCCGGCTCAAGCTCATAAGAGCACCCTGGTCTGGTGAGACCATAAGTGATCTCGCGGACAACAACTTCTCCAATCTCAAGATAGCTGCGGGGAGATTTTGGTCCTTGGACACGGCGGCCAGGAGTTTTTCGTCCGCTGCAGGGTTTTTCAAAGACAAGAGAAATTGATCATGGTATGAAGTCTGCCAAACGCTGGCGGCGGTTCTCCACAGTCGTCGAGATACACTGTAAAGAAGAAGCAGCGGACTGCATGTATCATTGAGACCGGCATCTGTTGCTTCTAGGTTTATTGCTTGGGCTGAGCGATACATATTGGAATGAACGGAGATCAAGACGGCGTTGTTGTAGTCCTGTTTGGTCCGTTGGTCGCGGTGAATGGCACGAAAGGCCGCAAGAGCAGTGTCCGCATGCTCTCGATAGCCGTAGGAGGCCAAGGCTGATAGCACCTCAGACCCAAATGCTCCTTGATCGGTAAGTTGACGAAAGAGGTAGACCATCTTGTCTAAGAGGGAGGTGTCATGGACTTGCTCGGGCGTATTTGAAAGGTATCTCAAAATGCCCTGAAGGGCCCTCGGCGCATCGATTGGCTCTTCGTCTTCTTCGCCTCGATATGGCGATTCCTCCGTTGTGGATGACTCTTGTGCCTCTGGAAGGCCTTCGAAGGTACTTTGTGGCGGCTGGGCCGAGGGTTGGAGATCTTTCTGAACTGGATTTGTATCCCCATGGTCTGCAAGTCCTTTACTGTCAACCGTCGCTGTGTCATTGTGCTGTTTATTCAAGGAAGATGACTGTCGGTCCCGTCTGCTACTTTGGGTATGGTATTTGGAATTTCTGGAGTCGGATACTGTGCGAAGGTTGGATCTCGTGGTAATGGAGGTAGGCCTGGACGAGGAAGTAGTTCGGTCTACACGGTCGACGGACGATATGTTCTGAGGCTCAGCCCGGACGGAGTCGAGATAATGTGGCCACCATGGTGGCTGAAAGCTATTGTTTCGCCCATGCTTCCAAAATGATGGTCCAAGACTTCTTCGGGAGCGCAACGGGAGCTCCAGACGTTTAACCAAGAGGTGTGAAACTGGTTCAGCGCATGATGCAGCACGCTCTAGCATGCCCCAATTTAGACTCTACGGGCCAGAGAGGGTATAGTAGGGAGACAGGGGTCGAGGTGCGTAGCTAACAACAATGATAGCATCCGTCAGAGTGATTGAGGGCATCCGTATGCGAGGTAAGAGGAGGAATGGATGTTGGTCGGATCAAAAACCAATTTAGATGTGAGAGGTCAATTTAGGAGGAGTTCAATGCAGGGGTGATGTTGACACAGGCTAAACGAAGTCGACGAACGACGTGAAAGTCGAAGATGCAATTGATCTTGAAAGTTTTTTGGTGACGGCGAGACCAAATAATTGTATGGCAGGAGCAAAGCATATTGGGTCCTTGGGTCCTTGGGTCCTTCCCCAAAGTACTCCCGCCCTGGAGAATCTATTTTCCGGCAAGAACCTCACACCACATCTCCCAATTAGTTTTGTGCTCACATGCCCCTCCATCAATATTGAGTCCAGCCCAGGAAGCCCTGCTTCGCCTTCCACGACCATGAACATCACGCAGTCAATATCTTCTGAGCGAGAACGTGCCCTCTTGAGTGGTGACTACAACTCCTACCATGCTCAGGCATCTCGTCGCATCCACAACCTGCGCAGGCGCTTGGGTGCGGCCAACCGTGGGAGAAAATACAACCCCAAGAGCCCAGTGACTGTGGAGAATGTGGCCCAAAATCAAGAGTACTACTGTCCCCTCCGTTCGAACTAGAAGGTGGTCGCTAATTCTACTCAGATGGGTTCAACTCCTCCTGGCTAGTTCCGAGCGAGCTTGGGCTGATGCCATGGCCATGAAAGCGGCCCAGTCTCAAGAAAACACACAAAAGCCCATGCCCGGCTCGACGAAGCAACAGATCTCCTCCAGGCTCCGACGAGCCATCCAACATGCAGAGAACCTAGTCGAAGTCTTGCAGGATTTATCCGCTACGGGTGCGACACCTTTGGATGTGTTGGAAGCTGCTGCATACCGGTCAATGATGAAGGGAAGCCTGGACTTTGAAAAGGCAAAGTGGCAGCAATGTCTTCAAGATTATGCCGTCACTTACATCATCTACGCCGCCCTTGCTAGAGGATCCAAGACCGATATTTACAAGGATCTCTTGTCCTCCATTGTTGAACCCAGCATTCGCTATGCCTCCTATCAACTTCAAATCAGTCGCACAAAGGCTGTTGGCGACATTGCCATTGAGAATTTCCCCCAGTCCAACTCGCTTCGAAAAGAAATAGAATCAGTAAACTCACTTGCTTTTCAAAAGAGCTCAGACTTGACTGCCAACAAGGATGGCCCAAAGGAGGTTCCCTCTAATATTAGCTGGCGAAACAGGAAGGTCAAATTGGAAGATGCCAATATCTCACAAGCTCTTGGGATATCAAAGGAGCGAGAAGAAGATCTAACGGCCAAGTTTCACTCTTTTGAGAAAGGAGAGCTCGACGCCAAAGAGTTTGCGACTTTGTACGAAGATGTCATTACTGCTCGGCAGGACGCCGCAGATGCAACCAAAACGGCGATCGACGAAATGTTGGCAGAAGGTGTCGACCCTGGCGATTCCCGCATTCAGTCGTTGCAAATCACCCGAACTGCAGTCAACTACGCGGTGATTGAATGGCGCGTCGGCCGGAACCGAGTTCTCACAGGCCCCAACGACGGTTTGTTGTTTGAGCCTGAAAGTGGCAAAAGACAACTAAAGCCGCGTAAAGATGGGAAGGATCGTGCTCCGAAGGAGGAGAGTGCCGGACGTCAGATGTCACGGCTCCGTGAACGAGTGGCTCTCTTCGATCTTGTCCTGCAAAGTCTCGATTCCGTCAAGGAGTTACCAGGTGTGGTTGCCGACACCGAATTCGTTCAAGAACTGGAGGCGAAGAGAAACTATTTCCGGGCGCTGAAGCTCCTGAACCTGGGCCGGTCACACGCTATCAATGAGCAGATCGCCAATGCGCTGGCACTATATGCTCGTGCGCAAGGACTAGCGCAAACTGCATCTCTTCACTTGCAGTCTTCTCCACAAGACTCAGGTTCCCCACCGAAACTTGACGTGAGTTCAGAGCAAATCGAGTCTCTTGTGACCACACTCAATAAATTGGTGATTCAATATCGTGCATTGGCTGAACTCAAGGCTCTCACTCCGGCACCATCGACCGCCAACGCGCAGCCTACCAGCACGGCGACATTCAAACCAGCTCCGTTGATTGAACGCCTCCACCGCAATGAATTCGTCGAGTCGGTTGACCTCACCAATCTGGTCAACTACCCTCCAAAACTCCGTCCCGTGCCTGTCAAACCTCTCTTCTTCGATCTAGCGTGGAATTACATCAATTACCCTGGTCAGAACCAGGATGATGCATCGACTGGCGAAGCCATCACTGGGGCGTCTGCAGGAAAAGCCAATGGCGATGCTGGAGCGATCAAGACGGAAGAAGCCAAACCAGCAAAGAAGGGTTGGTTTGGTTTTGGCCGTTAGGATTGCTCGCAGAGATGAAATCGAAGGACAAGCTGTCCGACTTCTCGAAGTGGGGTAAACACAGCTTTTTAGTCAATTGGAATTTCGAGCTCGAGGCCACACGAGGAATGCATCTGTCTCGTTGTATGAGAATAGTATCCTTGTGTGTAAATCTTGACCTAGGTCACTCCAGCTACTTAGCAGCAGAAAGATAAAGACACGATTATCATGCCATTGCTAAAAAACAGTGTGACTACGTCATGCCTTGGAAAATTCAGAAACAAAGCGCGAGGTCGGGTATCAAACGTCGGGCAAAGCCCGTCCAACAACATTTATTCCTGCAGTATTCCTTTTTCAGCCTTGGTGTCCAGGTGTAGCGTGGTGTATACGCGATATGCGATCAGATGTGAAGTCTCACTATCAAGGTCCGCTGTGGTCCGCTGTGGTCCGCTGTGGTCCGCTGTGGTCCGCTTTGTCGATGTTGCTTGACTTGGCGTCAAGCCCGAGCGACTATATGCATGAGAGGGACGGTGAGACAGAGGAGCAATCAGTGGATCAAGGCAGAAGCAATGATGGCGAGATGCAGGAGAGGCAAGTGGTCCAACGGTTGAACACATGCCGTCCACCGCGTACAACGCTGATCATGCCCCTGCCACCACCATAACATGCGGCACACAAACTCTGTTACCGAAGTTGCGGGTTTACCGGTCCCTGTGGCGCCGCTTGGTACCATCCCCGTTCGGGCAGGTTTTGGCGAATGCACCAAATGGGATGCCAAATTGCTGGGTGATGGGACGAATCATCAAGGAACGACTCATGTTGGTTGCTGTCTAAGAGTTGTTGTGCTTGAGGGCGTGCTTCAGGGCGTGCTTCATAGCGTGCTTCCGAACATCATTGTTCTTCTTCGCCAGATCAGGGCTAGGTCCTTGGTGTCTTGAAAATGTTGGGATTGGTCGCGACAGGCGTCCTCGCGGAGACGGCTCTTCGACGGCGGATTGCTGTAACAAATAACAGGTCTGCTAGGTGTCGTATCGTCCTCATCGAAGAAGCCTCTTGGTCCTGCATATGGGGGCGGCGGTGAGAAATCCATGTCCAGCTCTGCCATGTTGACTAATTCCGTTCCATCCGTACGCTCCATGTCAGCTTTGGCGGCAAGGAATCCACTGGTGACATTGCTCGGAGGAGTGTTGTTATTATCAAGAAGTGTCTTCAGGAGATCAAAATCGTCAGTTGGAGACTGGGTCGGCGAAGACGACGGTAAGTCGAGACTCAATCTTCCGACAGCAGGCGAGCTGGAGGACGACATTTCGGTATCATTTGAAGAATGCCTTGTTCGGACATGTCGAATTAAAAGTATCGTCCCGACAACAATACTAGAAAGTAAGGCGTACCCAACGCAGTCAATAAGGGCCATTCTGGCGTTGTGGAAGGTTGGCCTCGAATCAATCACTGCCATCCTGAACAGGGACAATGAAATAGTTAAGACTGGAAGACGAGCACCATTCCTCCCGGCACAACGCAAAAGTAAAATAACATGGATGACTGGGATGAGGGATGTAAGGCGAGATATAATATAGTCAGCCAGGTAGTGACAGACAAAACACGAATAAGTATAACCTGGGGTAAGTCTCGCTACTTGAATACGATGTGCGCCCGTGCATGGTATCCTATGAGCGAAATAGGGTTTTGGTCAGCAAAGTAAAGGTTAGACTTAGATCTTGGGGCGTTGACGGCCACTTTGAGTCAAGCCCGTGGTTGAGAGATCTTGCCCATGGCTGGCTGGCTAGCGTTGGTTAGACAGCGGCAGCCCAACAAGCCAAAGCGTGAAAAATGAATCGGGTGGCGGAGAACCATGTGATGGACTCCGAGATCACAGAACATTCTCAGCTGTGATCGAGTGGGTGGTAATAGCCTGATTGAGGAGGCATGGTGGTTCTCGAGGTGGACAAGATGTCTAGACATACGGGGTATGTAGTCAAGAACAGAAACTCAGCTGGCATAGAGACACGCCTTGCCAGTCTAGGATTGGACTACGGAGTAGTGTCGCCGAGAACCGAAGAGAGATGATGCTTGGATGGAACAAAGTGGTGAGTGTAGGGGTTGATTCAGCTTGAGTGCCCACGCCACAGCTCCAGCCAAGCCACACAATTGGTCCAGTAAGCGAAAGCCATTCCGCTAAGGTTGGGATGTTGGCACACCACTGGGCACCGGGCGGACAAGGCGGACAGGGCAATGTCGTTTAAGGCCTCTAAATAGGGATTCTAGACATGAGATAAAAGACTCGCAAAAGGTCTAGATGGTGATGATGACGGGCGAAATTGAAGAGAAGAGGAGGGAAAAAGAGACAAATCATGCTGAAGCGAGTGAGAGAAGCTTCTCCAATGTACGTACTCTACTCCGTAACGGAAGGAAGGTACGACCGGTGCCAATCGACTGTAGTAAATCCAAGTGGCAGGAGCATTCCAATTTTGCACCCATGGAAAGAACGACCGGTCTCGCGCTTGAGGAAGGAGAAAAAGGGAAAGTTGGCAGTTGCGGAACGTGGAATTGCCCAAAGAGGCCTAGTTGGCGCACGCTCTTTTGGCTGCGTTTTATGCATTTTGATTGACAACAGCGTGCCAGATCGACGCCTCTTATTACATACATCCGTACTCCGTACATGCTACAACTACTCCGGAGACATCGTGGCACTGTTTGCCATTTGCCTCACCGACCTCAGGCTCCACCAACACCAAGACACCTGCAGCATCGATTGACAGGTGGACCAAGCGTGAGGCTCCTGGTGGAACTTTCCCAGGCCCTGGCGTTGAGTGTGGGTCATTCTGGAAATCTGAGGATGAATTTTTGCTGACCCACGCCGCAGAGAATGAGCCATGCTTTTCCCATGTACTGATATGATTCAATATGTACTTCTGTTGAAGCTACAAACGTCATGTCAATATTCAGCTGGCCTTTATTGAACCCCCGCTCATGCCAATCCACGCTTGTTGATCCAAAAACATCCCTGCGCCGTTCGAGAGCTCGCCCCTTTGATCATTACCCGATACCATTTGCATCATCTCAGCTGGTCATGTGGTCGAATGTCATTCAATTCATTCAACCAGCAGCCTTGACTATTTCTTCCTCCAATCGTGGCTGCTTATGCGGTCTCTCCTGCTCACCGCTGTTCCGTCGATTCACAGATTGCACCAATTTTTTGAGCGTGTCTGGGCAGTCCTCTTTGGTCATGAGGACTTCGACCATATTAAGACCTTTTCCTTTTTGCAATTGTGGATCCGCAAGAATCTCCCACAGCTCACCCCAATTTGCCGCTCGTTTGGCAAGGACAGGATACTCTGGATCATTCGTGGGTGCCCCGAAATAGCTTGGAGCCTCGAGATATCTCCATGGCTGGATGTCGTTGTAATGTGCTTTCATACCATGGATCCATCTTTCAATCGTGTATCCGTCATTATTGATGACAAAGATGGTTATGTCCAATCGATTTTTGATTATGTCGCTAATGACCTGTGCCGTCATCTGCAGGCTGCCATCTCCTTCAAACAGGATTGCACGACCTTCAGATTGCTTCCCCTCGGCGATGGCCTCTCTCAATGCCAGTGCCGCTCCCTGTGCTGCACCAAGCATATAACCAATGGACAACCAGATGGATGAGTTGATTAAACTGGTATGTGGCGGAAGGACAAACTCTCGGCCTCCCATGGAAGGCGTGCCTGTTTCGGTCAAGATGACATCGCCCGGCCGGAAAAAGGTCGAGATGCGTTGCCAGAAAGTTTCCTGGTCGATAATAGCTTCGGGAACGGTAGGTGGGAGAGCCTTCAACTCTTGGGCGGGGACACCCAGGTCTGGATACGGCTCTTTGCTAACCAATCTCTTCTTGTCCAACTTGTCCAAAATTTTCCGCAGGAGGGCTTTGACATGGACATTTGTATATTTGGTGCCCGTAATCTCAACTGAGTCTCGGTCAAAGGTGATTGCCTTGTGTTTGTCGGGAATGACACTGAAGCCGTAGGTGTTGACATCGCTATTCAAGGGACCAATGCGGAGAACCAGATCGGTGCCATAGGCCCAGGGATTGTAGATGGGCTTTCCCGCTGCTCCTGCATATATGCCATGGAAGTTGGGGTATGATTCATTGATGATGCCCTTTCCAAACGGGGTGGTCGAGGTGGGAAACCCGGTTACCCTGACCAATTCATCGGCCTCTTGGCTGATGCCATATCTGCTGGTGAAGCCGTCCACAATGATGAAGGGCTGTTTGGCGGTGTACATCTTTTCGAGGATCAAGTCGACCTCGGTGTCTTCGAATCCTTCATCGGTAAAGTGGACGGTCAGGTCGAGAGGGGTGTCCAACGCTGCGGCGGGCACTCTGGCCTTGACCATGTCGATGGGGAACTCGATATAGACAGGACGGCTGTTGAGAACGGCGGCTTGCAATGTCCGATCAATTTCGGCGGTGGCGGTTTCTTCGTTGATGAGATTTGCCTGTGCAACGGTGACTTTGGCAGCCATTTCCGCAAAGAGGCGGAAATTGCCATCGCCCAGAGTGTGGTGGAAGATGAGGCCCTCATTCTGAGCCTTCCTAGGCGGGGTACCGACAATATGAACGACAGCGGCCCTCTCGGCGTAGGAACCAGCAATAGCGTTGATGGCAGACAGTTCACCGACGCCGCCGGTAGTCACTATAGCACCGAGTCCTCGCACGCGGGCGTAGCCATCGGCAGCATAGCCAGCATTGAGCTCGTTGGCATTGCCGACCCAATAAAGGCCAGCGGGCTCGACATAGTCGAGAGCGGTGAGATTGTAGTCGCCGGGAACACCATGGACAGACCGGACTCCAATCTGATGCAGTCGACGGAACAGATATTCGGCAAGATCAATATACGGGGCCATATTGTCTATCAGAGAAGTATGAAAGAAAACCCACTCTTACCGTGATCATGGAATGTACAACAAGGACGGGAATATATTGATAAATGGAAAGGGGATGAACTTTGAAGGATCTAACAAGAATTCCCACGACTGACAGACGAAAGGATCAAGAGAGACACAAAGGGGAACGGTTGAGGCGGGAAGTTTAAAGTTGAAGCGGGCGTCAGCAGTCAACTACCTACCAATATTTGGAATGATACGTACGATACTACAATGCGAAATCGCTTGATGCAGATAACCAAAAACAGCGGTATGAATTCCGAGCGATGGATTCACCCTGCAAGTTACATCGAATCAGCAAAGGGCGTGAGAGAAAATAGCTGGAAATAACTGGATGTTGGTGCCAGCGATAGTGGATGCGCGAGGGTCTCGTGCACGGCCACTGGCGGTTGGACCGGTTATCAACGGTCTGAAGGGCGGAACGTTTCTCCGTTTTATTGCAGCAATGACGATAATGATGAATGACGAAAGATGTAGGGCGGGAGTGATAGTGAGAGGGATAAACACGAATTGATAAAATACATACTTAATAGAATGTATGCGTTGGAGTGAGCATCTAATTTTTTATCTTGTCACGTGGTCAATGATTGTGGTTTTGATGTTGATAATTCCTCCACCATCCATTCCTTCGGGCAGAATGTTGCCAGGGTCAGGTTACATTCTACAAGACGATCCTGGAAGGGAATGTGGAGAGGTGCGCTATATTCTGGCTGTAAGTTCTACCACAGAAATGAGATTTTGATCCTTTGAGGAAGATAAATCACGCAAGCAATCAATCAACCATATATCATCCAGACCATCTCATCGCTGTACACCTGCAATATATGTCTGAAATCCTGGCATCAAACACCGGTCCATGATGGCACATGGGTGACACGACAGGCTGCTGTACGATATGCCATCATATGCCACCAAGGATGCATTGCATGCTCAAATCGTGACTCGCAATGCTCAAAGCACTCGTCTTTTTTGTTCTCCCAGTCTCCTTCTCTTTTCTTTATTCCTCCCGATCTCTTGCATCTTGAACAGCCTTTTCCCAATCACTTAGACGCATATAAGTCGACATGATGACAGTGGCCAGGCCCAATCCGGAACAAGGACCGATCCACAAGCCTCGAAGATCCATCTGTGGCGGGCCAAATGTCAAAAAGAATGACAATGGCAAGGCAAATAGGTAATAAACAGCCAAATTGACCCATCCACCGATCTTTTGTCGACCCAGACCACGCAGTAACGCGTTGGAGATTGCCAACATGGCGTCGAAAAATTGTGCTCCAGCCGCTATGGGTAAGACCAAAGTTATAACAGCGCGGACCTGGTCGTCGTTGGTGAAGAGTGCGGCAATGACGTGTCGACACGAGGTGAGTAGAGTCATATCGAAGATGCCAATGCACATGAAAATCACATAGTGTGTTTTCCAAGCGATGTTGGCGGCGTCTAGGGCGCCATAGCCGATTAAATTGCCGAAGCGAGTGGATGCGGCGATTGAGATGGGGAAGGGAATGTGATACATGGCGACCACGATGGTCATTATAACTGACTGGGCGGCTAAGTCGAGTTGGCCCAGGTGACCAGCGGCGATGGTGAGGATGTCAAAGGCTAGCCACTCGGAAAATGTCATCAAGACGCCCGGAACGGCTAATCTGACCATGGGCCCCCAGTGTTCGGATGCGCGGCGGAGATCTAAACCAGGCCAGCATTGCAGATTCGAAGGGGCAATGTATGCGACGTAGAGGGCCAAAACGACGGGTTGAAGATTGTTGGAGATGACGACGGCGAGAGCAGCACCTTGAAACCCCAGACCCAGATGAAACACCAGCAGCCAGTTCCACAGAACATTCAAAGGTGCACAGATGGAGAGGACGACAAGGGAAGCAGTAAAGTCGCCCTGAGCCTGACAGAATCGTTTGGCGGCTTCGAAGATGGCCCAACCGGGGGCTCCTGCGAGGTAGATCCTCATAAACTGACCTGCTAGAACAGCTTCGTCCTTTTCAGGCACCAGGGCCGACAAGATGCGAGGGGAGCAGATCCATACAGCGCCAATGGGGACGGTAACGACGAGAACTAACAACGACATTCGCTGGACATGTAGTCCAACCAGATGTTTCTTTCCATTTCCAAAGGCCTGCGACGTCAAGGTGTCAAGACTGGTGGCCAGACCTTCGTAGATGCACAGGCCGGTGATGTTGGCCGTCATGGTCGCCAGCGACGCCGCTCCCAATTCTTTGGTACCTAGACGACCCGCCACAAATACGGTGACCAGGCTGAAAGAATACTGGAGCAGATAGGTGAGGATTAAAGGACCAGAGTATCTGGCCAACAAGGCTGTCTCAGCCTTCCATGTCGTCTCTAGCTCAGAACTTTTGAGCAGAGGTGTGTTTTCGCCTTCTTCGCCCGTGCCGTACCGCCTTTGATCCATGGCGTCGATGGACTTGCGAAAGTCATCGATGCCATGGCTACTGAGAAGTGATCTGCTTTCGGAAAATCGTCGCCCGGCCATGTTCAAGTCGTCCGGGCTGGTGTGATGTTGGCAAAGCGGGGAGTTGAAACAGATTATATCATAGATGTTATGTATAATATTATAGGTAGATCATACCTGATATGATGAGGTTGATAGTATCGCGATGATGGTAATTGTAGTAATATGACCTGGTCGGAATTGCGATGAATGTGAATGTGGGTTTGAGATGTTACGAGCTTGGACGATGGATGATGGCGGCTTCGGAGTCTTGAGCTTGTAAGTAGCGCGAACAGGGTCCGAGGGGTCCTTTACAGTACTAGTCAGTAGATATCTACGGAGTATGTGGTAGGGAAATCGATTCTACTTCTAGACTGCAGAATCTGGTGATGATTGAGGGAATACTTGGCCTAATCAGGAGTCATAGGCTAATCATAACTGTTATAGCCTTGGGAGTTGCGATTAGAGTTCTATTTTGTTGCTACAGATTACAGATAGTTATCATCGTTTTCAAGGATGCTGATTGTCGAGATCAGACAAGACAACCGAACAACCGAACAGAGGAAATCCGACATTATGGCGCAATCACCATCGTTGTTCTGACCCCAGCCTATAAAACGGGCCGAGGGGCTGGTTGGGGCCGATGGGGCTTCGAGTCTTTGGCTCTCGGCCACCTCGACCCCCGAAATCCAGGGCCAAGGGGCTTGAGGGCTTGGGCACACCCACGGACAACCAACCTACCACGTGTCCCGGAGATGTTTACCGACTGATTCTTCAGGCACAGGTTCAGAAATGCTCATATCATTAAACTACAATTTTTGTGTACAAATCCTCCTTAATAACGTCAAAAATACCTAGCCATAGTGACAGCTCATGTTGTACAAAAAGTAGAATACCTGCTTGATGCATAATGGCGGGGCTGGGTGTTGGGTCCCTTAGGTACTCAAGAGGGGCAACCCACTATCTGTACCAACTTATTATTTCTAGGCATGCTCTCGAACCAAGGCAGCCTCCCAGTAAATCTGATTCCCATACCCTTCAGGCCTGAAACCAGCCCGAATTTAAAGTTCTCCCCCCCAAAGTAACACCCAGTCACACCAGGTGACACCTATTCCTTTGGCGTGTCTGGTTGGCCAACCTCCAACCTTGTCCCCCGACCTACAGCCCCTCGGGCCTCCAAAAACGCGTCGCCAGTGGTTGTTGGTTGTCTTTTCGTGTTGGTCCCCCACCTCGTCGCTCCTCCGCCTCAATCGCTTGATAAATCAAATCCTCAGACTGCGTCAACAAATCCCCATCGTGTCCATCTTCACTCATTTCCACGACGCGTCTTCCCTGCTCTGCGCTCTGCTCGCTCACATTCTGCCGCATCTCAACCCTCCTCCATCCCTCCTCTCCCAAAACAGTTGGTCAGCTCGACCATGACTGTCGCCATGACCTCGACTTCACCTCTCAAAGTCGCCGGTCGACAAGCTCTTCTTCCCTCCCCCGATCCATCCTCCGTCAGATTACCAGATTCACCAGAAAAACTTCCCCATGCTTCTCTCAACACAGGCACAGGTTCATTAACCGAAAAGTCTCGTGGCCTCCGCCGACTCCAGTCCCATAATCAACTCTCATCCACTTCCGCCGCCATGGGCACTCAGGCTTCCAACCTGCGACCTCCACGAACCTCCATCACCAATCGACCTTCACGCGAACAACTCCATCCTCAATCGACATCGTCCACATCCACATCATCAACTCAACCCCACACCAGTACCCTAACTGCTGCGACCTCCGCTTCTCGAGCTCGCGCCAACAGCGATGCTCCCATGCCATTTGTTCCTCGATCTCGCAAACAACCCATGAATCCCTCACCGGGCTCCAACCACCTGATCAACCATGCCCGAAAATCCAGTTTGGAAATGACTCTACGCGACGGACCTCCCCCGGGCACAACACCTGCCTCTGCTTTATCTCTCCTCCGCCATTCCATCCTCACCAGTGGCGTCACCGCCACCAAAGAAGGCATGTCCGACTACCGCATATACCTGTGGTTGACGCTGTTAAATGTCCCTCCGCTGGCAACCCAAGTCTACCTAGACCTAGTCCACCGCAGCAAAAGCCCTGCCTACGAGAAGATCTCCAACGACGTGTTCCGTACCCTAGCCACCGACACCCTATTCAAGAGGAGAGTAACCGACGCCAGTCTGACTCGTCTGCTCAACGCTACCGCCTGGCGCATCCACGATGAACAGACCGCCAACCCACCCACACCTTTTGCACAGAAATATACCCAATCGACCTACCTTCAAGGAGTCAACGTCCTATCAGCGCCTCTACTCTACGCGTCGCGATCCGAGGCTCAGGCATTTGCTCTGTCCAACTGTCTCTTATCCGACCACATCCCCACATACATTTCACCCACCATGTCCGGCGTCCACAGGGGCGTCGATTTGATCGACCAAATCCTGTCGCACATGAACCCCAAACTATCATCTTTCCTCCTCAGCAAGAACCTCCCTGCGCGCATCTACGCTTTCCCCTCCGTTCTGACCTTGTGCGCCTGCACACCTCCACTACCCGAGGTCTTGAAGTTATGGGATTTCCTCTTCGCATTCGGCGTCCACCTCAACGTCATCTGCGTCGTGGCGCAACTACTCCTCCTCAAGGACAAGTTACACGACCATCCCAGTCCGGCCAAGATGTTGAGAAGTTTTCCCAACCTTGATGCCGACCAAGTCATCAAAATGACTGTTTACATCGTCAAGGAATTACCCGAGCAACTCTACAGGGACGTTGTCGTCCATGCTCGCCATGTTTCGTGATCCTGATTCTTGGGAGATTCTTTCATCCGCTGTTTTTGTACCTTTTGAAATAATGATTTGACGACAATTACCAATTCCTGTTATGACCCATCAAAAACCGACAGCAGGAGAACCCAAAAAAGCAAGCGAATCGAGTCATGATGACATGTATAATAACGGATGGTGTCGAGATTCTGACAAGATGAATATGTGCAATACCAATACAAGTGAGACAGCATTGTCGGTCTATTTAAACCATGCTCTTTTCCTACGGTCCATCATCGGGCCCATATCTTTGTCTTTTCCTTCCTTTTCCCCCCTTCCTCCCCTGCTTTCAATCAGTACAATGTCTCAGCCTCACTATGACTCCGACGAGCATGCTCGTCTAATACAACATCACGACGTCCTCCACCCCCAGACCCCATCTCCAAATCAGCTGGCCCTATGTCGCCTAGAGCATGTTCTTCGTCTGCCACTCTCGTCTCTTCTCGATCAACCTCCCTCTTCATCCTCCTTCCAAGTCGAGGTCGGTAATTGGTAGTCCCGTCAAACACACTCCGATACGCCGATCGATATCCCAACACCGCCGTGACAATTCCAATCAACGCACCAAAGAAACAGTCGAACGCATGGTGATGGTATCTCAAGACCAAAGTACACGCCAGATAAGTCGCCAGCAACAACGGCATCATGACGATGACCATACGCCAGAACCCCGTCCTCACCACCCTTGACCCATCACCCATCTTCAAATGCGCAAAAAGATAAATTGCCAGATATCCCAGTCCCGCAAACGCAATCTCGGAATGTCCTGACGGAAACGACTGCAAAGCATTATTAATCCTGCCCGGATCCCCAGTACACACCTGATCCACGCTATACAAGATCCCGTTGAACCCTTGACCCAGCACACCGTCTGGAATTCGCGGCTGACAAACCGCCAGAAAATGAGGCCGTAACCCACCGATGCTCTTCTTGAGAATCACTTGAAAACAAGTTCCCGTCACCAGACTGTAAAACAGACCCAGGATTCCCGAAGACGCATCGGCGAAGGAATGGATGAAGAATTGAGACAGGATCATCACACCCACGGGGATGATTGCGCAGACTAATCCTGCCCCAAGACTTGAAAACACATTGGTGAGATATGGGTACGAAATCTCAGGTGCGTAAGTGGTTCCATCGGGACTGAGGAGAGGGAAGAGACGGTTTGGTCGCGCTTCTATTACCCAGATCTATGTCGGTGAGAGATGGAGGTCAGCAATTGTGGAGGCAGGAAGGGCTATGGCATACAACTCCAGTGATTCCTGCAATGACAAGAATACAAACCACATCAAACCAACTGTCGAGAATGAAGATTTTGAGGTTATGCAACAGTCGAGGCAGAGTAGTTCTATCGGGTTTTATTGATGCCATGGAAAGGAATCTTGAAGTCAAGGTTGAGTGTGGATGTGAATGCCCATGTGCTCCACCAACACCACGAGGTGAGGGTGACTTTGTTGTTGGTGGTGGTGGTGGTGGTGGTGGTGGTGGTGGTGGTGTATGAGATGATTTTCTAGCTTGATCCATGTTCATGTATCAGGTAAGGGAGGAAGAGTACCTAGTATCGAGAAAATAGGTTGGTTATACTACTGTACCGTTGGAATGATTTGGACGGGTGTTCAAACATTCGTCAACAATGACAGGTAGACAGCATCTGCGCTTTCCCTGTGGAAGTGGAAGACAACATAATTGTGTCATCAAAGTCACTCGTACCTGCCTCGAGTGAACTGGAGTGATGTAATAAGTAGATACTTTAGTTAGGCAGGTACCCCCCGGACATGTTTGAGGTATTTCAACAACAACGTGATATGTATGCATCATGTCACATGATGGCTTAATCAATCGATCGATCTTGAAAACGTGACTTTTCTTTGATTCCCGAGGCTGAGTTCTTCCAGGGGCACGTGCGACTATATTGTGATACAAAGGGAGGACTTCTCCCTGGTGAATCTCAGGATAATGAATACGAATATTCAACCTTCTCTTCTGCTTGAAGAGTCCTCTTCCATGACAAGTCAAGCCTTTGATTGTTGAGACTGTCGCACACATCTCTCACAAAGACAATCTCCACCCAGAACAGCACGTAACCTATCCCTCCTCTCACGAAAATCATCCTCTGCCACATCCGTGTAATGATTCCAAATTTCATCGCCCTTTTTGATCCCAGTCCATTCCCCATTCATACTTCCATCCCCATACCCTATCCTCTCCATCACCACCGAAAAGTTCCTCACTCCCGACGGCTTCCAAGTAACATTCGGACAACAACTATGATTTGCCAAACACCACAAAGGATGCACACCAGCGACCTCTGGTTTCCCCGTCCAAGTCGACTGCTGAGCATCGGCAACACCGCGGAACTTGGCAAACAATGTCTGCACGATCCACCAGTCGTGTTTGTCCAACCATTCCTCACTATATGGATGACACTCGCTGCGTGAATGCATTAGAACTTCGAACCATTGCATGGGCAGTTCCACGTGCAGGCGAAGACTGTGAGGGAGAGTTTTGGGTGGTGGGTCGATCGATGAACTAGACGAACTAGATGGGGTACTCGTAAAATCGCCCCATAGATACTTGATGTCCATGAGATCCAACGGATGTCGTCCCTGCGTCACTGCCATTTGAAATGTTCGTGACAGTAACAAGAAATACAGATCCCATTCAGGTGTGCTGGAGCTTTCGGCTCTGCCGAGAGTATGTAGATCATCGATTCCAGTTGATCCAGGACAGAATGGCGTAGCAGGTGCTGGGTATCCTTCTTCAGTCTCGTCGTCGTCGGGGTTAGGTACGTGGTACTTTTCGCGTGCTGCGTCGTGACATGCATCGGAGCAGAAAGGTCGACCACAGCCAGTGCAACTCCGTTGTTCATGTTTAGGGATCGTTTCCAGATCAGCGGCGCATGCATCGCACAGAGCTGCGCCGTGTGGGCGGATCGCTGTCAGGGCGGATCGTTCTTCGAGGATCAGTTCTCCTGGGGCAAGGTCTTCTTTCGCGTAGAGGCCGAGCTGGGTCGATTCGGACTCGGGTTCAGAGGTCGTCATCGACGGTAGAATCGAAGTCCGCACCTCCAACTTCGGTGCCGCAATAGCTAGAAGTCCGTTGACCTCTTCCAGACTCTCTTTAGACATTCGATCTGGTTCGTGATCATTCCAGGGGTAGATTACTCGTTGAGACCAGCCACAACGACCCGTGTCAGCAAGTTTGTTGGATGACAAAACCTCCTCGACTAGTGCCATGACTCGTCCATCACTTTTGCGTGAGACACCTTGAATGAGATCCTTTTGAAGGCTCCGTAGGAGTTGCAAGTTGGTGGCTTCGGCGTCAGCCATGTCCTTCTTGACTGTGATCAATCGCTCAATCCACGTTTTGGCCTCGATGAGAGAGTCCAACGCCATCGACGCGCGCACTAGCAACAAGATAGACTCATGCGACCACTTGCGCCAGCTCATCTTAATTTTCTCTTGTTCCTTGTCGGCTTCCTCGTCATCTTCATCTTGACTGTCATCAACGTCCCCAAGCACCGATAGAGGCATACCACTCTCATCCACGGCAATGAGATCAGTTTCTCCTTCTCCAATCTGAGCATCTGCCAACGTAAAGACGACATATGCATCAGCAATAGCCAATTCGGGACAATCCAGGGCTTCGTAGACTTTGGCACGAGCAAGAACCAATGCAACTGGGATTGGATACGTTGGTTGGGTGTCTTCGTCATCTTCATCGACATCGTCCGAGTCATCATCAGACTCAGTAGTGGGTCCCTCGTCGGAGCCCCCGTCGGCGCTTTCGTTTGAATTTCGTGGTATTCGCTTGGCCAGGTTGGCGACTTTGATCATTTCCCGCACCAAGCCATGTCGGGCTACCAGCAACAGTAGACGTTTGGCTTCTGGGTCGACGACATCATGGACGACGTTATCAAACTGTAGGGGATCATTCAGGATGCGGATAAGACGGGTCTCGAAATCACCGTCGCCACCACTAGAACCAGAAACATGACTTGCGATAGCGTGAGCCAGATACTCCGGTAGCAGAGAGATGATCGTGGCCACATTTTGTGAGGGTTGTGTGTGTACACGGACTGTTAGAGATTCAAATCCGGGTCCAGGTCCATGATTAGTGGTGGATAGAGCCATAAATCAATCACCCAAGGTAGGTCAAGGTCGTTGTAAGTGTTCTTTCACAACAAAATAAAACAGTAAAGTTTCTAAACGTCACGCGACGAGAGTCCGGGTCCGATTCACTTATTCAGTAGCGGACCCTACTGGCAGTCGCGAGTTTTGAAGCCATTTTGTATCCCTGACTAGCCATGGTGTGTGGTAGAGTCGAGAGATCGATGGAATTAATGTCCAGATGAAAGAAATTTAGTGCAGATCTCATATCCCGAAATGGATGTCGAGGCAAGAAATTTATTCTAAAATGACGATATTTTTTTTTCTGAGGATGGGTGCAACCTGGAAGTTATCGTGGTGTTTCCATGGTGTTTACGAATCACCTTCACACCTGTTATTGAGTTGTAATGACAGAACACAATCGACCATCCCCCAGCAGAAACAACGTCATATTCTCCACTGCAGGTGCTTTGCCAACGACACACATCATAAAGGGCCATCATCGATGTGGAAACGTGGAAACGCTGTACAATATTTCAGCATCAGTCTTTTCATTCCCACTTTTGGTCAACTGAGGTCAACATTATGATTAGCTACCTAGGTAGTCATTCCTTGTTCGCCTACAATACAGCCACACTCGATAAATAGATTATCCAACTCATATCCAGAGTCATTCATGTGGCAAACGTCAAGTCATCTCATTAATACCGTCTCGTCTCTTTGCACGGGCAGCCATTCCATATTATCACATGACCTACATCACCGGGATTGCCCCGTGAGTCAGCGTCTCTGATCATCTCCCAAGCTGGGTAAGAGATCGTGCTCAACATACCACGCAATTGTCGTCAATGGTAATGGTCCCTCCTGGAATCTCTATCCCATGACCTTCAGTCGCTTCAATTTGGCCCCTTTGTAACGCCACGGCGAATCGAGCGAGCATGCTGTCCTGCATGACACCAGCCATGTCAGCACAGTGTTAGCCTCAACCCTCGCTTCTCAAGCCCTCCTTTCAAGTCATCATACGTAGACTCGACATGATCCAAGCCCGAGCCAGCAGCTCTTCCATTGGACCTACCGTGATGAAAGCGTCTCCTGTACTTCGTCTTCGATCGACATCATTCTGTCTCGTAATCTCCTCCATTCGATGCATAGCCCGGCGACTTCGCAGACCTCGACCAGCATGAGCTGTCCCATCCGTCAATACACCGTCTTCGTCGTCGTCTAGTCGACGTCTTGTATAACTAGAACTAGTGATGCTCGCAGCAGGGGTTGCAATGTCAATTCCCCTTTCCGCCGCTTCTCGATCCCGACTGTCGCCTCCAGGGCCAAAGATCTTGACAGTGCTGTCAATACCACTGCAAGCGATCATGGGTTCATACGGGTGTCCTTGCACCACGTTGACAACCTCCCCATCACCTTCCAGGATGTTGACAATCTTGCACGTTTTACGGTCCCAGATGAAAAAGTTGCCGTCATCGGACCCACTCACCACGTACTCGTCATTTAGGCCAAAGTAGTTGACATCCTTGACCGTTCGAGTGTTGCAATGTCCTTGGTAAACCTTTGTATGAGATGAGTACGGCACATCAAGGTTGACCGAATGTCGGTCACGAAACCGAGAATATCTTCGACGTAAGAAGAATGGTTCAGGATCGTCTTCATCTTCATCGTCAGAATCCTCCGAATCCGATGAATCACCCTCATCCTCACTCTGTTCTTCTTCGTCCGGGTCTTCCGCCACTGCGCTGTTGAATATATTGTCGTCGTCTCCCATCACGTGCGGTCCATGAGCGGTGGTGACAAGATCTATGGTATCAACAATTCGTTCATGCTCCTCAGGGTCAATGTCTTGCTCGGAGGAGTCATCCTCATCCCCTTGAAGCGATTCAGTTGACGTCAACCCCCCAAAGGCACGGTTAACAAAGTTAAATGTGACTTGCTCTGCAGCCCGCATGATCAGGGACCTTCCTACTTTGACGCCCCAGAATCGAACAGCTGCACCCTTGTCCATGACACGCTTAGTGTCGGCCGAGCTCGATCCTTCCTCCCATTCAGACATGCCCTGTCTCGACTCAAGCCTGACGCCAGCCAAGGCTCTCGTAAAGGCAAGAACAGCCGATTTTTGAGAAGCAAATACGACTCTAGTATCATCTCTCTCGAAACGGTTGGTATCAATGTCAATCACGGCAACATCGTCTCTTGCCAGGCCGAGAAGATAAGCATCGAGCTTGGAGCCAAATGTGTGCACTGTATCTGCATCGTCCAGAGGGAAACGAGAACTTTGACCACTCACGGTCGAAGGTCGTTTGAAGCCCTGCAACACCGCCTCCTGACCTCCCTCCAGCCACAACAGAATTGCTTTGACGAAATCATAACAAAAACGTGCTTGCTCATCGATGTTCTTTCCTTCATGGATTGCGGGCTTGATGTGGTCAAAGAGATTGAGACGCGGATCGGGAGATGAGCCTAGAGTCTGCAAGCGACCCCCAAGGGTTCTCGCAAGGCATCCAGAAGCTTGAACAAATCGCCATGTGGCTTGGCGATTTCTCCTCAGGGTATTCTGAAAACTGACATCTTCAGGACTGGGATTGACAGGATATGCCCAGGTGCGGATAATCTCATCGATCTGGGGGAGGAGCGAAGCAGTCTGACCCAGGGCATCGGTCAGAGCAGCGGTATGAGGCGTAAATTCGGAGGATTGTACCATGGCAATTGCTACATCGGCTTGAGTCGCCGAGGTATTGAAATCAAACAATGTCTGTCGTAGTCGAGTGAGGGATCTTGCTAACGCTTGACTGGATATCTCGGCTGGAGTGAGGACCACATGTTGGGGTTGGTGGCGAGGGCCGGCAGGGGTAGGTTCGTCCGAGTCGAGGCGGAACAGCTCCGAATCTCCATTGTCAAAGCTGGCCAAAAGAGCGTTTTGTTCATCGGCTTGCCTTGTATCAGAGACTCGACGCAGGCGCCTACTGGGGTTAGCGACGTCACCCAGGCTGCTCGAGGAGGCGGTGGCCTTTGCTCGTTTCCTCTTCCTATCCGAATGATTGCGGGAGCGGCCAGTTAAAAACCGCTCGTTTGCCTCGGCTTCTGCGTTTCGGGCGTCTGGAGACTTGACAATGTCAAAGCTGTAGATGTAGTCACTGGACCAGGACACCACCAGGTCATTGGGATTTGCATCACTGATCTTGCAAGCAGTAATGTGACCGTGGTCGTGAGGCTTCATCCGCCACCTGTTGTTGGGTGCAAACCTTCTGACGCACCTCGTGGCCTGGGCCATTGCTTCATCCTCATAGGTGCCGACCACAGGTTTTCGGGCGTGAGACTGGCCTTGTTCTTCGTCCAGATCTCGACCGAGCATTCTTCTGTCGTGGAGGAAGCAGTGGAGATGAGCGCCACCCAAAGCAATGTATTGTGGCTGGCTGGCGGCGCATGAGATGGTGTTCAAATCGAGGCCATATTTTTTGTACGACACCAGTGGCGGTGGTGGTTCACCGGCTGCAGGATCTGCATTTCCGTAATAGCGCCTATAGGCTCGCGAGTGACGGGGAGGAGGATATGCAGAAGAGGGCTGTCGTAAGTCCCACTGACGAACCTCGCCATCCTCGGAACAGGTCAAAAAGAGGTGGGGACTAGACTCGGTGACGATGCGTTTGGCACGATCTGCGTGACTTTTGTAGACGCGAGCGTTGGTGTTGGATTCATTCAGCCACCTCGTGTTCGGGAAGAAGTTGCTGAACTTGCGGCTCCTGGTGCTTGAGGCGTGGTTGTCAAAGGAGGTCGCCTGAGTGGCGGCTGAGGGAGCATATTCGAGATCAAAAACACGGACTTCAGAGTCTCCAGCGCAAGTGACGACGGTACGATCGTTGGAGTGGGGCATAAACTTGACGGAGAAGATATTTGCATGATGACCGGTACTGACGCTGGTGTTAAGAGAGAAAGGGGAAGCGATTGCCGAGGGGTTGTAATCCCAGATGTTGAGGTATCTGTCATCGGAGCCAGAAGCGAGGAGGTTACCGGTAGCGGACCAGCTGGCCACAGTCAGTACGGACAGTGTCAGTTGACAGAGAAAATATGGACTTACCTCAAGGCATTGACACAGCCGGTGTGACCGCCTAGTTCATTGACGATGTCCAAATCCTCAGCCCAGGTTTTATGGCCGTATAATGTCTTGATAGATCGATTTCTGGCAGTTGCACCCAGTGACCGCTTGAGCAGCCTCACATCCAAACTATCACCCATGACAGTGTGGATATCTGGGAGGCGAGATGGGCCACGTCGCTGCGGTGGATATTGGGTCACGCATGTAAGGCTGGCTCAAAGGGACCAAGAATGAGTGACCTCATGCCTCATGCCTCATGCCTCGTGCTGCGAAGCTGTGGTGCTTTGCAGGGTCGAGTCATGCCAGGATCACGGGTGCTGCGAGGGTGGGGGCGAGCCGAGGATGCTCAGATGGAGAGTGATTTAGCGAAAAGGTTTAAGAAAGGAATGTCGGATATGCTAGATGGCAGCGGCGGTGGCGGGGTGGAGGTGTGCAGGTAGGCAAGTCGTGGAACTGTGTGGTTCGGAATGGGCGATGTTAGCTACGGGATATCCGAGCGGTGGAGGCTGAGAGCAAGAGGTGGATGAGAGTAGGTGGATGGTGAGTGAGTGATTTACGAATTGATGATGTGAGGTGGTAGTTGTTGAGGTGAGGAGGCTGTGATAGCTGTTGTGATAGCTGGAGAAGGTACGATGTCAAGGTGCAGAATACGATGGATTCTCCGCAGGCTGGTTATGATGATGATGGTAGTGGTGGGGGAGCCAGTCGCAGTCGCAGTCGATGGTGGTGCACTGGTGGTGATGGTGACACTTCGAGTCCTGAACCCCTCGACACTCGCCTAGAAGTGTTGCCCCACCTTACCAACCTGGAAGGCTGTTAAATGTTTGACAGCAGGTGGTCCAAAGGTGGTTGACAGTGGCGAGGGTGCCCGTTGGATTGTGGCTTGTAGTCCAGACTTGGCTTACCTACACAGGAACATCCATAGAACCTTGTACTGACCACCTACCATATCTGTCTTCACACATAATATGCCTTGGTCATCAAAGTATAGGGAGGTAATTAAATATGCATGTCTCCATGTCTCCCTAGATACTGTGGTTGGTTATGTTTACAACCTAATTTATTTATCCATGCGTGAAAATTCGATTCGTTGATCTGGACAGAGTGCAGAGAGAGTAGGTGCGAGCGAGTTGCCCTATTTGGCATTTGGTCGCTTGCACGATATTTGAGATACAAGTCCATTTGGACCACCTACCCAAGGAAAGTATGTACAATATAAATCTACGCTTAAAGCAATTCAAGTTGGCTACTTCTAGTAGCCTCTGCATAAGTGGTACTATTCGTATGCATAATTGAGGTATGCAGTTGGACTTAGGTTTAGCAGGTTCAAATTAGTACTGATTCCAACTTGGGCAAGTACCTCATTCGTCTGCCCGTACGTGAGGGATCAACTGGAAGATATTAGTCCTTATCTAATTGGAACCGGGACCTCGGGATTACATACGAACCCCTCGTAGGCCAGAGAGGTCCCCGACATGGTAGTTAATTGGGTACATTCTGTAAATCCTAACTCCGTCCTTGGTACTCTTACTAAAGATATCTACCCTGGCTTTTGCCCGGAGTCGTCTCACCAAAGTCGCCCTAGGGGCCCCACGTTCTCTCTTACTCTGCTTGGACGCCCACCACGCAATGGATAACCCATCATGTCCACCATACTCCGTACTGAAATTGACACCATTCAACTGGATTACGTACGAATCATTAGCCGAACCGAGGTACCAACGTTCTAATCATGCCTGAGACATATGGTGTGAAATGAATTATACGATCAAAGCATAAGACTGTGGTGTTTGTTCTGGTGCTGCTGATAGATTGAAGTTTCATGTGGTGTTTTCTTGAAGCATGTTCACACTTTCACAGCCTCGGCAATCACTTTACCGTGTTGGCCCTGGTCAGAGGCATTCGTCCGTAAAAACAAAACGCTAAAGGACGAGACATGATTCTACAGTATAGGTACATACCTCACCTGCCTTTTCTGGCCGTTGGTATGGACTTGCAGTTCTTGGTATGAGCTGGGTAATAAAACGTAGAGCAGGAAAGTGGTGCAATTGCTACTTAGAACGGTGCTGGTTACCTAATAATTAGGTAGCATGTACTGAAGGATGACACCATATAATGATGCAGAAAGACCGAGAAACCCCGTGACTGTAACTCAACTGAACCTTACAGTAGGTACCTACGGAGTAGTACTTACCTCTTTTTAAGCATGCGTCTGCAGTCGGATAATTGAATGATCCGCGGTTCGCTTCGAAGGAAGGTGGCGCATACCGCGTCACTAGTTCCAAAGGTTTGCAGGTGGATCTGATATAATGCATGTGGTTATGACTCAGCATCACAATACCACCTCTATCTCTCTCATCCATGTACTCTTCTCATCGGGGATGTACTCAAAATACAACAAAAGTATCCTTCGAACAGGGGACACCCCGCAACGTCTTTCGACCCCTGGGAGAGGCGAGAGGCAACAGCGGAATTGATTGCGTTTTTGCTGAGCAGTTGGTCGGTATTCGGTCTTCGAGCAGGACCCGACGGGACTTTGCCTCTGGTATTGCTCAATACTTAGTCATCGCCAAAAGACCTCACTCTGACTAGACATCCCACCTTATGTGCTGCCGTCACCAGTAAGCCCTGCTTGACACGCTAGCTCTCCGGTCAAGGCTGTATATGGTCATCATTTCATCCTAGACCAGACTACGACAACGTTTCAAGTAACGACTCCGCCAGGTCTTGCAAGCCTCCATTTGCCACAGACCAGCCCTCACCATAGCCAGACCTGGCATAATCTTGCAGGCGACAAAGGATCCAGACTAACAACTGATGCAGATCCCAAGCCCCGGCATGAGAGAATTACCGTGCTCTTGCCACGCGCTCTCGCCCAGCAATTTCCATCGTTGGCGGATGTAGCTTGATGGCAAGTGATTCCACATAGTTATTGACACCGGTGGACTGCGCCCCATGCCAGAATGCAAAGCTCACGTTGTATGCCTACCGGGCCTTGGTCCTCTCTGCCGGGGGCTGCCTGGACCTCACTCTTGATCATCGGTCCGGCTTCTTTCCGTCAGGTGCTGTCGAAAATTCGAGACGGCCGTGATGGCACTGTCAAGCTGGTCGGCCTCGCTGACCAAGTCTTGCATACTTCGCTCCAGGCCCACACACCGGACCCGTAATCTGACTATCTCCGCTCTGAGAGCCTCGACAGAATCCGAAGTCAGAATGGAACTGCTTGCCACAGGGGTGGTGGAACCGGATACTGGGTTTGCCTCCGGCAGGTTCACTTTACCAGACTCGAGCTCCTCTATCCTCTTCTGCAACAAATCACGATCTCGTTGCCACGCGTCCTTTTCTTGTTTGAACCGGCGCGCCTCATCCGCCCCCTTCATCTGTAGCTGCGATGACATGGCCATGATCTGCCTCCATTGTGCCCCATCGGCGGTCGACTGTTGATGTACTTCGTCACGTGACTTCATCAGGTCATTGACCTGGCTCTCCAACTCCTCCACCTGCTGTTGCAGTCGGAGTTTGTCTTCGGTCAGCGTGTTTATTTCGTGGTCTGATACACGTGATTTCTTTTCAAGAGCAGTGCATCGGATTTGTGACCGTGAGAAGGCCGACAAAAGCTGGTCGTGCTCGCGCTGGAGAGTCTGGAGAGCCAGTGACTTGGTAGAGATCTGATGTTGAAGCTCCTGAAGATGGCTGTTGTGAGCAGCGGCGGCGGCGGTGGCCGCCGCAGTAGGAGAATATGGAACCGCGGCACTCGCACTACCTGCTGCAAAATGTTGTCCCGGAGGAGAGGGCAAGGTTCGACTGGACGGCTGCGATGGCATGGGAGACTGGGCTGACCCAAACATGGAACTTGCGGAAGACGGATATGGTGATTGGCCACGACCTGAAGTGATCTGGTCGGGATGTTGACTTCGCCGCATGTCGTCGGCTGGCATCAGGGAAGGAAGAGAAAGATCAAGAGGGCGTGGAGTTGGATCGAGAGGCAGCTCAGGTCCTCGACGTTGGAAATTTTCTATTCGAGAGGGATCTTGATGTAGAGACATTCTTCGCAGATCACTTATAGCACGTGGAACGGTGGGCCCGTATATATGAGGTGACACGGCTTGATTGTCGGACGCGAATGGCGAAGCGACAACATCGGCTAGCGGGGGTAACTCCGGTTTGGTGGCTGTATGGGTATGCGTATTTCCCCTGACGAGGCGAAGAGTATCATGTATCTCTTGAATAGTCCATGCAAGAGATTGTTTCAGGTCTAGTTTGCTGAGCTCGCTGCTTTTGACCTTTTGAATGTCAGCATTCCTTGGCCCAGTAGAATGGACTCTGACTAACCGGAAAGAGACCTGGGGTCAGTGACAAGGCCAAAAAAATCTCGGATCGGAGATCAATAAACCCTTGGACCATGTCCTGGATCAGATGTCTTGAGCCGGAACACTCCAGGCACGAGGCGTTCACACTCTCGGACACGCCACCCAGGATGGGGAACACTTCCTGAGATTGGGGGCTCTGACGTCGTTGCGAGTATCGGCCGAGGTCCTACACACCAAGATTAGATCACGGAGATCCAGCAGATTCCCAGACCAAAGACACACATTTCGGTCCGCGGTTGATTCGAGTTCATCGCCTGTTTCAACCGTGCGGTTGTCAGCGGTGCTGAGCAGACGCGGACGTTTGTCGGGCAGATTGGTGTTGAAACGATGTGGACTGGGCAAGGCCCGCGGGCGATAGTCCCCTGGAGAGCTGGGAGAGCTCTCAGGCGCAGTGATGTGGTATGCACGAGCCATGGGTGTGGCTTGGTGGGTTGGGGATGGTAGATCTTGAGCCGGATAGACTCGAGGCTGCGTCGGGGTCATGGTAGAATGGACAGAAGTACCAGGATGAGCAGACGAAGGGGTTAAGCTCCAGTCATAAGGCTCAGACGAAGGGTCGTTGTTCATGTTGCTTGAAACAGTGCCGCCAACAACGTGGGGCGTGCGAAGCATAGATGACAAGCGGACGACCACATTTGATTCTCACGGGCAACGGCCTGTGACCAAGGGGAGATGAGGTGTGGTGATGACCAGACGCCGCGGCCGTAAGCTCCAACCGGGGTCGTATATTTTACGAGAATGGGGATGTGGCGAAGAAAAGGACGACCATGTCTGCAGGAGCGAATCCACGTTGACTGGTGAAGCAGTGACCCTCCCGGGGGGTGGTGGCGGCGGAAGGGGGGGGGGGGAGCGTGACCAACAGACAGGATTAGATAGATGACAGGAGACTCTGGTGGAAGAGCGCAACAATCCAAGGACAAGACAATGACGAGGTGTGGGAATAGAGTGGTCGACAAGGACGAAAAGAAATAGAAACAATCACCATGAACATGATCTAGAGGAACACGAGGATCAAGAAAGAAGGCAAGGGAAGAGAATTGTAAGAAAGTGATTGGTACTTTGACGACAGGTCACAGGAATGGTAACAAGTTGCGTAAGGATGAGAGCTTATTAGGAAGCGAGACATGCCTTGTTTGAGTGTGTGGGAAGAAGTCAGTAAGAATGACATGATTCCCGACTTCTTCTTTCTCTTTTGATGATTTGCGTTTTTGTTCTTGTTAAGGTTCAGCTTAACGGCGTCCGCACGGCCACACGGCCACACGGCGTGACATCCTTCGGGCCCGAAGTTTAGGTGGGGGTTGGGTCTGGGAGGGTCTCAACGAGGAAGGAGCGATCGCACCACACAGAAAGAGTCTGGCACTGGCAGTCGCGACTCGGCGCAATCATCGTTCATGAATTTGAGTCTGACGGCCTAGCCAAGGGGGCCCGGGAGCTTCTGGGGGTGACCCTTATGCCGTCCGTTGGCGCCATCCGCATACTCCGTATTGTACTTGTAGGCGCCAGGTGAGATGAAAGCCACCTACGGAGTAGATTATATACCTAGGTAGGAAAGAAGCAACGGGGTATGCATTTGTTTTTATCCAATAACTGTGGAGTTGTCGGTTACTGGTCCTGATCTCTGACTTCCAAGGGAGGTTGGAGGTAGGGTACAAGCAAGTACATAGTATTGGCGTTGTTAACGAACCACAGGAATAAAAGGAAGGTAATGTAGGTAACATCAATAACAATAGTAGGCAAATGCAAGAGTTGCGGGTGCCTGAAGCACCAACATGGCAAGAACATCCACAGCGCTTTGGGGAGCTAATCATCAAGCGTGATCACGGAGCCCGAGAGGTTAAATTGCCCAAGGTTAGGGTTCATGGCTCGTTGTGGGCGATACGTCGACACATACCTTAGCCTCTAGGGGCAGAGGGGTCATGTCGGGCGCCTTGGGATGGGTGAGCTAACTACAAACACCCAAGTACAAGTAACAGCTCCATAGCTTGCACCATGACCTCAACCCCCAAACAACAAACAGCACATCCACATATACTTACAGCGATTATTCTAAACAAGGTGGCTCATCTATTAGATTTCAATCAGACACTTGTTGAAGTTTGGCTGTTGATGATGTAGCTTATTTGTCAACAGCCCCGTTCTCAGCCACATGGACTCTAGGGGATCGCCTTTTGGGGGGGCCGTCGGTACGTCCTACCGAGGGGAACGCTGTACCTAAAGATGAGCGTGATAGGAGTGGTTGCGCAGACTCAGAAGCTAGGAACTATAGGTACCTAGTGACGAATTTGGAGTCGTGTGATGGAAGCATCTCGTCATTAAGAATTTCTTGAAACTTGATGACAGCTTCATTAAAGTAGGTGCCTAACAGTGCCTGGAGAGGTAGACGGAGTACCTGTCAGACGGAGCACCGGCCGACGAGAGGGTTGCAGGGTCCCTTAGGGTGCTCTTGAAATTGTTGCAACCATACAAGACAACCTTGCGCGTATCGTACCTACCAGGTGAGGTACCTAAGTAGGCCGCCTCGGCCTAAGGTAGTCGTTGCAGTCACTCCAGTGCAGGGAAATATATGCATGATCTCGTACTTTCAACTTCCAGAAGACGAAGCTGTGCAGTGCAAGCATCGAGGCGCTACAGCTTATAGGACAAGCGATGGGCCGAGGGGCCATCCACTCGGTCCCCCAAAGTCTACGGAGTACTCACGGAGTAGGTAGGTAGCTAACAACTCGGTTGACTGTTCCCGAGCCTCTAGCTTCTAGGCAGCGGCTAGTGAGCGAGGAACCTGCACAATGCGTCCTAGTCCCTATTATCATTACCTACCTAGGTACCTGAGGACTTGGCCACTGGGCTAGTTGGCTATACTGATATTTGATGATTCTTTTACTTGTCCATTTGTCCTTATAAATAGGACACCTGTTCGGTGTCACCCATCTCCCTCCTCACACACTGTAGTCATGTTTCTCCCCATCTCATCGCGGTGGAACCCTAGCTCGTGTAAGTGGACGCATAAGCAGCCTCTTCTTGCTTGACTAAACATGGCGGATTAAATTGGATCCACTGTTGTGCCTTTGCCGTGAGGCCGTGGAGTGTGGGCTTGGATGAGTAAGCAATTGTAGGAGCCTGACTACGATATGCCTACTGCACTGCGCACAGAAGCTTGTAGGCTGTAGCCGTGGCGCGTACGAGTAGACACTCACTGTTTCGTTCCTCCCCCTTGCGAGCCACCCAGAAGGAATATCCTTTAGGCTGTACGGATATGCCTATCATATCTCACCATAGGCATAGGGAGTCTTCCGATTTCCGCCATTAAGTAGCCGCCCCCAAAGATCCCAACGACACAGGTGACATGTTGTGCTACCATCCTCTATCCTATCCTGGCCTCGTAGTTCGCGCATCAGTCCATCTTTAATGACAACTGATCGACCGTAAGAGTAGCACAAACCCAATGCCATCTTCAGAACAACCTCGGTCTTTGATTCTCGTCATCTCGTACTCCATCTCTGGCTCACCACCTGGGTATTAGCTAAGCCAAACTCAATCACCATCAGCTAACTACTTGGGGCTTTCATTCTCTTCGCTTCGATCCTTCGAATTGAACATCAGCACCCGACAACTGGGGATTTGGCTCACGGTGAATCTGAGGGAATTAAGCCTTTCATCGTGTCACCTCACCCTTGCGAGCACAGGACCCTGTGTCTGAATTGTCTCCAGAGCACGGCACCCGGCTCACTTCTTCGTCCAGCGCCCAGTCCATAAACTCCGGTGTCTCCGGACACCGCATGTGATCCCCTTAATGAGATCATTTAGATTCCTCAATCCAGCCCTGTGACAAAACCCAAGCTTCGCTGGCCAAGGGTCATGAAACAGCAGAGGATAAAAAATTTCGACCTCTTACTTGATTGGATCCAGATGAGCCATGTCATCCCCATGTAGCCCTCCACATTATCAGTCGGCCGTAGATTCCGATTGTTCTCATAAGGATTCAGCCAATCTCTCGTTCCACGACTTTGTCTCTTGGGTGCGTGAGAAACTGTAGCCAACTGTCACTGACCGGTCTGATGAACAACATCAGCCGTTTTTCTTTCCCGTGAGCTCTGTAATCCAGTGCGGGTCAAATTCGCCGACTCACTTTATTATCGAGTAAAGAGGTAGAGCAGCAAGTGGCTTGTTGAGCCAAAGACCAAATGGGATGCCTGAAGTTGCTCTATCCACAAGATCTGCCAAGCGCCAAGTCGTCATAATGCATGTTCTTAGAACATGGCTGCAGCATTGATAGAACGCAGTGCCTTTCCCCAATGTGGTGACGATACGTCGAGTCACCAGCCTCGATCCGGTGCCTCCGTCGCGATTACTGTAAATTTCCTACACACACACACACACAGAATTAGACGATATCCAATGACAAAGCACCTCTAGACAATAGTCGGCCCCGAACGGCCGTCCTTTGCCTCTGATACCGTGCCCAATCGGCCATCGGCTTATTGATGTGTAAACGCGGCCACGCTCAAGTCCGGCCTTCAATTGATGCTCTCACAAACCGTCTTTCTGATTTCCGAGTGGAAATAAAGAAAAGCCTGGACAACTCGTCATGCCCTCCTTGAAAGAGATGAGGCTTGAGGTGATCTGGATCCGTCTTTTGTGGTGGGCTTGTTTGTGCATTGGCCGAGTGTACCCGCCTGGTCAGTCAATTCTTGCCAACCATAGTACTGACCATGCATGCTTCTGCTGCTGACCCTGGATTACAACGTTTCCCACACTCCCTTTCTCACACCATTCGTCATCCCCTGCATGTGATCGGCCTTCCCCTCAGCAATCGCCTCCGCAATCGCCGTCGCAACCCAGTCCTGTTCTCTTCGCATCGACATACCAGCAACGGTTTTGCAGAGGTCAATCTCCTGGATGCTGTGCTCGACATACTTCGTCACCATCTCGATCAATGCAGCCACAGACGAGTTGTCCTTTGGAAAATCGAGAACATCCAATGACACACTGCAGAATTTCAACTTGCTCTCGAGGATCTGCAACGAATGCCACCATTGCACCTCCAATGGAGGAACGAGAATCATTTCATCACTCTTCGCCTCCACTCGATCCCTGGAAGCCGCTAAAGTCAATTCTTGCCAGGCTTGAAATTGACTCATGACACACTCAAGAAGGCCATCCTCGCAAGTCAGCCGATCAACTTCTTGCAAACACTCTGCCAATATCGACAACGGAGCAGGGCCCGGTCCGTCTTGTAGGCTTGACCCTTGTGCGAGCTTATCCATAGCTCGCATGTTCACCACGCTGCTGTGCTCACGGACCAATAGCCCAACCCTTCTTGCCTGTGCCTCGATGGCAGAATATCTTGTGTTCAACTGCTCGCAGATTGAACGCGAGAATCTGCCGGCAGATGCAGTCGACTCACCGTACAGTAGTGACAGTTGTAACAGCTCGTCATTTAGCGCAGTATAGTTGCGCGATTGGGCGTCAACTTCGCTAACATCTGTAGAAGCAACTTGATGCACGTTGGCGAGGGAGGTTGTAGTTGTCTTGGGCTTGGCCGTGCTCGACTGCGTCTTGGAAATATCAAACTCGGGTCGCTTCAATGCGCCGAGTGCATGGTTCCCCCTAGAGGCTTTCGAGCTTGCATTGGTGAATCGCCCTGTGAGAATCGGGGCATCATAGCCGCCGCTGGAGGACTTTTGTGCTGCCGACAATGCGTTGATAGGCCGCTCTCGAGCAGGAATTCTAGCCTGTCCCTGGGAGGCCTTAACACCTCCACGTATCACTGTTGACTTGGGCTTGGCCGCCCTACTGGCATCGAGGGTGGCGGTGGTAGGAGACTCCTCATCCTCGACAGTCGACGCACTGCGAGCGTGTCCTGTATGTCGTCCAATATCACCCTTGCCCACATCTTTGGACACATCTTTGGATTTGGTCTGATACCTTGGCCGTGGTATCTGCAGTTGTGGCTTTCGTCGATCCTGTTGCAGCTGACTACCGTCTTGGGCGACGTGTCTTGTATCGTTGGGAAGTTGCTGAGTCGCCTTCAATGGCGACGGGATTCGAGTCGGTATAGGCATCAAAACACGCGTAGATTCCTGGTTCTACGAGCTGACGCCGAGAAATAGAAAATGCACCGACAGAGCCATGATTGACATAGTCTGTTGTTGAAGATGTGACTCTAGGCTCTGGAGTAGATCCGTTTGTATCCATGCTAGATTCAATCTCGCGTCCCTACCAGAGTTTGGCATATCACGTGGGCTAGCCATGAAACTAGGCAGGTTTGCCGACTGAACATCACCTCTTCACAGATGGTACATTTTCCAATTCTCCTTGCTCAACTTGTCCATTTGTCGATCGTTTTTTGGCTATCAAGGATTTCTATGACCAGCCGCATTGAAGAAGTTGCCACACAACATCATTGTTGTCCCGACATTATCCCAAAGGCCGACGTCAGCGATACGAATTTATTCAGTACATTGCGAATACAACTATATTCTATTTCTTACTGTTTGAGAGATCAACGACTGTTAACCCGTCCAAGCCCGTAGCCTTGAGATCCTTCGAAACAGCTATAGTCTTGCTGACCTTTTTGACATCACTTGTCTCCACAATCTCCACAGTTTTATTCTCTTCCAACGGCCCGTTCACCCAGATTTTCAGCCCTGCCAGCAGATCGCCAGAAGGCTCTTTCAGCCCCTCGCTGACGGCAAGTACTGCGCCGGGGCGGACCAACAACGGCAGTGTGTCAAATTCATGTGTTTCCGTATACCACCTTCCAGGCTCATAAGTCTTGCTCCAGTCGAAATAACTTCTCCACTTGGCTTGTCCCTTGTCCCCAGTCAGCGGCACATAGAAGGTCACCTCCCCGGATTTGCAAAACACTGGCGCTACCAGCAGGCTATCACCGAGCATATACTGGGTATCAATGTTCCAAACATTCGGGTCTGAATCTCCAAACTCGAGCAAGAGTGCTCGCATCACCGGCGTGCCCCGTTGATTGCCCTCAAATGCCATTCGAAGAATATATGGCAACAGAGTGAACTTCCTCTGGACACTCTCCCTCAAGACCTTGCTACAAGCCTCATCCTCACCGGGAAACTGGACCGAGTCGTAGATCCACGGCACACGATAGCTGCTGCTGCCGTGTAAGCGCGAATGACTACCCAGTAGGCCGAATTGTACCCATCTCTTGTAAAGGGCTGGGTCGGGCAGGCCCTCAAAACCTCCAATGTCGTGAGCCCAGAATGCAAACCCTGAGAGACCAAGGCTCAAGCCTCCCCGCAATGTCTCTGCCATCGCTTCGAAAGTACTCTCGCAGTCTCCACCCCAGTGCACAGGAAATTGCTGTCCACCTGCTGTGGCAGATCTGGCAAACAAACAGGCGTCCTTGCCATGGCTTTGCATCGCTTCGAACACAGTTTTGTTGTACAGGTAAGCATAGAAGTTATGCATACGCACTGGATCGCTCCCGTCGTGATACTTGACCTTCTTGGGGTTGAAGGGAATCCGTTCGCCAAAATCGGTCTTGAACGAATCAACCCCGAGGTCCATCAGGCGCTTCATATGGCCTGCATACCATTCACACGCGGCGGAGTTCGTAAAGTCAACGACCGCCATACCTGCCTGCCAATTGTCCCACTGCCACACCGTGGGACGGGCGGTGTCTGCACGCATGATGAAGTAGCCATTCTTCTTGCCCTCGGCGAATAATGGCGAAGCTTGAGCAATGTATGAATTGATCCAGACGCAGATTTTGAAGCCCCTCGACTTGAGGCGGGAGATGTATCCCTTGGCATCAGGAAAATTCTCATCATCAAAGGTGAAGTCGCACCAGGTAAAAGACTTCATCCAGAAAGAGTCAAAGTGGAAGACGGACAATGGAATGGACCGTTGCTTGAATCCGTCGAGGAATCCCGTCACCGTCTCCTCCGAGTAAGATGTCGTGAATGAGGTGGTGAGCCACAGGCCATATGACCAGGCGGGTGGAAGAGCTGGTCGGCCGGTCAGGGCCGTGTACCGGTTGAGGATATCTTTTGGTGAAGGGCCGGAAATGATGACATATTCGAGAGATTCCCCTTGAACAGCAATGTTGACACGGGTGGTTCGTTCCGACTGGACTTCGAGCATGACTTTGCCAGGGTTGTTGATAAAGACACCATAACCACGCGAGGAGATGTAGAAGGGAATGTTCTTGTACGTCAGCTCGCTGGAAGTACCCCCGTCCTCATTCCAAATGTCGACGGTCTGGCCATTCTTTACCAGGGGGCCAAAGCGTTCACCCAACCCATAAATCTTCTCACCCACAGAGAGGTCTAGTTCGAGGAGAATATAGTTTTGGGATTCGGCGTACAGGCCTTCAGAGATGTCGTAACTCGGGGTGTCGGTGTTGGCAACCCATCCGACAGAGCGAAAAGAATGTCCTGTAAGTTTCTTGGAGTTCTGGGAATATGTAAAACCGAGTTTGTTCGGTGTGGTGTTGATGCTTAGGTCCAATGATCCTGTCGAGTATTGTAGAGATTTGCCCTTGTCGTGAATGATCTTAGGCGATGAAGGGGTCTCGTTCAAAGGAAAATGGGGTCCTAAATCCTCTTCACCCGTCCAATGGGAAAACTTGACTGCTGTTGCACCCTCGATTGGCGATCGGACGACGGTGGTCAAGGTGCCACTGTTCAATGTATCTCCTCTATGATTTAGGGGTTTTGTGAGCAGGAGATCAACCTTGTCATCTTGTACTTCAAGTCTCTCGACATTGCCCATCCAATTGAGAGTGACTCCCCCCCTAGCCCTCCACATACCATTGGTGAACTTCATCGTGGCTGAGATGACAACGTTCGAGGTTGTTCCCTTGGTCTAACGGTTTTTATTGCTTTTTGGCTTTGACCTGAAGAGTTACTCAAACTCTTGCACCGCGAGACGTCACAAAAAGCAACCTGGCTTTGCGGAATACTTGTACCAGCACTCATGATGAGACCAAGCCTTGGCCATCATCCACATGGCCAGAAATGTCAAAGAACCGGCGGTAGAAAGGGACAAGATCCGGAGGAAGAGTCAGGATTGAGGCATTGATTGGTAGACAATTTAGGCAGAATTCGCCTAAAGTGCCACGTGGGAAAGCGGGTTTTGTCTGACAGAATGTTGGAAGGTGGCTTGGCCGTACACCATAGTGAGTGACACACTAGGTTCTCCAGACGACAAGTAGATGTGCGACTGTCTGACACGAGCATAATTAGCCGACTCGCCTACAATCACTTGTTGCGCATATCCGCACACATCGTTTCCATTCTGGGCCGCTGAAGAGGGCCTATCAACATATCAACCTCAGGCTTTGCTGGTAGAGAACTCGGGAATTACTTGCAAAGTATGTTCTTTTATGGACAAAGACGTTTAGGTGCAATCGATTCAAGCATATCTAGAACTTCATGCTGCCACGAAGCTGACCTATATAACGTCAACCATCCCAACTGACCACAGGCCGTTGTTCACCATTGCCCTCAAAGCTCATGGACAGTGCCAAAAAGCTCTTTGACCCAGTAGTTTAGAATCTGGGCTCTGCTATGTACATAAGACATTCAAGGCTTCTTGAAAGCGATTGCTTAGCGCCGTCCTGACTTACTGATGCTTCTATCGAGCCCACCTGGTGTTCCTCGTGAGACTCATGTGCCCAGGTGAGAAATTAATGTTGCTTGATCTTGGCGGAAACATCTTGCGCATATTATCAGATGGAATCACCGCTGTGGCGAGGTGCCTGTAGGTAGTGAAATGTCTCCGCAGTCAACACCAGCATGAAGCACTAACGCTCGGATCATCATCAGAGTCTGGACCTTCTGGAGCGCAGCGTTTGAAGAAGCCCAAGTAAACTTCAATATAGGCAAGTTCCAGGAAGAGCCCGGAACTTCCCCGGAACTTCCCCGAAACTCTGCTCGAGTTTACTAGAATGGCCAGGTCAAGAAGGTGAATCGGAGAGGATCCAAACTGCTGGGAAAGGGTATTCCAGTATTCCACGTGGGTGATCCCCGAGAGAATGGAACACATGATGACAGATTCCGCCAACAGCTTCTCATACAGGAATAGCTCAGAGCGAGATATCAGTCACAGAGGCGCTTTTTATTGAAGCGCACGGGCACCAACCGTGGGCATGGACCATCGCTACCACCAGTTTGGGCGGGTGCAGACGAGAGAAAAGTCTCCGGGGCCACATGGATCGAGTAGAGGGTAACGGATGTGGCTGAAGGTCCAGATCGTTGGATCGATAGAAATGAGAGAGGCAGCCCAAAGGAGAAGAATTGATGCTGTGATGGGAAAGACAATCAGACATAAAACCAGAGACAAGTGTACGAAAATGATGTGAACTTAGAACTTTCCAGTGATTTGACACAGTCGTGTAAAACAGAGTCAACTTTGATCAGCTTTCGACATCATAAGCTAACGCTTCATATTCCGAGCACCTGCAAGGATCCCTCCAGGCATTAAAAATCAGCCCAATTACGAATCCACAGCCACCCAGTCACGCCCAGCCGATTCTCCATCTCCTCCCCAGGTACCTGTCGATTAGTCACAGCTTTACCTACCTACCTACCTAACCTACCTACCTGCAATCTACTGTCTGTGCCGTTGTGCCTCAGGTACCAACTGTACTTAATAAGCTTCTTCCCGGCTGTCCCTTAACCGACAAGCAAACGCCCAAACAGCCAAGAATTGAGACAACTCTGGCTAGCTCGCCTACCTCCTTAGGTGGCATCGACAGCCCGAAAGGGACACCGTGAGCCCCTAAACTGAAGTTTAGGCAATCTCGATTGGCGTGCAGAAACCCACCTGGCACTTGCTCACAGCACCTATTGAAATCCCCACAAGCAAAAGTTCGAGACCTCTTTGGCGCTCAAGCGTCCCACCTTAATCCCGGGGCCTACATCCCCCAAGAGTCCACTGCCAGTCCATTCCTAAACTCCGTCTTGATTCTCCAACATCATCTCCTCTACATCTCATATTCACCTCCTCTGTTTCTCTGACCAGTCCACCATCCTGGCGCACAGAGTAGACAGCTCTCCAGCAAACTCAAGGGCAACCCGCCTTGGGGTATTGCTGGGCTTCTTCACCCTCTTTAAGCTCTCGAATTGACTCCAATCGACGCTTCAACCCATCATCCTACAGACGCCCAGGAATGCCGCAGACTGTCACCATCACGACCAATATTCCAGTCTTGCCACCACAGACAATAACCGTACCTACATTATGCCGATGTGCACCCTCACCCGTCTCACCCACGTCAACCTCGATTCCTGACCTGGTTGAGATATTCCTGCGCTTTCAGCACATTGGACCCTCCACGACTGTCAAAGGCACCACATCCACCACCATGTCAACGCTGACAAACGCCACGATGAAGCCCTCCGCTATATCCGTCCCATCTCTCTCCCCCCTTCCATCTGACCTGACGCCAAAGGTCTCTGCAGAGAAAATACAAATACCCCCTTCTCCAACAGACCAACAAGATGACCTCGACTTCAGCCAGCCTTTGGCTTCTCGCCTGCCACCTACACCCGAATCCCCAACTATTCGCAGCCCAAACCCAAACCAGTTCATCACACCATCCAGACCACGAGAAGGATCGCCCCAGAGAAAAATAAGACCCTCACCAGGGTATGGTGTCACAGCGATGCCTCACCAAATGCAAAGAGCACACTCTTCCCCTGGGGTCGATTCGTCAGGCCGATATGTTCATCCTTATGGTGCTTCGAGGAGACCAATTTCACCTCTACCAGCATCCCGCAGAAGAAGTCCTCTACGATCTACCTTGGATGATGCTTATCCTATTGGTCCATCTTGGAGCGGTTTGAGCATTGAGCCCAACATCCCCGAGAATGAAGAGTTGGAGCTCTCTGGGCTTGATCTATCCCATCCTTCTCCAATCTCATCCATCTCAAACACTTTCCCTCGGTCTAGGAGGCGTACCAACAGTCCTCTGCACCAAAGTGCCAGCGCACCCTCGTTACATGCCCGATCAATCAGCCCGGGTATGCTAGGGAGAACATCCCCTTCACCTTATTTTGCGGCACAACGATATACCAATGAACCATACCCGATGTATTCTTTCAGCTCAGCCTCGAGTATCCCTAGCACTCCTACCTCGCTCCGGTCTCGATCTCCTTCTATCAGCTCTCTGGAAACGATCGAAGACACGCCTGATGCTGAAGAGGCGGCTATGTTGGAAGCCGAAGAAGCCAGCCACGGACTGGACGAGGGCGAGCCACGTCGGAACTCGATGGAATCTCGAGGAAACAGCCTTCGGAGCAACAAAGAGAGAAAACGGTGGTCAGTGTGTGGAGCCGAGCGAAGAGCAGATTTCTATCTCGAACCCATTGAAGAATGAACCATTTTTACGACCACAGGATTTCCTTGCCCTCCAACCAAAGGTCTTGCTTGCTCTTAGGGAGCGGAAATTGTTACGAGAGGCATCAGTCCATGTACAAAGATACCCCATTGTGGCAGTCGAGCTGCCATATGTTTACTTTTTTATATCACGATACGGACCAAAAGGTCAGACGTCCGTGTATCCTTCATCCGCCAGTCACGGGAGTAGTCACAGACATGGGCAGGGCGGCCCCACTGAGGGCAGAACAAAATCACAGCTATGAATTATGAGACAGTGGATCAATACATTTGAGGTTTCCTCCTCATTGCTACAAGACTCGAAGATAAAAACATTTACTGTCATTCAGCTTTCCTTGTAGTTTGTTTGGATTTCTTTGAAATGTTGTGACACATGCCATTCGGCGATGAATAAGATGATGCACGTCTCAGCCTTGGACGACATCCCTGCATGCCAGTTAGAGACTAGCGTGAGGGCGTAAGGCTGAGGCATGCATCGATCCCCAAACCACAAATCTGGCCAGACCAGGGACGAGGGACTGTCCTCGAGGTTTACACTGTCCTGCGCCGAGGACATCTAACAGTCATTGACGATCCTACTTCTCAGCTGGACCCTCCCTGACCATACTCCGATCACCTTGGTCACATCAGTCATACATGTCGTGGCCGACAAGTGCAGGGCTTGTGTAGCTCTGAAGAGCATCATCCCCCAACATATCAATCTAGCCCAGCATGAACTCGTTCGAGAAGCAGGGCCTAGATGAGGATGCGTTTGGTGATAAAGGCATCTCCAGCCTCAGGACATTTGATGCCTTCCGTGAGTACTTATTCAGACCTTCCACCCTTGCAACTTTCACCACTCCTGCATCAGCCCACATGTGCAGTCTTACAATGCTGACGAGGCTGTTCTCACAGCCAAAACCAAGGCCAGCTACACATCAGCGACCGCCCGCGGCGGACAGTGGACGCTTGCCATCATCATCCTCTGCACATGCCTGACCTTTACCGAATTAATGACATGGTGGGCAGGCACCGAGTCTCACCATTTCAGCGTCGAACGGGGTGTGGGCCATGAACTTCAACTCAATCTCGACCTAGTGGTTGCGATGCCATGCCACGACCTTCACGTCAACGTACAAGACGCTGCCATGGATCGCATCATGGCCGGGGACCTATTGACCAAAGAAGACACCAATTTCGCCATTTGGGCCGACCCCAAGAAATCACGCATTAATCTACGCAAGCAAAAAGGCAAGAAATCATACCATGGCCTCCACGCAGGCGACCGCGAACGGCAACAGGCCGAAGAGGAAGACTCACACGTCACCCACGTCCTCGGACACATGCGCGAGAACAAAGGCAAAAAATTCGCCAAATCCCCCCGCATCCCACGCCAGATGCCGCTCGACGCATGTCGCATCTACGGCAGTCTCGAAGGAAATAAAGTCCAGGGTGATTTCCACATCACGGCGCGTGGCCATGGGTACATGGAAATGGGTCTACAAACTCACCTGGACCACGCAACATTCAATTTCTCTCACCACATCAACGAACTCAGTTTCGGTCCTCACTATCCCAACTTACTAAACCCGCTCGACAAGACGTCTTCGTCGACCGAAGCCCATTTCATGCGCTATCAATACTTCCTCTCCATCGTACCGACCATCTACACGAAACGAAAAGTCACCACTCGTGACGGTAGTCTGGATCCCGCGGCGGTACCTCAACCCCCGACACTGGACCTCGCACCTGACAAGACCACCAAATCGAAAGACGGACACGTCCTCCACGTGCCGAATCCCAAGTCGCGAGTCGACTCTAAATCCGTCTTCACCAACCAATATGCAGCGACGTCGCAGTCGCGCGAAGTCGCCTCCAATACCGTTCCGGGCGTGTTTTTCAAATACGACATTGAGCCGATCCTGTTGATCGTGAGTGAATCACGTTCCGGGTTTCTGGGCCTATTGGTCCGAGTCGTCAATGTCATCAGTGGCGTTCTTGTCGGTGGAGGATGGCTGTTCCAATTGACTGAATGGGCTACCGAGGTCTGGGGTCGTAGGCTGAGACGCAGGGCGACGGGAATGTTGGGGGTGTCTAATGGAGATTTGAATGGTGGTCTGGATCGGAAGAGATAAATCCGAGCAGAACGTTGGAATCTAACAAAGACTATTTGCCAGTCTTGATAGTGGCATGTTCTGCAGCGTTTTTATGATTTTCCTACGGATTCTAGAGTGCATGTGATTCCAATTGGCACGTACTACGACACTCGATCACAGGAAGAGGAGGCCTGTCTCATGAATGGATTGGTTACAAAAGGCACAGGGAGGGAGGATGAAATAGAAAGGCCATCAGCCTAAATTATTGATTCAATCGACCATTGGAAGACCCGGGTTGCTTGATGAATCAAATCTCTTCCAATCAGATTGGCTCACTTTTGATGCTACTAAACTCACTCTTGGGTGTCGTCGGTCTACTATCGTCCTCACCACTTCTCTCCTCCCTCTCCCTCTTCTCTCGCTCCCTAGCCTCTTTGGCAGCTTCTCGGTCCTTTCGTCTCTTTCTTCGCTCCTCCTTTTCATCTTCCGCGCTCATGACATTAGACGCAGCAGTGAGTGGACTAAGGCCCAAACCAGCGACGAGACTGTCCCGCTTTTCTCTCTCCTTAGTTTTCCGGCGCACACTTGCTGTACTACTGACACTGCTCCCACGGCGGACACGCTCCGAATGGGGTTTTTCTCCTGCACCGTCCAGCTCGAGATGCGGCGTAGTCGAGCGGGAAGAGTTCCTGCTGTGTGTTGAGTCCGAGCGAAGTCCATTTCTACGACTCTTGATGACAGTGGAGGAAGGTCGAGAACTCCCGTCCTTGTCCGGAACGGAGCCATGTCGGGTTACGTGGTGGCTGCGAGGGTGTTTCTCAAGATCATAATGTCTGCGCGGAGGATGGTGTGCAAATAGTCGCCACGACCCAGTCCACCACTTCCAACCGCCAGCGTGCTTTGCTTTGGCTCGACGTTGAAGGTCTAACTTCCTGCGGAGAAAAGCCCGACGCTCATTTTCCTTGTCCCAATACTCTGAGCGGTACTCTTCCCAATTCTCGCGAAATTCAGGGCTGAATGCCTTGGGTAGGAGGAGAAGCAGAATGTGGTCACCTCCTTTGGCCAGGTCTTCTTCAATAATAGAGCCATCCTCGTGCTCGACGAGGTGCCAGTCTGAGCCACCGGCTTCACGCCACATGCCCAACGGTAGAAGGAATGAGAGAGAACCCAGAAGTTCTCGCCAGATTTTGCCGCGCACCACGACGACTCTTAGATTGAAACCTCTGAGGCCTCGATTCGTAGTGCCCAGCCACCTCCTGGGCCATCGAATTCCTCGCTCCCATTGCCCAGTTCCCCAGACCAACAGGACTGTAATTCCACCGCCCATCAGGGCAAGCTTTTCAGACATTTCGACCAACCAATAGACAGAACCTCCAAGACCGGTGCCATCCTCGCGGGGACGGAGGAAAAGAGCGTAGAAGAAGAAGCCGTTCCAGAGACCGAGAAGTAAAGTGAAGAAAGTGTTGAGCCTGCGCCGAGAGACAAGGTGGAGATATTGCGCACGTAGGGAGGACTCTAGGATGAGGAGGTTGAGGTAGATTTGAGGTGGGGATGAGGGGAGGTTTGATAGAGCAGGATCAGGCGTATATTTCTCGGTCTGTGACGTTCGACCTAGAGCTTGAAGGGGCGCAGTTGCTGGTGGTTTGGCATTGGCGGGGGGTGCTCCTTTGACGATCTGATTGAGACGGCTTTCGGACGCCATGACGAATGTGTTGTGTCTTGTATTTTTCACCTTGGTGCCATTGGGACTGTGGATCGGGATAGGCTCTGCATATAATGTCGCAGGGTGCTGGAAGGTGTTTAATGACAGTGCTTGTTACCAGGAAAGCGGCCCAATTCGCGACATGTGCGGATGGCTGTTGGGGATGGGAACCTGAATTCAACACCAAGTTAAGTCTGGGCGACCTACGAGTCTGTCGTGATGATCAGACTCCAGGACGTGACTTCACCTGTGGTAGGGAACAGACAGTAACGGAGTTGTGGTTGTGCCAGCTGGTGACGGTCGTTGGCGTTGGTCTCAGATGATCTCATTCGGCGTTGGGAGTCGTAGGGAGTGGAGCCGGAGGAGCAGCGGGAGGAAGTCGGAGTGGCAGGTACGATTGAGTTCCTTCCCCAAGCTGACTGTTGGAGTATTGTTATCGAGGCAAGTGCACCCCTATGCCCCCCAAAAGAAGTCAACAGTCGGTCCTGCCTTAACTCCAGCCACGGGTATTGCTTTTCTCCGATCCGCAACTCCATACAACGAATGAAACTCGGGGAAAGAATGGGACTGCGGCTCATCAATTGGATGGTGCCTGGCTCTTGCTGCGACATTTTGAGACCTCAATTCTCGTCCGTCGACCTCATATTTGCCATCGCCCTCGCTCGCTTCCCCTGTAGCACACAGACGGTGACCTCCTCAATGATCAAATACACCATGTCTACCACGTCTATCTAGAGCCTAAGTGCTACCAGGTTCGATCTTCGTTTCCTTGTTATAGACACTCTCCTTTAATTGATTTATTTCTCCACTCGCCCGCCTCCCAGTTTGACTTCCTCCCCAACCTTTTCAATCTTGGTCGCCGTCAGCATTCTGAGGCTGGCCAAGTCCTTTGATTGTCGCGTATGAGTTGTACGGTGGCATCAACTCTGAGAGTGACAGTTCCAGAGCACATCAGCCTGCACCGAATCCATCCGCATCTCCTCTTCCGCTCCCAGTCCACCGCCACTTTCCCTGCCCAGGAGAACCTTCCTCCGACCTCTCGTCGTCCACCCACCATGTCGACTGATGCTGCTGAAAGCGATAGCGAGGTCCACGGCCGTTCCCAGCAGAGTCCCCTCGCATCCCAACGCGCCAAAGCAGAGAATCCCAGACGCAGCAGATTCGAGAACCTCTTTCCTCTGGGCTACAAGGAGGGCTTCAGTCAATGGTGGACTGCTCTGCCCGCCGCTCAAGCTGAACATGCTGTTCTTTCTCACATCCCCTACCTTCAGAAACCACCTACGCATACTCAGACTGGTTCCGAGCCACCCTCAGTCAACCCTTCTACTACTTCTCTGAATTTCTCTGGCGATGCATTCGCGTCCCCCACCACAACAAATTCCATCACCGATCCTCATGGGCCACGAACATGGTACTCGCGCATGGTTCCCCTCTCCGGCAAGAATCGAGCTCTGAATGAATTCTCAGTCCAGCGGACAGGAGAAGAGGCCGACCACAGCCTGGTCATTTTACATGGATATGGAGCTGGCCTAGGCTTTTTCTACAAGAATTTTGAGCCTTTATCCCGTGCACCCGGCTGGCAGTTATATGCTTTGGATATGTTGGGCATGGGTCGATCGTCTCGCCCACCGTTCAAGATTAGGTCCAAAACTCGTGAGGAACAAATCACCGAGGCCGAGGCTTGGTTCATCGATGCTTTGGAGGAATGGCGAATCAAGAAGAACATTGACAAGATGACCTTGGTTGGACATAGCATGGGCGGCTACATGGCTGTTTGTTATGCCCTCAAATATCCAGGCCGGCTGAACAAGCTGATCCTCGCCTCTCCTGTGGGAATTCCCGAAGATCCTTACGCCACTCAAGCCGCTATGCCCGAACCCCCCGAGTCTACTTTACAGAACGAGTTCACTCAGGATCAGGAGACCCAGACTGTCACCAGCGCAGATAACAATAATTTCCTCAACGCCCGCAAAAAGGCCGAACAAGCTCAACAAAAGCCCAACCCCAGCCGCGCACCTGTGGGTGGCACCGACGGCGAAGCCGTAGCTCCTCGACGCCCGCTACCCAAGTGGTTGACGTACCTATGGGATGCAAATATCAGTCCCTTTAGTTTTGTGAGATGGTCAGGGCCTCTGGGCCCGAGACTGGTTTCTGGGTGGACGAGTCGAAGGTTCAGCCATTTACCACCTGAAGAGGCCCTTTCACTGCATGACTACAGTTACAGTTTGTTCCGGCTTAGGGGGAGCGGGGAGTACGCATTGGCTTATATCCTCGCGCCCGGCGCCTTTGCGAGGAGCCCACTGATCCGCCGCATCCATGGCGTAGGACGGCAACTCTTACCACCCCACAACTTGACTCCGTCCTCTCCTTCTGATCTCGCTCCCTCTCCGGTGACTCAGGCTCGGGAGACTGGCGTCCCAATCGTCCTTATGTACGGTGAGAATGACTGGATGGATGTTAAAGGTGGACACGCAGCGAAGAAGGCCATCGACGCCGCGAGAGAGAGGCATTTACGGAACGCCTCCCCAGAGGACGCTGCCAATGACCAGGGAGGAGCCAAAGTCGTCATAATCAAACAGGCAGGTCATCATGTCTACCTCGACTCACCTGATGAATTCAACGATGTGATGCTGAGAGAAATGGATGATGTGGTTAAGAGAAGCAAAGGCACAAAGAGAGGCGGCGTTGGAGGGGTGGAAGTTGTACCTTGATGGAGCCAATCTTGAGACACTGGATTTTATGTCTCTCCATGCGGTCTGGATTCAACCCCAGTCTGAGTTGCTCGCCACAGCTGAGCACATTGCAGTTTTCTCTGCTTCTTTGAGGCCTATGACTTTGGGGGCCATACTACTTGGTGGCGGTGTACTCGCAACTTGCTGTCTGGTGTGCTGTGACTTCAAGTCAGCCTTTCGAGGTCATGTCACGAGAGTCTGGATATTGCATTTTGCAATGGATCATGGCAAGTCATGTTGCCGGTGATACCACCAGAGTGCCGTGTCAGGTGCAAGCGTCGCCATCCACTTCAGGCGTTGTGCGGAAACCTATGATAGATTGATGAACTTGAACAGGAGCGATGGTTGTTTAGGAGATTGCAATCGTCGAATCAGGCCTGTCATTTTAGATGTATTCTAGCGCAAAATAGACCTTGGACTTGAACAGGGTTACGCAAAGCGACTATGCAGACAGCGATAGAGCTCTCGATGGGCCAGGTTACAAGGCTGTGGATCCTGATATTCAACGTCTTGACCTCGGAGTTTGTCTACGATAGGCTTGGATCAGGCAAACCACCGACCTTCCAGAGAGTTTCGACTTGGAACTGGAAGTCGAGGGTCACAGGGTGTTTCTCCACTCTCGAGACTAGAAGATCATCATTGCAGGAAACTTCAAAACAGACCGACCAGGTTTCTCGTTCAGATCCCTGCCCAAATAGTACGAAGTTACAAGCCGTCAGCTACTGAGTTTGGTCGTAGCCTGGCGGCATCTGCCTACCTTGAGGGTTCATCACATCGATTTCGAGAATAAGGCAAGCCACGCCTGACTGACGGATTACTCGGAGCAAGATTGTTGTTTCTCGGAACCATGGGGTGGCCAAGGGGGTGGCAGGTAGTTCATCTGATGATGCGTACGAGTTCTCTCTCTCACACTCCGTACCTGTTGGATTTGCATACATAGGGCTGACGGGCTGACAAATGCCAGGTGGGATTGGGATAAGTGAACAAGATTTGTGGATCAACAAGGAAGTCGTATCGATATGATTTGGGGGCTGTTCAACTGTCCTTCTGTCCTTCTGACTCCATGATTACGGAGTACTGCGAGGGGTCGGGATGTGCCGCACCGACCGGCTGTCGATCCTGGGTGTCTGATCGTCGAACGATAATCTCCTGATGTTTGATGATAATGCATGCATTCTCACTTCCATGATCGTCAGTGATTGTTCTAGGGAGCGAAGGGAAGGGAAAAGAAGGGGAAACTAGGCAGGGCAGGGCAATCATCTCACCTCCGGTGGGGATGAGACTTTGACGGCTCGTATAGACGGCTTATGGGGATGATAATATAATATGAGAGTTAAAGAGTTATTGGGAGAGGTGTATGAATAGCATCATTTGGGTGTCGTATTCGTTAACTGATTCAACGGCGTAAGCGTTAGTCTTCCTCGTGATATTGGAAAGAATGATTCCAAACCCTCAGTCACATTGTTAGCTAATACTTACATTCTATCGTCGAGTTCCTTGAAGTCGAAAACTTTTGGCTTGTATAATCAGTGTAGCTATGATTTTAGATGTTAGCAAGTGGAAATAGATTTCACGTGATTATTGTTCTATGAGTATATTATTAGTACGACGAGCGGAAGGAGTCGTTTCGTCTACATGATCAGCATAAGGGGCACGTTACCAAAGGTCGGTCGACCGCTTTAACTATCATGCATACAGAAGAATTGGCAAGATACGGAGTACTTGCATACGGAGTAGTATGATAGAGTCATAAGTCCTCCCCTTAGAACACCTGGCGGTATCACTTCATGAATATTGGGGCCGCTAAGTAAAACCGGCACCGAGCTCCTCGGCACTGATAGACTCCCTGTTCAAGTACTCGACAGGTCCACACTAACTTAGGATGATAGACCAGCTAATACTATCTCCTTCTTAGTAGTCTACGACTTGGAAGGTGATACGGCCTTGGATGCAATCAACAATGAGGCCCCTTTCCCACCTCCGGGGAGGGATGTTGAACCCCGTGTTCTCGACTTATGAGGTATTTGACTAGGCCGCGGACGTCTAGCTGAGAGTTTTCACGAACGAGTGGGCACTTACTACCTACCTTCAAACAGTAATAGTCCTTTCAGCTTACTCCGTATAAGCCCTTGAGGTTCGTCCGATGGGCTGGCTGAGACTACACGGAAAAAAGAAAAACCACCCGTGGTGTCTTGCATTCACGTCTCGCTTGGATGCACATGTATCCTATACCGGCGATGGCAAATAGTTCTTAATCAAGCACAAGTTTTCTTCAGGCTTGCGATGATGGCGAAAAGTATTCCTTCATGTCCGAACAAGGGAAGAAGTGGCCCGGAAGCAAAGGAAACTGTGCCGTCGCCATTCTCATACTTCGGGACATGGTGGCGATGAATCACGATCAAGAGCGCTTTCTGCCCGTACATTGGGCGCTGGCGCCATGGTGCCTGTGGCAAAATGCAGCATGGTTCATTGCGAGTGGTGGACATGGCATTGTGATGCAGGTGACAGGATTGGACAGGATGTAGTTAGTAGTCTCTCTCCTTGTCGATAGCAATGTTGGTCTTGTAGATTGGGCTGAGATGGCATTGATGGGAACCAGTCTGATGATGCGTTATGACCCGGCGCGCTGCAGGTGCACGACGGTACAAATCGGATATCATTCATGTTCGTCCGGTCTTGTTAGGCCTGGCCTCGATTTGTTGATTGATGTCGAGTTGTCGATCAAGCCAGAATATTTGCACAGGATTCAGTGGGCCCTCGAGCCTTGTCCTAACCTGATCAAGAAGCCATCGAATGAAGGAATCCATCACCACCGTCGTGTGAAGTGGCACGAATGGGTAAGCTCGACTAAAACACCAGGACCGATTCCAAGGCAGTTCGCACGCACTTTGCTTATTTGGTGATGAGTTGGACCAGGACGGGGCCTTCTCAAGTCTGGACTCGACTCTACTGGACTTTGCATGATCCAGAGAGATCCGTTCGACCTCGGTTGCCAGATAGGTCCAAGGAATGTGAGATCCTTCTAGGTAAAAATCACATGTGCTACCAGCAACCCAGGAGGCTAGTGCGCATAGACCTGCAGGAGCAGAGAGGGCCCCTCGGGCACATCAGCGGTTTTGAATCGGCGGTCCGGCCCTTCTTGAGATTATGCACAGACGCGTGGTCAGAGTGGCATGGTTGGCATGATAGGCAAGGTCGGCGTGGTTGGCTCGCTTTTGTTTTGCGCAATAGCGTGGGGGGAACGGGAGATGAGGTTCCTGGGAGTGCCAACGGGTGCTTGAGATAAGAAGGCATTCTCAGCAACATCAGAAATAGTTAGTAGTAGTCTCCTTGGTAGCGCAGTCCGCACACGCACAGACAATAGCCGACTATGTATAGCCTCGGCCAGTCTGACGACTGAGGTCATGCATTCATTTCTTTCGCTTGGGAGCGACGAGGGGATGAATATCCAAACCCTCGCTAGTAACAATGATGATAATAGTGGGATGAGTATCATGGGTCATCTGGTGCTGAGTCGATCTGGCCTAGCATGCCCGAATAGACCTGTGGGATTGGTGGGAACTGGCTATCAGTCCTCCGAATTCCAGTGCTAGATTATCAGGGTCAATTCGACACGAGCCACACGACAGAGCACGTCCATACGAACATGAGTCGGACGTTTTGCTCCCTGGTGCAAGGTCTACACATTCTTCCTCGTGCCTCGATAGGCGGGCACCGTCAGGTCAACTAAAGAACAGCGACGTGAGCACATAGCTATCAGCGCACAGAACGGAGACCTGCATTTCTCCTGCATTTGCTCATGGCCCTAGCACGAGGTTCAAAACTTGACGTTGATGTCAAGGCTTCGACGAGCATGTGGGGACAGTGGCCCGGGTGCCGTACTCCTTGCCATCTTGGTCCACCTTCAGGAGACAGGAGGCATGAGAGTCACCTGGATGGTATACTGTCGTACCCATTCTCATAATGAGGCGCTAGTTTATGTAGCAGAGCCCGAGTTCCAATACTTGGCTGGTTCGACAGCCACACATGCATTGAGTGCCATTTTATGATGCCATCGTGCTACGAATCAAAGGCTAGGTTCGCGCCCGAGGGGCCATGGCTTGGGCGTCGCTCAGTTGTCCAGCCACCGGTATGCTCGTCTGCAAGGCCAGTCTCTAATTTCTCCAGGTCCCTCCAGCTCACTAGTGAGTCTGGGGAAATCATTCATCTGGTCTAGTCATATTGGATTGGGAATAGGGTGGTGGCAGGGTGGGAGCAAAAAGAAACATGCCCCAGACACTGCGTAGTACTCGTAGGCGTCTGCAGACTGCAGTAACCCACGGAGCACGGATGATATTGGTCTTGGACCGATAGAGCACGGCTCCAACTATCCATGGCGGATTGGAAACAGGTGGAGAGCATGGCTTTGATACCTACTGTAGGTACAGTACTGCAGGCACTGCGGCTAGCATGAATTGTGCAGAGACTCAGGCATTAGGGAGGTGCATGTCGGCGAGTGACTACTGGCTGAGCGTGGCTTCAAAGGCTCCGTTGCCAACCTGGCCAAGCCTAGCGCTTCAGACTCACAGTGGCACGGTGGAACTGGCTGGCGTGCCTGGGTCAATTGACAATTGCAAATTCCACAGCAGCTTGGAGATGTGTTTGTTTCTTTGGCTCTTCACATGATCCGGGGTAAGCGAGATTGGCGTTTTGTTGGATCTGGAGAAGTCAAGACTTGTCCTAGGCAGTGGCGGGGCGTGTGTGTCGGAGCCTGAGAGGGCCGAGGGGCCCCTCTGGCCCCTCTGGCGCTGAGAGGCGACATCCATGCCCCATGGGTGGCGTGGTTGGAAACGTGTTAGAGAGTTTGGTTCGTGAAAGATGCCCTCTGGAGGATAAACGATGGCTTGATGGCTGGTTGGCTTGGAGTGCACATCACCGACTAAAAAAGTCTTCCCCGCATTGTTGGCAAAACACCATGTGTAGGTATAGTCGCCCTCTAATTTTACTTAGAATTCAGGCGTTGAATGGGGACTTGAGACTTGGTCAATGACAAGAGGCATTGTGATTTTTCTTTGACAATGATTATCACCATGTCTCGTATGTATGTACATGCTGTCACTTGCCGATTAAGCGATGCTCGCCTGAACCCTTTGATCGACGTGATCATCGTCAAGTACTGCACTATGGGCAACAGCGACTGTACATAGGTGGATCTTTCAGTGCGCTGGCTGGCGGACGTGTTGATGATGGAACATGATGAGGATGTCCATAGACCTGACTGTATCGTTGGGGGGGCCGCCTAGGGGGTGGGTGTGACGAAGATGGATCGTGACAGAAGAGCTAACGACAGAAGCGATTGAAAAACTGTGTACGGAGTAGTTGGAAAGTCCTGACTGTACCATACATCAAGTGGAGAGGAAGGTTGAGACGACTCCATCTGCGGCGTGCAAGGGACCACAAGACTACTGCAGGTAGCCGAGGGTATGGACGGGCCTTTCCTTGTCGTAGTGGCAGATCATTTGTGGTCATGATGACTACGCCGGCTAGCTTGTCCACAATCAAGCTTCACACAGGCATGAAGAGCCGTGGTTGTTTTTGATCAGATGTAGGACTCGCATCGAGGTACTCGTATTACGATGCAGATCTCAAACGGATGTGCATATCCTGGAGTTGGTCAGTCAAGAATGCAACACGGGAAGTGCGGCTGGTGCGTCTTCTCTGAGGATTTGCAAACGTGATGAAGCTTTGGCAAGAAGACGAACGAGCGTTGAACCGAGGGATTTCTCCTTGTTGATGAGGACTGTGCACTTGTCATTGTGCCAGGTTAACGACAGGTGGCGCAACGAGGTTTTGGGCCCTCGGGCCTGTCACATCGCAGTTTGAGAAGAAGAACAAGAGGAAGAATCCAAGGAAGCTGCCAAGGAAGAATTGAATGTGGTCACAATAGCAGTAGCAGTGGCAGGTGGCAGGTGGCAGGTGCTCGGACGCAGTGGAGAAACCATTGTTGCACAGAACTGTACATGCCTTCAGGTACTACTAGCTACGAGTAGGTACTACATACTCTGTACATACGCCACGAGATGCGGATGTGGATGCGGATGCGGATGTGTATGCGTAGATGCAGCGGTCCTCGCGCAGTTGCAGTCCTGTATTCCTGGAGCTAGATACGAAGAGCACGTGCGAAGAATTCCAGAGGCAGAGAATTTGAGGCTACGTACTGTAGAGGCTTGAAAACTGAAAACTGAAAACTGAAGCCTGGAGTCTCAAGTGTGCATTCTGCAGCCTGGACTCGTGGGTCATTGTCTGAAGGCAGCCACCAGGAACCAAAGCAGGCAAGACGAACCTTGAACATGTCTTGTGTGGTCAGAAATTGCCATGGTCATGGTCATGGTCATGGTCCGTGAAGGCATGGCAGGCACACACGCCGTCGCTTTCGCCTTCGTTTCACTTGCACTATCGTCAAAAGACAACTCTTCAAGGGAAGAGAATTAGGAGCCAGTCCAAAGCAAGAAGGGACCCCACGCTTTCAAGTGATCCAAGCAAGACACAATCGTCCAGTTTGAGTCAGAGGCGTCTGCACCATGCACACCCTAGAGTGCAAATTTTGATGGTGTGGAGGATCATGCCGGGTCAACGAATCAAATCTGCCTCGTCTACACAGTCGAGGCTAAGGGTCTTATCGCCCATGTCAGCATGCACCCATCGACTGTGCCAGTCTGAAGACCCTCCACTGCCCTCCAAGCCTCCAAGGGTTCAGCATTGACCAACACCTGCCTTCAAAGATGCTTGGATGATGACACCTGCCGCTGGAAACGTGCAACGAGCACCTCTGATTTCACCGAGACCCTTGCCCAAGTGTCTGTCAACATGGGACGCTACATGATACATCCCACAGCAGCAAGCAAAAAGTACGTAAGCTGGGCGACGCTATGCCGTCTTCAAGAACATAGTTGCCAACCGTGCCGTCTGGCCCGTCCCTCTACAGGCTGTTTCCGTCACAAGACGACCCTGATGATATTATTATCGACTAGATACGATATCTAAAGTGGTCACCTGAAGTGTCTGTGCGCACTGCTTGTGCTTGGCTTGAACGAGTTTGTCGACTTGATGGGTCAGACACATTTTGTTTTTTAATGCCTTGAGGTAAGAGGGGGAAGTCTCTACGGTCTCCTACAGTACGCATACATAGGTGCCAATGGGGCCAGAAAGCTTTGGCGTGGTGCCTTGATGGCGCGAGACATCCTTGAAGCCAAGGTTGGACGTTCCAGGTGTGTTATTGGTGGACAGTGGAACAAGGAACGAGGGACTTGGGGCAAGGCATTGCTGTCTGGCGCCTTGCTGGCGCCCGGGCGTTGATTGTTATGCGAACGGAGTACGCACCTACAGGATACAGCGCCTTGGACTTAATCCCTGGCTGGCGGACACAGAGCAGTAGGTGCAGAATCCCTAAAGGCGTTCAGACTCCTCCTCGCACTAGAGATGGACAATCGTGGCAGTTCTCTAGGGGGATTGGTGGAGCGTCTCACGCCTAAGAATAAAGCGGGGCGAGTTCTGACGCTGGACTGACCCAAGCTAATCCAGGGCCCAGGCATTCTTTAGGGTCATTCCAGGCGGCAGGGGCCACCTCGGCCCTAGTGCTTGGCCTGCGAAGAAGTCGGTGCATAACCAACTACGGAGTACATTCGATGCAGTGTGAGTGCACAGTACTAAGTACTTGGAGCCTGAGGTGGACTGTATGCTCGAGTTGAGTTACGACTGTTGAGTGGAGCTGATGTTGCTTCACGCCACTGGGCTCTGGAGGGCCGGGCCTGGGGCACGTTAGTGGTGGCAGTGGCATGGGCATGGGCATGAGCATGAGCATGGGTAAGGGCGGGGGCACCCACGACCTGAAGAATCTCCTGTCACAGACTGGATGGGGAGAGCTCGCTGGTGCCGAAGGCGTGAGAAGAGAGACTTTGACCAGAGTCGAATCACCACAGATGGCATGACACACCATAGTGCACTTCTCTCTTCGCTCTTTTCTCAAGGCTCCAGGCCACACCTCTACGAGGCGTGCTAGGCTCCGTGGCTGCTTCTCTCTCTCTGCCTTTGGCACTGGCGCCTTCTCCACATCTCATCTGCGCATCTCACGAGTCACAATTCACAATTCACCATCCACCCACTTCATTCTTCTTCTCAGACACCCACTCCCACACCCATACCCATATCCACTCCCACACTCGACAGACGCTTACTGCGGACACCAGTGTTCGCCAATATACGCACGCACTCTCACACTCTCTCTCTCACACACACACACACACACACACACACACACACACACACACACACACACACACACACACACACACACACACACACACACACACACACACACCCACACCCACACACACCTGCCCACACCTGCGCACATCTTCCCCTCCTCGCCTCTCCCGGCCTGGAGTCCCAACTCCTCCTCCACCCAAATGTCCTCAGGTCCTCAGGTCCCTGGACTCGGGAGTCTGCAGCCTCAGCACTCGTGATCCACTCGTGATACGAGCTAGTAGCAGCCTGCTCGCATACCTTGTTCTATTCCACTTGAAGCTGGCTCGGCTTGTCAATCCTTGGTTCGTTGGTCAGTTGGTTGGTTCATTCATCCATCGACATCCTTCCCCAAACTTCACTTTGATTTCCTTTATCTAACACCTACCTCCCGTCTCCTCATGACCCAAATCCCCCAGCTCTTTTCTCTGATATCATCTCCTCCTGACCAGAACCTTAAGCATTCTCTCCCGTCATTCTCTCCTCCACCTGGTGACAGAGACACGAGACTTACAGGCATCGTCATCGTCATCGTCAGCACCTCAAACCTCACCATCCTCTACACCCTCTCACAATTTTTTCACACGTCAGCCTTGTTGGATCGTGACCAGCGGCCTATTCTGCGTGACCTTTGACTGAGAACCAAATCCTCGTCACTGCCACCACAGCCCCTGGGTCGAGGGTGCCTTGTCTGGATGCTCAACTGCCCACCAAGTACAAAGAGTCGCCAGTCTACCCTCTTCTAAACCATCTCCACCAACCTTTCGTTACACAACATGGATTTCACCATGGGCGACTTTTGTCTGTCCTGCGATGGTCAAACCAATGGCACTGCATTCTGTTCCTCGGCATGTCGTCTCACCCAACTCGATCACCTTGTCGGATCTCCCGCCTCCACCAGCTCATCATGGTCCTCGGTCGAGTCGATTCCCATTCAAGTCACCACACAACGGTCGTCGTTAGCCTCGGGGTCGTCAGCCACTACCACCCATAGCTTTTCTCTTCCCCCGGCCTATGACTTTTCAGTCCATCGAACCACGTCGTCCAACTCACTCTCTCTATCCTTGACCTCTCGACCACACAGTCCCAAGCTCTCTGAACAAGCACGCAACGATCTCAAAGACTATGTCGGTTCCTTTGATCAAACTCGGACATTGAGGCGCAAAGTCTCGATGCAGACCAATGAGGACTGCAGGAGATCCACAAAGACCCAGTGACACTTAACCACCTACGAAGCCGTTGCCCACGGGCAAGACGACATATATCATGTTTTGATGCGCTGATCTATACCCTTGTGTTAATCTACTTTGTCCATGTCAGCATAGCATGTTACTGGTTATCAAAAGCATATTGGCGGGCCCCTAGCCTTTTTTTTGGGACGGCATGACACAGACATGTGGAAGCCTGACCCAGGGCTGTTATGCCACGTTTTGAAGCATTGGCATTGGCCGTTGCAGGGAATGAGTGGGAATCCAGATGGGTTGGGGACGCAGATTCTGGGGAAATGGATCTGTGTCATTATGAAGAGTAATCCTCAGGAATTTGATGGTTTGGATCCGCCAGGGATCTTCAACCTCGGTGGGTGGAGCACACAGGATGCGCCGATATTGCGTACAGTTGCATCAGGAGCTACAGAACAGCACAGCACAGCACAACACCTCACCTCTGTTTTCTTATGTACTTGTGTAGATGTCAAACTACGAAAATCTCAAGGTAGCGTCAGACGAGAGTTGGATTGAAATCGAATAATTTGGCACTGCAAAGTGTACACTCATCAGGCTGGCAAACTCTACTAGTACTGTAGGTCTAACATTCTTCAAGCTGGCTGGCATCTTGTAATAGGGAAATGGAAATGATCTCCGACCCAAGACGCTTCAAGGAACGGCATGGACCGCTGCTCCACAGACGGACGGCGTCAACTTTTAAAACTTTCAGGGCACGGGCCACGGGACATTTGGCTTCTGAGTAGCAAGTATGCGTACACATGTATTCTGAGACGTAGGTTCCGTGGTTCCATACATACTCCGTACGCATATTCCATCACGCCATCAAACTAGTAGACATACGGAGTATGGGGTATCGAGTACTCGGTACGCATGAAGTGGCATCCTTACGAGTACGTCAATGGTCCGTGCTCTCGTGTGGGATATTGCCTCGACAATATGATAATGTGTACCTACCAGCAATTTTACATGCTGTCTTCCTTGTACCCGCTAGATGGCGCACTAAGGAGTCACTCATGACAAAGGGTTCGATCTTCGTGACAACAGACACTCCCCACACCCATGGCTCTGTGTCCTTTTCCACGGTCCCACCGTCGGTAACAACAACTCTTGTTGCGCATCTTTGGCTCCTCTAAGGGCTCCCCCGGTCTCAATTCACATCCTATTGTTATTTTTTCTGGCAATGAAGTGTGTTGAATGCTACGCCACCACCACCCAAGGCCACTCCCCCTCCCCTTCTTCACTAGTGGCCTCGAGATCGGCTATTCCCTTATATTTCAGGTGTAGCAGCTGCACACGACCTACAGTAGCTTTCGCCACCTCCAGAATGTTGGCTGAGCTGTCGTCTGATCACCAACTTGACCGGTCTAGTGGGTGCCAAGCTGAACTTGGCCTCACGCCATTAGCAGCCTCTCCTCCTCACTGGACAGCACAGTGTGACGAGGGCGTGCAGATTTCCGTCCCTCCACTGGATCCTCAATGCCTCAATAACGAGCAAGAGAACAATCATGCTGTTCTCCGTCCGTGGGGTGCGACAGGCTCGCCCTTGACCACATCTCCCTCGCTGTTTCATTGGTTGGGCAGAGGCCTCCATCTATGGTGTCTCCTCAGTCGTCGCTGTCAGAAGACTACGGAATAGGTTGACCATCCTTCTCATCAAGAATTGGGAGTGAAATACTAGTACTACCTAGGCCATGGTTGAAACTTGCTGCTTTTTCTCGACAAACAAAACCTCTCGCTCCTTTCGCTCTCGTACAACGAGATCTATTGCCATAACCACATGTCTAGGAGAGCTCAAAGCCTACTCCATACTCGTAGGTACTGTATGAGGACCTAACCAAACCTGGCTAGGTCCACACTTGACTCGTTGATGATCCTCGTTCGGTGCACAACTCACCATGCACGGCCGAATGGCGGAGCCAAGACCTACACTCTCACAGCCTGATTTTTCAGATTCTGAAGTCGTCTTGAGTACCACGAAAACTTGAGTCAAACAGAGTGTGCCCTAGGATCAATCAATGGCACAACAACCAGCATTCTCTCGACCCATCGATGTCGTTGCAGAGAATCGACATCTGAAGTATCTGCTCAAGTCTCATCACCAACAGCCATCAATATCACGATATGAACACTCTCAGGGCGGAGAGCTCCTTGCCTCGAGCCATCTCAGTTCTCTCTCAAATGTGCGTGATCAGGAAGACGTCCAAGGTCTTCTCATTCCGTCCCATCCTTTATGTCATGCGCACACGCTAGTCATTGAAGATGTGTCTTCTGACCTCATCGTCGCATTGGAGAGGATCCTGCGCTTGGATGCCGAGTTGTTTGCCGCCCATCTCACCAATTGTGGTTGGAAAGATTCCGAGAGGGGAAAAGATGCTTTTCCTTTTGGAGACAGCGAGTACTCGACGTGGTGGACACGCCGCTTCAAAAAGCAATTCTTCTCCATAAAGTGGCATCGACCATATGTTGTCAACTTCGATTGGGTGCCTTCCGCTGTAGAATCTTCCCTGCGCGTCTCACCTGCTAGCCTTACTCTTGACCTTGGAGCAAAATCCCAAGTTTATCAGAGAAGTAGCAACTTCCGCCGGGCGTTTCTTGACTTGAGGACGACCAATGCAATCTGGGATTATTCAAGGGCGACGGCCTCCAACCTGCAACGCAGAGATCAACTTGTAGCAGAGGAGCGCTTGACCATCTGGAAGGGGGAATATCGAGGCCATGGCATTGGTGAGCTCTCCAAGCTGCTATAAAGATGATCCATCTTCGCACGCGTGGAACTGGCTGATAGCTTTCTTCCCCTAGTCTTGCTACTGGTGGACCCGGAATTTGGAACCGTTTCGAATAAGGTTTCTTATGAAGGTGGACGAACTGCCCAATTTCGAGCCTCTACTAAACCGCAGCTCGCGGTCCCACGTTCACCTGTGATTCAGCCTTCACCTGCACCACGCAGTGAGACAGAAGAGCCCTCCAGTCTGCAGCGTGAAGAGCTCCCAATCTCGAGCTCCGCTTCAGTCGATTCACAGACAGAACATCCTGACCAGAACTCAGCCCATCAAACCAGCAGAAACAGTTCGGCTGTAGCCACTCAGGGAGGCATGGATGACGCCAGTCTACAACCTGAAAGCAGCCAGACTGGGCAACAACAATCCCAGGCCTTCTTCCCGCCGGAGATCATCTCCCCTGACCCACCTCCATTCCGTAGTAAATCCTTTTTCATGAACGTGGCATGCAGAGGCCCTGAGTCCGCCATCTCCACTGACCGCCCCCCTCCTAGTGGCCTGCTCAGCCACCTGACATCAACTCGCGAAGATTTGTCGCTTTGGTTGACCACCCACCATTTGCCAATTGAGGCACTAGACAGCCATTCTCAACCTTTGTGCAGGATATTCGAGATCATCCACGCTGATACATTGGATTTCTTGTTGTCGATAGAAACATTTCTGGACAACATTCTGAGCAACTCGGATAACGAAGTGGTACTAGAGAACAACATACGGATATGGCGCAGCCTTTTGAATATCACGGGTGGGGAGCTTCGCTACTTGACTCGACAGATTCCCAAATTCACCGAGTTCCTCGTTGAGGTATCAAGTTGTGCTCATGATCAAGACGACAATGCTTCCAAGACATCAAGTCAGCAACAACTTCTCCGTGAGATAAGCCGCATTCAAGAACGTCTGGATAAGACGCTCATCACTCTGGTGAGCTCATTGTCTGTGGTGGAAAGCAGAAGAGCTATAGTTGAAGCCGAGAGCGTCAGCAAGTTGACCGAGCTTGGTGAGTATTCCCTGCGACATGAGCTGACATTGAATCACCCACTCTGATAACCTTGTCATCCTAGCCTTTGTTTTCATACCTCTGTCGTTTGCTGGAACTTTCTTTGGCATGCAGGTCCGGCAATTGGACCCAGAGACAACTTCCATCACGTGGTTTTGGGTTATGGCTATAGCCTTGGTTGCAACTTCGTATGGAGTAAGGCTTCTCATTCGAAGTCAAGCAATCCTACATGCCAAAAAAGTGGTCGGAATTGCCATTCGTCAGAATGCCAATCTCACCGAATCCCAACCCATTGGCACGCGCGCTGCAATTGCAGCACTGGGGCGCCTCCTGATCCCTCTGATTCACGAATCATTGTCGCTACAGCTACTAGTTGCCGCAATCTTCCTGGTGATCCCCTTGATATCAATATGGGCGAATGGCGGACTTGTGCACGGGATGGTAGTCGTCATCAGCATCTGTGTTGCTCTCTTGGTCGCCTTTACACTTCTGATGCTCTGTCTCCGGCCCGATGACAATCTACGCCCGTTGGCCGAATGGATATATGATTCGCATTCCAGAGCACGAACAGTTCCGTCAGAGAGGGATCCCGAGAGTGCTGCAGAGCGGCCTCTGGCCTGAGCGTCATTGAGGTTGGTCCTCATTAATCAATCTGTCTATGAGTTCCACGGACATTATCATAATTTTCGCCATGGCACAGACCAAAATCTGTAAACTCACACTCAGCCAACCGAGGGTCATGGCGACTGCACCCACTCCGGTTTTAACTGAGCCTTTGTAGACCAAGTTCAAGGTTGCCGAGGCTGCCACCGCTCCGACATGCAACCACAAGACAGAGATTAGACCAAAGCCGCTGGCAGCACACATCATTGAGATGATCAAGTGTATCGTGCTCCGCGCCGGGAACGGTCTCGTGTCTACGTCCTCGCCATCTTCATTGACGGTAGTTGTCCAACCTGGAAAGCTCCAGAAGGCCACGATGGCAAGGATGGATAGAAACATGCTTGCGATGCTGTGGAGTGGGTGTTCTATTTAGCAACCCAGAAGAAAGAGAGGATGTTGATCAAGAGATAGCTTACATGAGTCCGTAGAAAACCACCTTTGAGGAGAAATTGGAAAAATACTCGATGAGGTTGAGAGGATCTGAACCCGCGGGAATCCTCTGATAGAGCTGATCGTGGTCGCCACACGTCCACGGCTGGGCTCGAGGCAGGTCTGATTGGAGCTGGACACACGTGGCAAAGAAGCCGGTACGGACATTGATTCTGCCATGCTGTGATAAATTCCGGATTATGGTCGTCAACTCGGAGTTTGTCCAGGAAGAACCATTGCTGTTCTGGCTCTCAAAGTCCTCAGAATGGCCGGGATACGACGCGGACAGGATATAAACGGATGGCATGTGCCTGGAAGCGCTTGAACAGCCCGCAAGCAAGATCGCTTGCAGACAATGATCCAGTCAGCAGTAATCCAAAATGGACAGACTCGACAGAGTTAAAGAAACCAAAGCGTACACCATGATATCAGACTGAACACCACCACTAGAATCTGCAAATTATGGTACCCTGGTTGACAAGTTAATCTGCTTCAGTTGTCTCTGTCTGGGGTCGAGTCTGATCACATATCTGAGACGTACCAAGAGCATTTCTCAGCCAGGTTTTGGACGCATAAAAAGCTTTCAACGCGCGAGGACCCTTCATGGTCACGTTTTCACACCTTCGGAAAAGCGTAGACGATAGGTCTTGCGGGGTTTGAGGCAATGGATTTCGGATACGGGTTATCGAGACAACAACAAGGAATAGCTACTTAGACTCGATGACTCTTAGGAAGGAAAGATTCGAATGCCATCCCCCATCAGGCTGAGATCTCATATCAAGCGCCAGCCACGTATGCATGGGTACCTGTCCAAGTACATAGTACGTGACCACTGATCATTCTGCTGGCGAATGCCTCGCTTAATTGGAGCTGAACTGGCACTTACAACAATGGTCCTGTACGTACATGCATACAATCGATCTTCATTGGCTACAATTGACTCCCTCGTGTAGGCTAGGTTGCACCTCGCCAAATTTGGGCACACCGTCCATTAGCCGAGCTTGAATGTTGATCAGGCAGTGGGGCTGAAGTAAAATGTGCACATCGAGGAAACAACCAATGTTAAGTATGTGGGATATTCATCTTCGAGATAGGACTGTCTTGTCTCTAGTATACCGAGTTCCATCTCAATATCACGCAGAGTGGCACATTTCGTTCTATCCGTGGGAGGGAAAGAATCGATACGCATGAAATATATTTAAGCTTCAAGAGAAGCCAGCAGTTCATTTGTAGATGGGACGGTCCGAGCCCCAGGCCAAAAGAAGATCGACCGAGTCCAGGTTGCCAATTCTCACAAAAGTTACACGAGAATCAATCTTTTCTAAACCCGCCGTGAGGTAATTGTCTACTAGTGTGATTCCTGGCATGAACTCGAGGCGATCAACTATCACGTTGTGGGCACTGTTACGGGTCGGTCGATGAGGTGGGCGGTGATCACGTGACAGGCCGAGATACATCACGGCGACCAAGTTCGCGAAACCATGCGACGGTGACAGTAGCGCCGGCTTCTTGGTCAGTATAGGTAGGGAACTGTATGATGAGATGAAACTTTGCCTGCATTTGACGAGTGCGTCGCCGAGGGTTGTTTCCTCCTGCTACAAAACCATGCGGAGTTCTAGTTTATGTGGAGTTTCATGCGAGTTTGACGTGTTGTGTGTCACGCAAAGAAAAAGGTGTGCATATAAGAATAGGTCCTCGTGCAACTGGCAGCTCAGTCTGGTCACATCATCAGGCACCGGCGTTATCTGCCTACAACTGACTGGCAATAACCGAACCGGTCACCAACGCGGCAGTGCCTGCGCCTTGCATTAGTCATGGGAAGTGAGCATCAATTTTGTCTCGTATCGCAACCGAAGGCGGAGTCTAAAGACTTGTCTGGCCTTTCTCGATCCCTCGGGAGGAATTGTTGAGAGATTTTCGTAACTGAACCTGGCCGAAGGCTCAAATCACACACGATGCAGCCTGACGGTGCCCCACTCGAACCATTGACCCGAAGTTGAGAACAACATTGTGTCGAGAGATTAAGCTCCAGCTCGTGCGAATGTTTTTTCAATGTGTCATCAGATCTCGACTTCAGTCGCGCCGAATGGAGCCAATAAACATAAGTGAAAACAAGACCTGCTTTTGAGCTTGATCCAAGTCCGTGCTTGGCCGCTATGAGGCTTAATTTCACCCGTGGCTTCATCACAAGGACCGAGCTGGGCGAGAACGTGGACCTGGCTGAGATAACAAGAAGTACCAAGCAATCATACGGCAGGTCAGATGGCGCACATTTGGCAGCTGGAAGGTGAGGATATATCTCTCAACTGACTCGGCGATTCTAACGCAGATCTACACCCACGGGTAGATTGTAGGAGAGGATTGCACTATGATACCTTAGTATCCTTGTCAAACTTGGTTGACAGATGCAAATGGCAAATGACGTGCCGTAGTGCTTCATTAACGGGGCTGATTAGCCTGTGAAGTGGCCGCCACAGTAACACGACATTCTTCATCATTTGCACATTAGAATATGATGTTCATCACATATACCTCCCGCGGAGTGTCATTATGAGGATGACAACCATTATTAGTGATGGAGGAGATTATACTGTACCACATACACCTATACAGGATCAATCCTTGTAGGAGGAAGTGAGGGTTTCATGAGTGTTAATTTTGGCAAGCACGATCATCGAAACAATAAAACACTAATAAGGAAAGAACGCGAGCGCGCAAGGATGCATACTAGAGTTCCTCCGTATAGCATTCGACGCTTGGTGTACTCTAGATGTTCCGTAATCTTGGCAGTGGGTAGCGGTTGATCCCCGGTTCTTGGGATCTGGGAAGAGGGGAAGGGGCACGAGGGGTCATCACGTGGTATGGGTATCCCAAGCCGGCTCAGGGGCCGAGGGGCCCTGAGGGCTACCCGAAAGTAAACTCTCACGTCAAATTACCAACAATAACCACGGCCACGGTTCAACAAAACCAGGATACTACCTTGTCCCCAGACCAAAATTCTAAGGATCAGCCGTTTCAAGTACCTCAAGAAACTTCTGATCGTATAACCCAGATCGATATGGCAATTTAACTTGGCCCTTCTGTCATCTGAGCCCAAATCACATATGGAAATGTTTCAATCGTGTCTAGTCCCTAACAACTTGTCAGCCCTAGAGAGGGGCGTCGCTCCAGGAATCCGATATCGTATTATTGATTTTTTTCGTCTAATGACCGAGACTGGTAAATGGTCAGAGAGAAAAGTCTTCACGAGAGAACCTCCTGCAGGACGCATGTCCACCTGTCGAGACTCGCATCTGGTAAGGCATTCATGCATCCCATCCAAAGGAACGAATTGGCGATGTTTTGACTGGGGCTGCATGTGCTTGAGTGGGGTCTGGGTTCGCATCGTAGACGGAGGAATCGCATGTTGGGTCGACCACTTGAGACCGCCTCCGAGGAGGATTTTCATATTTTTCCTATTTACGGCTCAGGAACCGATTTGTGTGGCTTGAGGAAGAGGGTCGGAAGCTTAGTTTGTTTTGGGTGTGCTCCTGATACATGCTGAAGCTTTGGGTGGATAGGCTTCTGGCGACTCACGTTGCAGCTCGGCCCGCAGGCCAGAGGCTACCCATGAGCACGGCCTTATGGGTGATCTCATGATGAAATTTCGCATCAAGCCTTGTGACACTTGCCCGAGCGTTTGGTGCGCGGGGTGGTCGGCTCACTGTTGACATGGCGGGGATTGAGGATGTGTGGGAGATTGTCGTGGCTCACGAGAAGACGGTTCTGACGGTTGGATGGTGCTGAAACCTGGTGGCAGGGCCAAAATAAGCTCGTGGTGGCAGGTCACGTTGGTTGGTGCTTAATTGGAAGAAATGAGGCTTACCTACCCACTAGGAGTGACTAGAGTGCGCTGATCAGGCTAAGCTTCACTAGTCCCGATCCAGCCACACTAAGCTGCTCTAAGCCTCTGAAGCCTTCAATGTTGTTTCAACCAAGCAATTGCCACGCAGAACACGTTCCATGCCCCTGCCACCGCGCTTCAAACTCTCTTCTCCTTCGTCAGGGCAACCTCGGCCACCGCTCAACCTCATCTGTCACAACAATTCGATCGACAATGGCTTCGAATGAGATCCAACGTACGTCCCTCCCGTCATCATGGGCCTCTGCTAACTGGTTGTGGGCCAGAATCCCCCTTCCTCCCCCGAGTTTGATCATGCCCTCTCAGACACCGGGCCATGCGTGGTCCAGGCCCCTCATTCGCCGCACGCTGTGCTTCATTTGAGGATGACGGCCATCAAAAGATCTGACACACGACGCCGCCTACATTGCGGCCTAGGCCATATCCTTTGCTGACGTGTGGTCATTCTGTCAATGCTACTCAGCCTTTGAGCGGGAACGGAAGGCTTGGAAATTGGCGTATCAATACAATGTGGACGGAGACATTGATTGAAAAAGGTTAAACTTTTGTTGGCCACACTGACCACATTATTGGCCGCCGAAGGCTGTCACTCCCGGATGGCTGGTTCCACCAAGTTTACGTTGACGATGGAGCCACATGGATTTAAGTATCCTCCTGTGGTCGCCCGTTACCTCGACCTCAACCGTCATCCCTAATCCTCGCCACCCACTCTCTTTGTCTTTGCTTCGACCATGGCTTTCACGAGCCTGTCCAAGGCCCTTGCCGCCGCTACACTCGCTTTTTCGTCATTCAGTCTGGTCTCTGCGGGAAGCCAGTCCACACATGTCCCCTTCGTCATCGAAGCGACCTGGGGACCTACCGATCCCACAAAGGCCATCTCAAGAGATGCCCTTCTCGTCAATGGATCTTTCCCCGGTCCACCCTTGAACCTCAAAGTCGGCGAGACGGTTGACTTCACAATTATTAATAATACTCCCGATGTTACTGGAATCCACTTTCACGGTATTCGCCAGTTGGGAACCCCTGAAGCAGATGGTGTTCCTGGAGTGAGCCAAACTGTCATCAAATCCGGAGAGACCTACACATACACGTGGACCGCCGAAGACTCCGGTACCTATTTCTATCATGCCCATTACAAGGGACAAATGATGGATGGCCTGTATGGCGCCATCATCATCGCGCCCGCGGACGACGCAGAGACTCCCTTCAGCCAGATTGGAGATGTCCCCACCCTCCAAAAGGCTGCCAGCCAAGTCGAGACAGTCTTCGCCTCGGACTGGAGCCGATATACCTTTGCTGAGTTTTTCGCCATTGAACAGGCGGCAAACAAGGACACTGCCTGCACCGACTCCATCATCCTGAACGGCCAAGGCTCTGTCTACTGTCCATCCATCGAGTTCCTGACTGCCAATGCTGCACCTCAGACTCCGGCTCTTTTGAACGGAACTTCGCTCACGGCAAAGGGCTGCATTCCTGCCAATAACCCGGTGCTCCAGGGCAGATTTCCCCTCAACGCAGCTGCCCTGCCTCCTGATGTCTACGATGTTTGCACTCCATATGAAGGGACCAACTACACCTACACGGTTGATGCCAACGATGGGTACGCCGCCATGTCTTTCGTCAACCCTGGTGGTTTTGCCATTCTTCAAGTCGCCATTGACAGCCACAAGCTGATCGTGTATGAAATCAACGGAAACTACATTGTGCCTCAGTGGGTTGACGAGATCACCGTTGGCAACGGAGATAGAATCTCGTTCTTTGTCAAGTTGGACCAGGCACCCGCTGATTACACGATCCGTGTTGCCAATGCCGGTGTCAACCAAGTTGTCTCAGGTTTCGGACTTCTGTCTTACAAAGGTTCAGCTGGTGTCGCCAACACCGCTGGCGTCATCAACTATGGCGGTCAAAACACTACCCTGATCACCTCTCTCAACCGAGCCCTTGCAGCTCCCTATCCTGCAGTCTCGGTCGCGGCCACATCGGATCTCACATACGTTTTGGATATCTCGAATGATCCGTCGCAGCCTACCGACGCCTGGGCATGGACCTTGTCCGGAAGCCAAGCGTATAATCAGAGCCGTGATGATGCTGCTCCACCGCTATTGTTCCAAGACCCCGCGACCGTTCCTGATAGCGACTTGATCCTCAAGACCAAGTACGGACAGTGGGTCGACTTGATCATCAGAATCCAAGGACCACTTGCCCAGCCACATCCCATTCATAAGCATGCCAACAAGTTCTTTGCCATTGGTGGTGCACCAGGCGATTTCAACTTCACCACTGTCGCAGAGGCACAAGCCGCTGGTCTTCCCTTCAACTTGGCCAATCCTCCCTTTGTGGATGGCTACACCAACCCCCCTGCTATTGGTACTGGCGCATGGATGGTATTCAGATACCAAGTCGACACTCCCGGTGCATGGCTCCTCCACTGCCACATCCAAACTCACTTCTCTGGTGGAATGGGTGTCGCCATTCTGGATGCTATTGATAAGTTCCCACAATTTCCCTCGGGCGATAATGGCTCAGGATCTGGCGGTGGTAAGGGCAACTCGGGGTCCGGCAACGGCAACTCCGGGTCAACAGGTGGAAGCTCAGGTAACCAAGGGTCCGGCGGCGACAGCAACCAATATCCACCTACGAGCTCTGGTAGCGGGTCCGTAATGACCACAGTGTCTGGCCCCACCGCGGTCTGGTCTTCATCTGTGGCACACTCTACTGGCTCACCCGCCAAAACAGGGCCACCTGTAGCAACTTTTACTGGAGCTGCATCGGCAACCCATGCATTGGGATATGGCGCCGGTCTGATTGCCATGTTGGCAGCACTGGTGGTTTGAGGGGTTTCATTTGTACAAAATTTTGGATGGTTTTATGTCCGCACGCAGCATATTACATAGTAGGTTACTATTACTAGGGATGGGAACTTTTAGAAGCCTCTGGGATTGGATATTGGAGGTATGAAAATATAATGACGAATTTCCTGCTTGACCTGGATTCAAATTTGCAAGAGTGATTGAGTTGATGGTGATCATGACCCATAGCCTACGTGTGCATTGTTGAAATCATAACAAAGTTTTCAGTGGATGGATATCAACAACGCGTCATTTTTGAAATTACGGAAACCTTCTACTCCGTAGATCGGCTAGGGCAATAGAATACAATCTCTGGATACATGGGTTTCTATGATGAGATACGGAGCAGCTTTCCATCCACCTACCTACGTACCTTACCTACCTGCACCCATTTTTCTCTGGGACATCTGGCAACTTGGTTAACGTGAAACACCCCGACACCGCGCCCTGGTTCTATTTATACTCACCTCAACGCTTGTCTCAAACTCAGCCTCTTAAACTCTGTTGGAGCGGGCCTTTTCCCTCTTCTCAGTTCGGAGTTTAATGATACAATGAAGTCTACTCTCTATTCTAGCCTATAGGCCACGAAATCTTTGCAACTACCTCGCTCCTCTTCGAGCTCTTAAGATCTTACAGAGACTCTCTCCTCTCTTAATCTCAGGTGGACATCCCTCGACGGTAGATGGCTTTTAGTCTCGAGTAAGGGCTAATGGAAAGGGTCGATCTCATGTTCTGATCCTTGACAGATCCATTTACTGGGTCGGACCTGCTGTTGAAGTCGAAACCCTCAAAGAGGTACTCGTTGGGAATGCTAGCAGCTGGGAGAAGCAAATGTGTAGTACTTCGTTCGTCGACCCATTTTTGCCCATATGCCCGAAACACGGTCGACCTTGGGCCAGGGCTAGATTCCGAATTGCGTCGATGGCCATCCCGCCAACGAGTGCGACCGAGTGGATGGTTGCTGTCAAAGTGGCATATAGAAAAGTCCGCCGCTCTCTGGTGCCATGCAGAGAGGCATTGCCATTTCTACGCACGCCCCTTCTCAACCATCTCCCTTGTCATTACCTAGCAGAGGGTCTGCCCGCACTGAACCTAAGTAGCAATATTTTATTTTTGCCTCCCCGCTCGCCTTTGCGTCCGCCACTCCCCAGATCCCCGGATTTTCGGTATCCCCGGTCGCCCCGGATTAGTCTACAGCGAGATTTGTTCACCGAGATGTCTTCGGAGCCGGCGTGATATTCCCTGTTCTGTCTTGTGCTAGTCCCTTGTCACCATTTCGGTAGAAAACTATCTCATGCTGGTTATTGTGGATAGCAGTCAAGCCTGAGAGATTCTAGGCTCTACGTCCTGGCTTTCCTCCGACCTCCGCAAATTGAAATCCAAGGATGCGAGGAGCATAAAGTCCTGTAGACCCCATGAAATCAATTGGCATCTTTACTTGAGCTCATTCACTTCTTGTAATTCTATCTGGAAAAGACATACTCCGAGCTCCTTAGTCATTGTCTCCAACATGGCAGTCGAAGATACCCTCGAACGTCGTGACACGACCGATTCTGTGCATGTCCACCTCCCAACTTATCTCGTATTAGCTGTATGTTCTAGCCACCCTGTCTCGTTCCAAGATCAACATGCTGATACTTGACAGGCCGTCAATTTTGCATATATGGCACAAATGTTTGGCGTCGTTGGCGCGGGGCTGTTTGCTCAACCCGCCCAGACCTTATTCATGGCGCCCAACCAGGGCACGTGGATGGCACAATCAATTACTATTATCATTGTGATACTGGCTCCACCTTTAAGCCAATTTGCAGATCTTTGGGGTCGCAAATGGATTGTTATACTAACACTCATGTGTGGCGGTATTGGCTCGTTCATCGCATCTCGAGCTCAAAACATGGCCACAATGATCGGTGCATTCTGTGTTATTGGAATCTCCTATGGATGCCAGCCATTGCTTCATGCAATTGCGTCCGAGGTTCTTCCTCGAAAACAACGCCCTATTGCACAAGGTGCGATCAATGTTGGGGCTGGCACTGCTACTGTCGTTTGCATCCTCGCCGCAGCATCCTTGTTGCGTCAAGGCAACTACGAAAATTACCGAATTTACATGTATATCGGGGGCGGAGTCTTTTTCATTGCTACGACAGGAGTGGCTGTTTTCTACTCTCCACCCAAGCGAGAGCTTCAAACGCAACTGGGCATGAAAGAAAAGCTTCGCAGCATTAATTGGATCAGTTATGCACTCTTCACCCCGGGGTTGGTTCTGTTTTGTGTCGCCTTATCGTGGTCGAGAAACCCTTACTTGTGGACAAACAGCCGCATCATTGTGCCGTTTGTTATAGGGTCTACGTTGATGATAGCATTTGGAGTATACGAATGGCGATTCAAAAAGGACGGAATCTTCCATCACGGCCTCTTCATCGACCGAAACATGTGGATCGCCTTAGCCACAATCTTTGCAGAAGGCCTTGCTTTCTTTGCCGTCAACAGTTACTTTGCCTTTTCGGTCTCGATTCTTACTCAGGCAGACTTCTTCACAGCGTGTCTGCCATTCGTGGTGGTTTTTGTGGTCTCGCTCGTCACGGCTTTGCTTTCAGGATGGTACTCGTCTGTTAAAAAGCAGCTGAAGCTGCCAATCACCCTGGGATTTACACTGAAAACCATCGCATTCATCTGTCTTGCAGCAACATCTGGGGGCAATCCTGGCTCCGCATTCTATGCCTTCGCTGTTCTCTTGGGTGTTGGGTTAGGGACTGTCATTCCTTTGGTTATGGTAGTAGCACAGCTTTCCACGCCCGCCCAGCTTATTTCAAGTGCGTCTGCACTCGTCATCATGGTGCGAGCATTTGGCTCGACAATCGGACTCGCCATTAACAACGCTCTTTTCAACAGTGCTCTCTCAACCGAGGTCCCAAAGAGAGTGGCAGCAGCAGTCCTACCACTTGGATTGCCAGAAGAATCATTGGGAATGCTGATTGGAGCCTTGATGACACATGATGAGGCTCTGTTAGCTCAGGTTGATGGGATTACACCAGCCATCATTGCTGCAGCTGGAAATGCCATCACTCGGGCGTATGGAATCGGTTTCAGAAATCTGTGGATTGCTTCTGGGTGTTTTACGTTCATCGCAGCACTAGGTGAGTCCAATCCTGGATCCAGTACGCCTTTAGACATGACCAATGTCAGTCGCTAACATCGCATTCCCAGTCTCCCTTTGTCTCATTGATCACAAGGAGGAATTCACCGCCCACATCGATGCTCCAGCGGAGGAAAGTGTGGCCGAGAAGCAAGACCGGTTGGAAAAGGTCTCTCAGGAAATCCCTCGGTCAAAACCAGTTCCTCGTGAGATAGAGATAGAGGCTTGAACTAGTGCCCTTCACTGGGTGTAGGCCCTCGAGAGTCATGCAATAGATCTAGTATCCTTCCTGGTATTAGGCTCCGTCGTTCTCTCAATGATCAAGCTGTCCAATTTCTAAGGCCCACCGGTGGCCCCGCGTCACGGTTACTCTGATCCCTTTGTCGTTATGAACCCTCTTATCATATTGGGTAATGCCAATGGAGGGACAAAGAGCTCAATCGCAATTTCCTCTGAACTACTCAGACGCTAGGTTGCCATTTTGGTGGCCCCAAGGTGATGGTTTCTTGGTGGGAATGTATCATAACTGCAAGACTGACGCTGAACACGTGTGATTCATAAGGGACTTGGCCGTTCGAAGAGACAGCTAGCTATTCTGCATATTTCCTCTGAAATTCTCGAGGAATGACTCAAACTTGGCTCCCATGGGCCGTCCCTAATGCACTAATGAGATAGAAGTGACCCTCAACCGCTCTGAGGCATTCCAATCTATCCAACTAAATGCCTTGTCGAGATTGCCAAGTTGACTGTCACTCAATCTCCATTTGATCACCCATATCTTCGCGCTGAATGCATTTCGCATTGTTTCCCCGAACGAAACGACGGTTTCCGCTGCATCCCCTTCTCTCTTTTACAGAAATCACGCTTCCGTTTCGATGCCGCCAGTATCGGATCCTAGCCAATCTTGCAGTGGATCCATTCCATTAGACGCCCACGCAGTCAATCCACTATGGAGACTAGGGTGTGCGCTGACGAAGAACGCCCCTGACTGAAGTCCATCGATGAGTGCTTTGGCATTGGCTTCAGCCGCTACGCCATTTGCGACCATGAATTGGCCGACGGCTTGGTGAAACTCGTCGGATGCTTTGCCTTCGATCTTGCCAATGCCATCCGTGAAAGTTATGTGCGGGAACAACACAGACACGGTGATTCCATGAGGCTTGAGCGTAGCCGCGAGGCACTGAGCCATTGAAACGTCAGCGGCCTTACATAGACAGTATGCAGCCAGATTTGCCGATACCATTGGTGCTGGGAAGAGACCATTCGGCGATGCTGTTATGACAATTTTCCCCTGACCTCGCTCGATCATTGCCCGCACAAACGCCTGTGTGACACGAAGATATCCGAAAACGTTGACATCCATCTGTTGAAGAAGGTCCTCGATCTCAATATCGATAATGCTCCCAGACCGAATTATGGCCGCATTGTTGTGTACTATATCCGGAACTCCGACGTCTTTGATCACTTGGGCTGCAAATCTTTTGACCTCATTGTCTTTGGTGACGTCGACCTGGAAGGAGTAGGCCTCGTGCCCGCTTGCCTTGAGCTGAGCCACAACCTCGTCTTGTGCAGTGATACTGATATCTGCCAGCACTACCCGTGCTCCCCGGTGACTGTATTCTTGTGCCACAGCGTGACCTATGCCACGAGCAGCACCGGTAACCACCACGATCTTGCCTTTGAGATCCATTTTCGTTTGCTGATTGACTACTGATAAGTACGGCCACCAGCAGTTAGACCTTGAGCATTTTCGATCTCGGACTGATGAATGAATCGTACCTGAATCGAACTATTAAGTTGCTTCCTCCTCCTCACAAAGTGGGCATCAATCAAGGCGGCTCGAAATGATGTGGCTGTGGAAACATAAAGTATCCATAGATGGCCAGCGCAGTGGGTTTGGCTCACCCCGCAAATCAATGGAGCATCTGGTCGAAACCCTTCACAGTTGGCTCCAAGGATGCTCTCCTGGGGTCCGGGGTGGGTCCGGGGTACTAATGCTTCTGCCAGTACTTAGCCAGGATGCCTGAGTACCCACCGAATCTCATTGGCATTCCATTTGCTACAAGTCGGCCCGTCCGGCCAGACCGGAACTCCGAAAGCACCGGAGGACAGTAACGAATCTTCACTCAGGGGAGGCTTACACTTCCAAGCCGGAATAGGAAATGAGATGAGTCGTGCATGACTGTTATTGTGGCTGTTGCAACGAGACGGTTACAACATTGTAGGTATCGTCGTTTGCATTGAATGTCGACCAAACATTGAGAATTCAGATTTACCTGTCCACCAGCCCTTTCAAATCATCATCAAGCAGAAGCCCAAGGAACGTAAAGATGGTTTACAAATCAAACTTCGACGACATTGAAATTCCAAAATGCAATATTCTCTCCTATCTGTTTCCAGAGAGCGAGGCGCTGTCAGAGAAACCGATTTGGATCGACGCTGACACGCCGAGCAACTCCCTTTCTCCCAAGCAGATGCTCTCATTCGTCAAAAGATTCGTGGTCGGACTCGAGAAGCTGAACATCGGCAAGCAAGTCGCTATCATGGTCTTTACACCTAATCATATCTTTGTTCCCCTTGCCTATCTGGCAGCTGTGGGTTCACGACGATATTATACCGGGGCGAATCCGGCATACACAGTCACAGAGCTTGCACACCAAATTTCGAATGTACAGCCTGCTTTATTTCTGGTGCATCCTTCCTTGGTTGATACCGCATTGGCTGCGGCGAAAGTGGCTGGCCTCAGTCGCAGTATGATCTATTTGTTTGAGGAGGCTGAATCAGAGCACCAGAACGGCCTGCAGCCCTGGACAAAGATTCTAGCCAGTGCGGCGGAAGCAGACTCGTGGAAATGGGACAATCTGGGCGATGAGGCCTTGACCGAGATAGCCACCATCAACTTTTCCAGTGGAACGACAGGAGTCGCAAAAGGCGTATGCAACACACATTACAACCTGGTGTCGAATGTGGCGCAGGTTTTATACTCCCTGTTCGAGGGCCCATCCCAAGCGGGTACATCTGCACTTGACCCCAAAGAGGAGCGCTGGCTCGCAACGCTGCCCTTGTATCATGCCTTTTCACAATTATACACAATTGGCATTGCTTGCCGATTGCAACTGCCAGTATATGTGATGAAGAAGTTCTCGTTGTCTGGCTTTCTCAAGAACATTCAACGGTATAGAATCACAACCGTACAAACGGTGCCCCCCGTCATGTCAATGCTGGCAAAGCTACCTGAGGATCAAGTCAAAATGACTGATGCTAGCACCTTGAGGAACTGCATGGTCGGTGCCGCCCCGATGTCGGTAGGGATCGAAGAGGAGGTCATTAAAACCTTCAAGGTGTTCGTATCTCGGGGCTGGGGAATGACCGAAACTACATGCGTTGGAACGCTCACGTTGCCGAACACGAGGAATGCCAATGGCAGTGTCGGCTTTTTGATTCCAAACACGACAGCAAAGTTGGTGGACAACGACGGCAACGAAATTTCGGACGGTCCTGGCGAACTCTGGCTACGTGGTCCTCAGATAATGCTCGGGTACTGGCGCAATGAAGCGGCGACTAAAGAGATCCTCACCCCTGACGGATGGCTCGCCACTGGGGATGTTGCTGTGGTCAAGGATGGTATGTGGTACATTGTGGACCGAAAGAAAGAGTTAATCAAAGTGAATGGCTTGCAAGTGGCACCGGCGGAACTGGAGGCTGTGTTGCTTCAGCACCCTCAAATTACAGATGCAGCAGTTGTTGGCATGACGCTCAGTCCTGATCTTGAGCTCCCACGTGCTTACGTTGTCATGAGCTCAGGACCATCCACATCACATACGCAAAAGGAGGAAGTCCAGAAGTTTGTCGCCGAGAGAGTAGCACGGCACAAGTGGCTGACTGGTGGGATCATGATCGTCGATGAGATTCCCAGACTCATGAGTGGCAAGATTCGAAGGGGTGTTGTCAAAGACTGGGCTCGAAGAGATGCAAAGAGCCATAGCGATAGATCGACCTTCCGGTTGTAAATCTGAACAGGTTGCCTTAAAGCAATATCGAACAATGTTTTTAGAAACACGGTGTGAATTGGTTCGCAATTAATGACGACCATTGGCCAGACTCTTGTGGATACTTGGTAGGCCACAGTCCCACAAGAAGGCAATTCTCCGAGTACTGCGTACTATCCTCGTCATTAATGGGTGTGAATAACGTGTTTTGCGCTATAAAGCTATCTAGGTACTAGCATATTCATTGAGCGGCTACGGTGGGTCTGGAAAGGGCAATATGTGCCGGCAAAGTGTAACGCTGGCCAATCTCTTGCCTTGTCTTGATCTTCGTTGCATCTTCGGCAGTCAGACCTTCCGAGCCGTCAGGGTTGGCCTTGGAGAGAATACTTTGTGCCCATTCCTCGGCGTCAAAGTCGGTACCGATTGGGTTCATCGAGAACAGAGGCCCTTTCATAAACGCGTCAGCGGCCTCCGCCGTGTCGAAGTTGTCTACCTGGCACTCGATTCGATTTCCGTCTGGGTCAAGATAGTAGATGCTGGTTGTTGGGCCGTGGTTTGTCGTCCAAACGGGCAAGACCGGGTTTGCCCCAGTCTTCATCGAAGTATAGACCTGGGCGAGTTCTGTCAGGTTGGAGTATGTGTACGCAAGGTGGTCAACCTCAACCCGTGGATCGTCTTTCTGCTTGGGCCTGAGATTAGGATCGTTGGCTATGGCAATGCGGTGATGTTCATGGTCATAACGCAAGAAGGCAAGTCTGGGTGTGTAATGAACAATTTCGGCGTGAAGCAATTTCAGGTAGAACTGGATCATGGTTTCGTAGTTCTCTGGTGTCGTTCGTAGAACCGCGTGGGCAAACGCAGATGGGCTAGGATGAACCAACTCGGTCTTCCCAACGGTGTCATTCCCAGCAGCCATGTTGAAAATGATAATATGACTCGGTTGCTGGCACGAAATCGTTTTTGCTTTCAATCTTTGTTTGAATGTTTTATCGTGAAGATCAGCTAGATTCTGATCTACAGTCGATCGATATGCTGAGGAATGAGTAGACAAATGTTGAATGTTGTTTGGATTTCTTCCCCCACCCTTTATTTGGCCAGCAGAGGGGCAAGCACCGGGACTCGGATCAAACGAGGCTTCACTCTCTGAGACACTTAGCTGATCGAACCATCCCCCCGCATACTACCAGTGGCCACGAGCCGGCGTGGCTCGGTCGTCCGAGCACCGAGCCCATGCTGGCTCCATATAGTATCTCTCTAAACCATGGTCCGTGGAATCGCCAATGTATCCAGCCTGGCAGATTCATAGATCATGTGAACGATATTTGCCCGATGCCTCGTGGGTGGCACGTCTTGTGATCAGTTCTCTAAATCGCCCCACTTTGAGCCTTTTCAGCCGTTCTGTCATTGTGTATCTCCAACATCGCCAATCAACACGTCGACAAGGAACTTCTTTCTGGAAGCTATGAACAAACGGAGAACAATGTAGACCATCTCAAAACTCCTTCGTTGTCTCAGATGAACTCATCAACGCAGTGGTTGAGTATCAAAATGTGGTCGAATCATAGCTTCTGGAGGACCCTCCTTTGCAACGACGAGAGCATTACCATGTAAAGGAGAAACGGGTTACTTTATAATTCATAGCTCTGGAGGATGCTAAATCTTGAATCACTAACATTTTGGAGACAGTTGTTCTCGAAGTGTTGAGCGCCTTTAACTGGCATTCGAATACTAGTGTTGTTGTACCCTGACCATGTCACATCACTGAGCAGCCTGAAAGAAAGTTTGAAAGGGCCTCCCGAAGTGCATGTTCGTTATTCGTCAGGATAGTATGAGATGAGAACACAATATGGAAAGATCTGGAGTTGAGGGACTGATTTATCTCCGGCGTTTTATTGCGCAGAGACGCAGCCTAACCCTAGCCCTCGAAGAGCTGAAGTTAACAGTCAACTTCCTTTCCTGTAACTTTAGACCTCGGATGCCTTCCACGCCTCCTCCATCATTGTCATTCTGTTCTCTCCATATGCTTCGACATCAAATTCGAAGGGCTCCGGACCACTATTTCCTGCACTCACATACTTATACCATGGCACTTCGACTTCCTTTCCGTCCACGACCTTTTTGTGGATACGGCATGCCCACGCAAGCGAGGCTATCTGGATGAATAGAGCGCGTTCGGCAATCTCGTAGCCTGGACATATCCGACGACCAAATCCAAACGCTGAGTATCGCTTGATAGTAGGCTCTTGCTCGCCAGGCTGCTTATAGGTCGCTGGATACTCGGAACTGAGCCATCGATCTGGACAGAAAAGCTCCCCATCAGGGTACATAGCATCGTTTCTGTGTATACCCCACTGATTGCCCCATATCAAAGAACCCTTTGGAATGTGGTAGCCCTGGTAGACGTCGTCTTGCACTACACGATGTGGAACATCTAGAACAGATATGTCAGCAAAATCCTTTACAAATCAACTGGAACAACTTACTAGAAGGGACAACCGGCCTCCAACGGAGAAGCTCCTTAGCGACCGCACGAACAAGTGGAAGCTCGCCCCAGTCTCTGAAATCCGGGATCCTGTCGGGTCCGACGACATTTTCCACTTCACAATGGAGACGGTCTTGCCACTCGGGATAGTGGCACATTGCTAAGCAGTAGTTATGCATTGTCAGTGATGTTGTACCAGAGCCTCCTCCGTACAGCGTTGCAATCACATAACATGCTTCTTTCCGTTTCAGCCCGTAGCCGTCAGCCTTGGAAAGCCATTGGCGTGCGAATGACGGCGGGTCTTCTGGGATCCCCTTTTTATATTTTTCTTCAGCTTCCTCGAACAGACCATAAAAGTAGGACGACTCGACTTCGTGAAGCTTTTTGGCTTGTCTCTTGAAAGGAGCGAGCCACTCAGGTAGGTACATGAGAATTGGAAGAAAGTCAACAAGATAAAGCCCTGGGGATCCTACTCGTTCGAGGGTATGCATTCGGGACATGATCTTCTTCGTATGATACTCCCCCTCCTCTGCACCGATGAGATCCTTTCCAAATCCTTGTCGAACAGAAACGCAGGTGGAAACACGCTCAAGCCAAAGTTGATATTTCGAAGGGTCGCGAATCATGTCCACTACCATTCGCCTAGCTTCTCGGGCTTGGTATGGTTTCCACTTGTTGGCCATACTGGCAGTTGTCACTATTGTCGCAAACTTTCGGCCACGCTTCCAATAGTCATCTGATCCACGGACTACCAGGTCCCCACCATCAGTGACAAGATGCACCATCGGAAAGAGTCTTCGATCCGAATAAAGCAGCCCTCTAGTCGCCATCAGATCCTCGGCTATCTGAGCATCATTGATAATGACTGATGTCGTCCCAAAGATCTTAATCTGGTAAATTGGGCCGTAGATTTTGCCCCATTCCTGAAACTTGATCCACCAATGCGAGGGAGGAAAATCAAGAAGATTACCAATGATAGGGTAACCTGATTCACAATCAATATAGTCCCAGACAAAAATCTGCTCCTCGACTCGCCTTTTGGTCCGGGTAGCGTACGGCTACCTGTAGGTGCCTTTGAAAGATTGGATCGGAGAAGCCACAAGAGAGCAGCGGCTCCGATCACCACATAAACAAGCAGAGAAGCTGAGCTATTTGCTGAATTCGTCATTTTGAATGTTTGTCAGGAGAAACCCCAAGTTTCTGGACCTGGTCATGTTATTTTTGTCAAGGCCGATCCTGGCATAGCTATTCATTTGCTTTTAATATGGGATCAGTCTTTACCATCTACCGGAGCTTCCGGCTTTCTCTTCGTCATCCCTAAATGCAATTACCCCAGACGTTTACCTGCGCCCCATGAATTTTGGCTCCGGAGAACACGCCACTTACCTTTGTTAAGCAGCCCCGAATACCCCATCCTACTCCACGCCGAACGCCCGGGGCTCCGGACCGACTTTGGCTCTGGGTGATGCCTATCAAAATCCTTTCCCGACACGACCGCAGGCAGAGCTTGAACAGTTACCGTGAAGCGGTGGAGAGGACCGCGCGGACTACTGGGTCATATGGAGCCAAGGATTAGATGGCTAAAATTCTAATGTCCTGTTGAACACTGTTTCAAAAGACACAGTTGGGACGTATTCCCAAGGGAAAGTCGAAGAGCTTTGTCTGCCATCATCCACAGTGGTACCAAATCTATCAGAACAGACATGGACCAAAGAATTGAGAAGGTTTTGGTTGTAGGAGCAGGGCCTGTAGGCCTCTTGACAGCCTTGATGCTGTCCAAAGTTGGGATTTCAGTCCAAGTTTACGAAAAGAATACAGAAATCGATCAAAGGCCTCGAGGGGCCGCTTACGGGCGTGCTGCAGTTCGGTAAGGAGCATTATTTGGCTCTTGACAATATTTCATGGCACTGACGCTACTCCTCACTCCAGAGTCTTTCGCCAGGCGCAAGTACTCGACAAGTTGCGAGAGATGGGGGTAGATGTCTCGTCGATCGCATGGCGAAAGCTGGACGGCACTCGAATCACTGGGTTTTCGCAGGAGCATAATCAATCGGATCCCGAAAGATCCCTTGTTTTACCGGTCCACTTGTTGGCCCAGTTTCTTTACGACGAGGTCAAGTCTTTGCCGAACGTCGAGGTCTTTTGGGGACACAAGTTCAAAACCCTCACACAGACAGAAGACAAGGTGACGGTCGAATTCGAGACCGACGGAGGCACAGTTTTTTCTGAGGCCAATTTCGTTCTTGGGAGTGACGGAGCACAAAGTGATGTTAGAAAATGTCTCTTTGGCCGGAATTTCCCTGGAATGTCGTGGGATGTGCAAATTGTGGCAACAAATGTGAATGATCGGCTCCTCAAACGCTCAGACGTCGTCATTGCTAACTTTCACAGATCAAGTATTCCGGATTTGACATCCCTGGCTGGTCTGATGTTCAATGGATCATCCACCCGGAACACTGGGCACTGTTATGTCGACTCGATCGAGAAGGCACCTGGCGCGTTGCGTACGGTGAGAAGGCGGATCTTGATACAGATACACTCAGAGAGCGACTTCCTTCGAAGTTCAAAGCTATCTTACCTGGATCTCCTGAACCAGGTGATTATGAATTGTTAAACTGGAGTCCATTCGTTATGCATCAGCGATGCGTTGAAAAGATGACCGTTGGGCGGGTAGTACTTGCTGGAGACGCTGCTCATCTCTGCAATCCAATGTATGTTGAGATCTCCGCTTGTTCAGCTTGAAAGCCAATGCTTACGTTTTTCTTGAACAGGGGCGGCCTTGGACTTACTGGTGGCATTGCGGATGTGGGCAGCCTGGTCGAATGCCTGGTCGCAATTCACAATGGGGCGGCAGATTTCTCAATCCTAGAGAAGTACGATGAGAAACGACGAGAGGTGTATCACACAGTGACCGATCCAACTTCATCGGGGAATTTAAGAAGAGTCTTCAACGATGGCGAAACAGTCTTGGAGCACGATCGAATGCTTCAGATGATCGAGAAATCTGCGACTGACCCTGCGCTAGGAAAGATTTTGATGCAGGTGAGATACCCAAGCGTTCGAGTTGTTAAGAATGGACACGGTATTCTGACAGATATCCCAGTTTGAGAACGCACTATCAAGTGATATGTCGCAGTTTTACACTCCTCAGCAAAGTGAGGTATCCGTGTGAGAGGAGCTTGTTGCGGTCTGTCCTTACAAGACACCCGCAACTACGCATTACACAGTAGTCATTGAATCAATTGGAATCCCCACCGTATCTTGATGTAGTACTTGTTTGGTCATGATTGTAGTTTCGAATTAATGTCGTGGCTTGATTGCGTACGCAAGGGTTATACTTTGGTTCTGAGGTTTAAATCTAACTACCTAGTACTTAGCTCCCTCTTCTCATCCATTCGATCTTTTAGAGTCCTACGCTAGATAGCCAGTTGCCCAAGTCAGCGCCCCATTTTTCCTCTTCGGTTATCCCCGTGGCTAACGACAGAGGCGTGCTCATATGATTGTGGCCTGCAATCTCAACAAGCTGCCCCTTTCCTCCCCTTTGTGTCCACAAGTCCCAAAACTCGGAACTTGAGATCTTGACTTGTTCTGGATCCAACTCGTTGCACATGATCATGTACGGAGGGAAGGCGGCAACTTCGCTCTGGCGAAGACCTTGTGTGGCTCGAATCATGAGATTTGTGGGCTCAAAATCGTCGACCTCTGGTCCACTGCTTCCTAGATATCCCTCTAGCAACGGCCTCAAAGCTGTTCCAGTATAGAAACGGAACGATGATGAGAGAATACATATGGCTGACACTTTTGGCCCTTGACCATGTCCAATGAGCGAATTTCGATGTTCAGCAAATGCTCCATCGAATGCCCAAGACGAAACATGGTATCCCCCAGCTGAGTTTCCTAAAAGAAAGATTCTCTCTGTTTCTGGAAGTTGCTTTTCGACCCACGTTAACGCAAGATCCAAATCTTCGGCGCCGGAGGGATATCGTGCGCCATGTTTGATTAAACGATAGTCAATGATGAGGGTCTTGAACCCAAATTTCTCCGCAAAATAATGTCCAATATTTGCATACACCAAGTTTCCTGGGATGTCGCCCAAAATCTTTTCTCCAGTGGCAAATCCTCCTCCGTAGAGGTAGATAAGGACAGGAAGAGGTTTGATGGATGGATTTGTTGGAGTGTACACGTCCATCTTCATCCTGTCATTGGGGCCATAGGAAACAGTATCTTTCTTCGTGCTTTGAATTGCAGATGCATTTTCGTTAAGAAGAGAGCCGTATATCTGGTAGGTTGGAGCAACCGTCTCCATTACATCGCTGCTTAAGGAACGAAGTTTTTCCATGGTGGTTAGAGCACCTCCACGATCAGTGACTTGCGGCGACGTCTTGGGGAATTTTTGACTTGAAGCCCCACCAATGGTAAGCCAAACGACAAGTAGAATGGCAATAGAATAAGTCAGCGGATGGCCACTGTCTGAGGATACACCTTGTAGTTCTATCTGAAGGCAAGCCTTGACAGACAGTGTCGTGGTGCGCACACTTGCTCTTTCGTCGGCGAGCTGTCTACCGTGCACGTGCAACTGGGCCAAATTGATTTCTTCCGGACCGAGAAAGGCTCAACCAATACTGGTGACAAAAAGCCACAGTGTACGGAGATGTAAGATTGCCCCGGACCTTCAAACCTCATCACCCCAGTCGAGGTTGTCTTCCCCACGGTGGCATACACGAATCAAGGACCTCTCCTACCTTCTCCACTCACCAAGTCTTCTGTACAGAACGCCCAACGCTGTCGTTGTTCTACTGAGATCATGTGGTCTCCTTAGGACAGGGTCACAGACTTCTCGGAATTGCCGAAATCGCCGAAGTCTCCGGACTGGATATATGCCCAGTCACCTCGGGCCATACAGGGCGCTAAAGTATCTGAGCCACCAGGTTTTGTGGGTTGATCAATGAGGGTGGATAACTCCAGGATTCATATCCCCACAACCCCGGCTCGGGGTCAATAATGCCTAGCATCCTTTCCCAGAGTCAAAGGTTGGTGGAAAACTCTAGGCGCATCGTTAACGAACAATTCAACCAAGAGCGCCCGTGCCCCGCGCCTCCTCAATCTTCACCCGCCAAGTTTCATTCTTCGCAACAGCATCGGTCGATGCAATGCTCTCTACCTAAGAGTAGCTTCTCCGTCGTTATGGCGCCAGACCTTGATTCTCTTCTTGAAGTAATACCTAGAATATCCACTTACTTAGCCAGGGAGCTTGCTTCATAGCCCATTTGCAGCCCATATACTCGAAATATTGATAATTGGAGCCACCACTTCACCGATGAAGTCCAGATCATATCCTGAGAGCATTGCGAGGCCACCAAGTACTGGTCCGCCACAGGCGCAATTGCAGGCCTGCAATTATTGCCGCACCAAAAAAGTGAGATGTATGACCAGCTGACCATTCTTGTCCAGGCACGTCTCGCTGATAGTATGGACGAACAGGTGAAGGTGGCCGACCCTGTACACAATGCCTCACTCACTACGAAGAGTGCGTCTTTGCCACGTCGCGTCGCGCCCGCCGGAAACGAGAGCGCAACACTGGCAGCACCACAGCGCAACGCCTTCTTAGACTCGAATCGTTGCTCTCCGGTGGTCCTGATCCTGTTCATGATGCCGCGCAGAGTATACGGGGCCACTCGTCATTTTCAACCAACCCGGCACACGAAAGCGCCTCAAACCATTCCCCTTGCATGGACGTCGCCTCGACGCCCGCCAGTATATCTCATCGATCAGCTTCTTTGTCGATGATGCCAGACAACCACCAGCACTTGTATGGAATTGGATTAAGCGATCAGAACTCTCACCCCATGCCGATTGAACATCTGGGAGAAAAGCAGGCTTTGAACGCCGAAGCCAGTCCTCTTCAGTCGAAACTACCACAGGATGTCCCGGTAGGTTTTCCTGGGGCACTCCCGACCCCAGCAAAGTCGTCGCTGGAGCCGCCGTACGTTGATATCCCGAGAGATCATTCACGAGAACTTCCGATATCAGATGAGGTGAATACAGAAGAGGATTCTAGCCTTCCTTCGCATGAGAGTGTAAGCAGACATTGCCCTACTTTTCCCCAAGCTCACCTCTAAAGTTGTTAACTGACTGTCTACTTAGTCAAATTGGGAGTATAACGGTAAGTTCGATGGTGGCGTCCGACACTTGCTATATCCTGATGTGTCTGCAAACAGGACCGAGGTCAATGATGTCCATCTGCTCACCGCCCGCGATCGCGTGGGTGACGAGTCGGGTACAAGCACCGGGGATCCGAGATTCTATTCGCAGTTTCACCCGAAAGATAACGATGCGGATGAAGCTCCAATCGCACGAGTCTATGACTTTGTGGCAACGTTCACCGGAACCTTCTATGGACCTTGCCCGTTGCTATACTGAAGGTATGTTATGGGATCGCCATCTGACGGGTGGTGTTTTAGCTGAAAACTTTATTCATATTTGATCTAGCATTCTTTCAACATTCAGTCGAAGCATTGATTGGCATTTTCGATCGTTCATGGTTCGAAGGGAAGCTGCAGCATCACTTCGCGCACCCTCCAGCCGACAATGATTCGTCGTGGTATGCTTTACGGAATACAGTCTATGCTTTCGGTTGCCGGATTCATTTGAACAAAACGCGCTCGTACACTGAAGCTGTCGAGTCGTCCTTGGTGTTTTTCAAAAACGCCTTGTTGGTCGAGCTTGACCTGTTGCATCAGCATTCTTCTAAAATGAGTGTGCAGGCCCTGACGTTGATGGTTAGTCTGCAGTTTGGCCCAAAATGAAGACAGTTCACACTGTTGTGTACTGACGCAATCTAGGCATATTTCACAGAAGGAATTGGCAGTCCTCATCTGGAGTTCACCCTTTGCTCGAGTGCAATAAGCTTGGCTGTTTCGAAAGGCCTTCATCGGCAGCCTGCCGCTCACTGGGGTCTTTCCCAAAGGGAAATCCGACAACAAAACGGGCTATTCTGGAATTTATACTGTTTGGATGCTCAGATATCTCTTCGCTCCGGGCGACCGCCGGTAAGTCTCTTCGGTTACCTAGGTGTGACCAATTACATTTGCCTTCATAGCTAGGCTGACCGATTCATAGTCCATTGATGATAATGACATCAGCTGCCGTGCACTTCAGCATGATGGAGACAGCGATGTTATTTTTTCCTCTATCTGCATCAGACTCGCTCAGATATCCCGCCGGGTCTACAGGCGACTTTCTAGCGCCAGGGCTCTGCAACAATCGACAAAAGAACTTGTTCGGGCGGTAAGCGAACTGGACAATGAACTTGATCAGTATCAGAGGTCCATCAGTTCGTTGGTGTCTTTGGAACAAGCTCTGGATCCACTTGCCGTTTCGACAGTCTTACCAGTGAATTTGGTGATTTTGTTAAAGTATCTATACTACAGCATTTTATTCGCCATCCATACCCCTCTGGTGCTTCCTTGGCTCAACCAAAACAAGCTCGATCGACCTGAAGATTTCGAACAGCAGGTGGAGTATTCATGCCAGACAGTGGCAAAGGCGGCGAGAGCAGCAATCCTAAACACCAGATTCATCCACCTGGATGCTAGCACTCCAGTTTTGTAAGCATTTGCCCTAAGGAGAGGCTGGAGCAGATGTGTCACTGACAGACTAATCCAGACTGGCTATCTTTGTTCCCAACAGCAGCATACTTGCACTATTTCTTCACATTTTGAAAAACCCTTGTGCACCGTCAGTCCAATCAGACATAGTACTGATGGACATCGCATCAGGTTTCCTCTCTCGGTTGTTGCTAGCCACTGACTGCACCCTCTCCCTGTCTTTCATCACGGAGCTTCCACAACATGCTCGTGCGGCTCAAAGGGCTGCCGAAGAATCTGCTGTGGGGGGGACAAATCACGACATTGTCCACACTGCCATGAGAGACACAGCAGACAACACTGAAGAGGGATCCACGAATCTTGGACTAAACCCAGGCCTCGATAGTCGTCCAGATGCCAACGTGAGTTCTGAAATAGGCTCGGCTTCACCAGCCACGAATAAGCGTTTCGCTCGTTGCTTGTCCATCTGCTGACACTTTGACTTTTTCCTCCAGTTGGAGAACCTAGACTTTGAACTCGATATCGACGGCTGGAATACACTACTACCATTTAGTGATATGCAGGAGTATTTCTGGCTAGAATAGCATGATGCGCCGACTTGCTGTATGATATATTTGGCAGCAAGTTAAGACTCGAATCTCGGTCATCGTTGGCTCGAGGGGAGCTGATGCGAACCAATCAACAATACGAGCTAGACTCGTCGTGCTGAATCTGTGCAAGCCTGTCTTCATCTTCATCGGCCCCCTCCTTCTGCTCACAGCTCTGTCATATCAGGAGGACATATCCTTCCTTGGGTCAATCCTACAGGTGCGGGCCGGACCCATGCCCCAAGCGTGCACCAATAGGGGACTCGAGGCATCCCTTCAATCCCCAAGTCGCGCCTCGGCCGCTTCGTCGCCGGCGCCTGTTCCCGCCCAAGTGGCCTCTCGCATGGCCGCTTGGTTGTGGTCCCTTGTTGTCGAGTGTACAATGTGGAGAGGGTCTAAGGGACCATGCTCGGCATTAAGGGAAGAAAACCACCAAAAGCGGCGGTCCTGGTCGCCAGATTCGGCGGGCAAAAGGAAGGAAGGAAGTTGTTCATTCGTCGGATTATTCAAAGTCCGACTCCGATCAACTTTTTGGCGCAATCCAGCACATGAAGCTTGAAACATCCACCGTACTCCGAGCTATCTCTGACGTCATGATTATGAAGTCCTCACTCACGTGCACACCTTATTATGACTCCTCCAAATCTTTCACAATCTCCGACTTGCGTCCGAAAAAGCCGAAAATGTGTGCATTATATAATCATCATTTCTGCCAGATTGCGTACACTTGAACTCTTTTGAAATCTTATCAGGCCTTAACCATACCAAAACACGTGTTATGGCGTGCCGTACACCCGATATTTCATAATACACCAAGTATCATATAAAGTCCACAGTGCTGTCCATGACATCTCCCAATCTTCATACCAACTACCACGCCCATCTACTCTACCGTTGGTCCAATCATGAATCCTATATGAAACTCGTCTTTTAATTCTATCTCCTGGGACAGATCTTGCAATGAACAACATAGAGAGGATCCTCTCTCGTCCAGTCGCCAAACCATACCGCTCCGGATCAATCAGCCCCAACATCAAGCCATTCCTTAACAAGCAGGGCTATGTTGACTTTTCTCCTAATGATGTCGAAAATCCGAAAGAATGGTCCAGCGCTCGCCGATGGTACATCACGACGATTGCCATTTTACTCGTGGTTAATGCTACCTTTGCCTCATCCAGCCCTTCAGGGTGTCTCGTTGGCATAGCAGAAGAATTCCACGTCTCACAGACAGCTGCAGGCCTCGTTATCACCCTGTTTCTGCTTGGATACTGTGCTGGGCCTTTGATATTTGCACCTTTGAGCGAGTTTTATGGGAGACGCTGGGTCTTTTATGGCACCTTTTCAGGCTACCTGGTCTTCAACTTTCTCTGTGCCTTTGCGCCCAATTTCGGGTCGCTGTTGGTCGGTCGCCTCTTGTGCGGAATCTTTGCGAGTGCACCATTGACTAATGCTCCTGGTGTTCTCGCCGACATATGGGGCCCTGTGGAGAGGGGAGTGGGCATGGCTCTATTCTCATCCATGACATTTGTCGGACCTGCCCTTGGCCCTCTCGTGAGTGGCTTCCTCCAGCTAACCAGGAGCTGGAGATGGAATTTCTACGTCCTGTTGTGGTTGGGAGGCATTACTGAGCTCATGATGTTTACCATGCCAGAGACGCTCCCATCAGCAGTTCTAATCAACAAGGCTCGACGACTTAGAGCAACGGGTATTCCAGAATATCGAGAGCTTCAAGCTCCGGCTGAAGCACAAGGCCGTGATTTGAAAGACATGTTCAAGATCTCCTTCACGAGACCCTGGCAGATCCTCTTCGACACAATTTCACTGCTTGTCGCTCTATATGTCACTGTGGTCTACATATTGCTGTACATGCTCTTCACCATCTACCCTATCGTCTTCCAGCAGAAACGCGGCTGGAATGCTGGAGTCGGCCAACTACCACTTATCGGCACCGCTATTGGTGGTTGTCTTGGTGGTCTCATCGCCTACGCTTTTTCAAGGCGAGATAAGAGGAAGATGGACGCCGGAATTCCGCGTAAGCCCGAGGACCGTCTACCTCTGGCCATGGGCGGAGGCATCTTGTTTGCAGTCACCATGTTCTGGTTTGGATGGACCGCCAACTTCAACAGCATTCACTGGTTTGTCCCGACATTGGCAGGAACAATCCTGTCCACATCCATTCTCCTCATTTTCGTTGCATATCTCAACTATCTTACCGACACCTATCTGATGTACACGGCAAGCGCCATGGCAGCCAACACAATTTGTCGCTCGGCCGGTGGTGCGGCCGCACCTCTCTTCACAAGATCCATGTTCGAAGCTTTGGGAGTTGGTGGAGGTGGTTCTTTGATTGGCGGGTTTGCTATTCTTTTAGCTCCTATTCCTTTTGTCTTTTACCGTTACGGAGAGCAGATTCGACGACGCAGCCGATTTGCTCCCACCGAAGACGCACCCGCAGATGATGAAGAGAAGCAGGGGCGCATACCTGTGCAGACAGGAGATGGACCACTCGGATCTGCGGTGCCGTCAATCCACTCCAGTCATGACAGTCCTGATTCGACGGACCTTGAATCTCTTGGTGAATCAAATCCACCACACCAACAAGAAGGTTAAGTCGAACAGAAGTAGAACTAATATCTCATGTACAAAAACCACCATAGCAATTGCCGAGAAGCCGCGGCTCGATTTACATACTGTACTATAGCGCTGATCCAGCCTGAAAAATGCCGCACACAGCCCCGTCCTCAGTATTTATAATATGGGTCAACAGGAATGTTCTTCCGTAGATGGTTTCGAAATAAAGGTGGGACCCTGCCGCGAATATCCGATGCTCCCGACTGGCCTTGACAAACATGATGTTCGATCAAGTCCTCGATCGCACTTGCCCATCCGATCAACTTATCCTCTTGCCAGGCTGAATGCTGAAGAGTCAAGGCCACTGGCATACCGTCTGGATCCAGTCCCACAGGGATCGAAATGATTGGATATCCTGCTTGAGCGGCGATTTGGATCCCTCCAGCTTTCGCGTCGCAGAACAGCAGCGCGTCAAATTGGGAGTCTTGTCCACCGTGGTCATCCTTGTCAGGTGGCACAGGCTCTCCTCCGACCCTGGTCCTCCGGTATAAGGCAGCATCGATTCCATTCCCACGACATTGCTTAGTGATGTGCTCCAACGCCTGGTGGTAGATCTCGTCCTTGATGCCCTTAGTCTCGACACTTTGTCGAAACACTCGCTGTCCCTCCGGCCATGCTGGCAAATCCCCGGCGTGTCCTCCTTCCGAGCCACTATTCTGGTCGTTGAAGCGAACTATATCTTCCAACGTCTTAATTGGTGTGTTCTTCAGCTTTTTCAGGTATCCTTCAATCAAATAGTATGCTTGAACTTTGCAAACGGTGATTTCTGACCGTTCGGGGGAAGTCTCCCCGTGCAACTCCCAATCCCATAGTCCCTCTGGTTTCAATCTCTCTTCTGCGCAAGGCATGTTGGTTTCAACAATCTCTGCCCCGGCGTCGCGCATTAATTTCAGTACTTGTTCGACCACTTGGCGCTGGGGCACAGGTGCGACATCCCAGAACCTTGCCATAGGCAAGCCAAACTTTGCGCCTTTCAGAGCAGATCGATCTTTGAGGCACCTAAGATAACTCCCTGGTTGCTGCCTTTCAGGCTGAATCGTAAACTTGTCATTCTGGTCTTCACCTGCTATAGCATCCAAGGCATAAGCAGCGTCGGCCACAGACCTCCCAAAGACGCCAACCGAATCTTGCGTTTCCGAGATGGGAATGATGCCTGCTCGTGACGTTAGGCCGACAGTAGGTTTGATAGCAACCACTCCATTGACCATGCCAGGACTGATCACACTGCAATCAGTCTCAGTGCCAAATGAGACTGGGACGATGTTTGCGGCCACGGCCACGGCGCTTCCAGAGCTGCTACCATGAGGAGATCGGTTGAGCGAATACGGATTCCGGCATTGCCCTCCGCGCGGAGAATATCCTTCAGAGTAGGCCCCTCCTCTCATGCCTGCCCACTCATCCATGTTGGATTTTCCCAGGATGACAGCCCCAGCCGCGCGTATCAGTTTGACAATGTGCGCGTCTTCCGGGACGATGCTTCCCAGCAGAGCCCACGACCCCGCCGTGGTCTGCATCCGATCTGCCGTGGCCATGTTGTCTTTGACCAGTACAGGGATTCCGTGCAGTGGACTTCGGACGATCCCTTGTGCTCGCTCCGCATCGAGGGATATGGCTTGAGTCATGGCGTCAGGATTGACTTCAATGACACATTCAAGGTAAGGGTTGAGTGCTTGGACCCTTTGCAGACAGAATTCAGTCAGAGTGGACGCTTTTAGTACACCGCTTGTCATATGCTCTTGCAGCTCAGCGACAGATGCTTCATAGATATTCAAGCCTTGACAAAGCGGTAATCGGAAAATCGCCGGCATCTCCTCTGACTGTTCCATTCTAAGTGATCTTGTACGACACATGATGTGAAGCAGGTGCTGAAGCGTCCTCGTCGGACATGGTCCTCAGGTGAGACTGTGCTCGATCTGGATGGGCGAGGGTGTGGGAAAAGTCAAGAAATGACTTCGTTTCATACCCTGGAAGCAAGACCTCGGCGTCACATGACCGGCATCGTCAACAACATCAAAGCATTTCCACAAATGTCAACAACTGACGTCAATTTCTATTCTAAACTTTCATATGATCAATAACATCTATCATAAAGAATTCCGCCGCCGCAGTATCTGGTATCGCCACATTATCGCAAGATCTTGCCCCTTTATTCGCTAGTCCTGGCCTCTCGGAGGCTCCCACATGAATCATCAATCATAGGATATACTTGAAATCCAGAGCCCGATCCCCTTCTAGTCCATTAGTGGTTGCTCCTGTGGCAATGGCCTTGTCCTTCTGCTGGTTTCTGCGTCTCAGGAGCAGCCAGGTCAAGACAACAAACACAGAGGCAATTACTTCCAGGCCAGCCGAAATGGAGTTACCCATGATGAAGCGAGGCGCTTGAGCTTTGGGGTATAGTTGTCCTGCAACAAGTCCGCTGCAGTTTCCGATACTGGCAAAGATAGGCAGACCGACGGACCGTTTGTAATCAGGGACAAGATTCGTCGCCACCCAAGTCATCATCAGGCATGAGAAGGAGTAAACACCAGTGACGAGGATAAACATGGCCACATAGCAGGCGATGCGGTTCGAGGTTCCCACACAGATCAAGTAACCTGCAATGACGGGACATGCGGAGATGAGAAGGAATAATGCTCGCTGTCTGAGCTTGTCAGACCAATATGCTTGCGTCAGCAATGAGGCCGCGCCGACAGCATAGACTGGAATTGTCAGGTAGTTGGCTTGGAAAGCATTGTAGCCAAAGCCTCTGATCAGCGTTGGAAGAAAAGTCCCATAGCCGAAAATGGCGACGCTGGAGGTGAAGAAGGCCATGGAAGCGACGTAGATGAAGGGATCAGTCAGCGCTTGCTTGACCCACTTCCAATCGAATTTGTCGTCTCCTTTGTAGATGATGTCGCGCTGCTTTCGCAGTCTCATGAGTTCTTTCTCGTCTTCCTTCAAGAACCAAGCGGTCTCGGGCTTGTTTGGGAACGACCAAAGGCAGCCACCGCACAGAGCAAGGGATACAGAACCTTCGATGATGAAAAGCCATCTCCAGGCCTCCAGTCCCCTCTGCTCACCCATTGTCTGGATGGCATACGCGAACATACCCCCGAAGGCTCCGGAAACAGCATTGGAGAAGTTGATGAGCGCAACCCGTTTTGCTGTGGATTCGCGAGAATAGATGGTGGAGAAAATGAATGTGAAGGCCGGGGCAACACCTGCTTCGAAGAGCCCGAGGAGCATGCGACAGGCGAGAGCTTGATGATAGTTTTGAACAAAGCCAGTTGCAATAGTGGCGGCGCACCATCCGACAAGCGCCGTGGTGATGACAAAGTTGGGACCGAAGCGTTTGACAGCGGTAACCCAGAAGACCTCGGTGACAATGTAAGGGACGAAAAAGAGAGTGACAAGATTCCCAAACTCGTTGTTCTTCAGGCCGATGTCTTGTTCAAAGCCAAACACACGAGCATTGCCGAGATTCGAGCGATCAAGGTAGTTGAGTAGGATGAATACGAAAGCCTGAGGCAAAACGTACTTGTCGAACTTGCGAAGGACGGCTTTCTCTTTCTCAGGATCAATGTAGATGGACTCCACCGTGACAGTTTCAGTGCTGGCCTCAGGCGTGTCAGATCCGCTGCACATGGATAGCTTTTCGGATCCAACGACGACGGCTTCTTTTTCTAATTTGATATTGGATGCCTCCATCTTGACAGGATGAATTTTTGATGTCGCTGCTTCGGAGTCGAGAAGGTGATTTGTGTCACTTGCTGCAGGCGAAGGATGCTGTTTGGATGAATGAGAATGTCATACTTGAATCAAAGGAACAGCCATTTCTTTATACACCTCTTCAATTCACATTCAATGATACGATATCTCGAATCAATTCAAGGAAGACACTCTCTACTGGTCGGTTTGTATGTCGCGCGGTTTATCACCGCAAGTTGCGGGTGGGAATTTGGCGGTTCGAGACGCGGGCCAGATCTTAGTGGCCGCGGGCTTGCCCGCGGGCACGGCAAAATTTGAACCCACCGCGCACGCACGCTTCCATGGGCCCCAACGGGGCGACTCTAACAATACTCCGTAATGGTTGAACGGCAAAAGCTTGCAAGGACGGATTTATACAATAAGGAAGCTCTCAGGCGTAGACCTCATCGCAATGACTACCCAAACATTTCCACAGACGACTCAATACGTACCATTTCCACTAGTACCAGATTTATGGTCAAATGAATAGCATCGCCAGCCAGCCTGTCTCCCCCCCGCACCCACTACAAAAGCCACACTATTCGACTTTCAAGGATCCTCAGGCATTATAAGAAGCCGGAGACGCGGCTTGGGAGGCGAGAAAAAGTCGACGAGCATCAGCAACACCGGGCAATGGTACGCAAAATATGCCGTCAATCCAGGGTTCTGGTCATCAATCCCAACTCCAACACCGCCATGACGGAGAGTATGAAACCAGTTTTAACAGGCATAGAGTCTTCGATCATGACTCTGGAATACTGGACATGTCCTACGGGACCTCCAATAATCAAGTCGCAAGCCGATATGTATGAGAGTGCTCTTCATTGTCTCCCATTACTACTAGAAATGGAGAAAGATTTTGACGGGTTTCTGGGAGCGTGCTATGCAGATCACCCACTGGTCCGTTTGTTACAGAGCTATGTTGGAAGCAAGCCAGTGGTGGGGATCTTCGATGCCAGTATCTTTGCAGCAATGCAGCTGGTGTCTGATGGCTCTATGTTTGGCATCATTACCACTGGAATGGCTTACGAAACTCTGCTGAGTCAAGGGGTGACGGCTCTTATCGGCTCCACGGACGACTATTGCTCATTATTCGGCGGAGTAGCGGCCTCTGGGATTGGCTTGGAAGACCTCGACATCAAGCAACAAGCAACGGCGCGAGAAAAGATATTTTCTGCAACTCGACGGCTGCTTCAGAAGAACTCTGGCAAATTAGATGTCGTGGTAATGGGCGGCGTCATTCTTTCAGGCATGGAAACTTGGGTTCGCGAAGCATTGGTGGTCGAATTGGGCGCGGACAAGGCTGGGAAGGTGAAAGTGATCGATCAACTTGTCGTGGGAGCCTTGACTCTAGCGGCACTGCTACGATCTGAAGGTTTGGACATGGTCGATTATGGCCTCGCCCTCAGGTGAAGGCGGAAGAAGAGATGGCGGAGTCAAGCATTTGCACCTGCACCTGCATTTTATGGGAAAACTGGTCATCATTATTCTATGTCATGCATTGGGAAGGCGCCCGGGGTATCTCATTGGCTTAAAAGTTGCTTATCAGTGAAAGCATAAATGCCAAGATAAGCAATATCGTCTTGGCTAAACTAATCCCATTTTGGTGTACTTATGTACAGAAGCAGGAAAGGCAGGAACCCCACCATCTGACCATCTTGACGGCTTGGGATTCACAACATTCATGCTTCCTTTTTTAATTGAATGTCTTGAACGGCTCTAGTCATCACAACTATCGAGACAGATCTTGTGTTTCTTTGTGTCAAAAAACCATGCTCTGGCCATAATATATCCGACACTGCAGTATGACCTTTAGAAGCCATGGAACGCGCTCGGTTGCGGGACCAACGGCCATGTGATAACTGTCGAAGGAGGAAGATACGATGCCTTTTTCCCTCAGATGAAGCGACAGATTGTGTGCTTTGTATCTCTCGCTCAACATCATGCACGTATATCCAGACCGCTCCGCGCAAGAGGCGAGTTATCTCTCCTGGCAGTGATCAGAACCAGCTAGGCGCGGCGAGTGGGCCAAGACAAAGAGCCCTTAGCAAGAGGTCCCCTGGTATGATGTTCACAGACCTTTAATATGCCCAGACTGATCATTTCTAGACCATGAGGTCTTGAGTGACTATACAAAGCTGCCAGGCCGAAGTCTACTAAAGGAAACTCTCGGCCATCAAAACCGCCAGTCAAGCACTGTCATTGGAGCAACATCCGACTTTGCTCCTTCATTGGCTTCGGCTTTGTCCTGGAACGCGAAAGGAGAATGTCTCCAATATGATCCCCCAAATATCCTGCGGCGGGCGAATCAGTCGACTTATTTCATCGTCAGACCCGATACCCGTGAGGAAACTGAGGCTGAACTGGCAAACCTCGATGCCATCGAAGATTTTGTCGCCCCTCATGGTCCTGAGCTGGTAAACTTGTACTTCCGTATAGTTCACCCGAGCTTCCCCATCCTCCATAAACGTGTTTTCCTTGAAAAATATGGCCGCAGCTACCGTGAGCTGACTCCGTGTGGTCTTGGCGCCGTCTATGTCATGGCATTGAACTGGTGGTCCTATAGCCCTGCTCTTGCAACGGCCCTAAAGCCTGATGTTCAAAGGCTCGAAGACATGGTTCTGAACATGCTATTTCAGGCACACCGTCGCCCCAAAATTTCCGATCTTCAAGGCGCATTGGTTCTCATGCAGCGTCCATCAATTGTGTCATGGTCATTGATAGGTCATGTCGTGGCAATGGGACAAGATCTTGGTATCAACTCCGACTGCACGGCCTGGCAGGTACCGGATTGGGAGCGGGGAGTTCGAAAACGCGTCGCCTGGGCTTTGTTCATGCAGGACAAGTGGGGTGCGCTGGTCTATGGACGAGGCTCCCACATCAGGAAGGATGATTGGGATGTTGCAACGCTTGACTCTTCAGACTTCCCCGAAACAGCCAGAGACGATGATGACGAGGAAGGCAGTGCAGAGATTGAGAAGGGGAAGCATACCTTTTTGCAAATGGTCGCTTTGACCGAGATCATCGCCGACATATTGGATCAATTCTACACCTTGAAGGCCGCTTCGAGAACTTTGACCATTGCCGAAACTCTGGAAGTGGCCAAACCTCTCCAGCTTAGGCTGAAAAATTGGTTCTCCAATGTCCCCACCAGCCTGTCTATTGATGACACAGTCCCAAGAAAGCTCTCTTCTGTTGGCTATCTTCATTTGGCCTACTATACCGCTGAGGTAACGTTGCATCGAGCCATTTTGAGACCTCACGACTTCAACAGCCCAATGCATGAGCTGTACAGCATAACTCGTCGCTCTGCAACGGCGCGATTCACGTCCGCGTTGGCGTTTGTGAAGCGCCTGAGAGCCGAACATTTTCAGAGCTTCTGGTATTTCTCTTCTACCTTAAGCTTGGCAATCATAGGCCTATTTGCAGGCATCCTATGTGCGACCATACCAGAGGAAGAGCGCGATGAAAGGACATCTTGTCTGTCGAGTCTAGCCGAGTACCGATGGGTCTTGCGCATTAGTGCGACGAGTGCCGACTTCTTGAAAAGTGCCGTGAGCATGCTGGATGGGCAGTCTCGCCTGATAGATGATGAATACGGTCCTGACCTAGGACGGTCGACAGGAGCTCCGGACATGCAACCACTGCAGGAGCATGCGAACGATGATGGAACTCAGAACGTTGAGCATTATGGTCATGAACCACCTGCAGTCGACTTTTTCACTGCCGATCCATATTACAGCATTGATTGGAGCAATCTTGATGGTCTGAATGAAGACTATTTGGCAATGGGTTCCGAGATTGAACCTCATTGAAAATGATTGGAACACGCACTATCAAAAAGTGCCATGGGTGTGCCGTACTTGGGCATAAAACATAGTGGCCGCGGTTGAACTAGAGCTGCTACTCCTAATGAAGGAATTATGTCCTAGACAACCGGTAGTCGCTATCAAATTAAGCGAATTTGCCCTTCAATGAAGCCTGAAGAGACGTACCTAGTTGCAATAGCCTCTGCCGTTTTACGCAATAAGCGAGAACGTGGCACATCGTTATTTCTTTGCCATGCGATGTTGTACGTCGCCAATGCGACGATCGCGGGCCATGTGCGGTGGGATTGTTAAGGTTTATGGGATTGTCTTGCGATCCCCCGATTTCAAGCGGCATTGGCAACTATTTTGAAGCAACTTGGCAGTCAACTTACATCAGCCCAGAGATAATGGTGGAGAGCCAATATTGTCAAGCTTGCAAGCCCCGTCGGAAAACGCCGATGACGTCGATTTTGAACACGATACTTGTGAGGTTTGGTCAACATATTTCCATTTGTTTCAACTAGCCCTACACTATTAAACCGCACAGGCAATCGAACCAAGACCCCAGTGCGAGCCGTTGGTGGATCACCTGGAGAGTGAATGGCTATGAATCACGGCATGGATGGCACCAGTGCTCTTACTGGGAGGTGGAGGCCCCTAGGACTAGAGACAGAGACGTCAACAAAGAACTATGTAAGACTATCTTTCGCCGCATCACAACTCTGATCTGATGTATCTTCTCATTTCTCTCCTTGGCTGTTTCTCTTGAACTCACTCACTGTCTCGACAATGAATCCAGATTATTGGAAGGAAGAGGATGAGGAGAAGACCATCGGCTGGCGTGACCGTCATCGAAGTAGCGACAATGAGCCAATTCGTGGTTCTGTACAGAAAGCCACTGATCCTGCCTATGACCCAGCCACGGGGAGCGTCAAGCCTATTGGGACTCTCGGACCCTATCAAGCTGCCGTGATCTTTGTCACAAATGAAATCGGCATTGGAATCCTCAGCTTGCCTGCAGCACTTCAGGTGCTAGGCTTGATACCTGGTGTGATCGCCATCGTGGGCATGGGATCTCTATCTCTTTACACGGCCTACATCCTGGTACAGTTTTATCGAAGATACCCTCATGTCGTCAACATGGTCGATTTCGGTCGAGTGCTCGGGGGACGCCCTTTGGAGTTTGTCTTTGCTGTGGGTTTCACCATCAACCTAGCCTTGATCTGCGCTTCGGCTATCATAACAATCTCGATTGGGCTCAACACCATCACTGAGCATGCCATGTGCACTGTCGCCTTTATCGCATTCCCAGCAATCCTCTGCTTCTTGCTCTGCGTGCCAAGAACAATGAAGTTTGTCTCCTACTGTGGATGGCCCTGCACAGTCTCAATTGTCACGGCAGTCCTCATTCCAATGATCGCTCTGGGAATTGGTGGACCAGCAAACGTGCCAGATGGCGAAGAGGTCACCTTCAAGATTGTCGGAGATCCCTCCTTCTCCGAGGCTGTCTCTGCATTCCTCAACATCGGCTTTGCATTCAGTGGTAATCAGGCCTTTGTAACTGTTTTGGCAGAAATGAGAGATCCCGCCCGAGATTTCACAAAGGCCATTTGCATTGAGAAGATATTTGCCATCATCATGTACAGCACTGTTGCTATTGTCTGTTATGTCTTCGCGGGTGACTACGTACAGTCGCCTGCAATTGGTTCTGCCCCTGTTACCATCGCCAAAATATCGTATGGGATCATATTTGTCTCCCTGTTCGGTACCGGCCTAGTCTTTGGACATACCGTCATCAAGTATCTTTTCGTCTTCACCATGCGCCATCTAGCATTTGTGGCCAAACGCCGAGGACGTGCTCCTTCAGTCGAAGCCAATGCGATGAAAAGGCGGCAATCCCAGCCTCACGACTCCAGATCCCAGACGTCATGGATCGTCTGGATTGCGATAGGCGCTGGTTACTGGATTTTGGTATTCATCATCGCTAATGCCATTCCAGTATTTGATTCTCTGCTCAACATCTCTGCCTCACTTCTATTGGCGTGGTTCACCTGGGGTCTTCCCTCCGTTTTCTGGATCCACCTTAACTGGAACCACCTGTTCGACGGCTGGAAGAAGACTGCCCTGTTCTGCTTCAACATTTTCATTCTTGGAGTCACATTATTCATGAACACCGCCGGGATGTATGCTTCGATTGACAGTCTGCTTTCCACCTTCGCCGATCCTGACAATAACGTGGACGGGCCTTTCACGTGCGGAGATAACAGCATCTTTTAGGCACGCCAGACACTCCCATACATCCATCGAGTGACCATAATTTCGCTTTGAAGTAGGAAGCACCAGGAGAGGAGTTCATTCAACGTTAACACTGCAGAATGCGCGCAATTATATACCCAAAGCAACACTTTCTTTCCAAGACCACAGGCGACACTTCAGGAGTTAATCCAGGCGCGACAAATTGTACCAGAGCAACATCAATCCTTCAAAAATCAGCATGACAAGAGTATAGACATGGCTACGAGTACGGTGGTGTTGAGTTTATGAGATCCGAGTCATTCTCAGCCATTCAAGCTTGGTTGAGAACACCCACTAGCTAGTTTGGACTACTGCAAAAGCGGGAAAGTTGCGTTCATGAAGCCAAGGAGTCGTCAAGGGGTGTGATTTTCTTTCTCGCTAGAACTTACCATTTAATTACATCACTATATTGATTGTCATCAATGGTTTACATCGCATTTCATCTTTAGTCGGAACCACCTACGAAATGTGGACTTTGAGCTGATCATTGCGGAAGCTCCCTTTATTGGGCGTTCGGGACGTATCCGGGAGTCCATCTAGCCGGACACTTACAGATCCTAGCTGAATTCCTCAAGATGCCCGAAAAGTGTTGGCCGACATCTCCCCTAATCAACACTGGCGTATAGTTCAGTAAATTTCACCTCACGAGCCCAAGAAGCCCACGCTCGGCCCCATCCAGCTACTGAAATCTGTGTCGCATCTGCCACCTCGTCTTCCCCCAAGTAATCTATACTAACAGTTTCGTGGGCTGCACCCCTTGCCGCCCCACTCAAGAGAATGCTTGATGTCTGCACAGCAGCATTCTCCATGGTATATATGGCACGGAAGACACATTCTTCAATGCTGGATGCCGTGACTGTGTACCCATGTCCACGCATAAGGACCACAGAATGGGCGGGTACATCATCACCCTCGCTTGAGAAGGTGGATGCAAGCGAACCCCCGAGTGCCTCGTTCCGGATCAGCAGATCTCGCCTGTCTGTTTCTTTGTAATGCTTGGATATATCGTATGTTGGAGTCGACGTCCCTATTTTGAAGCGTTTGGTTGAGAACTTTGTAACCTCAGTATTGGACCTGATCAATCATACCTAGAAACCCAGCCATGTGAATGCAGGCCTTGAGAGGAACACCTGCATCGGCGTCAGCACGAGCGTAGATTCAGTGTTTGATATAGAACTCGCCAGAAATCCCATATGGTATGACATCTTTGGCATGGCTATGGATGACGCTGTGCACCCCTGGATATCGTTTGTAAATTTCGGAATGGATATATCTCTCTAAATAGCCGCCAGGCGCATCTGCATGGACCGGTGAAGCATCTGCAACTCTATACTCGACAAGGTCTTGAATGGATGAGATATTTGACGGCGCCATATTTCGTGGCATCACAAATATATCCTGCTGATGAGGTTGGCGGAAGGATAGATGGCCAAATGCATCCAAAACCCTGGTTAGATTAGACAGGGTCCATATGATATTGAGAGCCTGGAGTACCGATGATGATGAAGAATATGGCTGCCAGTGATACAGGTTTTCCAGCGATCCTGGCCCTTCTGCGCTGCTTGTTGAGGAGACATGGTCTCTGCCGTCGATGTGTCCATCGTCACCTAAACGTCACTTGGTCAAAATGCAGAAAAGTGATGTATTCTTTTCGCTATCGAATATTGCCAAATGGAAAGTCTCGTAATGAGGCAACTTGTTTGTCTTCTGGGGAATACAGACCTACGCTTGGCCGCGTTCGGGGACTATCCCCCCAATTGTCAGAGGTGTGCCGCAATCGGATGCCCGGTAGCTTAGAAACCGAGGATCGGTTGCTTTCCGTTGTACTCGATGCCGCACCGTATGATCTATTCCGATTTCAGATCAGTTATGGGGGACATAATGTATAAAATGGCGTTTAACAGATTGTCTTTACGGCTTTCGGTGTTTGTGAATCTTTGGATTTAGATAAATAATCAAAAGTTCCTCTTCGCTCTACCCGAAAAGATGGCCACCCACATCAACGGAGACGCCACAGAGCCTAGGCTATCGCATTCACACTCTCTTAGATTTGTTGGGGACTGGGGAGGAGCCAACTTCCACAGAATATGTTCATGGTTGACTCAGGAGTTCTGTGATCGAGCTGGCCCTGGGAGTAGGACGTCTATCTTCAGCTTAAGAGATGGAGGACTGGATGGACTGAAGCAGTTGTGCGACGGCGAAGCAGATCTCGTCGTCACTACTCCGGCGGCGCTACTCAGTACTCTTCCGGATGGCACAGGCCCATTTCCAACTCCAATGCCTCATTTACGAGCTATTGGTACCCTTCCTCAGAACGACCGAATGGTTCTGGCCGTGGATTCCAAGTATAAAATCAAAACAATTGACGAGCTGAGGCAAATGCGACCAGCATTGAGGATTGCAACGTCTATCAACGATGGCACCAATCCCATTGGCTACGTGGCAGATAAATACCTTGAAGCGCATGGGATTTCTGAATCAACCATCGAAGAATGGGGAGGGGCAATTGTAAGAGCTCAGCGGCCGGAACAGTGTGTGGCCCTCGTTGAAACTGGTAAAGCAAACGCTCTTCTGCAGGAGGCGATCATGACGGTGTGGTGGAGGCGGCTGGCTGAGTCAGGTAGACTGATACCACTACCTGCGGAGTTGTCTGCTCTGGAGACACTCCAGCAGCAGGTCGGCCTGTGCAACAATCCATTGCCAGCAGGATTCTGGACGAACCTCGAACATGACCTGCCGGCGCTGGATTTTTCGGATTTTGTCCTCCTAGTCCGAGACGATATGCCCGAAGAAGTGGCTCATCTTCTCACCTGGTGTCTAGTTGAGACGAGGCATATGCTGGAGGGCCAATATCGTCATATCCCTCCAGCAAAGAGTCCTCTAACATATCCTTTGGATCCGAGGAAAATGGCAGTTACTCCTGTTCCCCTACATCCAGGGGCAGCGAGGTACTATGCTGAGAGAGAGGCTTCGGGACAACAGGATCGCAAGACTACCACAATCTCTCCATTCTGAAACTTTTGTCATCTAGAGATGTCTGAATTGACAATACCAACAAAGGAGAATATCTACGTTAGAGCCAAACTTCATAACTACAATTGCCGTATGCGCTATCAATGTAGCATCCTTCTCGCCACACCAAACCTGTTCTTAAGCAGGATTGTATGAGAGCAAAGACTAATAATGCTAAGTACTACGCATTGGAACTCGGAGTGTTTTCGTTCCGGGCGCGGGGAACTTTGCGTTACAAGCCTAAGGAATGACCCCTGCTAAGAAGCGTCAGCATTATCCCCAGATAGATTCCCCGCCAACTCATCCCAGGTATTTTGTATTAGTTGTGACACAAATACCCAGTATCCGAGCACTCTTTATCCTCGGACTGAATATCGTATAGCATCATTTACCATGGAGCCGAGGACGAAGAGGCAGAAAGTCACGATTGCGTGTGTACCCTGTCGGAGCCGGAAGATCAAGTGCAATGGTCTTGGCCCAGTATGCGCACCTTGCGAGAAGAAGGCAAGCAATGGAGTCGAGTGTTCATGGCAACCGAGCATCACACGCACCCCAACACACTCGTGGATACAAGTACGACAGAATTCAAATTTGGTGGATAACTCGCCAGCTCGTCGTCCGAAACCATCTTCAACGTCAGAAGAGACTTGGGCATCCACTGGCAGCCAACCGGCATTGTCTTACATCGCAGGAGTCCACAGCCTTCCAACATTATCTCCCAAAGTTCTCAGGTCACGTAGTCCTCAAGCTTCGAGTCAAAGTCGGCACACATTCGCGGTATCTCGCCATGAACACGCCTCAGTTCATTTGTCAGAGGAAGCTGCTCAGCCCGAACGCTCTGGGCGTGCTATCATGGAAGTGCCAGTGGACGATAGTGGCCAAGAAGGGTTTTTCGGCAGCTCTAGTGTTGAAAACTTTATGCAAAACGTACAAAAGATGGTACAGCAGAAGGTTCAGGGAGAAGATCAACTCAAGGGACTTCCTGATGCGCAGCCCATCAATACACGAGCACTCCTGGCGGCAGATCACAACAAGCCAGGCATAAAGCCCATGGAATATGTGCTGCCGCCGCGCCGTCGGGCAGATGTCCTCTTATCAGTATACTGGAAATATGTTCACGTTCTCTACCCGTACCTCGAAAAGCCCTCGGTTCAAGCCGAATACGAGCAACTTTGGAAAGGAGATGGATCCATCTGCGAAGAGCGTTCCTTTGTTGGCCTCCTGAACGTCATTTTTGCGCTTTCATGTCTCCTAGATGATTCGCTCGCAGCAGAAGATAGGGAAGATGCTGCACGTACGTTCTACCTCCGAGCAAGAGAGTTGATTGATTTGGTTGAGAATGGCTCCATACGCTCAGTTCAATCGTTTTTACTACTTGGTCAATACTTTCAAAGCACAAACGCCTCTCACCCTTGCTGGGTGTTTGTTGGTACGGCTATCCGAACAGCACAGAGTCTAGGACTGCATCTAGCAGAGACTAGCGAATCAGCTCCCAATCCCAATACTCGCGAGCTCTTGCGCCGCATATGGTACGGTTGTGTTCTAATGGACCGAGTGGTTGCCACAACGTATGGTCGTCCCTGCATGATAGGACCACGATCTGCCACCATGGTTCCCCTCCCAATGTCTATTATCCAGTCGCCTCCGGTCTCTGGTGAGCTTATGGAACAATCGGATTCCATTGACGATTTCATTGCCGTGGAGTTCTATATCCTGACGTTGAAGCTATATGAGATTCTCCATGATGTCGTGTTCAACTTTTACGCCTTCAACTTCCAAATCCAGCCACTGGATATTGACAAATTCTGTGGTTCATTGAGCGAAGGCCATCAGTCGGTCTTTGAGATCGAGCGTAGGCTATTTAGATGGGAGCAGGACGTACCGGAGTATTTGAAGGTTCCCCAGAGTCAACAAGAAGATGCCCCAGATACCGTTGTGCGACGTCAGGCTGTGGTTTTAAAGCAAAGGTAGGATGTTCCCTAAGTCGTTGTCGTTAGTTGAATATGCTGATAGAGAGGACTCGCGAATCTCAGGCAGCTCCACGTCCGCCTACTACTTCTGAGACCGGTCTTGTCATACTTCGTTACTTCGGAATTCCACGATGGACATCTACCTATCCCTCTCGGAAGCCTCTTGTCCCAGAGACTACTGTTACAGTGCGCTATTGTATGCGTCAAAGTTGCCCTAGAGGCTATCTATATTGTTTGCGCTGAAGGAAGTACTACAGTTGGTCAAATGGGCAACGTCTCGGCTTGGTGGGATTGTGTTCTTTACATCTATACCTCTGCAACAATCCTCATTGCAGCTCGCCTGAGTCCTGCCATCCTGTCAGAAATCTCTGAGGATCTCATCCTTGAAGGTTGGCGCAAGGCCATGGCTGTTCTGGAGAGTTACAGTTGTTTGAACCCCACCATCACCCGTCTGATAGTGACTCAACGTTTGTTGTTCGAAGCTGTGCCACAGCACTATTCTCGGCACAAGAAAAATGCTCAACAGGCTCGACGAAATGTTGCCGGACCCAACTGCTCCGACAGCGAAGTATCAACAGTTCCGCATGAGGAATCTTTCGGCGTGGCAGCCACCAAGACCAACTCTGATGAAGCGACATTGACCGGTGGTAGTCAGGTGGAGGAAAGTGCCCTTCCCAGCAGTCCATTCTTGGGCTGGGAGACAGGTTTCGACCCTGACGACTTGTCCTGGCTCATGACGATTCCTTTGGACTGCTGACCAGAATTTTATCGGGCACTGGATCTTGCTCCTCAACAGACCTTCCTTTTAGCTTTAGCCTTAGATCTTATTACATTAGGAAGTGATATTCCTAACCACTTCTACACTTGTCTAAGCCTCGCCCAGGTCACTCCAAGACTACCAGGCAGATTACCAAACAAAACTTCTCAGAGATTTGAAATTTTTCTCGATGGGTCTCAGAAAGCACTGCCTAATAATTCGACGTTGATCATGTTCCAAGAAGATGCCTAGGCATCACAACAGTTCAACACCACATCGTTCGGCCTTCGGAGCCCGCTGAGCCCGAGGTGTATTCTTTCCTTCCGAAAGACGGGGAAAGACTGCGGGGTACAGCCAATCGCAGGAAGATCCGTGGGCACCATTGCGGAAGGCGATGTCCTAGTTTGGAAGTCGATGATTGTTCTGCTTCCAATTGGCTGGCCAAGACCATCTCCTTCAACCAGTCTTCATCGCGTGGCTTGCTCCCCCAAAAAATGGTAGATGGCTTCTCGGATTGTCTGGGGAATACACACTACCATTGCTCAAAGTTGGTTGAGGACGTGTCTCCGGAAGGCATGAAGCCTCAGAGACTCGTCTATCGAGTTCGACGATGGCATGCCATCCGACTTCCGGGGTGTGCGCCCACGTTCCCTCATTCAATCCGAGGCGCTGGTGTATTCAAGTGTACCACTTATCGCTGTTACAGGAGAGACCAAGATCTAAGGTGATCAATATCGCAGAATTTTTGCTCAGGCCACTTTATCCTCCTCTATTCACTGTGTCTCGAAGAACGAATGGAAACAACTATCGCAGTCCTTGGCTCGACAGGCAAAACAGGTCGTCAGGTGGTGTCTCGTCTACTACCACTGGAGAACATTCGCCTTCACCTCTATGTACGATCACGTTCGAAGCTCATCGGCCTTTTCCCTTCAATTCTATCCAACTCTCGGGTGTCGATCTACGATGCTCCTCTAAGTGATGTGACCAACATGTCCAATTGCCTCAAAGGGGCACAACGCATCATTTTCGCCCTCGGCGAGAACGATAACATTCCTGGGACGCGAGTCTTACAAGATGGCGCAAGGACTGTGGTGGATGCTTTGGCACGATTGAAAGAAGTGAATACGGGATATGTTCCTCCTCGAATCATTGTCTTGTCGTCTTCAACCTGGAATGAAAAGTTTGCCGCAGCTCGGCCACGGTTGTTGCATTGGGCTATTAGAAATGCATTTGTTTATGCATATGCAGACTTACTACAGGCTCATACATATTTGTTGGCGGATCCGAGCCTAGCCAGCGTGCTCCTGATACAACCTGGTGCTCTGGTTGATAGTCCACCGACCGGGCACGAAATCAGTACAGATTCAATCCTACCATGCGCCACATACGGAGATTTGGCTTCAGGCATCGTGGAATGTGCTCTGAATAGCGAGTATGATAAGTTTCCTGCCGTTGGAGTCTCTAGTAAAGATGGCGATGATGGCATGAAATACGGGCCTTCGATGATGTATATGATCATTCGAGGGTTGTGCGCCACTTTTGTCCCAGGATTCTGGACAATGAACCGATGGACCAACTGGCTGGTAGCTAAGATTGTACCTAGACAGAAGGCTGATTATGCCATAAACTAGAGTTCTCGAAAAGTGCAACAGAATATATGAACGCATCGAGACATCTGACGATATGGTATACTGGCGCAAGTCTACAAGGCGATCATGAGAGGAAAAGGAAAATTTACCCAAGTACAACGTGAAGTCAAGTAATTCTGCGCGTCGCACGAAAGGCTCGAACTGATCGTAATATTCTGGAAAATGACGGTCTTGTTGACCTCCCATGAGGTTTCTGTAAAGGTCTGCCGTCCCAGTGCCCGAGAAACTCGGGACGTAACGATTCCGAGCTTGGAGACTTGTAGAGCATTCATTCCGTAGCCTCTGTCATTTAGCGACATTCTGCCTACTTTGCCGCGCCACTAATGTGGACGTTGGATCCGAGCCTCTTATGGCAACAAACCCCAGAGAAGAATGAGCCTATCATCTATACTGCAAATCTAATATCAAAGTCCATCCACATAGCCACCTTAACATATATAAAGCATCTCAAGTAACGGTCGATAGGGTCAGAGCTCATTGCCATTGCTGTCATAGCACCATGTCTCAGACAAACACCATCCTACGCGTCCCAGGTCTGACTACAGACAATAGCCTTTCCGACATGGAAGCGTTACCTGTGTTCAGCGTTGCCAGCGCGAGCGATGAGAGGACGAAAACACTAGGGAAATGCCTTCATGAGAATCACACCACGTTTTCCGCTCTACGTGACCCCCAACTACTCTTCCATAATCATATGCCACACGTATGTCATACCTACCTCGTCATTTCCAATTAGGTCGCCACTGACTGAAATTTGTTAGATTCTTGGGTCCTCATACTACCTTGGGGCAAGTTCGGCAAAACTTGAACAAATTGCAGAGGCTGAAGGCAATGAATTGAGGCCAATTGGAACAGTCCCCTTGCGAGAAGCACTGACCGAAGGTACCTGGAGAAGTCAATGGCGTAACAAGGAGTAGGCTATAAGGATCAATTGTCATCCGCAATGCTGATCATTCCATCTGCAGATATACGGTCTCCTTTGTCAACTTCTATGACGATAAAATCAAGGCTGAAGGAGGAGATTGGAAGAAGGTCGTCGCTGATTTGTTATATTCGACCAAAAGTCCGTTGATCAATGGGTTTTGTGGAGGACGTAAGTTTCCTTTCACCATTTTTCACGCCCGTTGTATTTGTAAGGCTGTACGGAACCACTGACGAGACCTCTTAGTGGGACACCCATTCATCCATCTCCACTACGCCTATGAATATGACAGTGCAGAAGTTGCTTCTGAAGCCTTGGCCCTTGGAAGCACTGAGTACGATTTCGTTCACCAATATTTCGATTCGGCCCCGCCCGACACGTCCACATACAAAACCAGAGACTTGGAAGAGATTGTGAACAAGGTCCGGCTCGACAAGCGTTTCGATGGTCTCGCCAGCCACCCTGGGTTTCTCAATACTTTTGCTTTGCACGCAACGCGTGAAGCTGCCGTCCTCGAGCATTTCAATGCGTGGGAATATGATGGCTCGCCCAAGGAGTTCGAATCTCTGTTCGACACTGCAGTTCGCCTAGCGATTGAGACCACGGGCCCGGCTGAGCAGTTCGAATTTTTCCTCATTCATGTCCTCACCGTTGCGCATGCGTTGAGAGTAATCTTACCAAACGCGCCGCAAGAATTTCGAGTCCCTATCGTCAAGCAATTTGCCATGTGGACCATCGTCATATACTGTGCTCAGCTGAGACGGAAGGTTAACCATGGAGCTATTGCTTCTACCGACACCAAAGGGCGAGACTGGACATGGGTTGTTGAGCAAACTTTGACCAACGAGTGGTCGCTCGATTCTCATTACGTCAAGGTTGTACGAGCACTCAAGGTTGGAGAAGAACTGTATGGGGAAAAAGATGGTTGGTATCTAAAGGCTGCCCTCGATTTTGTCGATAGGTTCAATGGGTGGACCGGATTTGGCCAAGGGGTTTCTAACATCGAAGGCGCACCACCATCTGCCCCTGGCTGGGAGACCCAGGGCCCTCACTAGTTAGCCAGCTTCTGCATCTTCTGCCAAATATATGGCTCAGTGTTGGACTAGTATCAATATTAAAGGCTCTTGGCTTCGAAAATCTCTCGTAACCAGAGGCCAAAGGGTTTGCAGAGTACATCATGTAGTGTTCTGACGCTATATCTAAATATCATCACTGGCGTTGTTCACCAGCTCCCTGAGCACTTTCATACCCTCTTTCACCACAGCCCATCTAATTGTTCCCAAATGCTTTGCCATGCACGCTAATAGTCCATATGGTCTATACTTTCCGGACACTGCCCAGATATCCTTTACAAATGTGGGTCTGGAAGGGTCAAGCCTTGTCAGAGCACTGATAAGGGCTTTCATGTCTGTCCTCGAATCCCAATCGTTGTCATTGTCGGCCTCACCCGAATCTGGGAATATTGTATCCACAAGCAAGGGCATTTGGTTTGTGGGAAACATCTCAACGGCCGCCCCATACGCTGTCCAGCATGTCAGAGTTGCAAGATACAGGCACCAGGGAAAATGTATCATTTCATCCACAGCCCAATTCTCAAGTTTCCTGATACCGTCTCGGATCAGATGGGCGGCATGCCAAGTTGCTCGTGCAGCACTTTTGCCTCCATCTCGGGAAACAAAATCTTTGATTCTCGTTTGAGAGCGCTGGCGGTCGAGGTCGGTCACCTGCCGTCCGGTGATATGCTTTGCACCACCTCGAATCTGCAAATCAGCAATTTCGACTTCTAACACGATTTGAGCTGTGTGATAGACAGCTGAGTTTGCCACAGCGCAGCGTTGGAAACTGGCGTGCTCCGCGGAATCTGCAGGCAAAGACGATAAAACGAGTCGAGTGTAACGATCAAAATCTTGTTTCCACTTGGCATAGCAGGCGCTGATCTTGGTTTGCCAACGGACTCCATTTGGAGTGACATCTCGGGTCAATGCCGTCTGCTCACGTCGTCTAAAGTCCCACGAGAGTGACATGAGTCCATGTAGAACCAAAACTCTGGACAAGGCATTCAAATGCAGTGGTGCAAATGATGCTCTTGGATCGGTGTACCTTTGCAGGATGGTGAGGAACTGGGGCGGGGGCGATGAATTTTTCATAAGACGAAGCCAGCCTTCTGCGGTTTCGGCCTCCCAAATGGCAGTGTCCCAAGGAAGAGCCACCTTCAACTCGGAGGCATTCATGCAGAGGATCTGGGCAAAGAAAGTGGCATGTTGTGTATCCCACATAAAGGAAATCATTGCAAGCCTGTGATGGTAAGCTAGGTGTCTTAAATATCAGAACAGGCCTTGGATATACCTTCTCTTCTCTTCGGCTTGAACTGCTGCGTTCCAATACTCTTGCAAGCTTTCTCTATTCTCGTCCCAAGTTGGGTTGCTGACATTATGGCAATTACTTCTTCGGAGAAGGCTACCAACGTTAGTATACAAGAGCCAATCAGATGTTAATTCGCTTACTTTATCTGGAGCCCATGGTAGATATTTGAGACATCGTGCTGCCGCTCTCCAGCACGGCTCTTACCAAAGCATTCTACCAGCAAGATTGTCTGTAACATCCAAAAACTCGGCCTTGGCCCAAATTCTTTGTGACTGTGAATCAACGGCCGCATCATGTCGTGTAAGCAGATTGCCAAGGAATGTGCTCTGGTATCGCTATATGTTGCGCCCAAGAGGATGATGGACATCAGCTTCAAGGGGTGCACTGCGGAGCTTGAAAACGTCCCCGGATGTATCAACGGGTACGTCGAGTTGAAGTGGATGAAGAAAAGATCGCTATAGCATTGCAAAGCTGCCAGTGACAGCAATGGATCACAAGGGCTGATTTCAGTTTGGTCCATTCTGGTTGGGCGAGTTTGAGAGATTAGCTGCAGCAGCCCATCTCGAGCTTCGATCGAGATCATTGGTAATTTCTTCTGCTGTGTTCGTATCCATGCGTCAGGTGGAGCTGAGTCGATGGGTTCTATGAGAGAGTGCCCTTCTTGATTCTGGCCATCGGCTTGCTGCCTCGAGGAAAAGTAGAGGGAGGCATTGTCAATCCCCAGTACACCAAACTCCTTGCTATAGGCTTGATTCACTGCAGGTGAAGTATAGTTGAATAAGCCACCAGTCTCAGGCGAGGCTGCCATTGCGGGAGAACTTATGGTTGTATAACTGCGCCCGGATTCTGGTGTGAAGAGCGCGTTATCTTGAGGGCGTGGTTGCAAATAAGACTTGAGGGTCCCAAATGGCTTGCCAATAAAAGGTTTGATAGAGGGTAGCTGTTCGTGAGGATCTGGTCCCAAACCAGCCTCATTGACGAGTTCCTGTATGGGATGATCATTAGTATCTCCATGGTAGGTATCCGATATTGGCGGCAAGGGTTCAGTGTTGTTGGTGGCAATGTCGTTTCCGAACAGCCAGCTGTAGTACTGGAGTGTCGGAAGTGAAGCATTGAATGAAATTGCTGCCTCGATTAGTACATGGCATTCAAAACGTACGGCTATGACACTTACTGGTATCGGGAAAGGTCACCTCGTTGTCGGGTAGATCATCTGACGTTCCCATCATGGCTTGGAATGGCTGATTCGCCCAACTAGAGTCTCCCCAGAGGTCGAGTTCATTGACATCTGACGGGGGACCAAAGCTCATATCCATTGCTTCCCACGCAGCCTCAGGGTATGTGAACTTTGCTTGGGGATCATGTTCCACTGGCTCCAACGCACTGCTCGAAGTTGATGCTGGTGGAGACATTAGGGCGTAACTCGAATCGTCCACCGCAACTTTCTCAGCTGGGACATCGGCTGTAAGAGTGCTGGGAATCGATGTAGTTGCCGGTTTCTGTATGCGACTTGCATTCACCACTCGTCCATGGCTGTCCTTCCACAGTCGCTTTCGGGTGGCCAGGTTTCCAAGTCCTTCGCCACCAGCTTCGGCGTCCTTCTGGCGGTGACGTTGCACATGACGATCTGAAGAAAAGAGTCAGCAGCCGCGGCAGGCGTGTTGGATAGTAACACACCCAAGAGATCGCGACGCCTGAAATGGGCTGCGCAGCGTGAGCAAGTGAAGTCGCCATCTCGATGGTTGAATTCGTGACGGCGCAGGTGCTCCCTCCTTCGAAATGATTTTCCACAGCTTTTCTCGAGGCAAACGAATGTCTTCGTCACAGATTCTGAATTCCAGGTAGTGGGACTACCATCAGTCATGGCTCCCATTCCAAGTGTCGTTAGAGGTGCATATCAAAACAGAAGTGGGATGTAGAAGAAAAGGTATCCCATATTAATTCTAAGGGTGGGTAAATCCAAAGCAGGGTCCACTCTTCTGATGTCGTGATTCTGGGCCTTACTTAGCTCATCAATCTGGATTGCGGTGGCATCAAGGCTTTTGCCTAGCGTAAATACCACATGGCTTTCACGTGCTGAACATGACATTTGATCTTGAGGTCCACATCTTGCCTACAGCCTGACGTGACTTGCTAAGTCTTGCTCTGCGAGTGGGAGGTTACTTGAACATAATAGTCGGACATCAAGTCCATACACATGAGTCAAGCCAAGTGGACAGGAGTCAGTTCACTGACACAAATGCCTGATTGCGACATCGTAACTAGCTTTTCGAGAGTGGGACGTCTGTTGGCGAAGACTCCAGAGTTGATAACACTCAGCCAATCATACGATTAAAATATTAGTCACGTGACTATCACGCAATTGGACTTGAGCGTGGTTTCCAGGAATATGTTCAAGTCTTTGCAAGTTCACTATGTGCCATACCTCAAGAGTGGGATGCCGCCCCTTGAGCACGCTTCAGGGTGGTAATGGCATTTAATGAAAACAATATCAACGTACGATCAAACATGGTGTCTTGCAACGTGATATTTCGCCATCATGTTGCTCAGGCAGGTATATATTGACGTTCAGATGTCAATGCCTCGTTAGTGTAGCCTTGAATTCCTCTCACCGTTGAAACAAAGTTTCAGTACCATATCATCAGAACACACGTCGTATTGACCATGGAGAAATCTCATCCACTACCCAATGCTGAAGTCGAAGGGCCCTTCTCCAGCGAGGATGGCAGTCTCCAATTAGACTACGCCGCTGAGCGGAAACTGGTGCGAAAACTGGACGTAAGCATACACCACCAAGTCTGGGAACAATATGCTGATACAAGGCACAGCTTCACATCATGCCGTAATCTTGCTTCCACCTGCGTGCCAGGCGAATACTGAACAATCTCCCTAGGCTCATCATGCTTTTATATCTATTCAGTTTCCTTGACAGGTAAGCAGTAACTATTTTCAATGCATCAGATAAGTGTTGCCGCTCACATCCTACAGAGTCAACATAGGAAATGCTCGGTTGGTAATCAAGAACCCTCAGAAGACTCCATCACTGACAGAGCAAGGCTGTATGGACTGGAAGAAGACCTTGGTCTTCATGGAAATCAATTTCAGATCCTGGTCTCTGTTCTATTTGTCACCTACATCCTTTCTGAACTTCCATCAAACCTAGTCATCAAAAAGGTCGGTCCATCGAGATGGATTCCGTTTATTGCCCTATCATGGGGTCTCGTGGCCACTTTCAGTGGCTCTGTCCAGAACTTCGGTGGGATGCTTGCTTGTCGTTTGCTATTAGGTTTATTCGAAGGAGGTCTATTCCCTGGGATCGTCATATACTTGACACTCTTTTACACTAAGCGAGAACTCGCCCTCCGCATTGGCTATTTGTTTACTTGCGCAGCGGTGGCTGGTGCATGCGGCGGACTTCTCGCATATGGAATTGGCTTCATGGACGGTAAGCACAAGTCCTCCATTTCATCATCTCTTGCTCACGGATCTCCAGGTGTTGCTGGTCAGCGAGGCTGGCGATGGATAATGTGGCTGGAGGGCGCACCAACAGTGCTTCTTGCTGTTGCGGCCTATTTCTTCATGGCAGACCAGCCATCCACTGCGAAATATCTAACCGCTGAAGAGAAGGCTCTCTTAGTGGCTAGGTTCAATCGCCAATCCGGTATGACGCAGTCAGCCCAACAATTTCACTGGAAAGATGTCAAAAAAGCTCTTCTGGATTGGAAAGTCTGGACGTTTTCCTTTGGACAATTTGGTGTTGATGTTATGCTCTATGGTTTCAGCACCTTTCTGCCTACAATAATCAGGGGCATTATGCCAGGAGCCAAAACTTCCATTGTCCAAGTCCTGACCATTCCTGTCTACTCCCTGGGAGCAGTAACCTATCTGATAGTCGCCTTTTTGTCAGATCGTCAACAGCGACGCGGGTTCTATTGTACACTCCTGGGGTCGGTCTCAATTTGCGGCTACATCATGCTCATTTCAGACGGCGGAAGCAGTGTCCACTACGCCGGATGCTTCCTCGTCGCTTGTGGAATGTATTGTGTCATTGGCCTTCCACTTGCTTGGTTACCTTCTCACACCCCACGCTATGGAAAACGCACCACGACCATCGCCCTTCAAGCCATGATCGGGAATAGTGCTGGCATCATGTCTAGTTTTGTGAGCATATCCACCTCATCCTCCGATTGGGATACCTTATATATGAGCGTGCTATTTGCTGACTATTATCGTAGCTCTATCCTGCCGCTGAGGGCCCTCGATTCGTCAAAGGACACGCTATCACAATCTCTATGGTTGCTTTCGGTGTTCTAAGCTTTGCTTTCATGTGGGGCTTTTACACTGTGGTCAACAAAAGGAGAGCAGAGGGGAAGGAGGACCACAAAATTACTGGATTGTCGGATGAGGAGATCGAGGAGCTGGGCTACGATAGCCCAAGAGCTAGATACGTTACTTGAACGGAAAGGATATCAGTAGGGTGCAGCGTCCAAGCATAGTACGATAGAGTATCCGAGACTTCCATTCTTCCATTCAGTCAGTCATATACGTAGCCATGGTCAGCAAGTGAGCCTATGGGCAAATCAAGTTTCTTTCCCAGGTAAATCCAGAAGGTACCTAGCAACGTATAGGATGAACAGGTATTCTGCTTGTGACAGGTTCCTCTCCGTTCGGAGGCAACCCTCATTACGGGCGAAGGCAGGGCGTAGCCTTGTTGAGACAGGCTTCTCTTCCTTTGTCACACTTTCTCGGTTTGTATCATCCTATCTAGCTCAGGGCTATCATATGGAAATGAGGATAGGTAAGACTTCGCACTGTTTGAACGAACTTCCACAAGAGCCTGGTTCGAACTCATCTTATATTGACTAGTCATATCAACTACGTTACAGTTGTACAGCTCATATATCCTCCTTTAGTGGCACAGTGTCTTTTACGCTGAGCATAACGTTGAAGTTTCTCGGCTTCACAAACCACGCGGTACGCACCTCCCAATCATCGTCAGAGCATAAACGCACCTACATCACAACGTCAGTAACAGCTTCCCATAAAAAGACGGGAAAGTGGAGAGCTCTCTTACTTCGAACCTTCTCAAGAAACTTGGAATCAACTTGTAAATCTCCAACAAGGCGATATGCTTGCCCAGACATGTTCTTGATCCGCCTCCAAACTGGAACATGGCATTATTCATCCTCTTCAGACGATGCTCTTCCTCGGCCCCTCTAAGAGGGTCTACTTGCCACCGCTCTGGCCTCCATGCGTCAACATCTTCCCCAAAGACATCTTTCTGCCGGTGGACGACCCAAGGATTACAACCGACAATCGTCTCACCTGGGACAAATTGGCCACAGATGTTCATCCCCTGGGGCGGAACGACACGTTCTAGAATCATGCCGATGGCCGGATGTATGCGAAACGTTTCCTGAACACAGGCCTGGAAGTAAGGCAAGTTTTGTGCATCACTCCAAGTGACTATGCCGTCTGTGCTTGAGATGAGACCACTGGCGAACGCATCATTTATCTCTTCCACAAGCTTTTCATAGCATCCAGGAGTTTTAAGGAGAAAATAGAAGAATGCTGCGAGAGTAATGGCTGTTGTGTCGGATCCAGCCAAAGCTATGGAAGTTGTCATCGTAAGCAGACGTCCATCGTCGAAAAACTCCGGGTTTTCCTTTTGAGCCCTCAAAAACATGGTCAAGAGATCCATGCTATCCTTTTTGAAGGCTCCTGAAAGCCTCTCCGTCATTCTTGCTCTCGAAAACTTTGCCGTCCCGGAGGAATTGTCAATATACCCGTGCTTACTCTGCGAGAAAGTCAGATTCTACTCAAGCTTGGGCCAATGCTTTTGGCGATTGAAGAGACTGACCAGAAAGGTTCTGACAGGATTTTTGACCATTATCTTGTCTAGCCAGGGCATCTGTCCAACCTAAGACAAAGAAGTCAATAATCTAGATATCAGGGTTGGAAGCTATACTCACGGGCGCCTGATAATCAAATATCTTGTCCAGCCAAGCAATGATTCCATCGACATCTTGAAACTTATCCACGAAGCCAACTCTAGTACTATACGTGATCTCGGTGATAACATCGAAGGCAAAATATTGAAGCCAGAGGACAAAGTCGCAAGGTTTGTGAGGGTGCACAAAGAGTTCTTCGGTCCTCTGCAAGAACACTTTGATAGTATCGTTCACTCGAGGCTCGTACTGAACAAGCGAAGTCATGGAGAACGCATTGCTGACAGTTTTCCTCAGCTTTGCATGATAGTCTTGGTCCTGCGTCCCGAATAAAGATTGAAGCACCTCGCCTCGGGATATTTGCATTTGAACGGGATAAAAAGCGCTCTGTTTGGTCCTTAGTATCACACACCTCACGACTAGTGGTGGACTATCTTCACCTTTTTCAACCTGTTGTTCAATCCATATATTGCCTTGACGGCCTCTGGGGTGCTGAAAGACAGCGAGTTTGGCCCTAGCCGGACAATCTCTCCATGTCGATCATGAAGCTCTTGCAGCTCAAGATGCGACTTGCCTCTAAACACACTGAAAAACCTCCATGAGTCTGTAAAGTTGGCTAAGAAGGGGCCAGGATACTGGAAGAGGCTTTTGTTCAGATAGTTCTTTAAAAGAATTGCAAAAGTAACAATGACAACAATAACAAGCGCCGATGCACTTGTCGGAAATGGAAGCAAGGTCGCCATAATCTGTGAGGAAACAGATTCTCCCCTGAGACAAGGCTGCGTCAAATTGACAACATCGAAAATTGACTCTTACATTTTACCGATCAAAACAGCTTCAGCATATAGAGTGATTGCTCTGAGAATCCACATAGATGATGCATTGCGTGATCGAGATTATGAAAGGATAAAGAGGGTGGGCCCCAATGAAGTTGCATGTTTTTCAGCCAAGAGTGGGATGGGAAAACTGGCTCCCAAGAGTGGGATGACGGCAGACGTTGCTTCACGTACGCGCCTGGCAGGAAAACCGCCTCACTAGTAAGAGTAGATCGTGCCTATCCACCTCGATATTTATGGTTCGAGGGCGTGGTGTGAGATGCAATGGATAATGTAAGGTGTTGCAAGGACGACGACTGGGTTGACTCCTAGGTAGTAGCCCATCTTTAACAACGCCCATCGCGACAGGTTGAAAACAGTTTCTGATGGACCTCCATCATTGCCAAACACTACCATAATTCGTACAATATGGTTCAGAAATGCTCGCGGGTGGCAGTTATCGGCGCTGGTCCGGCGGGAGCTATTGTCACAGATGCTTTAGTCAAGGAACAGAAGTTCGACACTGTGAGAGTATTTGAGCGGAAACATGTAGCGGGAGGTACTTGGTATGAACCATATACTCCTAATGCACTTAACAAGACCTGATATCATTCCTAGGGTGTATTCCCCCGATACTACACCGAGAATCCCCTCCCTAAAGGCTCTCTTAGAGCATAATGCCGACCTGCCAACAACGATCCCTGCGAACTTTCCATCCGAGACCGAGCAGAGTGAATCGCTCAACTC